GGTAACGAAGAAAATGCTGTACACTTGCTTTTCCTCTGTTCCAGTAAGGCATCCATCTGGAAAGCTATCATCTTTGAATTCTTGTGGCCAACCGTTTCGATTGGTGATATTATCCAAGCCTGTTCCTCTCTTGACTTTGAAAACATCAAGTATGTCTCCAAATCATACACCACTGCTCACATGGTCGTACTGGTAACACTTGGCAACATTTGGCGAGCTCAAGTTCGTATGATCTTTCACTCGACTCCATTTATATGGATCGATGTGGTCCAGCAGATCAAGAACGAGCTCCTTCAACTACATGCCCAAACTGAAATTCACAAGCAATTGTAATTCTCTAATCACAATTGTCATCTATCATCTGTTCCTGTCATCTATCGCTTTATCCTAAATACAATTGAATATCATATCAATTGCGCCCGCCTCTTGGTAGTGCCCTAGGGACCTACTTACACGGAGCAATCAATAAAAACAATTTAAAAAAATAAAAAAAAAAGGTACCTCATGGTTTCCATTAAAATTTAAACAATCGCGTTTTTGACCGCCAAAACAAAGACTTTTACTAAGGCATGTAGTAAATCAAAATGTTTCTATCAATTCAAGGCAACTTCTGAAACTTTCTTTTTAAGATTTCAGTATATGAAATCTCGACATTCTGGCCAAAAACTACATTTCTTATTTTTATATATTGCCCAATAAGTTCAATCTAAACATTTTCTATAATTAGTACCATAGGAAACGTCTTGAAAAGTACTCCAAGAAAGCTTAAGGAAGTATGGGGTGATTAGCACATATCCTATAGTTGAAGCTTGCACAATAGGTCGAATCATGTCCTAAAAGTTCGAAAATCAGCAAATCGAAACAGAGCATAAAGCGGCAATTTAATTAATTTTGGTAGTTGCTCAAAATGCCTTGTCCATGAAGACAATCAATGTTTGTGATGCTAATACGAAGGGAGTTGAGAATTGGCAGGTGTTATAGCTTAGTCTGGCTATTTTACTCTGTCTTTGTTATATGTTTTTATATCTCAATCGCTGTAAATTGTTAATCCGAATGCGAAATACATGAGATAATCCAACTAAAGCATAATACAGCAAGGTTCTTTCTTGTTACTACCGAGGGCTAGCTATGTGGAGGACAGCTACTAGTATTACAGTTCCTCCAATTTTTTTTTGGGTTTAGAAGACTGGAAAGATATTTCAATTTTACAGGAGGACGGTTAATACATTTTATCGGTTGTAGCTTTCATTCAAAATACAAGCTTTTTTAATATGACATTCTACATCAGCTTCACTTCAAGCCTTTCGCGTATCAATCTTTGCTAGCCGGTCAATCTCGCTATACTCGATGTCGGCGTCGCCCTGCGGGCTCTCACCGAAGACATTTATATCAAATATAATAAAACTCTGGTATATCAAGTAGAGTTTAAACGATCGGCTATTAGTTAGTAAAAGAAAGGTTATATCGGAGCCACCAAGAGGAGGAGAGGAGGCATGCCCCTCAACGCCCTTTTTGCTTCCACTGATATCAAGCGAAGCCTATTATTGAGATGATGTGAAAAAAATTCAAGCTTTATGCAGCAATTGTACACCACAATTGCCATACCATTCACTGCTGCTAATGCTCTTTATAAAATGGCAACATAAAGCTGGCTATAAGTAAATACAGGGCTTGCGTAAGATCTACAGCGACTTTTTTGAGATATTGTCATTGTAAAAGACACTTTCATAGGAAAAAAAAAAACTCCCAAGAAAAAAACTATTTGGGCTAAACAATTGTCCTTTCAAATCTATAATCCGCTTTTGATTAGCATCGCAACCATCATTGTTACCATCATTGTCATCATCAGAAAGGCATTTGGGCCAGATAGCAACAAAGCCGCCCGCTAAAATTTATTAAAACTCAGTTAATTTTTTCTACCCAAGATTGGCCAAATTTCGTCTTTTGTCGACTTCTTTAATCTATTTCGTTATGTTCGACTATATAATCTGTGATGATCACCCTATGCTTCCTAATACATCCTTGAAGTGCTTTTCAAGGCGCTTCCAATGGTGTCAAGTAAAATAGATGTTTGAATAAACTTATTGAGCAATTTCAGAAAATATGAGATAAGGTTTTTGGCCAAAAAGTCGAAATTTTACGTATCAAAGCTCCACAAAGATGATTTCAGGGGCTGCGTAAAATTTGATAGAAACATTTTGATTCAATATATACCATAGTAAAAGTTTTCATTTTCAAGGTAAAAAATGCGATCGTTTGATTTTTGTCAAAAAGCATGAGGTGCCTCTCCTGGTTTTCGGTCGATTTTTGGCCATTTTTTTTTTTTTGGCCCAAAAAGTTGAGCAAAGGTGTCAGGAAGCCACTACCACTCAAGTACAATTGTTTGGCGTTATTCTGGTGGCTCATAACGGTCTAAATGTCAAGATATAAAGGCTCGAAAGCTGTCAAATTTGGTTATGTATTGCTTTATAGAGTTTATTTACACGGCATAAATCATATCTTTGATAGCTGCAATTTACTGGCATGGCAGTTCCGTAACCTATACAATTTTTAATTCGAATAGGAGGCATATTGGTTTTGGTAAAACTGATTCATGCAATTTTTAATGCGTTGTGTTGTGGGTAAGCTTATTGATAATGAAAATGAGAAGCCAAATTTGCTGCTCGAATACTATGGTTTTGCACATTTGCTTCGCTACGGTAAAACGCTCATTAAGGCCTATGTTACCAAATGTTGCCTTGAAACCACAAATCACTCAATTCGCAGCCAAATACTTGGTAAGAAACTACCTGAATTAGATGCTTTATACTCTTGGGAGAAGAATTTTTGATTTCTGACTAGCTATAACGACGTTTTTTCATAGTTTTTTAATATCATCATAACATAATAAATGTTCAGTCCTTAGACACTTTACAACCCTAATAATATGGAACCTGAGTTTCAAGGCATCTGTCTGGCCTGGCTCATATGAGAATAATGATTTTACAATCAATCAACAAAAACCACTGTTAGTTTTACCCTCTTTCCTCTGCTCAATGCTGTCAACGTTTCATTTGAACGACGTTTTGGAGCCTCAGAGATTTCACTACTTACTACAAACATCTCACGCAGCCCATGAATCGTCAATGTCCAGACTAACGTTATTAAATATAGAATGCAAGACGATGTCGTTATGAACGATATAGAATGCAATAAAATATTATTATAAACGATAGCGTTATGGCCTGTCACCTACTTTTTGTACGCTTCAAGAGCATTTACTACTGTATTGCAGTATGAAAAGGGCATTGAGTTTGCCAGCTGGCCCCACAAGCCAAATTTAATTCAAACCCAGAATCATAGTTTGTTCCAGATTGGACAAATCTTGATAATTTTGGACTCGATTAAGCTATTTTTGCAGATTCAACTAAGTAGAATATAATGATCATCCTGTATTTTCTTAAGCTTTCTTGGAGTATTTTTCAAGGCGCATCCAACGGTACTAAGTAAAATAGATGATTTGAATAAACTTATCAAATGATTTATGAAAATATGAAAAGAGGTTTCTGGCCAAAATGTCGAAATTTTATATATCAAAGTCCCACAAAGATGATTTCAGAGGTTGCTTTGAATCGATAGAAACATTTTGATTCAAGATATACCATAGTAAAAGTCTCCGTTATCAAGGTGAAAAACGCGATCGTTTGATTTTCGATGAAAACCATGAGGGGTACCTCATGCTTTTTGGTCGATTTTCGGTCATGTTTTTTTGATCCCCAAAAAGTTGAGCAAAGGTGTCAGGAACTAACTGCCAGATGGCAGCAACTGTTTAATTCTATTCTGACGATCTAAAAAGGCCTTGAACGCGAGAAAACGCAGTTCAAATGCACTCAAATTTTGCTGTATTAGGCACACTTTTGACTAAAAAGGGATAATATCTGTATGATACTTGCCCGTATATGAAGCAACTACCTGTATATGGATGTAGAACATCACATAAGAATCAGATCCACAGAGAATATGAAGGGTTTTTATGTGTAAGTGGAGAGTCAACATGAAAGTAGCAGTATTTTGGTAAGATACGCAAGAGCAATCAGTAGCACGAGCTGCCGCTGCGCAAGTTGGTTTCCACCGAAACGAAGCGTAGGTCAGGAAACCACCCAAAGTGTTGAAAGGCTCGTATTATTAAAGAGTTGTCCTATTTGAAGTTTATCAGAACCCTGACTCTTAGCCAGCATGCTTGAAGGTCGGCTTACCAAGGGTGTTAAAGATGGAAATACACGCCTACTAGATTACAAAACATAGGATCCGACCTTTATTTTTAGATTCGGCATGGGGATTTGATCAAAGAACCGAGTCAAACCTATGTAATGTTTGTTGTTGCAGACAAAATTGAAAATCAAGCTGTATGCTTCTCACTATCATGCATGCTATCGATGAGCGTACCGACTGGTGCGTTCATTCAGAGTGGTACAAGGACGCCTCAATGCCTGCAAATAGTAAAACGCATCCCATCAATGCTACGCAAAACGGTGTGTCTCTACTTCGTCATTCTTATTCATTTTCTCTCAGTAGCTTGCAGCCGTGCGCTAGTGCTCCGTCTGTCAATCATTTTCCCAAGCTGAAGAGCAATGGCTACTGTTATACACCAAAGGCAAGGCATTGCAAGCAAGGCTTTCCACAAATATAAATGAAGGCGCTTGATTAAACTTTAGAAAGAGGAAAGCTTTGTAGATAAATATAGGGAAATGTTTATTTTCTGATTTATGATACATATACAAGATAAGATATGAAAAAAGGGTGAATTTTATAATAAAAGAGTTGGGTGGTTTACAATAATATGTTTCTAAAATGATGAATGTGTTAGGAATTAAATTTACTTTTTTTTTTTTTAGGTAGGGAAGAATGGGATTTTGGGTTAGATTAAGCAGAAAATGGGAGTTGAAAATGAGTATATGACTTTGTGCAAAGTGATGAAAGAGAGGTATGTACAAGGAATAGAGGAGGAGGAGGGAGATTATTTAGAAGAGTGGGTCTAACAAATGAGCAGCAGCAGAGAAGTTATCTTGAAAATCTTCTTCAAGCTTCACCAAGTCTTGACCAGCTACTGCGCTTGATGGCAGAGAAGGGGACATAAGAGTATCATAACCTTTCATATCATTGTTGGCATTGTCAAGCAACATGAAAGTGTCATTGACAGGTGGCAACATGAATGAATCATAGAGATCAGAGTCAGCAAAACCGAAAAAGTCAGCATTGACAGGTGGGCTAGGAGTACAAGCAGCAACACTGTTTGCCGAGGATGATGAGGAAGTGTGGCAACTGATGGAGGACTCGTCAAAAGGCGAGAAACGAGCATCGTTATAAATAGAATCATAGGAAGGAGAAATCATAGGGTCGGCATCAGTCTGACGAGGTAAATTGGTCATAGTAGGTCCATTCAATGAAAGCTTGGTGGTAGTGTTAGCTGCTTCATCGTCCAGCGAGAAACAATCGCCAAAATCGAAAGATGCTGTAGTCTTGTCACCGCAGGCAGTGCTGTTCTTTCCCTTCTTCTTTTTGTCAAATAAGGCATTCTGGGCATTAAGAGCGGATGCTGTCAAAGGTGTAGACATGGCGGTTGTGCTTGCTGTCGACATCATCTTCAAGAGATCCTGTTGTTCGATGGTAGCATTAGGAGTAGTAATGACTCGAGCAGGAGCAGCACGAGGAGAGTGCTTGCGAGGCTTGAGAGAGGGCATAAACTTGGATCGGTAAATGTCCAAAGCACGTTGAAGCAGATTCTTCTTTCCGGCCAAAACTCTAGGGTTCAAATAAGCCTATACACGTCGGGTTAACGTCACTGCCAAACAATCCCACTAAAGATTCGAGCTTACCAATTTCCAACAGAGCTCATTACAAATCGTATCTTCCATCCATCTACCACGACCACCGACATATTGCTCGGGGTTAGTAGTAGCTGCTGCTCTGGGAAAGGGGCAGTTTTGTTTACGGAATTCTTGAGAAATCTCATCCAATGAAACCGTTTCGACATTGATCTTGATGCGATAACGAGCGTTGGTTATCAAATCATCGATGGCGATGGTCTTTGGTTGATGATTAGGCTTGATTGTAACGGCTTCTAATGAGGTGCAAGCCAAAGATTGTTGGTTCGCTGAGTTGATTGAGGTAGCGGCGTTGTTAGCAGCGACATTGGCATCATCGTCTTCCTCTCGATTCTTTCTCTTGCGGAGGGTACCATTCAATAGCTTCTCTTGACGAGCAACACGTCTAGATCTCATGCTGGGATAGCGGTTACGGTAAGAGTCAACAGCACGTTGAATCAAACCACGTTTACCTGCAATTTCAGCTTTGTTCAACCATGCAAGCTTCCATCCCAAATCATTGCATTCAGTTTCGTAAGCCCATCGGTTTCCCTTGTAAGTTTCCTTGGGAAGATTAGCACGAGGATAGACCTATAGCACCAACAGTTAATCTATGCTCAAATCACAACTCCTATCCCTTGAATACTTACACAGTTCTCGGCTTTGAATTTGTCATCGACTACATCCAATGCAACCTTTTGGATATCAGTTCTAATGGAATAACGCTTAAGAGTACGGTTGTGAGAGTAGACAAAAGAGACCCATTCGACACCATCCTTGACTTCAGCAATTGGATCATTAGATGTGACGGGAGCAGTGGCGGCAGGGGCAGCAGAGGTACTGTTGGCAACTGTCTTGGCTGGGGTAACTGTGGTTGCGGAGGCAGCAACATTGGAACCAGTAGCAGAAGCAGCGGCATTAGAGTTATTTTTGGCTGAAACTGTGGAGACAGGAACCTGCAAAGCGGCTGAAACCATGGCAGCTGCCAAAGCATTGGCGATCGCAGCAGCTGAAGATGAATTTTCCATGACAATGTCTTCTTCTTCCTTCAATGTTGCAGTGGGAGGAGACGCTACAGGAGAAGGCAAATGTGATTTGTCCATCTTTCTACGCTTAATTCGACTAATTGTGTTTTCAATCATGTTGATTTGTTCAGAAGTGAGACATTCCAAGATAGATTCCGCCTTGTTAGGTGCACTAATGAGGTCTTGAAGCAACAATGTGGTAGGAGATGAGTTGTTCATAATAAATAATAATAATAGGGGATGATGAAGGGCGTTTCAAATAGTAGAGAACAAATAAATAAATAGATAAATATGGAGGATAGCGAGAATATTGTGTATCTTAATGAGTGTCAATAATCTCGTTTGTTGAATATGTTGGGATCATAAAATGTCAAATTTAGAAAATATGAAAAACTTAAAAATTGACGTTACAAAAATTAAATAAATAAAGATGAGATGTTGTCAATGATGATGATGAAGATTCAAAATGAATCAAATCTTGTTAATTGTTGTTGCAAAGAAAAAGAAGAAAAAAGAAGAAAGAGAGAGGGAGAGCTACAAGGCAAAAAAGTGGGGAAGAATATATAAATCAATAAAAAAATATCGGGGACTTTCATAGTTTATTATGATTCAAATTGGGCTTCAGCGATGGATTTAGTCTATGACGGTTGTGTGTAACGCCTTGCTAGAGAAAACAAGATGTTAGCTACAATTTTTGTATTCATATCTTTTGCAATTTATTTTTTTACATTGATAATATAGACCCTTCAACAAAGAAAATAACTCTAAATTCGAGGTAGTTTGGCCATGACTACACTGCTCAAATTTCCTTCTTGTCTTTGATCGTATACAGTTTGGTGTTCCGATGTTTCCGTGAATGGCCGATTTTTTTTTTTTTTTTTTTTTTTACATCTTTTCCTATGAAAAATTTTTTAGGTGGGATCCTCTGCTTACCCAAATGAAACGCTGCCTCCGCCTATCACATTTCAGGAACGGAAGCTCAATTGTTTGTGTGTTCCTCTAGATGATTTATCAAAAGAGTAGCATAATATGCTGCTGTCGTTTCAAATTGGACTCCTGTGTTTATGAGCTTTGTTTTTGTTATTTCTACGTATGACTCATGTGATGGGCATGTCTGGTTTGTTTATGTGATTTTCGTGAAAACGTATTAAATAGGATAGAAATCCTGATTTAGTAGATTCGTAGATATTTATCAATGAAAAAGGCGGGATATCATATTACATGTACAAATTGTAGGCTCTGTGATGGAGCGTCTGATGCTTAGTGTATGCACACTGTCGCCCACGTAATTACGATAAAAAGTGATAATGTATTACATGTTCCGGTGCGTTGCCATGGAGAGCATGCAGATCGTGTATATCATTATGGCAATTAGATTTGAATGGTGCCTAAGCATCAGGCTATCGATGTATGCATAGAATCCGTCTTGGTCATTTTCAACTGGCTTTTTCGTTTTTTTCACACTTCAAATTTGCACTGTGAGTAAAACAAAAAAAAAACGCTCTTTTTTGTTCTATCCCTTTTCACGCGTTGATCATCTTCCTTTTCCAGAAATATGTTACATTACACGTTTTCCATGTGGAAAGCAAACACAAATGTCTTTATTTTTGGTAATTTGTGTTACTGGAAACAAGAATCAGTTGAATAATTATCGACTGATGAAATCCTTCTGGGTTGTGGGGAGCAGCTGCACTAAAGAAGAAGGTTTGGTGAAATCAGCCTTTTGACAATAAAACGTTCAATGCCACTACATTGGATAATAAATGTTTACTACTTTGCTTTGCCTAAATATTGTAGAAAACGAACTGAATAATTTAAGTCTAATATCAGTCCTGTTCTTTGCTCGCTTTCCTATCGTAAAAACCAATTTCCTTGCCGGATAACATTTTGCCGATTTCATTTCAATATGCATTTTGTGAAAAAAACATCTTGATTTACCAAAGGGCAAATTCAAGTTGGTAAGTTTTACCTTTTTCAATGGGACCTTCAAAAAGCTTATGGAGAAGGTGCCCAATTAGCATCGACGGGTTCAACGGCGCCTTAACTATTAGTCATAGTTTTTCAGCCGTTATGTGGGCACCTACCCCTTTCGCCTTGCCGGATCCCCCACTTTCTAACTTCTTGTCCAGTTCCTAAACGAATAAGTCCAAGTAACACAACAGAACTTGAGTCTCAGTTTATAGATGTTCGAACCTTAATTGATATGTTTAGGTTTAGCCGTTTTTCCCTCTGCTCCAACAAATGACCAGCCCAATCAATGTTTAGTCGTCTAGAGAGCAATCTCCTTTCAAAATGTGTATACATATTAAAAGATATTATCATTATCGATGGCCATCAAGGTTGTATCGGATCAAGGCGACCAGTAGACATTGATCGTGGCAATGATGGCCTTTCCTCGGGCCAGTTGCATTTGCTACCATCAGTTTGTACTAGCAATGTGTAATGTTGCAGACATTAAACCTAATTATTATATCTGCAAATAATGGAAGTTCTTTCATCCACTGATATACGAACCTCTTGAAAAGAACCGCGGCACTGCACAGACATATCCTGCCCTTCTTCAATTATTTCTCCACAAAATTAATAGAAATTAAGGTTCACATTTTGGTTTTACATTAACCTCAGGTACTAGGTTCTAGGTTCTAATTTTAGTTTCAAGCCAACGTTAGCTAAGCACAAGTGATCTTGACTATAGTTGTAGGTGTTAGCTAAGCTCCTTGTCAGGTAGCTCATCATATAAATCAAATTACATTGTGCAACATACGAATTTAGATATCAAAATCGACAATAAAAGTTATCAAAACACTACTATAAACGAACAGCTGTTGTTTAATATCATTTTAGCAAGAGATGGAGGGCTCGAACTAACAAGCACTCATTCTGCTATGATGTACAAGCAAAGCGAAGAAGAAACTGATTTCAAAATAGATTATGATCCCCATTTGTGAGATGATTAGTGAAATTTCTTTATGGATGTTGCCTTTCACTAATAGCGGTAGTTTCAGTCATGAGCGCATTTTGGTTGATTCTCTGTCAAATGGGCTACTGGCAACCGACTGCAAGGAGTTAAGCGGTAGAGAGCATTTGATATCACGAAAACCGCTCTGTATATGAAACCACGTTTATTGTGCGTTTCCCATGAAACTAAAAATGGAAGTAGGCAACTGTTTAGCTCAGTAACATGGCTTTTTCTAATTCTATCAATAATCAATAACTTGATTTCAATTGTATACACATATCCTACCACGGCAAAACCAACACAAGTTTGACCATGCATACAAAAGGCAGAAAACTAGCCGTTTTAGATCACGACCTTCAAGTTGGCACACATGTCTACCTGGATACGAAAAACATGCCCGCAGAAACAATCAATCCAACTGGGAACAATCCATTTGGCAATAAAAGATTCATTGGGCCATTTAAAGTAGTAGCAAAAATAGGAGCTTTTGGATTTCAGCTGAATGTCCCTGATTCAATGCGAATTCATCCAGTGTTTCATCGATCCCGATTGACAGAAACAACAGATAAATGCCTTTGCCAAACAGATACGGCCTGTGATGATAGCAACGGCCAGCAGCAAGAAGGTTTCACTGCGTAGCTACAGATAATGCACTTTCCCAACTCGATCTCGATATAGGATAACTTCATATATGTATAGATAATCAGACTTTCATTTCCTCTGAATAAAAGACGAGTACAGTTGCATATACTGCCTAAATAGAAGCGCAACCTTACAAACTGACTCAAGCCCAATAACATTCATCTGCATCTCTCCTACGCTTCTATTTCAAGATTATAACAAAAATATGTGGAGTTTAGGAATTGATTGTAATTCAGAAATTTAATAACACAATGACTACATCAAATCCACATTATACTTACCCTCGAGGTATTCGTTGGACCAAGAGCGATAAGCCTTGTAGTTTGATTATATTATTTCTTCTTCACGGCGACGAAATTATGGAGGCAATGCTTTGACCAGCAAGAACCAATATCAAGATTTGAAGCACGTTGAGATATGTAGACAATCATGGTCCCACGATTTGTAGACGGTGCCTTGAAGAAGGGTATAAGCTGAATGATCCCGATATGCATATCTGGTAGATAGTTTCAGTGAACCCATCAAACACAATTTAATAGCCACTATGCCTTAAATATCGATATCTAATCACATTGGCATTGTCTACGTTGATGTAGTTAGCGAGGCCGTAGGTTACGCCCTCTCTCTCTTGAAGGTTATTGTGACATCCGCCGGATATTTTACTCGTCTTAAATTCATCCACGAGGAGCACATTTAGCCATGTTTTTAATAGTAAAAGAAAGATCATACCAAAGTCAAGAGAAAAAGGTATCCCCCGCACCCCTTCTTGCTTATACACTGATATCAAACGAAAGCTATTATTGAGACGATATGAAAGAGAGTTCAAGTTTTTTGCAGCATTTGAACACCACATTTTTCGGCAATAGAATTGCCATACCATTCGCTTATGTTGCTCTTCAGATAACGACATAAAGCTGGCCATGCATACACATAGGACTTCTGTTGTTCAAGACCTACAGCGACTTTTCTGAGAGATTGCCAATGCAAAAGACATCTTTATAGAGACAAGCTCCTAAAAACAGTCAAAGAAAGAATAATTCAAGCCAAGCCATTGTCCTTTCGAATTTATGATCCCCATTTAATTAGCATTGTCATCGTCATTGTTATCTAGGTCAACCAGCAGCAGCGCCGCCTGCCCGCCAAACCTCATTCAAACGCAGCTTATTTTTTCTGTTCAAGATTGGCCAACTTTTGTTCTTGTTCGACTTGATCGATCTATTTTATGATATTCGACTATAAAGACTGTGATGATCACCCTACGCTTCCTAATACATTCTTGAAGTACTTTTCAAGGCGCTTCCAATGATACTAACTGTGATAAGTGTTCTGACTGAAACTATTGAGCAATTTAATAGAACTTGAAATGAGGTTTTTAGCAAAAATAGCCATATTTTGCATATGAAAGCCTCACAAAAGTGGTTTTAGAGGTTGCTTTGGATCGAGAGAAACATTTTGAATGAATATATACCACAGTAAAAGTCTTCATTTTCAAGGTGTAAAACGCGATCGTTTGATTTTTGTCAAAAAGAATGAGGTACCCCTCATGCTTTTTAATCGATTTTTGACCATGTTTTTTTTGTCCCAAAAAGTTGAGCGAACGTGTCAGGAAGTTACTACTACTCAAGTACAATTGTTTGGTGTTATTCCGGTGGCTCATAAAGGTCTATATGTCAAGATACGAAGGCTTGAAAACTTTCAAATTTGGTTATGTATTGCTTTATAGCTTTTATTTACACTGCATGGATCACACCGTTGGCAGCTGAAATCTTTTGGAAGGGCACTTTTGTACTCTGTGGTATTTCTAATTCGAATAGAAAGCGTATTGATTTCGGTAAAATTAATTCATGCAAATTTTAATGTGTTATGCTGTTGGTAAACTTATTAACAATGGAAATGAAAACCAGAATTTGCTGCTCGAATACTGCGGATTTGCACCTTCGCTTCCCTACGGTAACAATCTTGTTTAGATTAATGTTATCAAATAATGAAATAGATGCTTCGTTACCAAGGCTTTACATCTTTGCTTTGCTACCTTAAAACCCTCCTATAAATCAATGCTACCAAATATTGAATTAGATGCGTTATGTTCTTGGTGGAGGAGCTTAGCCCCTCCCCCAAACCCCCTCCCCAACGTTGGCTTCGCCGGTGGTATATTTACCTTGTACGGCACTCAATTTTTTAAATTCTTGAACTGATATGATTGTTTTATCCATTTTTTTTTGAATGTTTATATAACTGCCGAATTTTATTGTGTACATGACAGAGATTCTAAGCCAATAGTTTAGATAAGCCTTGCAGAGGTGCGCAGTAGATCAGAGTGACCCTTAATATAAAATTGATAGACTACCTCAATGGAACTGAAAATTACAAAGATCTAGTCTTTACTTGAAGTAAACATGACATTCTCTATACTAATTACTATCCTAGTCAATAGTAAGTTTATATAAAAGCAAAATGCCCATCAAAAGGTACCACTGTTGTTAATTATTCCACAGCTTCTACTTGCACACGTCAGTTTCTCAAATATTTTGACTGGATTTAGAGGAAATAACGTATGTACTAAATTTGTGCAACAAGTTTACCTGTAGTAAAACTTATTGAGCACACCCAAGAATTAACTATCGTTTGAGATTTCAGCAGAAGCTGCTATAGTATTATTAGTAGCAGCTCGTGTAAGTTTGCAGTACCCAATAGACCAGCCACAGCTAAAACTGTCTGAAATGGATCAATCATCAAGGCTAACTTTTGCTACACCACAGTGGAGCAGCGTATAAAATTCTTGTTACGCGTTGCTATCAGCCATTCCATGTCTCAAGTCTGTTTACCAAAAGTTGCGTGCTATATGGGCGTTTTCGTGCTGTTGTTATCAATGAGAAGCCTGGCTAAGTTGTTGATAGTAGTTGTACCGATAACAGCATCGAAACACTACTGGCTTTTTTATATTGCTTTACTACTTTACACTTTATATTTACTCGTTGTTGTTTCATCATTTGACAACCAAATGTAGCGACTCAAAATCCCTTTATATGTTTAACCAACCACCCCTCAAAGTGGGCATATAATGTATCAGATATAAAGTCTTTAGCATCAACATGGGGCCTGAAAATGCTCTCCCGTTCTCCCCTCCTCCCCCTTCTTGGTGGGCGAGATGCGCGGCATCATCATATAATAGCTTAAAAAAAAACCTTTGCCAAACCACAATGAAGCAAGGTATAACCAAGCAGTTTTCAATACAACCTTTTCCAACATTGCATCCATTCATCTATTGCTCATAATCACTTGTAATCAACTGTTTCTCGTATGAACGTCATAGTTCGATATTGCCTTATCTTGGAAATCATCCTCCCTTGCTGTTGCTCACCAACAATAATAACAACCCCCTCTCCTCCCCTCCTCCCCCCTTCCAATTTCTCTACCGTTTTCATCGCAAACTTTTCCTCAAAGAAACTTGCTATCTTTAAAGCTCGAATCAAAGCTTGATTCAAAGAAGGATTAAAAGATAAGGAAACAAGAGCCAAGTAAAGGAAAGAATGCGAACGATGATGTCTTTTTATAATTATCTTTTGAATGTTGTTTTGAGATCGTTTTGTTTACATGTTAGCAGCTAGGTTTACTTTCAGCAACGTGTAAAAAATTTCTCACGTCAGGTATACTCCTGTTTTTTTTTTAGTATTGGAAGTACATGTCTTTCAAGTATAATAGCTTCTGATGATGAGGAACTCTGATATGAAAACAATAATAGTGAAAAGTGAAAGGTAGAGAAATACGACATCGAAATAGGACGAGCAGAATTACGTGAATAGAAAAATAAAACGATTAGAAAAGTGGAACAACGTTGATGAAGAGAAAGGGGCCATATGTTGACCAGCAAACGAATGGAGACATTTCAGCAACGGAGGTACTAGCAGTGTCAATCCAATTTGAGATAGTATCTGTGATGAGAAAGAGGATAAGATGCAGTCAACACCTACAAAGGTACAAAGTGAAAGGAGCAAGTCGACTCCATGTTGCTCTATTATGGCTCGTCACATTGAATGAGAAGATTTATCGAATTGATCAAAATGTCCTCTTCATCAGCTAGCAATGCATGTAACCATCCACGGTTTTCGATATGAAGGTTGAGGTATATATGTGCTACTAAAGCCAGTCGACTTCCAACTTGATACTCAATAGCATTGCGGAGTGTCTGTTACATTCTTTATCTTGAGGCGTGAATAATATACAATGTGAAGTGATAAGGATGCTGGCTTGACAAAGGGTAGAAAGGCAGCCTTCAGTACCATTGCCCTTGAATGTGATTGTCATCATCAAATCAATAGCAAGCAGCAACCCAATGAATGGATGGACAACACAATGGCACTCGGAATGATTGAAATCAACATGCTGATTGCGCATTCCACAATGCATTTTAGGCTGATGACCCAAAGGCAATAAAAAAGCACATTTTGCTTTTTACGCTATGAGGGTATATTACAGGCATTGACTTGATACGCAATCATCAATTGGAATCAATTACTTGAATGATGTGGTATAATATGTTACGGGCTAAATCAACCTGATGATAAAGTATCATATGCTGCTGGATAGTCTCTTAAAAGAGCTTGTCTTGTACTCAATGTAAGAGCTGAGCACCATGGTTAAATTAAAAATGATCTACTTTAGCATCATGTCGTGCCCATCTTAATTCAAACCAAACTCTGCAGATCCTAAGCCAGCCTACATTAAGACATTTGGAAACGAGTAAATTACCAATGGGTAGCAATATCCACGACGTGACATTGAGGTTGCCATTTTCATCATCTAATCAAGTGATTGTATAGAAAGACACGCGTTTCAACCTTTGATTCAATAAAGGCACACACATACACACACACACACACACATCCCAGTTTTAAATTTTTATCCGATTTACGAGACCTTAAAAAGTGTATACCTTAGCAACTACTCTTGATGCGTAAATCTACGAATGAAACAAACATAAATAGCTTCTCTCCAGTTTCTATATGCTCGAAAACTAAAGCCTCACATGAACACCAAGCATATATTCAGAGATCTTCATTGCTAGTAACCTAATTCATACATACAGCTCCAGTTTCATTTGTTTATTTATAACTCTCTGGGGAGGTAACACACACAAGCTAGACACGGTTTTGAGGGCGTAGATTGAATACAGATGGCAAGCCAAATTCGCCATATTGATGTTCCCAAAAATAAAGGGCGTTCAAAAACGAAGAATTATATCCTTTTACCTTTTTTCAATTACAAAATCATGGAATCTCTTCGAGCAGTGATTTCTCGGCTCTTTGCTGATATACAAGATGTACAATCTACCACTGTAAGAGAACCAAGACACAGCGACAGAGAGAGGCAATGATGATTGATAAAGAAATTAGGATTGGCAGCATACAACAGAGAAAACACAAACTTTTTATGGGTGAGTTGATCTTTTTTCTTACCATAGTGACCGCCTCACAAACACCTTGCCTGTAGATTGTTTGATAGAAATCCATCCAAGAGACGTAGACTTTCTCTACTTCATCCAGAGGCATCACATGTGGATGCCAACTACGATAACAGCGTTGTTGCGCTTCAGCACACAAGTCCAAACAGCATCCGTTTAGATTACGAAGCTCTAGCGCAAGATTTTGTGAGAGCATGTCAAATAGGTGGCGGCAGTGTGGTAAGTATGACACTGTTGCGCCTGACAACGGGTAACTCACCACTGGATAGAACGAGCAATTAAAAGTAATCATGTTGAAATATCGAGAACCGCCCATCACCTTTGAAAAAACATCTCGTCTTGTAACATTTTTGCATCACGTCTTGAAAGTGATCCCCATCATACCCACAGCCACCGCAAAGGCTGGATTTCCATTAGGCTCACTTGTGGAAGACATGACATTGACGCTATCAACACAACAACCAGCTATTTGGATCATTACGATACAATTCATGCTGTCTTGTCTTAGAAGTGCACCACAGCAATACATTTACCATTCAGGCGTAACAACACCAGTGATTCTCAGTGTTGTCAAGCACGTCTTGCTGGAAGTAACTCGACTACCGCACAATGACATGTCGACTATACAGGAAAAGTGCTTTGCGGTTGGAAAGGAACTGCTGGATTTGTTCTTGATACGAGATAATGCAGCCACCGAGGAGCTGAAGATCTCCAAAAAGTTTATTGGCATAGGCACCATTTCTTACTATGATGTGATCTATTCGGTAAGTTGTCTCTAAATGCCAGTACAGGACCAAAGTCATTTATATGCAAGTCTGCAGTTTCCTGAATTGTACGGCCATTTCCTTAATGCAGCCATGACACCCAATACCACAGCGCCACAACCATCTATTGCTAACAACAACATTTGGCTCATGACACTCAATTACCTAACAGTCTCTATACTGCAAGATCACCGACTCTTGGACCGCATACCCACGCTGATGGCCATCAACGTGATTAAACATGTATTGCGAGAGATCAACACACTGCCTGCCGACCTCACTACTGTACAAGTCAACTGTCTCAACAAGGGGAAGGAGTTGATCAACTTGCTGCTCTTGGGGGCCAACGGGGATGGAGCAGGCGCTGTGTCTCATTACGATATCATTGTTGCTCTGCCCGATGTGTATGGCCATTTCCAACACGGTACCTTTGCTCAAAGTGTACACTGGGCCATGGAGAAGTTCATCAATGAGTTGGGTAAGAGACGTCGCCATTTAGCCTTTTTGATGATGCCTCCTGATGCATCATGGCCATTGATTTCCTTGATGAGCAGAAGACACGAATACAATGATTTGACGACCAGAACCAGTTACCATATGTTTGAAGGCGATCTCGTACGTGCTTTGTAATTATTGAATGGACAAGGGAGACTCATACGTTTCGATAGATTGAATTTGTCAAGGAGGGCAATTCCACCAATATCGAGACACATTTCCGAGACATGTTGTTCCAACGTGCCTCCATGGACGAGTTTAGACAACTGGCCATGTCCTTGACACAAACCGGCCTTGATACGACGTTGATTCGAAAAGCCATGGTGGCCAAAGTGAGGGATGTCATTCGATGCATACAGCATTTCAGCAGAACTGGCAAGAGAGAAGAAGTCCATGTCAAGAGTGAAAAGGAACTAGAGTCATCGTCAACAGCCACTATTCGAGGAGAAGATATCAAGATGATGATACCAGAGAATATCGATCTATGGGAATTGATGACGGAAACTGCAGATCAGTTGTATAGTTTTGTGTCTGCCGAGTAAGTTGAGTGTGGGTGTGTATGGCGTGAGGGTTGAAGACTTATTGCCTGCTTAGCTTCTTTTCATACGAGGACATACTGAACGACTTTTATGATCTCGTCTATAAACCCAACGGGGAGCCCTACATGCCAAGTGCCAGAGATCACATTACCAAAGACAATGGCCTGACATGGCTCTTATTGCAGTTATTTTGTGAGTGTCACTTGGTATTTTTTTTTTTTTTTAAAAAAAAAAAAAAAAAAAAACTAGAAACTCACCTACTATTCTATTAGACATTGAAAAGGTGTCCAAAGATGTGATTCAAAGAGACTTTGAGCAGGATGAAAAGCTATTTGACAAACTCGTGCGGCTCTACAACGAAGAGCAAACCGAATCCAAAGACGCCTTTACGTTACGCGACCTTTCCTTGCAATGCGCAGTAAATCACCAAAAGGCCCATATCAAAGATGTCAGCAACATCAAGCAACGCCACCCGCTGATTGCTGCTTCATTGCAACACGCTGGACTCTGTTACAAAATCCAAGCTTATTTCAGCAGCTACTATCACAGTAACGTACCCACCAACCATACATTATTTAAAAACTTGGATATTCAAGAAATGACCAAGATCGCCATGGAGAGTCAGTTGCGACAAGATGTGGTTCCATATACCCTTTATGTGTATCTCGTGCCTACCAAAGCAGACATTGATACATTGGGACACGCATCTGCTACCTACATCAAAGGCGGGTCTCTGGATTACAAGCTGCTGGATCTGCTGTGTGTCAATGCTAAGCATCGATTACTGCAAGTGATTTACAAGATGATGTTGGATAGTGAGCAGGGACCACGATACCAATCCTCTGGCGTGCCTCCTGTTGCTTGTGTGCCGCCCAATGTAGTGGACGTTGTGTACAAATTGCTCTACAGTGCACCATGCTCGTAAGACAGGCATAATATTCAGAGTGAGATTCCGTTTGACTCACTTCCATCTTCCATTAGTGCTGAATTGATGATCAAGGAAATCTTTGACAAGCTACGACGATGCGATAAAATGGTCAAAATGAAGCACATTGGCGAAGCGTCCAACAATACGCCACAGCAATTGCCCGATCAAACCATGCGTTGGCTACAAACCATACTGCAGCTCATGAACTATCGATTCATCCGCTTTCTCAAGTACTCTCCACTGTCTACTGGATTGCTACACCAGATCCGCTACTCCATCTCTTTCCTGGAGAACCGGCAATGCTATCACACCTTGGAGTCATTCGCCATCAATGTCATTCACATGCAAATCGATGTCAAACTACTGCGTTCGCTGGATGACCCCCACCGAGAAAAGCCTATTTGGTTTGCAGAGTCAGAAATGCTGGCTCGTTTAGCTGTGTGCACTATCAGTCGACTGATCAAGACGCGAGGACAAGCAGACATCAAGACGGACCAAATCTATAGAGTATTGTCTAGCTTGTACGAGTATCGATTAGAGTGGTCTCCCGAAGCCATCAGCTATTTCCCTGCTGCTGTAAGGTCATTCTACGAGAGTGCTAATACCAGCGCACCACCCAGACAGCCTGTGACACCGCCCAAAGTACAGCACATGCTGTCTACCAACAAGGCCATCACGACCTACCTGTTGCAAGCATCACCTGAAGCAGAGCACTTGGCTGTACAATTCTTTTCCAATGTGGAGAACCAGCCGAGTCTGCTGTGTGCTATCTGGGTCATTGCAATCACTCGAAACTCGGTGGAGTGCTTCCAGATGGCTGCTGTGCGTCGACTGCTTATGCTAATCGCCCCTTCCAGAATGGCCACATGCACTATTGACTTGATGGACTTTATTCTTACCATTGATGCACCCGCCAACACTGAATTCGTAAGTCTGAAAAGCCGATATGTGTAGCAGCATCCAATACTCACATATCCTACTTTTATAGATGTACACCATCTTGGACACTTTTATCTGGAAATACCAATGGATCAACTTTAACCATGTCATTTTTGCACTGATGAAAGGCAGCGGTAGCCCAGATCGCACCATCAAAGCCTGCAAGTACTTGGGCCATGTGCTGTTGGAATCGCCCGAATTCCAGAAACGAGTAGCCAAGTGGGACTCACTCAAGTTTAGTCATCGCCACTGGACCGAAGACAACTTTCAAGCCAAATTGACGCAGTACCTACAGGAATTCCCAGAGTATCACGAATTTGAGAGTTTTGCGCCCAATGTGGACTTGCCTCATCAACAGACCAAATTGCCCGTCTACTTTACCAGCATGGTCAGTGATTTCATCTCGTCCATGGAGAACTTGATCATGCGCTTGATCGATTATGGCCAATCTGATATGCTGATCAACATATTGGACAAGTATGGCCATTTGTTTTATCAATCGCAGACTCCATTGGTATTTGTCGCCAATACCCTGCTGTACTATCACTCGTCAGAGATACTGCGTGATCCTCGAATCCTCAAGAGAATCCTCCGTCTGATTGATTTTGAGCAGTATACCATTTTACCCGAGGCGAAGCAGTACGCGCAAAACGAAGAGGACGATGGCAGTGCATTCAATGCTGAGTATTTTGAACGTGTGATTTACAAATTAGCAGGAAGTAAGTTGAGTGGAGTGTGTGCGAGTGCCATTCTATTCCGTAACTAACCTACAGACCAGACTTGAATCCTCAGCGATGTGCGCCTAGAACAAACCCTCGTCTCCCTGAACGTCATTTCCGTGAAATTGGTAGTCCAGCCGTGGAAGGCATTACGATTGCTACCTTGGAGATCATGTTGACGCCAGTACCGCCGTCCACCATCATTGAAAAGCTGCTGGATTTAGCCTTGCTGAGAGAATCGCACCATGTGGGTGTCTCTGCATTGAGATTACATGCCATTGGTCTCATTGTGCCACTGTTACCGCAAAACGAATTTGTGGACCCTGTATTGAAAGAGCTGAATGATTTGATAGCCAATGATCCTTATTTACTGGAGATTTCAGAGCCATGTCGACTGGTGAGTGACACCATTTGCTAGAAGCGGACGGTGCTTGGGTACTCATCACTTTTTGATAGATCCGTTGCGGCATCCCTAGAAAAGTCAATGGCAGATACACCATGACGCAGACACTGCCAGACCTCACAAGTACAGCAGTGCTCAAAGACAGCATGAGTGCTCGATTGCGAAAAGCAATGATCTACCCATATATTTTCAACGATTACACATTCAATCTGCACAACTACAGCACCAATGCACCCAACAGTTTCCTCTGTTTGTTCCATAGCATTGTTCATTACTCGAGCTTGGATATTTTCTCGGTCTTTTTAGAATACACACAGCGATTACGAAACTCGGGCCAGCTCAAGACAGATGTGCAGTTGCTGTATATGTGCTTTTTGATAGGGCCAGCACTTCATCGTATTGAGAAATTGGATAGCAGTGATGCAGGCGTAAGTGTGTGCGCGTTGTGTTTTATAGCGATGGGGCGCTGATCTGTTTTTATAGTTTCTAATTGAATTAATGCACATGGTCAAGCAAGTAACCACTTCCATGGACATGAAGGATGGCTGGACGACACAAGCATTGGAACAGGTGTACGACTTTTTGTATCATATTCGCACTCGATTCGTGAAATCGAATGAATTGGCCACTCAATTGAGAGACATTATTCGATCCATGAATCCACCCATCTCTCAACGATTATTAAGACTTGTCTTTGAAAAGAAATCAGAATAAAAAATGCCCCTTGTCTCAGGCACTGTTGTAGCATGATTGGATTAGTGTCAAATGCTGGTTTCCGCGTTGTGGCGCGCGCGCGTGTGTGTGTGTGTGTGTGTGTGTGCAATGTCTTTTTTTTTTTTTTTTTTTTTTTTTTTTTTTTTTTTTTTTTTTGATTACTTCTTGTGACTCTAGAGTCTCTCTGTGTCTTTTATACTTTATCGTCTCCATCAACAATGTCTAGAAATAACAAGCGTGCTCGCTTAGAAATGTCCTCGGAAGATGAGTATGAGGAGGAAGCTACTACAAGACCTTCTTCTTCATCGTCTTCTTCTTCACAACGAGCAGTCAAAATACAACCTGATGATGACGGCTCCTATGCAGAGGTAAAATCAGCATTGTCTGACTTGATGGCCATCAGCCCTCTCATCATCACACTCAAATAGGACTTGGAGAGAGTTGTAAAGGCAGTGTGCCGATACGCCTTGTCCTGTGAATACAAAAAGAAGACAATTCGTCGTGATGACTTGAACAAACGTAAGTCGTCGATTTCCTCTCTTTACAATATGCAACTCAGTTGACACAGCCTGCTCAATCCTTAGTCCTAAGTGAGCCTTTAAAGAAATCATTAAACCTGTTATTGAGTCAAGCACAAGCAAAGCTTCGCCATGTGTTTGGACTTGAGCTTGTAGAACTACCCAACTTGAAAGAAAAGTCAAATCAGAGTCAAACACAGAGACACGGCGGTAGTGGCTCTACACAAACAGAACAGACACAGCAGCAAGTGCCTTCTTTTTCTCAAGCCATCGCAAGGCCATCTGGAGGCAGTTCTGGCACCTATGTGCTGCGCTCCATCTTGAAGGAAGAATACCGCACACCTGATATCATTGAACGATCTACCCGAGAGTATCAAATGACCGGCATCTTGTACGTCTTGTTAGCTCTCCTCTTTCTCAATGGACAAAACATGAATACAGAAGATTTGAATGGACACATGGATCGACTGAAGCTGACAAAGACAATACATGGCGTAGAAGGAATCAATACGAGAGAGGAGCTGTTGCAAGAGTTCATCAGGGACGGTTACCTTAGACGATCCAAACTGCCTGATCCCGATACTGACGAGCCTCAATTCACCTACACTTGGGGACCGAGAGCTATGGTGGAAGTAGGACATGCTGGCATCACTGCCTTTATCATCAATGTAATGTATTTTATGAGGGTGTTTTCTATTATGTGACATGAGAGTATTAATTTACAATGCTCTAGTTCTTTGGTGATGATTTAGATGAGGATACCAAGCAAGGCCTTAGCCGCAAAATCTTTAAGCAAGCTGGATATATTCAACAGCGATAGCGATAGTCAGTTGAGAAGCAATGTTTAATCAAGTAATAAAGTAAAACAGCTCAAGACGAACTGTCATGATACGTATTTAACATTGGGTCTATCTTTTTTTTTGGGATACTTGAACCCACTCAATCTAAACCGAAATACGGCCTCAATTCGCTAGCCTCCTGACTCATCTCTTGCTCAGTACGCGGCGTCCTGTCCTCATTGTCTACTCCTTGCTTTTTCTTGTCTAATTCTTCGTATACATCATCGTTATTTTCCCAATCCCCAGCTTTACGTGGAATAATATGCATGTGAACATGAGGAACCTTTGACAGCGTTGGATCAACACCATATCCTCTCATTAGAATAAAGACTTACTGTTTGTCCTGCTTGTGGTCCATCCTGGATTGTCATGGTGAGCGATGTACATCCATAATGCTTTTCAAGGGCATTGCCAATCTTTTGAGCGGATAGCATTAAATCTACAGTTTCATCCCTGTCCAAATCAGCTAATCTTGGTGTGTTTCTTTTAGGCAATACGAGCACATCTATAATGGGCGTTGAGCTATTTGAAAAGCAGTGCTTTTGATGCATTTTACGTACGTCCTCTAAAGTCGAGTGTAAGTCAAGCGAAACATGTCAATCAAATGCTTTATCTACTTACGGTGCGATTGGTTTCAAATTTACAATACCAATGGATAAGTTTGACTTGAAAAAGACTTGAGATTCTAAAATAAGGTGAGGTCCAAAGCGATAGCCTGTCATTTAGTGTTGTGTAAAGAAGATGCTCTTGACGACAATGCGGGGAATTGCATTCGAGATAATCTTGCTGTAATGTGACTCGATAGACATTGATGATTTTGACACAATCAGGGTCATCTCTTTTTTTTTTTTTTTTAAATCTTATTTCATCTTCATTTCCATAAAAATGACTCGATTCAATGGATGCATCGACCTTCACCACGGCAAAGTCAAGCAGATTGTAGGTGGCTCTTTGCTAGACAGCTCTCCTGAACAGCTTACTACCAACTTTGTTTCCGAGTAAGGATCTTTTGGGCAAAAGCAACACAACCCAATCCCATCTCACCACCATGTCATAGAGAGACGCCTAGTTTCTATTCCAAGTTATACAAGGAGAACCAAGTCAGTCGTTGTCATGTCATTAAACTAGGTCCCAATAACGATGAAGCTGCTAAAGAAGCACTTCAAGCTTGGCCTGGTGGACTTCAAGTGGGTGGAGGCATTACATTGGAAAACGCTCAAGAGTGGCTGTCATTCGGAGCGTCCAAGGTAGGTTTTGCTGTGTGAACATACTCGGGATGTATTGCTGATATGATATGAACAGGTGATTGTCACTAGCTACTTATTTCCTAATGCCAAGTTTTCGTTGGAAAGACTAGCTGAACTTGCTAAACTTGTTGGTAAAGACAAGTTGGTTGTTGATGTCAGGTAAAACTGATGGCCAGATCAGAGCAATACGTTCATGCAGACACTGAATTCGTGAATAGCTGTCGTAAGAAGAATGACAAATGGGTAGTTGCCATGGATAAATGGCAAAAGATGACAGACATGGAAGTGAATAAAGGTGTGCTAAAGATGGATATACACGTTATGCTCGGTTGTATTGATTTCATTTGAGCAGATACCCTTGATATGCTTAGTGAATACTGCAGGTAACTACAATTCATTGTTAGCGCTTGATGACACGAGGAGAGTGACACGCGTAATCCAGCGAATTCTTGATCCATGCAGCAGATGTCGAAGGTCTTTGCAAAGGCATTGATGAGCAATTAGTCGAACGTAAGTGCTATCCAATCTACCTACAACAAGCCAGAGAGAAGAAGCTAATCAAATGAGAACATCAGGTCTTGGTGAATGGGTTACTATTCCCACAACGTATGCTGGTGGTGGTAGATGTAATGTGTGCAATCAATATGTGATTCCAATGTGCAAATGAAGTTAATGTATTTGATAGCTATGGAGGATTTGAAACTTGTAGATAAGCTTTCCAATGGTAAAGTAGATTTGACCTTTGGTAGTGCCTTGGATATCTTTGGCGGTAATGGAGTTACCTTTGAAGAGTGCGTTGAATGGAACAAAAACCATGCATAATAGTTGCCCAGTTGCTATTAGATTAATTTTCCGCCTCCCCTCTATTTTTGTTTTCACTATATTTTTTTTTTTTTTTTTTTTTTTTTTCCATTTTATCTTCTCTCACTCTCTATAATAAACAAAAAGCATGAGCTCTACAACCAATACTACTACAAAGAAAAATATTCCTAAAGATGAGTGGGAGCAACGATTAACAAAAGTCAAAGTGAACAAACAGTGAGTACTACAATGTGCGTATATTTCTTTTAGGCCGTCTCACAATGTTTGCAATAGAGACTTGAACCAACTTGTCATGAACTATCTTGTGGTAGAAGGATACAAAGATGCCGCCGAACAGTTCAGCACAGAAAGTGGACTAGCACCAACTGTAGACTTGCAGTCTATTCAAGAAAGAATGGATATTCGCCACGCCATCCAATCGGGCGATGTTGACACTGCTATTGACTTGGTGAATGACTTGAATCCAGAGGTAATACATCATATCTAGATGCTTGCAACGAGGTAGACTTACAAAAAAAAAAAAAAAAAAATTCAGATTCTCGATACAAACCCACATCTTTTCTTCCATCTTCAACAACAACGACTGATTGAACTTATCCGCAATGGTGCATATCAAGAAGCACTGGAATTTGCATCTGAAGAAATGGCGCCTCGAGGAGAAGAACATCCTGAATTCTTGGAGGAGCTCGAACGTACCATGGCATTACTAGCATTTCAAGACAGTACAGATTCACCAGTACAAGATTTACTTCATCCAGGCCAACGTCAAAAGACAGCAAGTGAATTAAATGCAGCTATTCTCATGAGTCAATCACAGGAAAAGGATCCAAAATTACCAAATTTGTTGAAGATGCTGGCTTGGAGTCAAGAGCAGTTGGATGAAAGAATGACATATCCTAAAATTGAGAACTGGGTCAAGGCGGATTTGGTAGTAAGAGATGAAAATGGGAATAGCCTAGACGAAGATGTTGCAATGTCTTGATGCTCAGCACAAATAAACAATTTTTCATTATCTCAACCAAACTTTGGACACATCATTTCTGTCAATAACAGTGTACATGATGGATACTATAGGATACATAGTGGATAGATATTATTCTCGAGCACAACAATGTACAGGGCGTATATGCTAGTGCTTGATCTAGGTGGGGGAGGGGGAGGGGAGGGGGAATCTCTTGAGATGAAGACATTGGTTTAATGATGAATCTCGTTAAATTCCCAAGTGAATATCGTAGTTCAAGTTGGCGATATTGAAATTCTATCCTGGAAGCAAAGATACTTTTCTTATGGTATCAAATCTTATGTCAGTAGAAACCACATGTGGGGCATCATCGATAAACCACGTATAAATCTCCAATCATGGCGCCTACCATACAGCTATAAATCTACAACGCTTGTTTTTTAAAGAAATTTCGAGATGATCTGCTTGAATATTGACAAATATATTGAAATTCAACCAAGCTGTAGGTAGAGATCATGAAGGGGGTTTGTTTCACATGCTCATGTGTCTAGTTTTATTTGAGAGGAACCTTGCTATGCTATGATACCTTACACGACACTTGTCGAAAAGACGTCTCTCGCGCGCAAGAGACACAAAGAGAAACGGGTCCAGCTGCTTCTTTCAGTCAAATAGTATGGCCTGGGGACATTTCTGTTTATGCTTGTTTATCGCTTAAAGTCATATTGAGATAATACGCCAACAGGCATGAGTATGCAAACTGCATATGCATATTACAGAAACTTCTAGTATACCTCATCCAAATATGTATGTATTTCGTTCTAGCATTGGCGGTTTTATATTTGTTTTTTTTTTTCTATTGTGAGCACGCTGTATATGCTATCAGCACTGGTAACATGTGAGCAAAATCTTGATTGCAATATCATGTAAATTCTGTTTGAGAAATGGAACATAAACACAAACAATCGATTTAGTGTAGATAATTTGAGGGGCCTACTTCACATGCTGCTGGCCAGAGCGAGCGAGAGATAGTAGATACAATTCTACGTCGTTTTGCATACACTCTTGCAAATAAGAACTTCTATAAAGCAAGATTCAAACGCAACAACGGATTTTATACTATATCAGTCTATTGATTACTCGATTGTCAATAGCTAAAATGGTATGGATTTACTTTTTAAGCAGGCCTATGTACGACGTGAAGATAGATTTATCTTTACAACACAAGAAAAAGGTGATCATATTTCGTTACATGTACGATTATCTGGTGCACTTGCTTCTTATTACAATATACATTTTTACCCGCTTCAATATTCTCGAAATCATTCAGAAGGTCATTAAGATAAACGATTAAGAAGCTTTTCTTTGCTTTATATCTGCGCGCTTTTGTTCCAGATCATGATGGATTTTTCTGGCCCCTTGATTTTTCATATTACTGATTCAAAATGTCATTCTCACAGAAAACTGAATTCAGAAGCTTTTTTCTTGAAGAGGAAAGAGGAAGGGGGCACTGACCAGCGGCAGCGGCAGAGAGCATGATCAAGCAACATCTTACCACGACGACAGCGATGGTAAGTTGAATAACCGCTACTATTCGATCAATTGCATTTTTCGATCACTGAGAAGACTTCATGTGTCTAGTGTGTTGTACAAATAGAAATAGAAACGGTTGGACACTCTGTTTAACTACTGTTTAAAGCAATAAAAAGTTTCTTTCAAGGAGCTACAAGAGATTATCTAAATCAGGGAATTTCGATTTATTGTTTATTTTACATGTTGATTTCTTTGTGTGTGTGTGTGTGTGTGTGTGTGTCTATAAAAGAGGAACATTTCGCCATGTCTAGTCTCGTTTCTTCTCTTTCTCTTTCTTTTTTCTCAATCTCTTTCACTCATTCAATCTTGCTTTTCTTTCTTGCCAAAATGACGCCATGCATTTGGAGCTTATTATCAGTGAAGGGATTGGAGTTTATCAATGCCTCAGGATTTAGCCATCATTTGAAGGGATTGTCCTTGTTTCAGCTTATACATCCTGATGAAGTGCTGATGGCGAAAAGAGATCTACCCAGATTTACACATTCACACTTCCTGAGTGGCTCAGTGACGAGGTGAGGAACTTGATGTTGAGTATCACAGCTAGAAAGACATGCTAAAGTCATGGTATTACCGGATAGATGTCGATTAAAAGATTATACTAGCGTAAGGAAATTGCATCGATAACAGTGAGCATCAATGGCTAACGCATACCATAGCATGATTTTTCACCGAAATCAAATGCATACATCATCGTGGACATTATCATGTATGTCGCCACAGGTGATACCGTATTAGCCTTCCTTCACTACGCAGGTGAGTTGATTGTTTGTTCGACAAGAAAGATAAAAAGTCGATTAACGTCTGATTCAAGATGAAGAAACATCTAACAACATGTTCAAAAACTCATGCGGAGACCATAATAACCAACACAACATGAACAGTAGTAATATATTCTGCGCCTTAACTTTAAAAGAAAGTTTGATTGAGCAAGAAGACAAGCAGCATTCGCCATCACTGTCGACAAGCTCATCTCTATCTTCCATTGAATCATCACAACAGCACCAACATGAATGCGATTCGCCGCGTCAATTTCTATACATTTTAGATAGCCAAACCAAATCAGTACTACTGTCATGGCCAGATCACTATCACGACGAGATAGGTGATGCAGACTACTTGATCTCTTCATTAGATGACCGCCCCATGTTACCAGGAATCTCATGCTTTCGTTGTGTTCAACGGCCTTCTCGAACCAGTGCAAGCGGACAAAGACTTGACAGCTTGATTGTTGAATATGGATCCGTTACGTTTCTGCTAGCGTCTCTGGAAAAAAAGAACAAGCAGCAGCACCTCAATATACCACCACCACCACCACTACCACTACCAGCACAGCTATCCATCCCTACAAAACCAGTATCATTACCCTGTTCGCCCAACAAATATAACCAACTGGATGAGTACCCTCTACGTCGCACATCTGAGCCTTACACAACAAGCAATCATAGCAGCCCGAGTCATATACATTATGCTAAACCAAGAAAATATCAGCCTTACCCTACCATTCCGTTGGAAAATCTATTATTGCCCAACAATAGTGACAAACAACAACAATATTTGAGTAGCCATCATCCCAAGCATCACTGTCAAAGCTGTGGAACTGAATCCAGTCCTGAATGGAGACGTGGTCCAACGGGTCATAAAACGTAAGTTCCAGATCAAGGTATTCATCACACTATTTTTACTAATAGAAATCTACAGACTCTGTAACGCATGTGGATTGAGATATTCTCGATCAGTTGCACGACAAGGAAAGATGGCTGCAAATCAACAAAAACATCATCAACTTCAACAATACCAACAACAGCATTCCTTGTTTCAAATGCCGAATACGCCACAACATCAATCTTGTTCATCCATAACCACATCAACATCATTATCATATTTTTAAAACGAGTAAATATTTGTATTACTATCCTTTCAAAAAAAAAATTGCCGTTATGTATATATGCCTTATGCTACCTTGTTTATTCCCATTTTGAAAAAAAGAAAAAAATAAAGTCAATAAAGCAAAAAAAAAAAAAAAAATGGCCTGTTTATTCGTGTAATAGCATACATCGGAAGTGTCGTTTCCGTGCTTAGTTCATTTGTCACTGATTAAAAAACTTGCATTGACACATTCTTTGTTAAACTCACCAAGCAAGTTTCTTGGTTCTATTTTGTTGTAATCATTTCAAAAAGAATATACGAGTTACACTAATTAAAGGGACCCCATGTTGAGTATATATTTGTTTATATATAAAAAACGAGGAGGAGAGGTGCAAAAGAAAAAGAATGGGAGAATGGCATTCTTACATAAAGACATCTCAAACATACAAATCATTACACAATCATATTCAGTAGCTATGTTTTGCTTTTAGGCTTGATAGCTCTCTTTGAGCCTTTGCCATTTAAAGATAAATAGACGTTAAGAACAAGTATCCTATTTACAAGATGAGTGTGCTTTACATGATGTTGTACAGGGGATATCAATCATAAAGCTTATTTACAATGTTTGTTGGCAATATGGACATGTACTCGTACACAAGAAATGTAATTATTACAAAAGAAATAAATGTTTACAGCTTGGCACATGGCAAGGAAGAGATGCCATTACACAATCAACGGCATGCTTCCAAAACTTGGCAAATACCTCGGTCTAAACGGCGAGCATCAGACAAGTTGTATTGATATTTTAGTTTCTACATTATGGTTAGATTCATACATGAGCGATACCTACAAGAGAATAACCTGCACAATCCGTCATGTAACATTTCAAAATTATTTATAGTAAGAGGGGAAGATCGACGGGGCTTCTTTAGTACAACAGACGGAGTGCATGCCTTTTCATTTAAGGTTTTTTTCTTCTGATATCTATTTATGATTTCTTCTGTATCACATCAGGGCGACAACAGGAACTTAGTACAAGTATTTGCCTATTACGTAAAAAGAAAGGTCTCCAATGCAGTATTATACACAGATTGCCTCGGCTCGATGCCAACGGGAATATGCTCATGAGAATTCAGAGACACCAGCTAATAATCAGATGCTGGGAAGAAGAGTGAGAAAAGCATTTAGCTAGTTTCAAGATTCAGATCATCAAAATTGTCTGTGCGTTTCTTCTCATTTTCCACTTGTCTCATTTGAGCGACTCTGAGATTCCAAAAATTCGGTTCCTGGACTCCATCAATGAGCTATACCGTCGACTACATATGTACATCATTCACAAAAGCCATCTGACATGACATGACATGAGACATCAATCTTTACTGTAGTAAAAACATGAGTGATTTCACCGAATTTCTAATTCTGACCATGATGTGGAAGCATGGTTGAGTTATTATCATCTAAATCTCAGAAGCTTATAAACTGGTGAAACATGAGTATTATAATAAACAGTGCGTCAATCGTGCTCAGAATCGAAGGCTTCTAGCTGGTGTGAAATCGTAAATGGCCTCAGCAACATGTCAGTTTAGTCAAATAAACTGCTAAGCTGGAATAAGCTTTGATAAGAAGCATGTGTGTGTGTGTGTGTGTGTGTGTGTGTCATTGTGGGTATAGTATCACAGCTAGTCAACTCGCACCGAGTATTTGGGAATAGTTTGAGAAAAAACGTGCCACTGAGAAATCTGTATCAACTTTTCACGTTTATGGTTGCCATCTATAAATCTGCTTAATTGTGATAGTGTCTCATTTGTGTTTATTGCAAAAGCCCTCTAAAAAAAAAAACTTTCATTTTGTAGAAATGTTTTCCTAGTAAATAAATCATGTATGCTAGCCTCTTATCATCCTTGCAAACGTGTTGCGCATTTGCTTTAGCCAAGGCAAATAAGTCAGAGTGCCAGCATTCAAGTTGATAGCTACATCCAAACAGCTTATGAGAATTACCGCCATGATTTGCTTGGAAATTGCACAAGATTGATTATCATGACATAATGATGTAAGCTTGGGGGGTGGGTTTCTAGCTAATTGACCTACTACTACAATCGATACACAAGCTAATTTTGCCAGCCACCGCCGAAAATATTTCAATCTCCGCCAATTTTTGCTGCTCAAAATTGGACAGATTTTATTCTTTTTCGACTTGATTCTATTATTTTGCATGATTCGACTATATAAACTGTAATGGTCATCCCATACTTCCTTAATCCTGTCCCTGGTGGTAGGGCGAAGTGGTAGAAACTCCCGTATGCCAACGGGAGGATTCCGGTTCAAATCCTGGTGAACGCAAGTTGTTTGATTTTTTGACGTAGTACTGATGTCCACGTTTGGTGTTTTGTACTCTATCCATTATCTATATTTTGACGATTTCCGCAAGACTGTACTGGCTCTAGGTGTCGCACCTTATTAGTAGTAGATTTCTTTCCCAACTTAGTTCAAAAAATATCTTATTCCCCCTTCATTGCAGACATTGGGTCCACCAACAGTCTTTTTTATCCCTCAGCATGACATTTAAAGGACTTTAAATAAAACCTGGAGCTCGTCTCCCCTACAAAAATAAAATACTCCCTTAATCCGTTCTGGAGTACTTTTCAAGACGCTTCCAATGGTACCAAAAAAGTTGGATGTTTTGAATGAACTTATCGGGTAATTTCAGATAATATGAAATGAGGTTTCTAGCCAAAATGTCGAGGTTTTACATATCAAGGTGTCACAAACAAGTGTTCAAGGGTTGCTTTGGATTGAGAGGAACATTTTGATTTAATACATACCTTAGTAAAAGTCTTGATTTTCAAGGTGAAAAAAAAAAACGACCGTTTGATTTTCAAAGAAAACCATGAGGCACACCCCTCGTGGTTTTTTTGTCGATTTTTGGTGATCCAAAAAAAAAAAAAAAAAGTTGAGCAAAGATGTCAGAAAGGTAGTTCTACTCAAGCACGAATGTTTGGCGTCATTCTGGCGGCCCAAAACGGTTTCTAACGCGAGAAATCATTAATCAAATGTACCCAAGTTTCACTGTGTATTGCTCACTTTTGAGTAGTTGGAGGTATTGGGAATAGGCTGCCCGCTTGTGTACGGATTGTTTTTATTGATACAGACACAGAGCATTGTAAAAGAGCTGGATCGATGCTTACAGATTGCATATAAAGTTCTTTTTATTGATAATACAAACTGAGGAGCTTCAGTGCATATTGGTGGGATCACTCATATAAGGTAAATCCAGTATGGATAGTGTGGTTCTTACCAGCCTTCTTGGCAATAGATAGATAATGCAACGTTCATACACACAAGACAGAGTTGGATATCGCCACATCCGTCGTATTTAAGGTTATTTCTGTACAAATATACCATGCCCAAGTAATTAAACAGCGTCATGCTTTATTCAATCGATCAAAAGGAAAGGATGGGGGATATATAAATACTAAACAGCAACGACAAATTGTAACAAGATGCATTTTGAAATAAATAATGGAGCTTATGTGGATATATGAGTGTTTTGACTTTTTGGTGCTGTCTTTTTTCTAGTGAGTTTACTGGCATTTCTTGGTATCGAGGAAGTTGCTTTTTTACTGGTATGGTTGTTGGATTCAAAAGTGTTGTTTCTGATGAGTGGTGATGGTGCCTTGATATCTGCATTTGAATTGGTCCTTTCCTCTGCCACAATGCCGTTGTTTGTCGTACCTAATAGGATTTGGTTCCTGAATTTTTAATAATTTACCCTTGGGAGCAAATTAATCCCGTTTTTTTTTTACCTTGATTAGAGACAGTTTCGGTTGGTTTTCCAGAGCCTTCTCCCTCTTCATTACCATCATCGTCTCCCTCCTCATCCTCGTCCTCAGCGTCGTCGTCCATGGCATTATAATTCGACAAGACCCTTCCCAAGATTTTGTACTCGAAATCAATTGATTTCTGCCCCTGCTCAATCATATGCTCTGTCACTCTACGCAGCTTTTGAAACAAGACATCGTTTTCCCAATCATCTTCATCGTCTTCCTGATCCGTCTGATCGATCCCGAAAAAAAAAATGGCCCGTCAACATATACTCGATTCATGCATAGAAACAAAAACTAAACCATACCTGATCCGTCGCCTCCTCATGATGATGATGAGAATCCAGTAAAAAATCAATATGAGCTATTCCACCATCACCTGATGATTGTTGCTTTTTAATTTGGCTTAATTGCAACGCTTGTTTTCTGACGGTTGCCTCGAGCATAGCATTGACCGTCAATAAAGAGTTGATGGATAGTTCCAAATCTGCAATCTGTAAGAGAAAATGGGGTTAGGTTCTGTTTGAAAAAATGCGGGGGGGGGGGGGTCGTTGCGTGCCAATAGAGGGGTACATGATAGCTTCAGTCTAATACATTACCTTTCTATTAACTCGTGCCTCGTTTATGATGGGCTCTTCTTCTTCATCCTCGTCCTCGTCCTCCTCTCCTTCATCTCCATCGTCATTGTACTCTTCGTCATCTCCCATTTCAATGATTTCATCGTTTTCTGCTTTTTGATCCTCAAGAACAAGATCATCTGCTAATGCATTCCGATCTTGATCCAGATATTTACTAATAGCTAAATTCAATTCTTCTGGTTTCTGATGATTGTCTATGGTGAGTGGGGATGATGTCGATTTGTTTGCAATGTCGGAGGGAGAGGTTTGGATTGCTGCCGTAGCAGGCGAAGCTGCTGCCACAGGCGTGTTTATCACGCCTATTACCGAGCGATGGTATTGCTGTGGTTGCTGTGCTTGTTGTTGTCCTTGCTGTGGTCTAATATAGGATGGTGATATAGGTCTATTGTAATACATGTTATTGCTGCTAGTGTGTATCTTGGATTCATTCGGTAATGTCAAAGAAGGTGCAGTAAAAGACTTGGTCATTTTCTGCTGTTGAGAAGGTGGTTTGTATAATTCTATGGTCGGTCTTTTACTATTGTTGTTGATGGTATTATTATCGTACGATGGTTTTCTTGAGGGAGGATGGTATAGATTCAAGATGGGCTTCTCCATGGATGACTTCACTATAGATGTACCCGCCACTCTTGGTTTACGAGCACTGTTTGTGGATGTAGCAGATAGTAGAGAGCCTGTGCGTCTTGAATTTGTGCTTGTTGTGCTTCCACTGCTACTATGACTAAGACTGTTGTATAGAATGTGGTTGTTGTTGTTGCCACTAGTTGGCCGAATGATATTAACAGCTTTTGGCTGACTTGTCTCTTTTGTCATTGATTTTATATGAATGTGTATAATGAAAAAGAAAGAGAGAGAGAGAGAGAGAGTAAAAGTGCAAGTAAAACAAATAAAAACTCCACCCAAAACAAACGAGATCAACTCCTCGTTGTTGCTTCCCCTTGCACCACCTCACATTATATTCATCTTTATTATTAGCGTTTAGACATTTTTGTACAGTTTTTCTACAGCTAAATCGATCCACACTTGAAGTAAGCGCACAGCAAAAGCCTTGTATGAATGAGGACTGATCTATTGATTTCGACATGATGAGCATACTATCCTGGATCTACTCGCCTCGATACACACGTACCTTTACATATCCATTTTTACGTACAGTTGCAATTGAGCTTGTCACTCGGTTCAGTGTCAATGTGTCCAGCCTGACATGTGTCGTCTTCTCAACATGCTTTTCAAAAGCACGCATAAATTGTTTACGGTTGGGTATACGATTGCAAATAGCAAGAGCTTGTGTCCGTGAAATACGCAATTTAACATTCGACATGTCTTCATCTCCTGTCTGATATTCCAATACCAAGGGTGGTCTCAACATCTGCTCAGGCACATGTATGTGGGCTTTTAGGTTCTCCTCTATATCCAATATCGAGTCGATCCAAACATGCACTGCATCTACCATGGTCGCTGGATACATAAACAAAGGTGTACATGCTGCTACATATCTTTTTTCAAACCAGGTGATGATTTCCTGTCGTAGACGTTGTGGTGCTTTGATCAGCAACAATGGATAATACACTAATACGCCTGGACGCTTCTCGTTTTTGGGAACCTGAGGTGATGGCAGCATGTAGAATGAGTACTGAGATAGTTTATCGTCACCGTATTGCAGAATCTCAAAGGTAAATCGTAGTGGCTTGACTTCTGGATCGTAGGATTTGATATCTTGCAGATGAATGATGTCAATATCCAATTTACGTAAATCACCATCAAAATCATCTTTGGACTTGTTCCTTTTTGTGCTTCTTCGTGTCTTTCGTCCATCGTGCAGCTTTAAATTGTGGCATAGTTGTAAAGCAAACGTCTTTTCTTTGGCTGCCATGCTTGATTTGTGAAATTCAAAGATGGGGCCAAGCTTATACAAAGTGAAGGTTTGATTGGCAATATCAGCTACATAGAGATTAGTCTGTATAATGCGTTCTTTTGTCAGGTTGAACTGCAATTACCAATCTCATCTATCTCCATAGGACCTGCCTCCATGATGTGTATTGTTTTTTTTTTTAAAGAAATATTTGTTGTGTTCCAAACGCGGGTAAAGGAACCACAAACAACGTGGAGTTTTGTATTTGAAGTTGAAGGTCCCCAATGTCACACATTTCATATTTGGTAATTGAAATGTCTCGACAATCAAGAGTACATCATTGATGCTTTTAGCTCTCAACACTCAAACTGTCCTGTTGATAAGCTTGAACTGGTACTCAACTCTCACAGAGACACCATCCACACTAAAGAATGCTGCAATACTCGCGATCTACGCTTTTTGTAATCAACTCGTGCACTTGAAAATCACTTTTCGGATATGATAGACCACCTAGTAATTTGAATTACTGAGCTATGGGCCACCTAATATTTGGGTACAGTTTTTACCAAGAGACAGACCATCTATTGCATCTAAAATTTCCAGCGTGTCTTACAGCCGCATCGCTTTGCTATTCAGCTGTATCATAATGCTATGATACAGCGATACAACAATGCCACTGAGCCTGATTATTCCGGCTGAATATTGGATGTAACAGCATGCTCTGAAACTAGATTAATAAATACAAATACTTTGCGTCTTTGTATCATAAAAAAATGAGCTTAATGACAAGCAAATATACACAAGACAGCCAAGTCTGACAGCTTACAAGTCTAAATACCTAGACATTTAGGCCTTTCTGAGTCGCCAGAATGACGCCAAACATTTGTGCTTGAGTAGCACTACCTTTCTGACATCTTTGCTCAACTTTTTTTTTTTTTTTTTTTTTGGATCACCAAAAATCGACAAAAAAACCACGAGGGGTGTGCCTCATGGTTTTCTTTGAAAATCAAACGGTCGTTATTTTTTCACCTTGAAAATCAAGACTTTTACTAAGGTATGTATTAAATCAAAATGTTCCTCTCAATCCAAAGCAACCCTTGAACACTTGTTTGTGACACCTTGATATGTAAAACCTCGACATTTTGGCTAGAAACCTCATTTCATATTATCTGAAAATACCCGATAAGTTCATTCAAAACATCCAACTTTTTTGGTACCATTGGAAACGTCTTGAAAAGTACTCCAGAACGGATTAAGGAAGTATGGGATGACCATTACAGTTTATATAATCGAATCATGCAAAATAATAGAATCAAGTCGAAAAAGAATAAAATCTGTCCAATTTTGAGCAGAAAAAATGGTCTGAGTTTAAATAGAGTGTGGCGCTGCTGCTGGCTGACCCAAATGTTATTCTGTTGATGAAAATGATGATGATTGGGATGCTGATTAAACAATGGAGATCATGGACTTGAAAGGACTATCACTTTACTTTTGTTGGGCATTTTTATATCTGCCAATGCCAGTCAGCCTGGCTCACCACCAATATATACTGTATGTAATGGCAACTTCCTAATCATGGTTTGCAGCAGATCACCATGGCATGTAGGCAGTAGCATATGCGTTTCATTGATTCGTTTAAAAAGACTAATGCCACTGGCAGAAGAGTTATTTCGGTACACGATAAAGATATCTTTAAAGCTTGTATCAAAATATTCTTTGGCTGCAGTCTCATTGAAAGCGGGCAGATTCCGAGTGCACCCATCCTGACTAGCATTCAACCCAAGTCTCATTTGAGAGGTTGAGCTAAATGTGAGCATTCTCATTAATATGATGTCAGGCTTGTTATTCTTTTTCTTTACTCAGGATCTCATGGGCATGCTTGTAAATGCGAACAAAGGCTTTTGAGTCTCGTGCCGTGCTTAATGTATTGACTTTCATATGCCTCTGACGATGTTTTTCATAGGTTTTGAGTATATTATACTAGCCGATCAATTTCGCTACCCTCAATGGTGTCGTCGTCCTGCAGGCTCTCGCCGAAGACATTTCAAGTCAGAGATAATAAAAATCTGGCATATCAAGTAGATTTTAAACAACCAATTAATAGTAAAAAAAAAGGGTTATATCAGAGTTAGGAGAGCGAGTTATCCATTCGCTGATGTTGCTCTCGAGATGGCAGCATAAAGCTGGTCATAAGTAAATACAGGACTTGCATAAGATCTACAACGATTTTTTTGAGGTATTGTCATTGCAAAAGACATCTCCATGAGACAAAGCCTCCCAAAAGAGTATTTGTGCTAAGCAGTTGTCATTTCAACTTCATGATTCCCATTTAATCAGCATCGCAATTATCATTGCCATCAACAGAAAGGCATTTTGCCAAAAACTCCGTTTATTTTTTTTTTCGTTCAAGATTGGACAGATTCTGTTGTTTTTTCGACTTCTTTAATATATGTTGTAGTATTCGACTGACTAAATTGTGATAATCATCTTATGCTTCCTAATACATTCTTGAAATACTTTTCAAGGCGCTTCCAATGATGCCAAGTAAAATAGATGTTTTGAATAAACTTGTCGAACAATTTAATAAAATTTGAAATGAGGTTTTTAGTGAAAATAGCCATATTTTGCATATCAAGGTCCCACAAAGATGGTTTCTGGGGCTACGTTGGATCGATACAATCATTTTGACTTAATATATACCATAGTAGAAGTTTTCATTTTTCAAGATAAAAAATGCGATCGTTTGATTTTCGATGAAAACCATGAGGGGGGTACCTCATGCTTTTTGGTCGATTTTTGGCCATGTTTTTTGGGTCTTCAGAAGCTTAAGTAATTGTGTCAAAAAGTTGCTGCTACTCGAATACAATTGTTTAGGGCCATTCCGGCGACTCAGAATGGTCTACATGTTGAGATATGGAGGCTTGAAAGCTGTCAAATTTGGTTATGTTTTTGCTTTATAGCTTTTATATACACGGCATAAATCACATCTTTGGTAGCTGTAGCTTACTGGAAGGGCAGTTCCGCAACCTATGCAATTTCTAGTTCGGATAGAAGGAATATTGATTTTGGCAAGGCTAATTCATGCAAATTTTGATGCGCTATGTTGTTGGTAATAAGCTTATTAACAATGGAAATGAAAACCCGAATTTGCTACTTGAATACTATGGTTTTGCACCTTCGCTTTGCTACGGTAAAGCACTCATCAAGATTAATATTACCAAATGTTGGGTTAGACGCTTACTTGCCATGGATTTGCACCTTCACTACGCTACGGTAAAACCGCCTCATAGGTCAATGTTACCAGATGTTGAATTAGTTGCGTTATGCTCTTGGTGGATGGTCTTAGCACCTCTTCCAAATCTCCCTCCCCAGTGCCGGCTTCGCCAGTGGTTTATTCACCTTGTACGGCACTCAATTCTTTAGTTTGTCTACATTTTTGAATGTTTTACAGGATATATATTAGATGACGATAAATGAGCAATTTTGATAAATAGCTGCCTAATATTTTGCTCAAGTGCCATAAGTATGGAGTTAGTAGGCTGCCAATAAGAATCTTTTAAGGTGGTCTGTATTAAGCTTGACTTTTATTTGCAAACACAAACGCTTGCCATGAAAACAGGCTTTAAAGTTAGGCTTCTTCATTCTGTATGTACCAGTACTTGAAATCTCTGAGTTTCCCAAATAATAACAACGTGCATGATGCAAGCGATGGTATTTGGTGTTCAAAACGAAGCATTGATACTGAATTATCTGTATGCCAAAAAGCTGGTATTTGCTGTAGATTGATTCCAAAGTGCTAGAGGTTTATATAGGCATTTCACTGTATTTTATACAATGTAATATAGAGCACAGATGTACATAGCCTTTAGACGTGCACTATAAACCGTGTATCCTATCACAGAAATGTGAAGTGCTCTTCCGATTCATATATTAAGCATGCTTTACAGTCTCTTTTCGAACTTGTGCGTAATATTGAGAATTACTGAACTAAAAGTACAAAGGTTTATTGATGATTTAAAAACAGACATGAAGATTCAAAGACTTGCATTCTAAGATTTCATCATTGGAGGTATAGCAGCTGTTAAAGGTGGAAACCTAATCTTTCTGATAGCTTTTGCACTACGAACGACAACATGGGTATCCAACTTGGTAGCCTCTTTACGAGCATCGTTAGCCTAATGAAGAGAGATCATGAGTTCACCGACATGTAAGCACCTCATGTACCTCATACCTGGAACATGGCAACCACAAATTCAGAGATTGGTTTATCCACCCATCTGCTCGGTCTATAGGAATGTTCAAACCAACCTAAATGGCCGCCGTATTTTGTAGCAGCCAAGACAATATAAGGATTCACCTTGATTTCATCCACTGGAATGCATTGAGCCAATGCGATGGGATCATCCAAGGCATTGATACAGAGCAATGGAATACGAACATGTTCAATGACACGTGCACAGCTACCATCGCGATAGTAGTTATTGACTGTAGTGTAATTAGACATCTTCTTTGTACAGGCATCGTCGTATTCTCGGATTGTTTTGGCAGCCAATACCTCGTCAATGTCGATATCCTTACGTGTCAGCATAATGTCTTTGTTTCTATGTGATTGTCAATCTTAAGGTCACACTATCTGATAAGAGCCTGCCTATTTACCTCAAAAAGATGTTTTTCAGATTGTTGGCCATGCGGTGAGAATAGACATTGCGAGTGAAATAACCTTGATCCAGCACTTTTCCGGAACTATAAATGGAAAAAGAAGGATGAGATTGATTGTGTGCGACATTAAAAAATAACATGGCAATTTCCTGATCTCTCCCAAATACATACCTCAGTAAATCATAGGGGTTCGCGACAGAGACAGCAGCCAGCAAGGGTGTCTTTTCCTTTTCCTCGCCAAGATACTGCCATGAGAATGTTGGTTTGACTTTTTTTTTCTCCAGACAAAAGTATATGAAACATGTGAAACTTACCTTGACAAGAATATTGGAGCCCAAAGAGAATCCGATGCCAATTAAGGGCGTCTTTTCACCCACTTGCTTCTGAATATGGCGGAGAGCTTCTCTGATATCATCTGTGATGGAGGCATTGAATAGTTGAGGCGTATTGACGTTGGTGAATCCACATCCTCGAGCATTGTAGACGACTGCTCTGTAATTGATGGGTGGTCTGGCAAGCTGTTTCCATGTTAATTAAGAATGTATAAATAGATGCGAGATCACTTACGATTTGGAGTAACCCACGAATGTAATTTTCATGGCTACCACCAGTGAGGCCATGCAAGATAACGAGTGTGGGTGTATCCTCTGGTAGAGGCGTCAATGGAACAGCCCAATCCAGCGAGGCAACACCACCATTGGCAAACTCCAATATCTGTCTATAAAGCCAGTCAATATGCAGGTACATCTCTCTAGCACCAACCACTCACCTCTGATAGGTAATATCATTTCTGGTCGTCTTGTCATCATACAAGGACGCATAAATAGTTTGTAAATGTTTCGATCTCAAGTAAGGAGTTGGGGTATAATGAGCCCTGGGTCCAAACAGTGAAGGACATGTTTGTGCTAAATAATCATGGAAAGGCACATTGGTATCATTGGCATATTTTATGTGGATAGGCACAGTTTCTGGATGATGGACGATTCGGATGTTTTTGATATTGTGGGTTTCTTTGGTATAGCTGTTATTGCTTTTGATGCTGTTTGTCATCTGCTATGCGTGTTTGTGATATGAATGAATGGAGAAGTATAGATGATAAAGAAAGGAAGAAAGAGAGAGAGAGAGAGAAAAAGAACAAAGGGAAACCATGGAATAAAAGAGGGGGTTGCCTATTTATAATGCTTGTTCATCAAGATTAGCTTTTGTCGGTCGTTCTCTCCGATTGTACATTGAAAGGGAAAAAAAAACAGGGTCGTCGAACTCTAAAAACAAGCCTGGTTTACCTTATGTAACTTGTGTGATTTCAAATGCATTCGGTTGCCATAGCATGAACTGTATGTCAACGCAACCATAATAGTGCTTCTCAAGTGATAGAAGTGATCTGATTAACGCATGTCTTGCTCATCCGGGAAGGGAATTGCATCCCAAAATAAGTAATTGGGGTTGCCTTTTCGAGTGAGTGGTGAGATACTTTGACAGTAGAGGCTCATTACAGCTACATATCAACGTTGCGATCGAGAATAGCTACATTTACCTTGGCAACAATCTATTAAGACAGAATCTCTCATAAACGAGTCTAAATCGCAATACATTCATCCACTCAAGTCGTTGATTCAGATATCAACAAAAGATGCGTGTAGAGGCATTTCTCATCATTTTAATGAAGCATTTATCTATGCGAAAGTGCGAGCTTGGGGCTAATCAAAGCCAAGGGTACCTTTATATACATGGTATGGATCTCTGTTTCATCAAAGGCTTGCTTTTGACGGACACAAGCAAATCATGGAGCGAACAAGACATCCTTAGCATGGTAGGACCAGCGTACAGCCACTACAGGTCATCCGAATGCGATTAGGAAAGGCACCTCGAAAAACATAAACTATGCAAGCGCATTTGTTATGCCATAAGAATGCAAACCGCTGGCCCACTGCTTCAAATAGCCTATGGTGAGGTTGCCTGCAAATGCTACCATCCTATGCAGATGCACTTTGCTGCCACCTTCGCCATTCCAAATCCAAAAAGCTAGTTCCTGACATGATGTTTTGCATTGGAGAAACAAGCGTTATCGCATGATTATGGTCTACATCACAAGTCATCATTTATGCAAATTGGCTTGTATAAGCAATCGCTAATAGATCTATATAAAGAGTGCACTAAATTACAAGGCATTTTGCTCTTCTTCTTTTTTGTAATATCAGGAATCCTTGGTGAATGTAATCATGTATCAAAGACATTTGTATACAAGTGATAACCCCTGATATTTTGAAAAATACTAGATTTGGCGAGGCTAATTGTATACGAGTGAGTTGCTTGAATAGTAATATGGTATACTGTGATTAATTTTTATTGAAACAGATATTATAGAATCTAGAATGGTTGTTGCGAATATGTGTTTTGGCGCTGTGGATTGTAAGGCCCTTGTTGGTCGTAGGGTTCAGGGAATGTAGGCTGTTGATGATGATGCACAGGCTGAGGTTGAGCTGAAGTGTAGCTCGATTGAGGATACACATTTTGCTGGTATGCATTTGCATCTGGCATTTGCAGTGGCGTCTGATAGCTATTTGTGGAATCGCCTGAATGATTTGCGTGATATTGAGACATAGCCGGTTGATAGGCACCAGCAGTTGTAGTGGTCGACGTACCGAGATTTTCCATCTTGTACTCAGAGTGATCGTTGTGAATAGTAACATTGTTCTGGCTGTTATCGAGCAAATGATCTGTTGGATTGCTGCTGTTGTTGGGATTGCTGTTGGTGCCATTCAATGCCTCTAAGTTCTTTTTCTTCTTGAGTTCTTTGCGCTTCTTGATCAATTTGAATGAATCAGCACCACAGCATGCCACCAAATAAAAGAATTCAGGAATATAAGAAATGTAGCCATCGTAAAAAGCATGCCAGTAGCCCATCTTCTTGACTTGGCCGTTTTTGGCAGCATTTTGAATGTTGTCTTTGGGACCAAAGAAACGGAGCATCATGAAACAATCTACAAACATGACGACACAGATGATAATCACATAGAGGCCGTTTTTGACTGCATCTGCAGGCCAGGCAATGCTACCATGAGAACCGTCTGTGCCTTGAATCACACCAGCCGTAGTGAGAATAGTCAACAGCATTTCACCCACATAAAAGATAAACATGATGGGACCTTTGACACACCAAAACATGCCATGAGCAGGCACATTACCTCGTTTCCATTCACGATGATAGACGTCCAAATAAGTGAACAATGCAGTCAAAATGATGGAAAGGGAGATAAAGTTGATGATGGTCAAATAGACGTAGGCACCTTTGAAACTATAGACGCCTTCACAATAACGACCTTTTAATTGGGCAAATATAGACATGAATGAATCAATGAGAGACCTATTAAAATATACATAAAAGGAGGATTTATAATTAGTCTCTCTCTTGTTCAACATTACACAGTGCAACAACCTACCATACTGGATATTGGAAAACAAGGATATCGGTGATGGTTCGATAGTGCATGCCCCACATGGATTTACTATTTGGTCTATGCTTAGTTTACTCTTTCAAGAAGCGTGCTGAAACTACATACAGATGAAGGTTCTTGACAAACATGATCTTGGTGTCCTTTTCTTCTTTCAAGCCAGCCGCTTCTTGTCTGAATGGCTCGAGATAAGCCTGCAGCGATGTGTAAAGGTTGAAGACTGCAAACGCTTCAAACATGGTAGCAAAGAACATGATGGTCGTTGCATAATCGTATCTCAAGTAAGAGAACCATGCTAATGTAGCATACACGGGCGGAAATAGCAACACTCGTAGCTTATGCCTTTGTATCTGCGGCTCGCTATGGTTGATGCTTGTTAGACAACACGGTCTGATGTTGCAAGAGTGCAAAAACTCACTAGTAATTTCTTAAATGCTTTGTCACTGTAACAATAGAGACAATCCATGTAATTGCTAGCAGTAAGAGACAAACCACCCAGCCGATAACATGCCAGTTTGCTGTTGGATTTGCCTTTACCGAAGACCAATCGAGTCCTGGGTCACTGTAGAGTGTAATAACGAGTTAGTTGATTGTGATGTGGTTTAAAGAGCTGATTTAGCCTACAATCCTCCTTCTGAAGACAATCCAGGTGTTGTCGGACATGTTGCATCAGTAGCTGGAGCACTCATTTAGCAAAAAGGAAGTATAATAAAGCTTAATAAGGATGTATTTTATTGTTGTTATTGAACAAAAGGGGCTTTTTTATACCCAAAGCTAAACTTTAAAACGAGAACACCGTCATTGAATGGGCTCGGATCCCCGAATGCCGTTTATGCTAAAGAGGCAAATGTTGACCAGATCTTTTTTGCAGTGAGCATAGAAGCTATACCACCGATCATCACATTCGAAATCTGTATTGGTGCCTACTTTCTCTCTGAATTGAGCTGATCTATTCATTTAATCGAAGAGAAAAAGCGCAAAAGATCAGCAACAACAACAACAACAACAAACAGCCTCGGGTAAATCCTATCCCCATGCTTGGCATTCTTGGACCTGATGTTGAAATGGCTCAGCAATACTTGATGATTTGGTTCTCTTGTTTAAAAATAAAACAGTATCATAGGAACTGAGTAACCATGATATTGCTGTTTGGTGCTCAATGAATGAGAGATGTGATATAAATAAAGTTTCGTGATAGCAGACATCTGCCACTATCATCTCATTTGAGCCACAACAAGCAACTAGCACCTTCTTTCATGATGAAATGGGCGAGTGCCAATTTTAGAACGGAACGCCACTTTTGAGAAACCCACATTGTCGACTTCCTTTTATATTTTACTTTTGTCACTTTCGATTCTGATCCCAATGTTGATACTGTTGCAGATTAAAACTAGGCTTGTAGTCTTTTTTTTTTTTTTTTTTTTTTTTTTTTTTTTTTTTGAGTCATGAAGACATGTCTTTTCTCTGCATATACGACCACTGTTCGTGCTATGGCTTTCTATAAGAGAAATAAAAGCAATCATGTGGTTGTGAAATAAACAAGGACTGGAGTTGTTTCAATGGGTGTTTCAACCCCCATTTCCTTGGTAAATTTGTCACGACTAGAATCCGTATATCTAAGCCCAAAAACCTTGTATGCATTTAAGAAACAAGTAGGAGGTTCAAATATCCTATTGATACATATCTGAAGATCACCCAAAGCACTAGTTATTCTGCAATAAAATAATTGCAGAGACAAGCACTAGACATACCAAACCCTTTACATCCACAAATCAATATTTTAAAGTTGGAAGCTCTTATTAGTCGACCTCAACGAAACCGCAATTTATCAGCTTGGTGAGGAAAACCAGACAATTTCTGTAATTCTTTGCACAAAAGCATTTGGAATTCGTAAAGTTGGAAGCATAGACCTGAGCGGTTTCCAGATACTGACGAGAATGGCAAAGACACATAAGCCATGAAGGTAGACAGAAATTTCAAATACATCACATTCACAAAATATCCCGATTAGATACAAGAGCAAATACTTTACCATGATATCCAGAGACACAGGTCTCATCTGCCTAGAGTTTTACATAGCCATTGACGATTTGGCAAATTCGCTTGATCGAGCAGGGTTTTCTCATCTCTGATCTCTACCACCCTTGTTAAACGCTCTATGCTAGAAGAAGCCACTTAAAGACTAAACAGTTGTTTACTGTTCGTTCTGCCCTTTTGATGTCTTGGAGGTTTTGGTTGTATTTGTGTTGTTATCAATATTGTTTTGTTGTGCTTTTTGGTTTTAGAAAAATGCTAATATAGAGCAGTGATTGGGATGTCCCATGGTTTATATACAGCATTGGTAATCCTTGAATGAGACCATACCACCATTATCTTTAATTATTCAAATACAAATGTTTACGCTTTGTATGGTTCTCTAACTTTGCTTCGCTTTGGTGAGAACCAACCTGCGCAGCGGCAGCTCACGCTACCGATTGCCCTTGCGTATCTTTTCAAAATACTGCTACTTCTATTTTGGTCCTCCACTTTCACATGAAAACCCTTTATATTATCTGCGGATCTGATGCTTATGTGATGATCTGCATCCATACACACGTAGCTACTTCATATACGGGCAAGCAGCATACTGGTATTTCTCCCTTTATATTCCTTAGTGCCCCTAATACCGCAAAATCTGAGTGCATTTGATCTGCGTTTTTCTTGCGTTCAAGGCCGTTTTAGATTGTCAGAATAGCACCAAATAATTGCTCTCATCTGGCAGTTACTTTCTGACACCTTTGCTCAACTTTTTGGGGATCAAAAAAAAACATGGCCAAAATTCGACCAAAAAAGCATGAGGTAACCCTCATGGTTTTCATCAAAAATCAAACGATCACGTTTTTGATCTTGATAATGTAGACTTTTGCTATGGTATGTATTGGATCAAAATGTTTCTCTCGATTCAGGGCAGCCCCTGAAACCATGTTTGTGGGACCTTGATATGTAAAATCTCGACATTTTCGCCAAAAACGTTATTTCATAATTTCATGAATTGCTCAACAAGTTCATTAAAAGCAGCCATTATAACTAGCATCATTGGATGCGCCTTGAAAACTTCTCCTAGATAGCTTAAGGCTGTAAAGGATGATCACTACAACTTTCATAGTCGAATCTCGTAAAATAAGTCGATCGAGTCGCAAAAGGATCAAACATCAACGAATCGTGACAGAAAGTCGAGCGGGATTGTAATCCGTTTTGGCTGGCTAAAAGAAGACTCTCCTTGATTGCTCAAAGCCCTATAATATAACGGCAATGATACCCACAGAAACGATTATACGAGAAAGCGAGACTCCTTCTCAAATGGATAGCGTACCCAACGTGAGACCCAAAAAGAACAGGTTGGTGATATGGGACGGGCGTGACATGATCCAAAGCAACAGAATAGCATACAGACAAAGGGATCTTGCAAGGAGAAGAGAGATGAAGTTTAATTCAGAAACCTCCTTCTTTTGGAAATCCCACGGCCTTGTTTGATGAATTTCGCGATGTGTACTTGACTTAGAACCCTGAAAATAGTACCATTGGATTCCTCAAGCGATTTGCTTTCTAATGATGTACATACCTTCTAATAAAATATCCTCTCTTTAACCACAAATTGGCCATTTACTTGCTTATCTCTCTTCAATTCATGTCCTTTTGTTTACTTTACATGTGATTTTTTTTAAAGCATAATTTTGCCTAGCAAATGAATTATTTTGATCTTGCATGATCCGAATACCTTCTAAAAGAGGACGATCCCTAAAAAAAAATGACATGAAACGTGTTGACTCTTTATGAGATGCATGCTCTTGGCATAAGAACTAAAAACAGGTTGCAGGAATGATACACGAAAGTGACCAACTCACTAAGTAAATGTGGGCATATTGATGATATCTAGTAGCGCAAACACTTGATTGACATCATTGACAGCAACCATGATAGCTGGAAACAAGATGACTTGCACTGGTTCGAAAACAATCCATTATATTCCATTCCATGGAGATTGTCGCAGTAATATTCATATGGCACGCTTGTTTTCCGAGGTGTACACTTGTTTCTTGGTCCAGAATCAGTTATGCTGGCTCCGATGTGATGTAAACGACAAGAAAGCCAACCTTAACACTCGTATTGCCCGATTAGATGGACAGTTTATGGCTGATGTAAACAACAAGAGAGATGGATCGAGAACTGTATGATCTTGGAGAGAGAAATTAAGGAGAGGTAAAAAAAAAGATTACTTAATCAAGCAACCAGCTGCATCTGTTTCAGTGTCAAATGACATTTTTTGTTTACTTTTTGATGAGGTTGAACCAGTGAAAAGTTGTCTGTTAATTACATCTAGGAAGAGATGGGGGAACTCGTTTCATGTGAAGGTGGAAAAAGGGCTTTTTGAAGTAGCAAAATGGACATAACTCGAGACAGAAAACAGTTGCAAGCCTCGGACGAAGCGGATCAAATAGAGCAGGTGTCAAACGTCAAAATGGTACTACTCTCGCGTTCTTAAATAAGCATATTGTGGAGAAAAGTAAAAGGAAACGAATTTGAGTGTGGCAAGGATACTGGACTCACATGAAAGTCGATGAGAAGGATATAAATAGATGGTTGTTTCAACAGCTTTTCCTTCTTCTTCTTCTTCTTCTTCATCTCATCTCTACTCTCTATTAACAAATCTCTCTGCAAGCAAACTCTCTCTGCAAGCGAACTCTCTCTGCAATACTTTTAGGCTCTCTTTCTGCTCTATACATGGTCAAGTAAATCAAACACTGTACTGATGATTGGCTTTTTCTTACACAATGCTCTCATAATTCCATGGTTCTCTTAGGTTGCGGTCCATGCAAAACATGGTCGCACTTTCCTCGTATTTTTAGATAATAGCAACATACAATCAACTCTGCATGTATGTACTCGTCACTTCTAGCTTATAAAGCAGCATGACTCACCATCTCTCTATTAATAGAGCTCAGGTCCTCTCTATTTTGACTTGCAAACACTCCATACTTGGTTGAAGCCTTGGATGGGGTCTAGGGGTCATGCGCGTAAGGTGGTTGTCTCGTGTGGCCTCAGCACCTGTTGCCCCGGTAGCTCGTAAGGGTGATGCGACGAGGCGCTAGGTGCGTTTCCCGGGAGGTGTCTTCCCGTCCTTGTTGCTAGGGATATGCAAGTTGTGGCAGATGGTTTGCCCTGGAAGCCTGGCTTCATCTTTTGGTCTCCTCGTGTTTCAAGCTGCTCTTTTCATTGTAAATCAAGTATGCTACAGGGTAAGTATCCTTTGTAATAATCCAATGTCCCGCAATATACTGTAGATCTATTTCCTGCAATGTCAAAACCACTTTAATACACGGTGCCATCTCTACATCTATACAAGACCAAGCCATGCTCGTATCTCTGCTGCCTGCCATCTATTATAATGTCAAGACTCATGCTGCCTAGTATATACAAAGTCAAGCCATACTTGTATCTCTGCTGCCTGCCATCTATTATAATGTCAAGACTCATGCTGCCTAGTCTATACAAAGTCAAGCCATGCTCGTATCTCTGCTGCCTGCCATCTATTATAGTGTCAAGACTCATGCTGCCTAGTATATACAAAGTCAAGCCATACTGCCACATCTGCTGTCTCTATTCTATACACGAAACCTTGCAATACACACATCAATACTATCTCTTACCTATACAAGTTAAATCAAATTATATTCAAGTTAGCTAGCATATATTCAAATCTAAACAAACTCTCATACATTATCATCGTTTTCTATAAAGCTACAAGCAAATTAATAATAAAAAGAGTTTTGCATTGCCTACTATATCATCGTCTTTTTATTACATTCTCTATTAAAACCAATGTATAAACAGAAAGCCGTTTGAAGCAACTGATATCATAAGTGCCACTGATATAAATGTTCTTGAATCGTGAAGCTGTGATTGAAGATGAATGGAGAAAGTCTGACTATGGCCATTTCGAAGCATTGTTAGGTTTGATGTCATACAGAGTACCGCTATCATTGTAGGCAATACAACTCTCCTCTCGGAAGAGATGGCTATTTAGTCATTGTACACACGCAGTCTTGCGCAAGCTTCATGCCTCATGTTATTAGAGATAGACACATTTATTGGATAATGCACTTGAGAGTTTATGTACTAATATACAAATTGTTGGATTGCTATGGATACAAAGTATTCCAAACTTCAAGAAGTTTCTAGAGCAAAATATTTAGTCGTTGCAAAAGCACTAGTAGTGTGAGGGACTATATACACACATGTAATTATACAATGACCTACGTTCGCTCAACCCGTAGTTTAATATAAAAATAGCCAAAAATATCTTAAAGCTTTGATAGAGATATGACTTTTGCTACAGTATCTACGGTATCTATAGTTGTATTAAATGCTAGTATCATATCCATCTAAGAGGGTATTGGATACCGTAAGCGCTATTTGACAGAACCAGCCGCTGATTTTTCTGCATAAAGGTTATTCACAGTCTAGCGATGGTTTATGCTTGATGGAAGTATCTTGGTTCTGGCATACCAATACATTGATTTCTTCAAATTTCACTACTCAACAAGTGATCAAGGCATACATTATACCTGAATTGCCTCTTGGCATTCGACAGAATGCAAAGCACAGCAAGAAATGGGTGAATCTGAGCAACAATTTCTTGTGCTGGAAGCCGCTTAAAACCGCCAGAATAGCACCAAACAGTTGCTCTCATCTGGCAGTTACTTTCTGACACCTTTGCTCAACTTTTTGGGGATCAAAAAAAACATGGCCAAAATTCGACCAAAAAACCATGAGGTACCCCTCATGGTTTTCATCAAAAATCAAACGATCACGTTTTTGATCTTGATAATGTAGACTTTTGCTATGGTATATATTGATTCAAAATGTTTCTCTCGATTCAGGGCAGCCCCTGAAACCATGTTTGTGGGACCTTGATATGTAAAATCTCGACATTTTCGCCAAAAACCTCATTTCATATTTTTATAAGTTGCTCAACAAGTTTATTAAAAACATATACCTTACTTGGTACCATTGGATGCGTCTTTAAAAGTACTTTGAGATTGTATTAGGAAGCAAAGGATGATCATCACAACTTGTATAGTCGAATGTAACAAAATAATTGAATCAAGTCGAAAAACTATCAAAATCTGGCCAATCTGGGGTAGAATGAAAGTCGGCATTACAATTAATTTTGGCTGCGGCTGGTGGGGTCGGCTGGCAAACTCAATGCCCTTCCGTAGATTCGATCCCCCACAACTACCATTTCAGCCATGCCACCATGTCCACATGCCTTCACCTACCACTGATGGAACTCCTCGTCCACACTCTCTCACCAACCCACCCAATAGCTCACCTCTTTCAACCCCCTCACAACGTTCTCAAGAACCACCCCACAATCCGTCAGCTCAAAGGATCCGATATATTCATCTTCAACCCCAACCGACTCTGCCTAGAATACAATCATCTCCCCCCCAGCTCTGCCACACGGCCCATCAATCAACAAAACTATCTCTCTACTTTGCTCTAACCAACTACTTCTCAACAACTTTGTCCTTTACAACTTCCTCCACAATGTACCGCGACCTCACAACGCCTTGGAGGTTCACAACCTTCCAAATTCCAACATTCCTTCATTTCCAGCTCTCCACTCCTTTGTCACCACTCTTCTTATACCTCCAGAACCCAACAATATTCGTCCAACTACTAAAGTTACTTCTATCAAATACTTCAAATGCCTCCTAACCTCTTCCTCTCCCCCTACCCCTAGTTCTATCCTTTCTTCTACTCAATGGCGTCGGTCTTGGAAGCTCGAAATAGCTCTGAATGCACGTAATACTTGGTACCGAATCTTCCTCAACAAAATAGCCACCAAAGAACTCCTACACCTTCGTATGTCTGATAAATTCACTCCTCATTGCACGATCTGCCCTTCTAGAACTACCAACATAGAAATGACAACGCGCTTTCTCTTTTCCTGTCCCATCAAATACACTGTCTGGTCCCAAGCACTCTCCACATACATAGACCCAGATCTGCAATCTCCCACTTATGAGCAATTTCAAGAACTTCTCCTCCTTCGCTCCCCCCTTACAGTCTCAACATCTTCACCCTACCCCACTCTCACCACGTACCAAGTATTTTCTTGCATTCTTCAAGCAATTTGGAGCTGCCATTACAGATCCATCTTCGACTCCTTTCATTTTGAACCCCTCCAAGTCATGCTCTGCATTGACAGAGCACTATATACTTTAGATTCACAAGACAACGTTCACGCACTTCTATAGCAAAGTACCTTATATCCAGTCTTACTATCCTCTTCCTCACTTTGGGTACGTTAATAGGACTTTAAACAAAGAATTTTATTAATAAAACAATAATCTTCCTTAAAAACATGGCATTCAACATTTGTGAAGCTCATAAATACCAATCTACGTACAGATTCAGCATGGCTTGAGCAAATGCCTAACTATGCGTGCTTTTTCTCGAATGAAATAGATATGTCGTCTGCCACATCGTTTGACCAAAGCTCATGTTCAAAGAAGGCAGTACGTGTTTCAGTCAACGACACATTTGATAATACATTCATGTTTATGTGCAGGCCAGGACTTGAATCAATGGAATATTGAGATAAAGTCATTGATAATGTAGCAAGGGTATATCTGCAAATAGAGTTCTAAACAACCCTTGCTGCATTCCAGGGTCTGGATGTTATGCTAGAATAAATCAATCATATTGCAGTTGAAAGAACGAGACATGTCTAAAATCAGGAAACCGTATCAAACGTATTGTACTATACATCAATTATTTTATCCAAACGAAATTAAATTTGTATGTTTCAAGCAAGCAACACAGTGCTCAAATTGTAATTATATGCTAAATGGCATGGCTTTTATATTATTCTGATTCAGGAAGCATCAGATATTGTTCTAGAAGATCAGGGCACACAGCACATTCATTGCCATTTTAGTTATATCGGATCCTCCAGCGGCCCAACTTTTGAAACCACATGAATTTATATATCCATGAAATTCGCTGATGATGTTTGATAGATTGCTTTGCTTGCTTAGTAATTCATTGAACACATTTGAGCTGGAAATCCCTCACGTCTTTCAAGGTTTTACCTGGCGGAGATATCAAACTGAAGACATTGCGTTATCAAATGCTATGCGTTTGTGAAGGCTCAGAGCATTTTTATTTCAGGGCATTTATATCTCAGGGCATAAAGGTGTGATGACAGCATCAGGTGACATTTAATATTCAGTAACTCACGCTGTTGGATACAGTACGTTGCTATGAAATAAGGATGCCGAGGTTTAAAGTGTATATACCTGAATGTTGAGATGATGCGACATGCAAGAGTTTTCATTGGGTCAACGATTGAAAGGATTCATTTCTAGCGAAGCAATTGCCCATGGCCATATTCCCAAGAAACCAGATGCGAATTTCAAGGTTGAAATGTACGAGTGTTTTTATGTGAACACCACTACCCCAAAAGCGACATTTAGATGCACTCAACTATGTTAAATTGTTTCTAAATGATCTTTACCATTGATCTTGACACAGTCTGAATCTGGACCCACTTGAATCGATTGATGACCCGCAGGTTTTGGATCTCTATGAAACCTTCTTGAACTAGTTTTGCCATAAAGTGCCAGATTTCTGGGTGTTTCTAGATGTGCATTCATGCCTATTTTTTTTCAAGTAGTAATGCGGTTACTCTCGTTCATGACTAATCATTGTTAACGCAATAAAATGTAATCATGACAGAACGGTAAGGACAAAGCATATTAAATCTCGGTTACAAGATGAACTCAAATCTAGATACCCCACATTGTTATGAATTTCTCTCTTTTTGGATCGGAAATAAATTTACGGTATCACAGGTTTGGTCTCACTTTTTTTCATCTGGTTTCTTTAGCGTGCTGCTCTTCTGTTTGCGCCTGTGGCATGTTCAAGTTTATAACATGAAACTATGATCAGGTTTTTCAGTCGACTTTTTTTCAGATCAAAAATTTCAGCAGCACTTTGTTTCAGTTGAATTCTGTTTTCCATAAAGTGTAGAGTGAGAAATATTGCCAGTGATCTTAAGATACTGGCTGGATGTGTCGCTCTCTACTCATATCGCTGAGATTTAACGTTTTCTTCTCTTTTTGTAGCTTATTTAGACTAATCATTACTGTTCACTCTTTTCTTTACTTCTTTTTTTTTTCTCACCACATAAAAATATTTGTCATGCCTGATGTAAAAAAGAAACCTAGAAAGATAAGCTGTCTACCTTGCCGAACCAAGAAAGCTAGATGTGATGGACAGGTACCTCATTGTAGTCGTTGTATCCGAAATTCTCGAGAGCATCTCTGTATATACCCTAAACCAAGAACCTATGGCCGACCACCCAAGAATGCAGTTTTTCTCAAAAACCAAGATTTAGTAGTATCTTCCACCACAACCCAAGCGACACCAAAGCAAATAAAGGAGAAGGATACCATTCAATGCCGGGAATTCATCTTTGAAAATCAATCTGGTTTCTATCCAGCAAAGACATCATCTCTGATGGAGCAACAGCAGCAACAACAAGCACAAGCACAGCAACAACCATCATCATCATCTACACCATTATCCCCTACCGAAGTTCTTGTCAGAGAGCGCTTTCAAGCGCCACAACGACTCATCAAATTTTTCAATCAAATCTTGGACATTGAAAGAATCTACTCATTGTATCTCACTCGCGGCTATCATCTACGAGAGTCTCTCAAAGGGTATCAGTTATCTCCTCACTTTAAATTAAGTTCGTTACACCAGCATTTCACTTGGCTATCCACTAGTCTTGTCAATCTCACTATCAAGAGAACCTGCCAGTTGTTCAATATCGATAGTTTTTTTGACCCAGAACTCACCATCACAGCATTCATGAGAGAAGAGCAAGTCAATGTATTTTTCTTCAACACCAACAACCAATACAACTTAAGCTCGCCGCTGAAATCCATACCCACAGAGCAAGCCATTCAATTGATCAATTACTTTTTCCAACTGCATCCTTATCACATCTTAATCAACAAGACAAAACTACTGCAGGATTACTGGAATGATTCTGTGGAACCTTTGTTATTGTGCGCCATCTATGGAATTTCCATGTACACATGTCAGCAAACCGTAAAAGGCGGAGCCTACCGACTTTGGGATATGCAGCGCAATCCATTTTTGAATTATGCCTACGTTTTGATGGAAAGGTTCTTTAAGGAACGCAACCTCAGAGGCACCAAATCACCGTCGTCTCTTGGCAACTATCAAGCTGCTGTCATTTTGGGCATCTTTGAAACACTGTTTGGTCTACCAAAGCACGGCATGACCATCATTTCTCTTTCTTATATGATGGCAGCAGATTTAGGCATCTTTAGCAGTAATGTCAAGGTGACAGATGGTGTGATTGATCGTGATCATGTCACACATGAAAGTGGACATCGAAATATCAAAGACTATGATCCCATTGACAAGGAACAACTCATCACTACCTACTGGGCAGCACTGAGGTCGACAGCCTATGGGTGTATAGAATGTATGTATATAGCTTTTTTTCTTAGCAGGCACTAGATGACTCATATCACGTATCCTTTAGTGGGGCTCTATCTCAGAGATTCGTTACTGTACCATGGTCAGCCTTTCCCACCTGCCAACAAAGAGACATCAGCATCATACCAATACGACTTGGCTCATAACAATCAATCATCATCATCCACATATCTCATAGAAACTTTTCATACCGAAATGGTCATCACCTATTTCAGCTCCAAACTCTTTTCCTGCCTCCCCAAGTCTGAATACAATGTTTTTGGATGCAAAACATATCCAGCACCACCACCCACCACCATTGAAAAACAACACATTCACGACCATCAAATGCTGTTACAGCTACTAGGCGCTGCAGCTGCTTCAACTGCTTGGTTTAATAGCGAAACTGATTGCAAGGTACAGCTGGTGCTCAACGACTTTTCTGACTTTATTGCACAAGAAAGCTATCAATGGTCATTTCAACAACAGTATACCATTAAAACCACATATTACCTGTATTGCATCCACTTTAGCTTTATCAAGCCTGGCAACAACGAAGCGCCCATGCGATATCAACATATTGTCAAACCCTTGGACCTCACCAATTTACGCATTGCAGCACGCATTACCAACTTGTCACCGACCACCACCATGCTGTTGACATTGCTACAAAATTTTTTGCAAGAAATCGACGACAAGAAGCTCTACAATGAAGCCGGTCTTGGCATTAACAACGAAGAGGAACCCAGCTTTGTGAGATTACTGCCGTTTGGCATCATGTCGTTGGCTCTGGAAACCCTTGTGGATATGACCATAGTGCAGTACCAGCTTGGCATCTATCCAGACAGAATTTACGATCAAATTCGAGCAGTGAACACGATTGCCAAGCATGTGCTCTTTTGGCTACCACAGCTACAGGCGTCCACAAAGATTATTTACAAGAAGCTCAAAGATTTCTTGCGGTTACATCAGATTCCAATGACGAAAAACACTTTTAGCAATGATGATATAATGAGCAACAGTACCACCACCACCACCACCACCACCACCACGATCAACCCTACCATTTCTGTTACACAGCCTCCGCCACCTCCTTTGTGCTCTACAATTACCACTACTGCAACCACTGATTTCGGCGCTGGTAATCTGTCGTTCCTATTTTTGGACGAAAATCAAATGTTTGCATCTGAAGGGAGCAGTGTGGGCTCTGTAACAAGTGCTACTGGAAATCCAGCATCTGCTGGATTTTTGCAAGATTTCGATAGTCTTTTTCAGAGTGCATTTGACGGCATTTGTTGATAATGAATAAAGAAAGTGTACAAAGAATCTATTAGCATGCTACACAATGGCAGGTTTCATGTGATATATAAAAAGAACATCAGGCTTAAATTTCAGACCTTCCTTCTTCTTCTTCTTCTTCTTTTCTATTGAAAACCGTGGATCCCAATAATCCTTACATGCAGCAGTATCCACCACCACCACAAACACAGCAACAGTACCCACCTCCACCTCAACAGTATGCTTCTCCACCTCAGGGCTATTCCCAGCCACCTCAATACTACCCACCTCCAGCACAACATCCGCCACAACAGCAGCAGCAATACAATCAAAACACAGGTTATGCTGAGCTAGGCGAGCAACCTCTGAACGCAAATGACAAGATCAGACCTTCCAGCGGGTTCAAGGATGTGTGGGCTACTGCTCTTTGGCTGTGTAATATGGCAGCTTTCATTGCCTTGTCCGTCATTGGGCTTCAAAGCTATTCGCAAAACAAGGGGTCTTATGGAGGTACAGCACCTCAAACAGGAGGAGGCATTACATTTGATACCGACACAGTCAAGGTGTTTGGTTTCTCGGTCATTGTAGGGTTTGGGCTCAGTTTCATCTACCTGCTTGTCGCCAACATGTAAGGTGTTGTATAGATATTGAATAGGATAAAAGGCTAAAACTACATCATGCTTAGAATTCCTGGACCTTTGATCGTTACCACATTTATTGGTAGTATTTTGGTCTACCTTGGTGTCACCGTCTACTACTTTTACACGCATTACTATTCAGCTGCCGTCATCTTTTTGATCTTTACATTCTTGTATGCACTCTGCTTCTACCTGTGGAGAGACAGGATCCCCTTTGCTACTGGTAAGCACAGCATCATCGATTCCATTTAGAGCCACGCTGGTAGTAACCTCCTTATGCTATGTAGTCATGCTGAAATCTATCACTGCCATTACTCGTAAATACTGGAGCACCATGGCATGGGGTATTGGTTCGCTTGTCATTCAAACCATCTACTCCATTTGGTTCATGATCACAGTAGTGGGTGTGTATCAAGTATACTATAGTAACACAGGCAGCAATTCTAAATTGAACGCTGCTATGGTCTTTCTTGTGTTTTCGTTTTACTGGACAACTCAAGTCATTGCCTATGTTACCCATGTGACATTAGCTGGTGTCTTTGCTACAGTGTACTTTTTGAACAACCAAGTAGCTCATCCCATTTGGGGCAGCGCAAAGAGAGCCCTGACCACCAGCTTTGGTTCGATCTGTTTCGGTGGTCTTTTGATTGCTGTCATCAATACCATTCGCTACTTTCTTCAGGTCGCTAGATCTGGATCTGATAACGAATTGCTTAACTTTGTACTGTGTATCTTGGAATGCATTGTTGCCTGTATTCAAGGCATGTTTGTAAGTACATACAGAACGATTGGAACAAGAGATCAAGTCAACTTATGCGGGAGTGTGTGTGTGTGTGTGTGTATAGGAATGGTTTAATCAATATGCGTTCAGTGGTGTTGCCATCTACGGTCAGGGTTTTGTGCCTTCCGCTAAACGTACATGGTCCTTGATCCAAGATCGTGGTGTGGAGGCCTTGATCAATGACAATTTGATCGGCAATGTTTTGTTTATGGGTACATTGTTGGTGGGTGTATTGTCCTCTTTACTAGGCTACTTGTATCTGCTGATTGCCAAACCTGCCTACAATGCTACAGGCAATATGACACCTGTTGTCATGTTGATCTGCTTCATTATCGGCATGTCCATGTTCTCTACTATTTCAACCGTTATCTCTAGCGGTGTCATTACCACATTTGTATGCTTGGCAGAGGATCCTGAAGCCTTAAGGAGGTTTGTATAGATAATTAAATATGCCATTTGACGCATGAACTCACATATCATCTTGAATTGCTCACAGGGTCAACCCAGAGTTATTTGAAGCTGTAAGTCTCCTTTGCAAATCTACTTGAAGATTAGCATACTCACCCTTATTTTTAGATTCGCCAAACATGGCCTCAAGTCGTTCAAGGCATTTAATACAACTAGATTACATAATAAATAATTGTACAAATATTTGTTTGCTTGAAGGAAAGTGACAACATTATTAAATAAACGCAGCGGGGAGATTCCTCTCTGTTTTCTTCGTAGTAAATTTGATCTTTCTTCATTCTTCCTTTTCTCCATCTCAAAATCTAATATATCAAACATTATGTGTGGCAGATTTTGCTGTTCGTTAACTGCTGATGATATTCGCAATGAGCTTTTTGAGGAACATGTATTGCCACAACGAGACACAGAATGGATTGATCAAGACTCGCATAGACCCAGTTTTAATGTTTGCCCTAGTCGATCGATTCCTGCTGTCTTGGAAAAGGATCAGACACACACCAAAGTCATGCAGTCTATGGTACGTACGATGCCATTGTAAGGTGTACATGAGACTCATTCATTATATAGCAATGGGGTTTCATCCCTTCGTGGCTCAAGAGCAATCCTTACAGCAAGGTAAAATGAAAATGTCTATTCATGCGACCCACTCTTTTGATAATTAATCTGTCATTACCACGTGCAGCCTATCAATGCAAGAGTCGAGACACTCACCGAAAGGAAGAGCATATTTGATAAATCCAAAAATGTCAATCGCTGCATTATCGCAGCAGAGGGGTAAGAAACACAAGCTACAGCGTATGACTTATATCACTGACATGTACATAGATTCTTTGAATGGAATAAGAAGAAGCAAGCGTTCTTCATCAAGAGAAAGGACGGCAAGATGATGCTGTTTGCTGGCCTCTATAGCACCGCTTCGATTGATGGTAAGTATACTCTTCAGTTTTGTGGATTAAAAAAAAAAAAAAAAAAAAAAAAAAAAAGGTTCTGATGTTGTATGGATCATGGTAATAGGTTGTTCTGTAACTACATGTACCATTGTCACCAGCGCCGCCTCTGAATTCTTTTCAAAGATCCATGACAGAATGCCAGTCATTTTGGAGCCTGGCAATGTGGATACTTGGATCAACAGCAAGATGCTCTGGTCAAATGACATTATCAAGTTGCTCACACCATTTGACGGTGAATTGAATTGGTAAGTTCGGCACCTATCCATCATGGCGTATCATGTGTGTAGTAATCTGTGAAATGCCATAGTTTCCGGGTAACCGATAAAGTGGGCCCTGTGAAGAATGACAGCCCTGATCTCGTTCAACCTCTCGATCAACGCAAATCATCCATCTCCCATTTTTTAAAGCCTGCTCTTATCAAGGATGAGATCAACAAAGACTTGAGCTCTCATGTGGAAAAGGTTTGTGTCTTGCTGGGCTACTATTGTGCATGTCATTGACATTCACGCTTAGACTGCCGCCTCCTCTTCTACTTCCTCTACGAAGGTCCCTTCCACCACAGCTCGACAGACAGCCAAAAAGAGAAAGACAAGTGTTGATGATGACCCCATTGCAACAAAGACACCCAAAATAACTAGCTTTTTCAACAAAAAGTAGTCTACTATACCCTCTCAAAGATCCTCACTCTTGCTCATTCAATGCCATGTCATGATGATAAATTGTAATATTCAAATTTTATTTACTTTGCTAAAGGGGTGCGGGTGTGTGTGATTTTATATGTATATGAGAGGGTGGTTGTACTGTATTGTATTGTATGTGTGTGCGATCAATTTACTCTGTAAAGAAACGTCTACCCAGCACTTGCTGCAAATAATGAATTGTCTTGAGCTTCTCCTTGATTTTCTGATTCTTGATAGTTGACTCTAATTTTGTTAATGCGCTTGTTGTCTTGTTCAAAGTTTCAGCAATATTCAAGACAGTCTCTTGTGCAATTTCAGCTCGAGTCTCGTCCGTGATATCAGGTTTAGCAATCCAGAGCATACTTTGTGTTGACACCAGGAGGGCAGCATCTTCAAGTACGTTCAAGAGTTGCTTGTGGGGAGCTTGTGGTATGTCTTGCCATTGACTCAGCATGTGAAGACACACGTTCATCAACTGGGTCAAGGTGCCAAAGGAGGATAATTCACTGACAATCACTCGCATGTCGGGATAGATGATAGCATTGCCAAATGGCCATTCTGTATCAGGCTGAGTCAAGATGATATCGGTATTGGCCAAATTGATTAATGTGGTGAGCATGTGATGGGTGATGGTCAAGGTGAGTTCCACAGTCTTTTGCATCAATTGAGAGGTTTGTTGCTGTGTCTTTGTAATGGTGGGACCTCCGTTCTCGCTATTACTCGATGGTGTGGATGATTTCGCTGTGACAAATGTAACTGCCTGTTGACGCTCTGCATTGTCCATTGGATACAGTTGAGTCTGCATGTAAGCAGGGTGAGTATAAAAATAGAGATAACGCTGAAGCAAGAACAAGGTACAGTCCTTGTAAGACACAAACAAGTTGTTGGCCACGCTTTCCAGTCTGTCCAAGTAATAGGATAATCTAAAGAAGAGCATGTTGATGCGGTCAATTTCTTCCAGCAAGGGTGTAGAGAACGATTCAGACGCGTTCATGCCAAAGATAGTATCATTGGCGCCATTCGCATTGTTGAAAGCTGTGCCGATTTGAGGGCCATACATTTGCAACAAATTGACCGTATACTGAAGCACCAATTCATCGCTGCCCACATGACACATCAAGTTGTTCATGACACCCAATATCTGACACCAGATAGCGTGAAGAGGGTTACGCTCCACATAGTTGGGTCCGTTCTTGTTGCCCTGGCCAAAGCGGATGAATATATTGAGTGCACCTTGCTGCAGACGTGGTGACAGAGTGTTGTTGGTCAAGAGGTCATAGATATTGTGCTTGACGAGCTTCTCTGCTGCAGTTGGTATATTGGACAAGCCAAGTAAAAGATACAAGGCTGATTCTGCGTAAGGCGTAATGCTGATGTTGGCAATGGCGCCATTGAGGTTTGCAGTTTGACTATAACAAGATAATTAGCATTGGACATCCACGCTCAAGATGAGTCTACATACCGATCCACTTCGCCTACAACAACTCTAATACCTGCAAACAAGAGGGATAACAAGGAAGGCATCGTCTGGAACTTTTCAAAGGCGTCAAGCCAGATATCTGGAGACACGCCATACTTGGGATGAATCAATTCTTGCAGCTGAGCAATCACCACCGTGACATCCTTGATACAGTTTTCAACCAAATCTGGGCTTACTAACGATTCATCCGCGCTGTAAGTAATGGCCTTGGTGGTCAACACACTGAAACTGGAGCAAATGACACTCAACAGAGACGTGTAGCAGTCTTGGAACTGCATGCGCTCAGAAGAGAGAGGAGTGAAGTGAATGATGGTACCACCCAATGTGCGGACAATGAGCATCACGGCCTCCAACAAGGGTCGATGGAAACGGATGGCAGTGTCATCATGGATACTCTTGAAGAGAGCATAGTTTTCACGGTTCAGTAAGCCGCAGAGACCAGCAAGTATATCAAATGTCTTGGAAGCGTACGTCTTTTGAGCAGCCACATCGGTTCCTGTCACCACAGCACTGTTCTTGCTGATCCAGTCTTCTGTCAGACTACGGATGAATTGAACCAAGACGCTGTACGATGTCAATGCCACACCATCATCACGTGTTTCCCCTTCAGCATTCGTTACAAGGCCCTTCAAGAAGTGATATAATGAGTCTGACCCAGAGGCACCACCTGTCTTGTTGGCCCACATGAGATCAGAAGCGCGACGCGAGCAGGTCTCCATGAAGGTCTTGAAAGCACGCAATAGGACGATTTGAGAATCGACGATGGAGCTATTGTAGTTGGTCAATAAGAGGCTTCGAAGGAAATGATTTGCGTATTGCTTGAGATCCAACACGGCTTGAATATCACTAGTGATGATCAAGTTGTCTTGACCCAGCTGATGGCCATATTTAGCCACGATATCCTTGTGCAATGTATGAACTCGGTTGCTGGCCATACGATAATCGTACAAAAAGTTATCACCATACTGATGGGCTTCTCCAGCAGCACCATCATCACCGGAACCGAAACGAGGAATCTTGAACAGCAGGGCATCTTTGGATGGCACACCAATGGTTTGAAGCAAGACAGTAGCAGATGTTTCTGCTTCACGTACAATGGAAGGATCAAAGTCGTTCTTGACAAAGCTATCACGCATGGCAATGAGCTTGCTTGATTCGCCCACCTTGCTCAGCAGGTTCTTGAGTCCAATAGGAAGCTTGTCAGCAATAGTAGTAGTGAGGTTGCGCGTGTTGCCAGCTGTCAGATGAATTTCACAGGCAATAATACGCATGACAAAAGCCTTGCTCAAATTGAGACAACACAAACGGCGCACATGGGTATCATGACGCGTGTCGTTGCTAGTAGTATCCAACAAGTCCAACGATTGAATGTCGCTTTGGGCAGTAGCATCAATATCTGTGGCGGGATTTAACAAGACTTTGCCAAGACCATCCCACAGAGCATTGTCCACACGAGCACGTTCTACCAGAGCATAATGATCAAGAGCAGTGCGCCAAAAGGTGTCCAAGAAATGCAGCACATTAGAACAAACAGCAGGTTTCTCCACAGACAGGGTATCCCAGTAGCCAAGAATATCTGTAGCAGCACGAATAGCAGAATCTGTGGCACTAACAGCAGCAGTAGCGGCAGTAGCGGCAGTAGTAGGCTGAGATGGGCCACGAAGACCAGGTAATGTACGTACAGCAGATTTAGGACTGGGCATAATCAAATCACCACAATCCAAAAAGAGAATAGCCAAGCTAGGTTGTGTTTCCATCAGCACGGTCAACAATTGCCAGATAGACGTGAGTAGGGCTTCGTTTTGGAACTGATCTTTGGCGATATCCAGATAGAGTCGAATAATGACATGCACTTGTGCCGTGCTCCCGAGATACTGATTGAAATTGGGGGCCGTTTTCCACGCAGCAGTCGTACGACATAGCAAAGTCAAGACATCTGTAGCTTGAATAGGCAGGCTGATGTTATGACGGTACTTGATGTGCTTGGCAATACGCAGCAAGAAGTCAGACGAAGTGCTGTTGGGTGTGCGTTCCAGTAACAAGCGCTCCAACGATGTATCGGACAAAGCAGTGCCCTGTTCAATTTGTTCTAGACGGTATTGCAGTAAGATCTTGACAAACACAAAGGTCATTTCAGTCAACTTTTCGGCACGTTCCGCTTCTTTAAGATGGCCCAGACCGTAGTATGAGCTTGCAGTACGAGCACCTTCGCAAATGACGTCCACCAAGGGGCTGATATGGCACGCCACACCGCTGTATAAAAAGTTGTTGAGGATGCCTTCGCGAAGACCATTCAATGACAGTTTGGCATTGGTTGCAGTACTGGCAGGCTCCTTGAAATTGCTCACAATATCGATAAAGATGCTCAGTACCTTGACGCCGATAAGATAGCGTTCAGAGACCTTCTTGTAGCGCCAAGCCGAGTAAGTAGGAAATACATCTGCCATCAGATAGTGCAAACATGTGTACAAGACCTCCACCTGATATTGACGTTGTGCACTGTTATTGATCCACCAACTGCGTTGCATGTCCTGAGCTAATGCTTGCACCAGATCCAAGAAAGCTAACAAGAGTGTGTATCGTCCATCTGCACATTCTCGTTCAGACACAATTTCTTGAATTTGAGCAGAGGAAGCCAACTTGGATGAATAGGAAGCAAGGCCTGTATGGAAGCTGGTATTGGTTGTAGGTAAAATGGGTGCGTATTTGAGGTAAGCCCAAATGTCTTCACGGTAGTAGGGTAACAGGAGCGTCATGCACTTGACAGCCAATGTTAAGATGGGAATAGGGCGAGGATGGAACGCACTGCTGGTGCTGAGAATGCTGCAAAGCACTGAAATAAGGATAGGAGTCGTTGATGTTTTGCTGACGGAGCCAGCAACAGATTCCACATGCTGCACGAGTTCAGTCACCAAGGAAGGATTGCTGGACAAGACACTGTACATTAAATCAAGGATGCTGGCAATGCCTTCTTGGTTCTCTCCTCGCACAAACTGATCGGCATCCACTATCTGTGTTGATGTTGCTGGGAGTTGTGTCACGAAGCCTGTCAATGCAGATACCAACAGATGCCAGCCAGAGTAGTGCAGCGAGGGATAGTGTACCACGTAATCATCTGCTTTGCTCAACAGTAATCCTCGGCTCTTCTCGGGCACCACAATGCTGGTGATGGAATCAAAGGCTTCTGTCACTTGAATTGTCTGATCAGCATGCACAACCACCTCATTGTTCTCGTTCACCACTGTCATGTCTACCTCGGGTGAAATAACCACGGTGATGCCGGGAATGTTGCAAAGATATTCAAAGACACGGGTAGCAGATATATCGCTGCTGTTGCTGCTATCTTGCTCAGATGATGCACCTGTCAAGGCGGATAGTAACTGTACAAAGTCTGTAAAGAAGACGGGGAATCGACGGCGTGCTGTGGCCAGTAATGAAGCGCCATCCTCTGCATTGAAATCCTTCCAAAACGCCTCACAAAGCTCTGGCTGATGCTTGTAAATCAAGCAATAACTCTTGATCAAACTGGCATAACTCTCCATTGGTATAAATTGAGGACGAGTGACTGACAAGAAGGATGCATACAGATGGCTCAATACAGATCGGTAGCCAAGGTTGTTGACATCCTCTTCACTGCAAATTTCGCTCTCCAAGATATCGGTTACTGCAGAAAATACATTCAATTTGAGTGAGCGGCCCAAGTAAATACGATCCATGTTGGGGCGTTGTTCAATGCAAATCGTTCTACTGTTGTTGGAAGATGCCGATGCTGGGTTGATCAGAGTTTTGTCAATCAGTACGGAGGGTGAGATGGTCTGTGTTCCATTCAGAATAGGGCACAGAATGTCATTGTAGTTGGCTGGAGCTGTTGGTGCCTCTTCGTCATTAATGATAGCGTCTGTGCAAGTGAGGAAAAAGGACCAGGCCAGCAAAAAGACGGCATGCTCGGATCGATCACCCATATAACAAGCAATTTGGTTGATTTTGGCGATAAAGTCAGGTGAATCCAACAAGGATTTGTTTGCACTAGCAGCATCCAACTTGGCACCCACTTTGAGTGAAGGAGGCACAATGACACTGACAGACAATACCATACAAATGTGGGCCACTCTATCACGCAATTTAACACCCTCTTTATCCAAAACGTAGCTGAAAGCTTGATCGCATCCAAAACAGTCGGCTTCAAACTCTTGCATCATACTCAAGATAAATGGAGGTGAGATGGTGTCTGTCAATGTGTAGAGAAAGATGATTTCCAACAGGGCCTTTTGCTCCTTCAATGTTTGCTTGGCCCAGACCGGTGGCCAATTGTTGAAAAAGTCGTGTTGGCGAGGTACGCTGCTGCGGACCAATCTACTGTATTGTGAAAAGAGCTGTTGCAAGTAAGCTGTGCTGTTATCTTGTGAGTGGAATTTGCTAATGGTGTCACTGGCGATGCTTGCATAAGGATGGTGTGCGTCCATGGAGATTCGCTTGAGTGAGCTGATACATTGCAACAGTGACAAACGATCCTCAAAGTAAAATTGGACAATGTTCATCAATAACTGCACATCTTCGCTCAAGGATGTCTTGTTGTTTCGCTCGCTTTTGTCCGATGTGTACTTGCTGTACTTGTTGCTTTGTCTAAAGGTATCCCATATCAATGCTGCTTGCAATTCATTCAATTTGATAAGGTCGGATAATCTCAGCACAAGGTTCTTTTCATCTTGCTCCAATTTGATTGTCTTTCCATCTACAGTGACACTGGTACCGCTATTGATCTTTGAGCGAGCTTGAGATGAAGGCTCAGTGAAAGCATCCAGTCCCAATTTAAGTTGTTCCTTCTTTTCCTCCAACAAGGTTTGAAGTCGATCCGTAGAGCATTGCTCAAAGCCTCGCTCGATGGTGTCAAAGAGCTTACGATATGTGCTACATGATGAAAACATGAGCATAATTGATAATGGATATACCATTTTGACATATCTCTCTTACCCTGCAAACTTTTCGTTTGTTTCGTTGTGTGGCATGGCTTGTTGATATATATATATAGGTAGTTCTACTTGCTATTGGAGTCCCAAATGAAGCTGTGTATACTAGAGATTAAGGCACGTACAGAAGAGCAAGTTCAAACTTTTCTAGTACTGGCTTTATGTTTGTAAAAAAAAAAAGAAAACAAAAGAGAGAGACGCGTGAAGGCAATCTTTTTTTCTAATGAAAAAAAAAGTAAACGTCACTGAAGGTTGGCTGTGACTCCAGCAAGCAGGCTTTCAAATGGCTTTTGATCCCATCTGTGCTCATGTTGTATTCACTCAATTAAACTGTCAATGCTCATCTTGTCAACAGTACTGTAAGATTTAAGATACAAATCCCTATAGCATGGTTTCTGTGTTGACATGTTTTTCGCATCATGAATGTGCTATTGCCTGCAATACGCACTTGCGCTTATCCTATTGATTTCTGTTGAAATTACTCAGGTACAAATAGGGTTGTGTTGGCTAAGCAATCTGCTGCCAACAGCCGCCATGATGGTAACTTCTGTAATTTGCACTTTATATAATACCAGTCAGCAGATATGCATCGTGATATCCACAATACACATGCTGATCTCGGTTATTCTTGGTGCGATCTGCTACTGATCCATGTATTAGGTCTTTGTTTTAAGAGCAACAGTGCCAATCAATCTTCAAGAAATATTGCTATTGATATCCAGAAATTAGTATAAATAGAATAACTCTTGTTTCCTACAGTAAATTCTTTAGTTTTTGTGTCAGATCTTATTCAAATCGGTCCTTTTTTCTTGTTTTTGTGTTATCAAAAAAAATTATAGCTACAAATTATAATCCATTTATCTTTCGCGCTCTGTAATGTTATTTTTAAGCGGGGGAATATACATTAAATTGGAAAAGTTATTATAATCGAACAAAGCAAGCTACAACTGTCTAGTCTTAAATGCAAGGTTCTCCATCATGTCAAGTATCTATTGATAACTTGAAACCTGCAAGTTAATATGGCCCTTTTCGTACGCTCCGATTTTTAAAATGCCTGGTCAAATGCACACTTGTGAGGTGTACACATGCGGAAGGTCAACGGAGCTTCAATTTCTAATATTCTGAATGATGATCCATGGGATTCCAAAATCTATCGACCTTAAAATTACGCGTTTCTTGATAGTAAACACCCCTTCAAACTTATATAAAACGTGTAGAGAATTGCAAGGAGAATACAATGGTATACATATCAAGTATTTGGTGTACATTGTTTCACTGATATTTGATACGATTGTTTTTGCAATCTTTTGACTGTTTTCAAAAGATTAATCAGTACCTGTCATCAAAACATTTTGTTAAGCATTACTAAACATTGTAGACCAAAAAATTTCTTATCGAATGAGCTATTGCTTGAAGCTCTGGCATGACTCTATCAGGAAATATCGGCAATCTTGTCCTGACTAAAAAAAAAGGTCGTCCAATTTTTTGCTTGCTATCACCAGGCAGATTTTGAAGAAAAATCCATGATTTTGCACAATACCCTTTTTTTGGCCATATTTTGGGAAAGGCGCATTGTATTTGAATAAAACAAACCTCATTTGATAGATCTACTTTGGATCTGTCATTCTGGAAGAGTATCAAGTCTTAAATGCTCGTTCCCTTTATGATTTTGCTGAAAATATTGTATTTTACTAACTGTAGTCAGGGAAGTTGTCTAAAAACTCGTAAGAAGAATCATATTGTATTTGAGAAAAAAAGGTTGCCAACATTAAATCCTGTTGTGATTTTTTTTTTTGCGTTCTCTTCTCTTCTTTTGCAGTTGAATACATAGACACACAATATCAAGATGACGACATACACGAAGACAGCTTTGAAATTGAAAAGATGTCTGCTGCTGAATACCATGTTTGAAAGGTTCTTGCACTCTGGTCTATCACTGGTATTTCTGCATTCATCACATCTTTTGTCCATGCGATTCAGCGTTCACAAAACCATCATGAGCTAGTCTCCCTTTCTGTGCAAGCTTCTGAAAAGCATTGAGGAGAGCAATGCATCACACGCAAATAAAGGCATGTTCTGGCAATCTGACATCAAATACACTACAGATAAACAAGGAATGACACTGCTAACAAGTGATCTCGCAAGTCTTCTGACACAATGTGGATTTATTGTACGACGTGTATTGCAAGATGCCAGCAGCACGTATACTCCCTCCGCATCATCATCAGCTATGACTACGACTACTCAAACCAGAAGAGGCTCACTGTTTATCAATTCTGAATGCGAGTGCCATTGCTTGCTGAGAGATGTGCTTGAGGCATCCGCGAAATCTCTTGAACGTATCACTCGTACAGTCAAAGAGCCAGTAGATCAAGATTCGAGGTGACTGTCTGGCTTGGTTCAACCTCTCATCAGCGACAACAGACAGTTTTTGCTGCCACTGGGACATGGCGGAAAGCGATCGAGTTCACTCAGAGGACCATGTATTGGTGGCTATCACTGAGCACTGTGAATGAGAACATGGCGAGCCTGAAGAGATGGAGCCAGGCTATGTTGGACAAGCTTTAGTGGAAGCCGATCTGAAAAACGGTATCACGGTGGCACTCAAAGTAGCTTGAACATTAAGAAAAAAGAAGTTTTTTTTTTTTTTTTTTTTTTTTTTCCATATATCCCGGATCCTCATGGCAGAACTTTGTATGTGCATTTGCATGGAAGACATGCTACGCTTCATAAAGTGCAATTAACTCAAGAGTGCTGAATGTCTGTTATGCTGCGCTTTTAATTGACGCTCTAAAATGAGGATATATATTTTTCAATTTCTATATGGATGTGATTTCAAAGTTCAATGAACTATATACTTGACAGCGGCAGTAATGACACGCAAACCAAGACTGGGCAACAGCCAGCAAAGCTCCGTGCGAGTCATGAAGCTCAAGATAGCTCTCTTGTTGATCAGCGCTTTAGCGAAGCTCAAAATGGCCACGCATGGACATTTACGTCGCAACAAATGTGCAGCAAGGCTTGTTAGATATGTGTCGCCTAAGAATAGCATTCGAGACAATGTATTGCATTAATAAACCAGTCGGGATCGCTTCCATGAATAATATAAACTCCAAATGGCAAAAGGAGGGCTCCGATCACGCTTGGGTTGTGTTTGTTCTCGACCGAGGTTTATATGGCAATTGTTAGTAGAAGTATCTAATTATAAACATTTAATAGTAACACACATCTTGATATGTTTATGGTCTTTTTGTAAGATGCTGACGATGGTATATCACTCAGCAAGCCACTAGAATTTTGGGTGGAAAGCTCTTTCTCTTCTGTCTCTATCTCCCTTTTACTCTCCCTTTATTCAAACGTGTACACTGCTGCAATGCTGATGAGAACTACAAGCATTACTTTCTTACTTACATGGCTGGCTACTGTCTTTGCCCAACAACAACAGCAATGCCAAGGTAATCCCATATCGAGTCCTATGAACCAATAAAAGAAATCAACGAGATAAACAAATTAGGCATTGAGGTGTTGTATCCAAAAGCAGATGCCATCATTGCTCAAACTAAAGAACAGGCATCTACTTATTTGATTCTTGGTAAGTATTCTCTCTAGCTTTTAATGGCAAATGAAAAGGAGGTTTCGTTTATGCTTTCTTGCAATGAAAACAAAATGAAAAAGAGCCGAGAAAGAAGAAGGGTTAATTGAAGGGGGTGAAATGTTTATAATTAGCGCATGCGCGCGCACAATCATCCAATCCATCATCTTAATAGCGATCTTAAATAGGTAACACCAACGTCGACGACAACAGCAGCAAGCCTACATTAACCAAGATCTCTTTACTACACTTGGACGATAAAAATCAAGAGGTGATCCAAGATGTGTGGACAGGACAAGATGAGATTCTCAGAGTATCAGCCATTCAGCAAGATCTGCAAAAGATTGGGCCTGGAGATGTACCAAACACATTCTGGTTTCGGTAAGAGCAGCATTCGCGAATGGACATTATAGCACAAGCAACTAACACAGGTTTAGTATCTTTACTCAATTAAACGGTAGTCAATGCCAATACGAATCTGGCAAATTTAAAATCACCACAGATATATAAATACACTTTAAACTGATGAACGCACACAAAGTGTGTAACAATCCAATTATCACATCTCCTTCTAAAAAGACCTCTCTCTACATTTCTGTAAATTACAGCCTATACAAACAAGTATAGAGTCGTCCCCCCCCCCTCATTGATTAATATAAAATAGCTTGATTTTATTTAATTGTCTTTCTTCTTTTTTGTTTCTCTTTTTCTTGACTTGTATACATACTCTTTCTCACTACACATAAAAAAAAAAAAATGAAATTCTCACTCACAGCCGCCTCCATCTTTGCATTTGCCTGTTTATCTGCTGTCAAGGCTGACAGCTATTCTGATGCCATTAAAGAATTCTGTGATGGTAAAATGGAATGAACATGCAGTCATGCCCATATACAAGACCACTCATCTTTGTCATTACACTAGGTATTGAAGTCACTGCTCCTATTGATACTGATGTGTTTGTTGCTGGTCAAAACGCTACAGTTACTGTCAGTAAGTTTCTAAATGATGGCGGAGATCCTCGATTCATATAGACTAATTAACGGCTGTTATTTTTAGCTCGTATCCCCAACTCTCATGAAAAGACAATTACTGGTCTTGATGTATGTAGACATACTCCAATCACCCAGAATCCATACTAACATCTCTCTCTCTCTCTTTAGTTATACTCTGTTGATGCTTCCGGCAATCCCAAATATGTTCAAAATACTTGGACTGGTCAATACAGCTTAAACACGCAAGCATCCATCTCGGATGACATCCCTACATCTGTTACTGCTGGATACTATTATTATCGGTAAGCATGCCTAGCAGCGAAATTCTTATGATAACGATACTAAGCAACTACTGTTACAGTGTCTGGGTCACCAACATGATCAATGGTCAACATGGTCCTGACTGTGTCAAGACATCTCGTACATTCAAGGTCACTACTGGCTCTCATACCAACGATGCTGGTGTCACATCCTATGCAGAATCCTTGGATGACCACAGTTACTTTAAGCCTGAATTCGCAAAGGGTTGTTTCGGTCTCAGTGTCAAGAGCCCTGCTGAGGGATCTACTCAAAAGCAAGGTGAACATGTCTCTGTTCAACTGAGCCGTGATGGTGCTTCTCAAACTGATTCCCTGACCAAGGTTGAGATCTACAAGTATGTTGATGGCGTCAATGATGAATCTGTCCACACTGTCTGGTCTGGTAAAGAAGGTCTTACCAATGCTTTCGTTGTCAAGGACCACTTGAACATTCCTAACCTCGATACCAGTGCTTCTTACTACTACAAGCTGGATGTTACTAGTCAAGTGAAGGGTGAAACCTGTAGTTTCCAATCTGGTGCCTTCAAGGTTACCGCATAAACATCTGTATCCGCTGTATTGTAACACTACTACTATTCCATTCTTGCTTTTTTTTTTTTTTTTTTTTTTTTTTAGAGACTAAACTCATAAATATATTCCACCATCCACTACATTTTATATATCAAAAAATAAAATTATACAACAATGTTTCAATCCATGTGAGTTTCACTAAAAGAGACTAGATTTAATGTACGTGGATGTGCTTTCTGTGCCATCCAAGGGCAAATCAAAGAACAATTTCCGAGCAAGATCAGCATGTTGGTGATAGTTGGATCCGTTTTCAAACACAAGACCGCCTCTTTCTATGCTGGATTTGTTGAGCTCGATCCATCTTGTCCAAAACTTTTCAATGGCACGATTGATAATCGCTGGCAAATCATACCACACATTGCGCTGCTGATCTTGTTGCTGATAGATAATGGATAGTACTTCAACGGCTACTTGACGCTCAGCAGGATCAGTGAACCAGCCCAAGAATGACTCTACAGCCAATGCAAAGTTGAATTCTTCAGGTGTCTTTTCCAATACAATGGGGTCTCTAGGCAAGCTGTGGTTTCTAATGCAAAGGCCCTTGGATTTATCCAGAATAGACCACACTTGAGGAAAGAAATTGCAAGATGGTACTCGATTGAGCGCACCATCATTCTTGCGACGACGCAACCAACGACCGTTGGCATTGGGGAAAAAGTTGTGCAGGTTCTCCATCGTGATTTGGACATTTTGGTTGTTGGCGAGTTCTTTGTCGAGGACATATGTCTTTTCGATCAATTCAGTAGGACCCTCCGTGGACAGTTGATGACCCTCTACAATGTGCTCGGTATCACCTAATATTCATTAGCAACATTATTAGTTGCATTTCATGATTTAACCTTTTACAAGGCACCACACTACCTTTTTCACCAATAAATACATATGAATCTCGGTATTGCACATCATCAATCTTGGTGCTTCCCAATTGTTGCAATGTAACAATCGCTTCATGGGTTAGGTTTTCAATAAATTCGTCCTTGGAAGCAATGACAATAACAATGCCCTTTGCAATGGAATGAATGAACTGAACAAACGCTCTGCTCTCCTCTTCAGAGATGTGGGTATCAAACGATGCACGCTCCAGAATGCTGTTTTGGCTGCGATCAATAGCCCAGACATGGATACCTCTTGAATTCGCTTCCATCACGATGCCGTTGATTTCCACCTTGGCAAAATTACCGGAGAAATAGCCACCAGACTGTGCCTTGATGGACAGGCTGTTCTGGATGTCCGAAATAAGCGGAATGTAAGCGTTATCGTGTGCTGCCTTTTCGTTCTTGTAAGCAGAGTTGTTGGTAGACAGCATCAAGAAGCCTCCAGGACGATCTCGTACCACCAGGTTGTTCATACGACACAGACGAGGGCCAGACAAGACTGTGAATAACAAGGATTCCAGCTCAAAGGGAGAGAGCTGCATCAAATGCTCGACTGATTCTTCCTCATCGCTGTTGTTGATACGGCTGATTTCTTCTCTCAGGGCAATGATGATGTAGTGGGTTCTCAGACGAAGAATACCCTCAAACATGTCAGGCTGGGTGCGAATGAGGTTACCCAAGTAAATGATGATTTCTTGCACAACAGGACCTTCACGCACATCATCCATACTAGTATTTTGGAAAAAAAAAAAAAAAAAAAAAAAAAAAAAAAAAAAAAAAAAAAAAAAAAAAAAAGTTAATTAGCCGTCTGCTATACCAAGAACATGAGCTATAAATACATACCAATGCTCGCTGATCATCTTGTTTAAAGTGTCTGGTGCAACAGGCATAGAAATCAGGTATTCCTGAGGTCCTGATCCAATGCTAACTTGTTTTTGTCTAATAACCAGATCTGTGATATTAATAGTCAAGGAAGGGACATTCTTGTGCAACAAGCCTGCTGCTTGTCTTGCAATAGACCAGTATTTTGACTTTTTGGATTTCAAGTAGACCTCTTCCAAGAGCTCCAAGATGGTGGTTTCGAGTGCTTCCACATAATAGCTCATGGGTCTGCATGACACCATGTACTGCAGTAAATCTATCGATATCACAACATATGAGCATGTCTCCCCTCATTCGTATGAAACACAAGACTAACCTATTTGATCGTATAGATTCACTGAGGCTCTTAAACTTTCAACAGCTTGATCAAACTGAGATGAGTCGCCCAACGTCAGAGATAGCATCTCATGAGGTGAGCCTGATTGATCTGGGATTTGCTTGGGCACACTGCCAGTCTTGTTGGTGGTGGATCCAGGTGTAAAGATGCCTGATGTGGGCGATTCAGACATGACTGGTTGTTTGCTGGCTTCGTGGTTCTTGAGCTTAAATTGCTGATGCTGTTCAGAATTGGCCTTTAATTGACTAAGAGCATTAGCTAACTGATCAAAGTAATTCTCATCGTGCAGCTTGTCCAAGGGAGACGCCAAGGACTTGCCATAGAAGGTTGTGTTTTTACGCTTGGGTGTTCTTCCACCGCTCATCAAATCACCGCCAGGCGTGCGATGACCAGGCGTACTTGCTTGTGTCTTGTGCTCGTTGTATCCCAGCTTCTTTTTGTGGGTGCGAGAGGCATGAGCCACGCGCAAGATGCGTTTCCAATTGACTTCAGGCTTGTTGATCAGGAAATCCAACGATTGTATGTTGCTGGTATTGATGGTCTCGGCCAGTCTGCACAACTTGACGCGGACATCACCTTCACAAGCATAGCCGCCACGGAGATTGGTAAAGAAGTTGAGTAAGTTCTTTTTGGATGCATCGGCCGAGTTGGAGAGCAAGATGTTGCTGCTTTCTTTGGTAGTGCCTAGCAAACCGTGCGATAGCAGGACGATCATAGTAGGACGGCCTGGATAATACCAGTTCTTCTTGGTAAAAGTGAGCTCATTCTCAAATTCAGATACCAAATAGTCGGGGTCCGCATTGATGTAAAACTCGTTGTTATCCATGAAGTGAGGAGTGAATGCGTATGTCTGCCCTTGGATCTTGTAGAAGCGGGATGTGCCTAGCACACCGATAGGTCGCTTGGGTCGACCTGTCATTTCCATCTTACTGTTGAGTCCTAATCCACTATACACATCGACCAGTGCTTGAGGAGGCAAGACAGTCGTAGTAGTTGGGATTTGGTCCAGTGTTTGCGTTTCAAGACCATAGGTGGAGAGTGCAGCTTGCAGTTGCTGATCTTCCGACAGGAGCACAATCTGGATCATGGTGTCTTTAACCATCTTGGTGCTGTTAAAGCGGCGACCAAGTGGATCTACTTCTGAAGGACTGAGAAGATCTTCCGTGATCAAACCACCTAAAAAGTACAGCGACAAAGCCCACACTAGGGGTACATTTTCATTGGGCACACGCTTTTGCGAATGTGGGTTCTCTTTTTCTGCATGAATGCTCTCAGCAGGCACATAATACAGCTCGGGCAAAAGAGGAATGTGGATAGCATCGTCGTCATCGTCTTGTTCATTGTCAGTGTCTTCGTTGATGTGGTTCAAGGGAATCGAGTCCGAGCGAGTATGGTGATGCCAGGTGGTGGATGAGCCGTTGCTGGAGTTGGATTTACTGGGCAACGGTCTGGCCATGGTGGCTGAATCCACAATCAAGGGCTGCAATTTCTGTCTATAGTTTTCAGCTTGCTCTAGATCTCCTGTAAACAGACCCTCCAAGACCATGTACGTGAAAAACAAGGGCCATTCTGATTCGATATCCTCAAACACCTTCAGTTCATTGGGATCATAGTACAAGCGAGATGTATCTTCCACAGCCGTTTGATGTCCGTCTCTCAAAAATCGCTTCATACCGTATTTTCCTTCCAGTTTCTTGATGGCTTCATCCCGGGTGCGTTGAATCAACTCGGGATCGTCCACGGCAAATGCTGGAAACCCAATAATCGACAATACGGATCCATCAATCTCCTTGGAATTCGATTCTCGAGGCAAAAAGCTGTGCAATGTCGTGGCGTTTCGAGTCAGCTCGTCTGGTAAAACATGAATCAACTGCAAAAAAAAAAAAAAAAAAAAAAATGTTAGTATTTTTTACCGTCTATCTTGTGTAACTGCCAGACTTACAGATGAGGGACCACCATGAGCTCCAAATAGATTGACACCATTGATAGCACGGAGTGCTGCAACTGCCATACCGATAGATGAGGAATTCAACTCGGGCTGGCCATGATTGATCTTGTTGCCTCTCTCCCAGATACCGTAATCAGGCGTGCGATAAGCACCTGCGCATGGCTGTTAGTCACGGGTGGTCTGACCGTTTGTTTAGATCCATCGACTTACGTTCGATATAAAAAACAAGATTCTGCACAAAGTCCACTTCATCCTGAGAGTAGATGATGTTGAATCCTCCAGATGTCATGTCAGCCAACGCCAGCAAGAAAAAGCTGGTCGCATCAATCTGCAAATGGCCCCATTCAAAATCACCCACTACCGTTTCGCCTGTCTGTGTATTGTACTTGGCGTGCAGCGAATGCTCCAGTGATTGCGTTTGCTTAAATTTCTCGACTTTGGCTGACTGGCGCATCATGGCAAACAGCAAGCCTCTCATCAGTTTGACCACAGAGTATTGAAGCTCAACTAAATCATTGGTTTAATCAACACAAATACGGAACACACATCAAGCGGGCAAAGACTTACAGGCTCTTCCGGTGTTGTCATCTAATCGCTTGTACGCCAAAGCTAATCCGTACACTGCGTATATAGAATACACATTATCTCTGCATGTTGGCATCTGTTTTAGCATCAATGCTGCTTTTTAGACTAAACCCTTCACGGTATTTAGCCTCTTTTCCTTTCACATACCTAACCCAAGCATCCGTGTAGTCTCCATGGCTCTATACCATCAGGTCAATATGACCCTAACCCCTCGTTTGAATGTATTGACTTACCGTGATGGCTGTAGAAGCAGGCATCAAGCCACTTGAGGCATTTTGCTTTGCAATGATGGTCCTGTTGATGACCTTGTAGTAGTAGTCCAACCTCTCCTGTGTATACTGTCTTGATGATATCGTCATTATCTCTTTTTTTTTTTAGAGAGAGAGAAAAAAAAAAAGGAAAAAAGGAAAAAGAAAGAAGGGTCAATGTTCAATACGATGGATGATCCATCCCTTTTTTATATTTTGATGCGGAGATGTCCTTTGCTCATGAAAAAGGCGGGGTTGAGCATCCATGAGTGATAAACAATCATGTAAAAATGGATGAGATGATTGTCATAAGGGAGTGCTGTAACGTATAGCCATGGATCGCATGTTGATGGTAGAGTGTTTGAATTAAAAGTAGCAATTACAGGAATATATACACACACATATACACACGCACATGCCATTGTCATTTTTTACTGATAAGACGACGACGACGACGACGAGAGACATGGCAGAAAGATAAAAGGTATATCAACAGATCAAGCAGCATAGGTTGTTTGTTTTGTTTTTTTTGCTGTTACCCAACACCATTTGAGTAACTGTTTATGACTTATCATGTGATTGCAACTGATAGGTGGTACTGTACCTGATAAAAGTTTGTTCCTGGATTTAGATGCCATATTTGCTGTTTCAATTAGATGGCAGCAAAAAAAAAAAAAAAATTAGCCTCATCATAAAAGAGGCTCAGTAAAATCCTGGTTTCAAGCAGTAATAATATCCCTTTGATGGCTCCTGCATGCACTTTCCTTTCTGATGACGTGCTTTTGGAAGGGTATGTTTTGCCTTCTCCTTTTGTACATTTCACATTGTTCATTCCCATTATCGTGTGTAAAGTGTGAATATGTATAAAACCCTATAGTGCTTGTTCCAAAGACAAAGAGACAGGGCAATCAAATGTATTTTTTTCAAATGGAATCAAGGGGGGGGGGCCAGAACACCAATAGAGTAATTTTTATCATTGATTGTTGCATGTAAAGTATATAAGATGAGGTCCTCAGGTTGAATCGAAAAAAGACAGAAAGCTTCTTTCTCTTTTGAAAAATGGAACAAAATCAACAAGGGCAGCAAGTGGTGCTACTAGGAGAACGCAGAGAACAAGAAGAACCAAGTATGTCTCTTCTATATTTCACTGAGGCCATCTTTCAATCACTGACTTGTGTACATCTAGGTGCTGCCTGCCAGATTTGCAGGCGCAATGGCTTTAGAGGACACAAAGGAATGCTTATCCATCAATCAAAGAATGTATTGTGTAGAGAAATGCGACGTCTAGTCGAGGCTCGTGAGGCATTAGTGGGAGCTGGTCAAGCAGAAGGTAGAAATGCTGTTGTTGAACGGACTCAGCATGAACAGGTCGTAGAAGAGCAAATGGAACAAGCACCAGCACAAGAGCAAGCTGCTCAACCAACAACACTCGTTGGTAAAGCATGTGCTAGTGGCAAGGAATTCGTGGGGGCTATCTTTAAGCTTATTCAATGGATTTTCAAAATCATTTATTCTCTGATGATCTTGTTCCTTGGATTTTCAAACATCTACTTTTTGTATCTGTATCTGACCGAAAAAGCGCCCATTATCAACAAAAGCACCTATCTACTATCGCCCAATTTCGAGGAGGAATTTAGGATCATGTAATCGCTACATTCTTTCTCATGTATAGATCATAGCACACATAGATGTGAGCTGATAGTTTGTCTTAATAAATAACATTATATCGCATTCAAGCATGCCTCACCGACGTTTTTCTTGAATCTGCTGGGCTGGAAGAGTGCATGGATTGTATATAGACTCCTGTTTTATAGTATGATGACTGTAGTATAATGAATTGACTTGCAAGAGCACGAAAAGCAAAAATATCTCTGTACACATTCATTGTAAGTGGGTTGAAATCAATATTTACACCATTTTGTCAATGTATATACCACATCTGACAGATTCCTTCTTAAATCATGATTGATGTGCAAATCTTTATTAATTACAAGCCAGCTAGTTTCGAGAGTTTGATACGACTGTATGATATATACTGATCCAACTGCTAATCCTTTCAATGTCTTTGTCTTTTAGCTGTGTGCTTAGCAGCATGATTCAATGAGTGAGAGCGCATTCTAGGCTCTCGCTCATCTCTCCGTTTATTTCCTTGTTTAAGCACACTTAAACTCTCATCTGGTTGTTTTTGAGCTTCTTTTTTGGCCTGCTGATGTCTTTTGCTAAGCTTTTTGGCACGTTCCTCGCGATCCAGACTCTGCTTCTGTTTTCTCGCTAACTCCTCTTTTTTGGGTGCAGGTCCAGACGTTGTAACTTCAGTCGACCATTGATCGTTGTCGTAGGCTACCGGTGGCTTTTTAGTGGAAGGTTGCAACGCATCTTTAGATTTAAAACTTTGCTTTGCTTGTTTTGGTTGCATGTCATACTGCTGCTGTTTTACAGGAGCCAACTCTTGCTGTTGTGGTTGAGATTGAGTAGATACAGCTTCTTCAACATGAGTGAGAGACATCCCTAACAGCTCTCGGATGCCTCTCAACTCAGCAGAGAGCCGCTGTTGCTGGGTATTCAAATCCTCAATCTCTTGCGCATGTTGCCGTTGACTAATCAATAGAAACAGAACCAGTCTTTTTATGCGGGTTAAGGACGCATTTCCACTGTTAACGAAAGCTGCAAGTTCGTCCATTTTGAGTATGTTTGAGCAATTGGATACAAAGAAGAAAAGCAAACCAATCATTTATGATTTATTTATATAGCTTCCCGGCTATTATCAGAACTTGATTATGCATTTTAAATCAATGCTTACAATAATGCATGTGGGAAAAAAGCTTTGAATTCTGTCGTTCAAGAGATTAATTAAGAGATTCACTTGAACCAGGTATATCATAAAGCTATCACTGATGATGCTACGCCATCGTAAACATAAATCAACAACCACATCATTACGCGCATGTGAATCAATAGGGTTCACCTTCAAGTATCATGCAATTTTGACATTTTGCATTTCGCATTAAAATTTGCATTTGAATGCGCAATTTGCTTCAAATTAAGCCACAAGATATTCAAATATACAAACAGAATAGCTACCCTAAGCCAAATTACTTTTCAAATCATAACACCCTTCTTGTTAATAGCTTTCAGAGGCATCAATTGCTTCCACAATATCAGTAGCATTGGTTAAGCCACCAACCAACAGCCACCACCACCACCACCACCACCAAAACCGATTGAATCATCGCTCAACTTTCCTATTTACATTGGACAGATTTGAAGCAACTTCGACTTGATTAAACTATTTTGCAAGATTTGACCATGTCAATTGCCATGATCATCCCATACTTCCTAATGCGTTTCTAGAGTACTTTTCGAGACGCATCCAATGGTAATAATTTTAACGGATGTTTTGAATAAACGTATTGAATCATTTACGAAAATATGAAAAGAGGTTTCTGGCCAAAAAGTCGAGATTTTACATAGCAAGGTCCCACAAAGATGATTTCAGGGATTACGTTAGATCGATAAAAGCATTTCGATTCAATATATACCATAGTAAAAGTCTTCATTTTCAAGGTCAAAAACGCGATCGTTTGATTTTCGATGAAAGCCATGAGGGGGGTACTTGATGCTTTTTGGTCAATTTTTGGCCATATTTTTTTTTGGTCCCCAAAAAGTTGAGCAAGGGTGGCAGGAAGTTAGTGCTAGATGAGAGCAACTGTTTGATGCTATTCTGACAATCTAAAACGGCCGTGAACGCGAGAAAACGCGGCTCAAATGCATCTAGCTTTCACTGTGTTTTACACATTTTTGAATCGTTAGAGGCGCCACAGGTATATAAGCTTGCATACATATGAGTCGTCTCCGTTGATATTTACGTGGAGCATCGTAGAAGACTTGTATCTACACCTACAGGGTGTATATGGAGAGTATCTATATGATAATAGACAGTGAAAGGACGTCGTTTCAAGAGGCATTTGCAGGCTTTATTTTGGTTGGAACGAACAATTTCTTTATTTGGAGCAAGATGGATTCAGGTACCAGTGACCTTTCAATTCCATGTGCCACAAGCTTTCCTCTTTTTACTTTTTTTTTTAGATGAACAAGGACATTTTTTTTTATACTACAGTGTGTATTAATGTTGAAACTGTTTAAACTCTGCAATTCTGATGAGCAAGTGTATATGTGGATATGAATCTAACAAGGTATGTAGTAAAGCAATGGAAATTAAGGGTGTGCAAGACGGAAATGACTAGTGAATTATATAGGGCGTGGATGTACAGCATACACTTTTTGAGATTGTACTATTTGCAGCTTTCTCGATGATGGGGAGGATGACGCATAGGAAAGTTCAGGAGTAAATGTGGGTGATGCAGGTAATGATGTGAGTGAGTAGTTGTGGGATGATTGTAGTGCAAAAGCCGCAATAACAGGATCGATCTGTGGCGCTTGTAATGGTGGTTGGGGAGCATGTAAGCCAAATGGAGCAGGTGGATCAGGTGGAAGCGGATATTGAGGTTCGTACGAGTGGTATTGAGGCCTATTGGGCGATTGCTGCTGTTCGCTTACCAAGAGTTTTGGTCCTGGTCCTGGTAATGGCTTTGCTCTTTGTGCTGGCAATGGCTTTGCTCTTGGTTTGATCGATTTTGGTTGAGATTTACTTTTACTACGAGGCGCCGGCTTGACAGCGTCCTTTCTTGTGTGGCCACCTGCAGATGGTGTTGAAGGCACTGGTGGTGATGCTGGTGGTGCTGGGACAGCTGGTGATGGTGGAGGAACCACAATTGGCTTCTTTCTTAATGGCCAATCCAACTCGTAGATCTTGTAGTGTCTGTAACATCGAGAGCACAATTCTCGACCAGTTGAAGTGATGACCGTCTTGTACTCTTTTGCTGCCGGGCAGCATGTTGCTGCATTCACATCACCAACGACAGATCCCTCTGTATCCGAGACATCTGACAGGTCGTCAAGCCATTCATAGAATTGAACGAGTTCCGAGTCGACAGGCATCGGATGTGATGTTGGTGGAGGATGAGGTGACATCAATGAGCGTTCACGGTGACTCACATTATTCATGTATGTGTTTGCTGTCTGATATGCTCTCCAAGTTGAATAAGTCTGTTCAGTGCTCTGTGTGAATGGCTGAATGTGAGGGCTGGCTGCTTTGGGAGGCCATTGAGAAGGAGGTTGTTCATTGCATATGAAACTGAGGTCCATTTCAACTGGTTTTTGCATCTTTGTACGATGATTGATTTCCATCTCCTCTAGGTCATCAATTGTCATATCCTCAATAGTGTCTTCCAGTGATTTCCCATTTGTGATTTCGACGAGTGGTATAGTGTTGTTTGGAGACTCTTCTTTGTTGGCTTTTAGAAGGGTTGCTTTTTGTCTTTTTGGAGATGAAAGCACATCTTTGTCTGAAAGATGTGCTTGTTAGACAAACACACACACACACTCTCTCTCTCTCTGTCTCTCTCTCTCTCTTTCTCTACAACCAACACTTACATACATAATCCACTTCCTTCTTGACACGTCCACTCCTACGGATACCAGTGTTCTCGTCTTCTGTGGGTGTCTCAGGGGTACTGGTATCATTCTTTTCAGTTTCCTCAGAATCACTCTTTTCCACTCTAAAACTGCCTTCCTGCATTCTTAAAGAGAGAGAGCCTTATTATCTATGCACACATCACCCATTGTACCACCGTTTATTACCTTTCACAAGACAAACATCTGCACTCACAATTGTCTATGCCAAAGTAATGATCCCCATAGTAGACTGTCATTTCCTCTCCTCGACAAATGTCCCTTTGCACCTTGAATGATATTGTGTTCAGCTGAGGCGACGTAAACTATAGTCCGAGGTGTCAATGCAGCAGATCAATGGATGTAACAGCATCAACTTACTTCGCAATTGGCGTCACAATCATGCTGGTTCAAAGGAGGATCAGTTACAGCGCTAGAAAACGACTGATAAAATACACTACTTACATTCATAAATCGAGCAGGACCAAGAAACAAGCAGGTGCACTTTTTACGTGTTGACACCATGACACTGAAATCACGTCCTTCACTCTTTAACTTTGCGTCGTCTTCCTTTGTCAAATCTACTATGGCGCCTGAACAACACTGAACCGTTTCTCCTGCTGTCCAATCTCTTGTTGCTAATATACATGCCTCCATGGTGCCAGTGTATCTTGTTGTAGAGCTCACCTCGAATCCCGCTTGATGTGAGAACCTGATATATTCGGAATCAATCAGCTTGGCTCTCATTGAGTCAGCACACTGCTTACATGAGTATGTATCGCCTCAGATGTTGATGGAAATATCGAGCTTCTTTAAGAGACAGCTTGGATATATAGTCTTTGAAATAGGGAAACCTATGCGGCATCATTGAATGAGTTCAGTCCTACGCTCTTCTCGCTATTGCTCATATGTTGACTTACTCCAAAAAGAGCTTCACCCCAAGCTTGATGCTTTGTTCTGGAGAGCCTGGACGGCTGACTATTTGCTGTATCGTTTCAATTGCCATTTGCTGTTCTCCTGTAGCATGAATTGGATCGCTATTCATCCTAACTGTCGTGAACCAGAGGTACAAGTTGTCTAGAAAGTAGCTAGCCAGGATATCATCATGCTTGGATAGTATTTTGAAATCCATGTTGCTTGTGTGAGTGTATATATATATATATGTGTGTGTGTGTGTGTGTGGACGAAAGAGATCAGGAAATTGGGTATGTGGACTGGTATGGATCTGATGTTCCTTCCTTTTTCTTGCTTTGGATAAGTGGGTGTAGCTAATTGATCGTGTAGCGTTGATAGAGATGCAATTTTCGTATGTAATAACAACTGTTCAACTGCTATAATCACTACTACCACGATGAGCACTTGACAAAAAAAAAAAGGTCAGAAAATGGGAATACCCAAACAAATTTTTATATCATTCTGCAAAAGTTTAAATCCAACAGGATGATTGTCCCTACACGTGATAAGCGGCGCGTCTTGACAAGGTAAGGTGTTTGCGGGTTAGATTGATTGAGATCATTGCTAGTGAATAAAATTGATAACCTATGAAGCGTGTCTAGCAGGACCCTGGCAAATGTTGGCCGACTGTCTGATTGCTATTACGTCCATTGCTTGGCAGTTCCGTTCAAAACGACAAGCCATGTTATTCAATCGCGGATCTGTAAAAAAAAAAGGAATCAGGGCTTGAAATGAGCAACGTAGAAGCTGGCTTTTACTCAGTAGTCAATTTTATCAAGCAATACAGTGCCTGGAAACAAAGGTTACTACTAATGACTGAATAAAAGAAATGTGTCGCACTCAAGCAGATGAGTTTGGTAAAGTAAGATACATATATCCTTGATAACCATCTGCAAACAGAAAAAATACTTCATTTTTGATCAGGACTCAATCTGCCGTATAGATGGTACCACGAGTTCATTTGATTTCAGTATGAGATGAGAGCTGTATCTCTAATATCTCACCGAGATTCTATATCTTTAAGGCATGTCCGTAATGAACACGTTAGACACCTGCATTCTGTAGCCATGCTAATAGCAAAGTTCATTATGAAGGATGCTGCTTGATTCTTATTAAATGACCGAAGCGGGGCCTGTTGATTTCTGGAGATGCTTAATATAGAGGATGCAAGATTTATATGAAGCTTCTTTCTCATTTCTTGCACACATTTAAAAAAAAAACATTAAGGATGTCTACGCCCAACAACCCATTCTATGAGCTTAGCCCTGAAATCAAAAGCCTGCTTGCCATAGAAACGTTTCGAGTAAGGCCTCTCATGTCACATCAACGGTCTCGTGTAAAATGACTATACTTATACAAGAGCGTATTCCATAGGAAAATGTGTCTACAACAGACTTTATAGAGAGGATATCAAGTGGCGTGATAGGACAAATGGAGAGCAACAGTAAATATACCACACCACAGTCGCTATATATCACCTCATTTAACACGGGTAATGATAGCAACCACAACGGCGTTTGATCCCAAGCCTTTTATTCGTACTTTTGAAAGTGTCTTGGAAGAGCTTCATCAGTTACGAACACGTGTACAGCACCAGTGTAGCGAATTGGAAACCAGTGCTCAAGCAGCAGAACAAGAGTACAAGAGAAATATCACAGACCTACATGGCGCTTTTGATGTGAGTGTTTGGATTCTGTATTAGGGTCGTTTGTTGCTAAGACGCACACACATTCACGCAGGATGTATACCGCTCCTATGATAGCTTAGAGAGCAGAATTGGCGAAGTTGGCAAAACAGCGATTCGTATTGGTGAACAGCTAGAGACGATTGATAAAGAGAGATCCAAAGCCTCCGAAAGTCGTGATATTATCGAGTATTTTATGGAGTTCCAGGATGGCAATACTGAGCGATTGGACACACTGCGACAAGGTGGAGAAGAGGGACAACTCAAGACAGCCATCATTGCAAGAAGATTGAACGCAGTGGCTAAAGAGGTGGACAACGATGCAGATGCCAAAGTCGCTATAGAAAAGTTTTGTGAAAGCTTTGAAAAAGAAATCCTGGAAGAGTTTGACAAGGCTTATGAGGAGGGCGATCCTCGTGTGATGGCTGTAAGAGACATTTTGCTGCTGAGTGGATTTCAACATGACATGGAGACTGACCTTTTGAAATAGCACTGTGCCAAGGTTTTGTTTGAATTCAACGGTGGTGCTTCTTGTGTGCAAATCTATGTGAACCAGCACGAGTTCTTTATGTCGAATATGAAGATTGAAGAGATGGACCATGTACGAGATTCCGAGGACAATGCCGACTTATCCAATCCCAACCTATTGCCACCCGAGGTCGATACCAGTCTAGTGAAGCTATACGATGACATTCGAATTACTGTGCGTCGAGAAGCAGGCATCATCTCGAGCGTGTTTCCCCAGCCTGCGACTGTGATGCAAGTGCTTTTGCAGAGAATCTTTGCTCAATCCGTAAGTATATACAACACGCAGTTTGATTTATAATGAAATCCCAACTCGATATTAGATCCAAGACCACATTGAGCTCTTGCTGTCGAGATCTCAGAAATACTCTCATCTAGCCTACCTGCGTACACTGGCATCGACACATGCAGAAACAAAACGTCTGATTGAGAATTTGAAGTTCTATTGCGACAAGGAGGTGTCTCTCAAAGATGCAGCAGATGTCAATGGACTGGTTACATCCGCTTCCCCTGACGAGACCTTGGATCGGTGTATGGATGACCTGTTTGTGCCGTACACAGAGGGCGATCGCTACCTGCGCAAAGAAGTGGAATCACTGTCTGAGCTGTTTGGTAACATTGTATCTGAATTCCTGAGCGCCATGCAGCGTCGAAAGATGACATCCACACGCAACCAGTCTGTACTGACCAGAACACTGAACCAGATTTCATCCACATCTACAGCTGCGGGTATTTTGTCTCCTTCCGTGTCGTCACCCTCTGCATTGAACGAGCTGGCTCATCAAACGAATGCCAGTACTAATCCATTTGAAAAGAAGCAGCCGCAAGCACAACACCAGCAGCAGCCATCACGTGGGGTAGATGCAAATACGGTTACTGTGGACGATAGTGGATTTACACTGCTTTCACCTGATGCTATTATGCGTATTCTCCATATACATGCAGAAGCTGTTATTCGTTGCGTGGAATTAGAAGATCAGCAAGTATTGTAAGGAACAACTCTCAACCTTTTTTTTTTTTTTTAGTGTTGTTTTATTTCGAGACTAATTTGACACTACATGAACAGGGTGACATCGCTTGGCCAAATCTACAATGTGCTTGTGGATTTTGTAGGTCAAAAATACCTGGATATTGCCATGGACGAGTACAGTATCTCGAGTGTTTATGCGTGCGGGCAGCAACTTACCATCATGACATAGTATTCTCGATGATTTGAACAATGTCAAGGAACCCGAACTGGCTTGCTTCCCAGTGATTAAATCAGCAACGGACATCATACAGCTGATGCAAAAGCACTTTGAATCAGCCATGGTAAAAGGCCATCCTAGACATGTGTTGTTGGCATGTATTCATGTATCATTGTTTTGGTAGTTGCCCTTGGTTGTCGGTATCCCATCCACGCACAGAGACATCCTGTCGCTCAAAAACACATTCATGGCTATACTAGAGAGAAAGATCAACATCGTGCTCCAAAAGAGTATTGATGGTATCACCTACTGGCTGAGCGAAATTTTGAGTCGTCAAAAGAAGAACGATTTTAAGCCCAAGGACGAAGAAGGAGCCATGATGAGTATGGGCACTTTACCGTGCATGCAGTCTGTGGATTTCATCACACGTGTCTACAGAGCGGCATCTCAGGCTTTGCAGGGCAAGAATTTTGAAGCCTTTCTTAGGCGCATCGGCAACGCCTTTCACTCGTAATGTATACACCCGTATATTGAGGTTACAGACAAGAAAGCTAATTTCCTCTCCATTTAGCATGTTGTTGGAACACTTTAAAAAGTTTAATGTAACCCCAACAGGCGGTTTATTGGTTACAAAGTAAGTTTATTTTGATATTTAATATAATGAACACAAATTAATCATGTTTAAATATTCAGGGACATTGCCAAATACCAAGAAGTCATCAAAATGTTCAAATTACCTGGCCTGGATGAGAGATTTGAAATGTTGAGACAGTTAGGAAACATTTTTGTTGTCAAGCCAGAGATTCTAAAGTCTATTCTGTCCGAAGGCTATCTCGCCAGACTGGATCCTTCTGTGCTCTATCCTTACCTGGAAAAGAGAATTGATTTCAAAACTGCTAAATTGGATCGCTTACTGGGCATCTCTATAGATGATAAGAACCCTGCCGCTGTAGCAGAGCAAGAGAAATCGCTTGTCAAGAATGGCAAGCCCCAGAGAAGATCACTCTTTGTCAATGATAACGAAGTGCTCAAGGACATTATGAAGAACTACACTCACAACCGTGATTTTTTAGCTGCATTTAATCTCTCATAAGCTTATTAAAATGTGTATTACTGTGCAACAAAGCTAGAAGAAGGATAAGGTTTCCAATGTCTCATTTGTCGTGGAGGCATTTACTCTGTCTCTCTCATATACGTATCTGCATCTATTTATACACGCCAACTCTGCTTAATTCAGGGACAAAATCAATGTAAATATATAAATTGCCATGTCCCCCCCCCCCACTTTGATTATCTGATGGAAATCAACTGTTCGGTCTGTGTAACAGGTGAAACAATAGGAGGATGATCTTTTTTTTTTTTTCAAAATGTTTCGATCAGGACACACCTCGACTTACTTATTTCAATAGACACAAATCACAAGAAACAAGGCCTTCAATATCAGTAAACAGCAGGGCGTTGTTTGTCTGCAAGATATGAGATGTTTGAATAGATTAAATTCCATCATTTATTTTTTTAATTTGTACCTTTTAGTAGGGCTCAAATAAACTTGATGAAATACAAGGTGCTACAAGAAGAGATCGACGGGATAACATCAACTTGTTCATAGTGTGCGTCTTGAATGACCGCATATTGTCGTATTTGGTCTAGTGGACGAACAAGACCCGAAATGAGGATCTTCCAAAAGTTCTATAATATAGAGCAGCACTAAAAAACCTTGTTCCTTTTCCCTTTTTTCTTTCTCTTTTTCTCTATTTTCTCTCCCTTTTGGTTTTTCGCAAGAACATACCCATCATCTGTATACAACCCACCCATCACATACATAATGACAGCTCAATCAAATGAGAAATCCAAAAGAATAAAACCCATTTTGAATGGCTTGATCTCGGGTCTATTATTAGTAATTTTGTTCTTGTCAGTGACAAGATATTTAACAGGTATACAAAAATGGAATACCACGCCCTTGGGAGCAAACAAAGAGACTGACAGTATATAAATAGAACCACAAGACAATGATCGCTGCCATGGCATGTTGAATGAAGGCAAATGGATGACCGACGAGTATCAGCAATGGCAGCCCTCCGGATGCATGTCTCTGACATATACCCAGAAGGAAATCGACGCATGCCTAGGTCATAAAAGGATTGTGTACATTGGCGATTCCATCATGCGCGAGCAGTATTATGCCATGACCCACTTTCTCAAGAAACCAACATCGAAGATGAGAGATGCCATTCACGAAGATCAGTCATTCTACTCCAAGGAACAGGACATCTCAATCGAGATTTGGTGGGATCCTTACCTCAATACCACCAAGACACTGGATTTACTGCAAGGCAAGGTGCAAGGCCAGAAACCAAGTTTACTCATCATGGGTTCTGGTATCTGGTACATGAGACGAACTGGCAGCGACTACTTACATTTATGGAAAACAGCAGTAGACAGAGTCTTTGATGCTGCCCTGAACAATCGCATTGCCGACAAGATCATGCTATCGCCTGTGGAGATTGTGGAATACCCCTTGCTGATTCCCGAGCGCAAAGCAACCTTGAAATTCGACAAAATTACCATCATGAATAACTACCTCAGAGAGAGAATCTCATTGCTTCATCGCCCTGTGACACCCATGGTCGTACCATTTGTATGGAACGAAATAGTTACCTCTTCCAAAAATCAAACAAAGGACGGACTTCACTTTATGGAACCAGTAACCAAGGCACAAGCACAACTGGCATTGAACTATTGTTGCAACAGTGAGCACGTCAAAGTGCTCTCTTTTCCCATTGACACGACATGCTGCTACAATTACCCCAGGCCTGTTTGGTACCAAACGTTGATCTTTTGCTTCTTTCTGTTCTTTGTGCCTCTCGGGTTCTATGTATTCTACACTTCCAATAACTATGGTGGTATGTATTTGATTAATTAATGTTACTAGTTTACACCGGGGATTTTTTATACTCATAACCTTATTTCACCTCATGACATCAGGGCGTATCATGGATGCCATCAGCTGGGCATTTCCTTCTTCTGCAGAGACATTGACAGCACTCTTTGTGTTTGGCCTGGCTGTGCTTTACATGTACCTGGGTGATCGTAGCCAGCTGTTTGGAAAGATGTTCAAGCAATTTGACGCCAACACATTTACGTTATTAATTGTATGGATGGTCATCCTTGGCGCTGTTACACTAAAATCAAATCACAACAGCAGCAGTGAGAAAAACGACGATGCTGGCTTTTTAAACAGAGATCAAACTGATGAATGGAAGGGTTGGATGCAACTGGTGATTCTGATCTATCATTTTGTCGGTGCGTCCCGTATTGCTGGCATCTACAATCCTGTCAGAGTCTTGGTCGCTGCCTATCTGTTTCAAACAGGCTATGGCCACTTTTTCTTCTTTTACAAAAAGGCTGATTTTGGCATTGCTCGTATTCTCAGTGTCATGGTGCGTTTGAATCTGCTCACTTGTGTGTTGGCTTACTCGATGAAGACGGACTACTTGTTCTACTACTTTTCTCCTTTGGTCAGCTTCTGGTTTAGTGTCATCTGGATCACCATGCGCATCATGCCCAGCTACAACAAGAAGCCTTGGTTCATTCTGTCTAAAATGCTGGTCATGGCTGTGCTGACTGGTGTCATTATCCACTCTCCTGGTGTCTTGGAGTTCAGTTTTGACTGTCTCAATGCCTTGTTTCGTATCCAGTGGAACGTGACCGAGTGGCGATTCAGGCTCTCACTCGACGCTTGGATCGTATACGTTGGTATGCTGTGTGCCTATGTCACTATCCTGCTTTCAGAGTACAAGATCAGTGCAAACCATCCCCGATTCTGGTTCCTGGCTAAATTGGCATGCTTGATCATTGCTGTTTTGGGAATGATGGGATTCTTTGCGTTTGAATTAACACAATCTAAATCATCATACACGGCTTACCATCCTTATATGTCATGGGTCCCTATTCTTTCCTTTGTCGTTTTACGTAACTACACTCGCCGGGGACGTAATACTTACTCCCGTTTCTTTGCTTTTATCGGTAAGATCTCTCTGGAAACCTTTATTGGCCAATTTCACATGTGGCTGGCTGCTGATACTCGTGGTCTGTTGGTGATCCTCCCTCATGCTAGCTGGGTGGTGAAATCTCAGCTAGGCTGGTGGGTGAATCTGCTGGTGTCCAGTGTTGTATTTGTCTTTGTATGCTATCATTTGAGTCAAGCCACTGGTGTTTTGACTAAATGGATCTGTTCTGGTGCTCAACAGCAACAGAAAGACAAGGCAGCAGCTACTGTCACCACTGCAACTAGCACCGCTGACAAATCTCATCCAACATCAGCTGCTGATTCAGTGCCCTTACTACCTACCACGCACAAGACATCTTCCGATGGCGACTCCTCTGCCTCAAGCCTGTCAATGGATGACGAACTTGCTCTTACCAAAGGACCTGCTCAGCTCCAAGTAGAGCGTGCGAGTGAGGAGTCTGCTATTGATATGGACCAAGTCTGGGATGAATCACTCTACGCATCTTCGTCAAGAAAAACGTCATGGTACCAGTCAATGTACGCTTCCGTCACAGGCAATTACTGGGTCAAATCTGTCATGTGTCTGGTCGTGATGGGCATCATTAATCGATTCTGTGTTGCCGCTTGATTTCCTTCCTCTTAGATTTCTCTCCACTAATATTACCTTTCTCTATACATATTTGCAAGCTCTATATTTATTCACAATTATATAAAATCTCGTTATACCCATTTTGAAATTATACCTCTGTCTTTATCATCATGACGCCATGTGTATTGAGAATTCAGTGTGTACTGTTAGACAAAACTGAATGTAACATAACCATCTAATTTGCTCACAGCTAAGGCTCATATTATAATATGAGAGAATATAATCTTGCCTGATATATGCATGCACTTGCACAGCAAATCTTCAACAAACCCTTTCCTTCCATGGCCAGTCTATCACCACAATGATATCTGCGCATTGGTTTCGTCATTTCTTCTAAAGCAATGCTGACGTATGGAATCAGCATCCAAGCATGATTTGGTGATTCAGTCTTAGACAGTAGATTGCCCCTACTATTTTATGAGTCTTTGTGACAATACGTAAATGAAATCTCTCTTTATTCACTAATCAGATGTTATTTCACTGTTTGGCTGTGAAAACAAGGCCGCTTGATTCTTCAAAACACGCAGTGTGCAATGGCCAGCACCCTCACTCCCTAGAATTCAGACAAAAGGCGAAGTTTCTTGATGGGTTTCAATTCTACCTTATGAAAGATCTTGGAGAGTGGATGCAACATAGCACCAAGAGCAAGCAAGTGCTTCGTTTACACAGCCGTTGTGTGCATTGGTGCTTGTCATGTCACCATCAAACAAATTGCAAATCAAAATACATGGCTAGGTAGATGCCACTGATGCGCTATAGCATGTTTTTTTTTTCATCATCAATGACGACAGTTTGGAGTCTCAAGACGATCAAGAGATGTCTAGTCAGGGTCTGGCTAGGATCATGCCTTATAATCAGCGCCTTTATACAGTAATAAATGGAAGTTTTGGACTACCATTGCTGGGTATTCCGCTGTAAATGTAATATACAGATTTGCCACCAAGCCTCTGGTACTGATGCATGCGTAGTAGGTTGTGTATCGTAGTATTACCCAAAAGCTGGAGTTTCGCCACAATGTTTAGAATTGCAAATTTGTTCAAGCGTCGTATTTTTATTAAATCGTTGCATTTGTTTGACTATATACAAAGATAGTGCTGTACTGTGGGGGACTATTTACAAGCCTATACTAGTCTATGTCTTTCAGTAACATCTTACTTTTAGACCAACATCTTTCAAGGTCATTTTGATGATGAACTGCCTTTGAGGTGTGCAGTGGCTTTAGTAATCAAGCTATTCCTGTTGTAGGCTTCAGCAGCCAACTGCGGTTTGTCCCCAGTGGTATCTTTGTTTAGTACATTCTTCGACGAATGCATACGCAACGGCCAAATAAATAGACTGCTCTGGTGCTCAGAAGTAACACTACACTTACCTTGAATATCTCCATATCATCGTCGCTGCCGTAGAGCAGCCATGAAGAGAAACTTTTGCTATCGTGGTCATCCTCCCATATGTAGGGTTCGTTATCATCCTCTTCCTCATCAAACCAATCATCCTGTGAGTCACTGTGCGTCTTACTATTGCCTTCTGCTACCTTTGATGAACAAGCGCTGGAATCAGGCTGCTGGGCATTGAAGTGCATTACAGCATCAGTTGAGACTGGGCCATCGACTTGTCTTGCTGATTTACACCACTCTTTCACACAACTCGCATGATTGTGATAGCCTTCTGTTGCAATTTTATGACCCTGATTGACACTTGAGTCGTTCGCTATATGGTTTTCATTGATCGCATTGAGAAGAGCAGCTTCTTCAGGGACGTTCATGTAGCCTTGGTTCAACTGATTCAAATAAACAGAATAATCATCAACCTCAGATTGAAGCCAATCGAGATGACTGAATTTTTTATGAGAGAATGCCATGGTATGCATAAATATGGAGAGAAAAGAGGCGTCAAGAAGCATCGTTTGCCATCACAGTAGCAATGGCATTACACACCTGTCAAGAGCCAAAATCAATTCAAACTCAGTAAAAAAACGTATGCTCCAGATTGGCCAAATTTTAATGCTTTTCGACTTGATCGATTTATCTTCCAAGATTCGACTATGTAAAATGCGATGATCATCCTATGCTTCTTTAATCTGCGCCCCTGGTGGTAGGGCGAAGTGGTAAAACTCCCGTATGCCAACGGGAGGATCCCGGTTCAAATCCTGGTGAACGCAAGTTGTTTGATTTTTGACGTAGTACTGATGTCCTCGTTTGGTGTTTTGTATTCTTATCCATTATCTATTTTTGACGATTTCCGCAAGATTGCATTGGCTCTAGGTTTCGCACCTTATTAGTAGTAGATTTCTTTCCCAACTTAGTTCAAAATATCTTATTCCCCTTCATTGCAGACATTGGGTCCACCAACAGTCTTTTCTTTCCCTCAGCATGACATTTTAAGGACTTTAAATAAAACCTGGAGCTCGACTCCCCTACAAAAAAAAAAATGCTTCTTTAATCTTCCTTGGAGTGCTTTTCAAGGCGCATACAATGGTACCAAGTAAGATATATGTTTTGAATAAACTTTTTGAGTAATTTGTAAAAATAGGAAAAGAGGTTTCTGGCCAAAAAGTCGAAATTTTACATATCAAAGTCCCACAAAGATGATTTCAGAGGTTGCTTTGGATCGATAGAAACATTTTGATTCAAGATATACCATAGTAAAAGTCTTCATTTTCAAGGTCAAAAATGCAATCGTTTGATTTTCGATGAAAACCATGAGGGGTGCCTCATGCTTTTTGGTCAATTTTTGACGAATCTAAAAAAGTCGAGCAAAGATGTCAGTCATTGAGTGCTGGACTAGAGCAATCGTCTGATGCTATTTTTTACGGTTTGAAACAGTCCGTAACACGAGAAATTACAGTTCAAATGCACCCAAATTACGCTGTGGTTTGCATATTTTCGAGTAGCCAGAGGTGGAGCGAGCATACTACCTACCTAGTATGGGCTGTTATTATTGCTATAGACGTGGCACATTGCAGAAGAATCAAAATTCACATGTATTGAGAATTCTTATATCAAAATGGAGGGCTGAAAGAAAGCTTGCATTACATTAATGAGATGAACGCCTGTCAAAGCGTAGATACGCTCGTATGATCTCATGCATAGCGTGTTCAGTTGCTGAAAATCAATGTACCCATCGACAGTTACAAATTCAGAACATACATTGACAATGCACGGCAGTTGTGATACCGCCCTGAAGCCTTGACTCGCTTCCATGCAGCCATTCTACTTGTTTTACTTGGCGTATGATGATCTGCTACAACAAGTGATGTTGAATAGATTTTCAATCCTTGACTCGGTGCTATTGACTTCATCCCAATGTGAAACGGTTTCATAACAATATACTCTCTCACTGCCAAGCTGCATTTAAGGGTGTGTCAAATGTTTCTTATGACACTTGCATAATGTAATGGCTTTGCTGTGGAATATTCGTCGATAGATGTTCTCGGTATCATACATGTCCGATTTGGAGTGGTCTATATTTGGTACACATCCAGATATCCATTGACACGTCCAATCTGAGGGCTCTCATGTTTGTTTGTGGTATGACAAATGGCAGCGGCTTCAGTACCCGATTTCTTGTCCAAAGCAAATGTAAGCGACAATCGACGATCGCGTTCTATAAACGATGACAAGCCAAGGGGACAAAAAGTCCGCGAATTGATATAAAAATGGAGAAAAGGATAAAATGTATTTCCCTTCCCTTTTCTCTCCAGTCAAACAATTCCTTAGTCTACCTTGCCTCAACCTTTCTTACAAACCCCCCCCCCCAACTCTTTCACTTGTTCAATCGACTATAACTGCAATGCTTATCACTTCATTACTAAGAGGCACAGGTAAGTCATTGACCCAAATGATCAGCAAAGAGACGCCTGTACTCATTATTGACTGTGCACAGCCAAGCAATGTCAAACGCAAACCCACTTGACAAGACCTTTGCTGTGGGCTCCTATGCAACACATGCGTACCTATGTCACTGATGCCACTAGCACAAAGAGACCGTAAGTAATCTGTCATAAGGGGGGGAACCACGCTTCTAATGCAGCCAAACAGACCTACCGCTGTCTTGCTTACCAATATGGGTGGACCTGAAACCACAGACGATGTATACAACTTTCTTCACAACCTCTTCTCTGACAGAGACTTAATGCAACTGCCATTCCAAAAGTATGCAGCCAAATTCATTGCCAAGAGACGTACACCTCAAATCATTGAGCAATACCAGGCTATCGGAGGAGGATCTCCTATTTTGCGTTGGACCCGTACACAAGGAGCGGCCATGGAAAAGATCCTTGATGAGATATCTCCAGAAACAGCACCTCACAAGCATTACATTGCATTCCGTTATGTAGAACCTTATACAAACACAGCATTAGAGGAGATGAAAAAGGACGGTGTAGAACGCGCCATTGTATTCACTCAATACCCTCAGTACTCTTGTTCCACCACCGGCAGCAGTTTGAATGATCTCCATCGCGGAATTTCGGAGCTGGGCATGGAGTATGTGCGTTGGAGCATCATTGACAGATGGCCTACACATCCTGGGTTCATTAACGCTACGGCCAAGAAGATTGAAGCCAAATTAGCCGAATACACCGAGGAGGAGCGCAAGAATGCTGTCATTATGTTCTCTGCTCATTCACTCCCCATGTCAGTGGTCAACCGAGGTGATCCCTACCCTGCTGAGGTCGCTGCCACCGTAGACCATGTCATGGACAAGCTGGATCGCAAGTACCCCTACCGTCTTTGCTGGCAATCGCAGGTTGGTCCCAAGGCTTGGTTGGGTCCTCAAACATCCGATGCTCTCAAGGGATTCGCCAAGGCAGGTAAGAAGAATCTAGTGGTGGTGCCCATTGCTTTTACAAGTGATCATATCGAGACATTGTATGAATTGGATCATGAGTATGGCAGTGAAGCCAAGGAGTTGGGAATCACTGGCTGGAAGCGTGTGGATGCCTTGAATGACGATCCTGTGTTTACGCAAGCCATGGCTGATATCGTCAAGGAGCACATCCAAAAGGGTGAGCTTGTCAGTAAACAGTGGCCCCTTAGATGTCCTGATTGTACCTTCGAAACCTGTGGACATTCTCGCGAATTTTTTACCAACCAAAAAGAATAAACATGCTTGTAAATAGTTCTTATATTGGTGTTGCAGTGTTATTTGATCCACCTAATCTGGATCAGTTGTGTCAGGCGGCACTACGGCCTGTTGGCATTTGGATGAAATTATCCAGCGACGGACAAATCGTTGATTCTCAATATTCAGCGTCTTTACGGAGCTTTCTAGTGCTTTGCTTTTAACAAGTTCATGTCAGCAACCTCTGATTTTCATGGCACATCACATGATGGCTTGATGAGAGTTCAACGTTTGCTCCTTCCACGCTATCAATTCTTATTAGGAGCGTCCGCTGCTGGTCAAATTCAACCATACTACAGTAGCGGGGACTCACGGACACGAAACAACCATTTGAGCCGGTTTCTCCTGCTTTAGCGCATTTGGTGTTGCAATTTGCTATTGCAGAAGACCAATGCGTGAGTAATTCTTGTAGTCGCAACAGTCACCTAAACTAAAGATTTTTTTCCTATTAAATCACTTGGGCATCCAACATTTCTATCGCTCTCTCTCTCTCTCTTTCCTTTACATCATCTATAGTTACAAAGAAAATGGTAGCCGCTGAAGAGAGCAAAGTTGAAAAAATCACTGAAAAGTTGGAAGAAACTCACTTGGACGACAGCAATGCCGAAGCCAATAATGCTGCCGAAGAAGGTGCTGAAGACAACAATGGCGGTGAAGCTACTGCCGCTGCTAAAAAGAAGAAGAAGAACAAGAAGAAGAAGAAGAATGGCCCCAAAACTCAAACTGAGCCTCCTACTGTTCCTGTATCAAAGATATACACTACCAAAGTGTATCCTCTCGGTGAATGTCATGATTATATCAACGAGTAAGTCATTGGAGAAATTCATGCAAATCACATACAAGTAACTGACATGAATGACTAGAAACACTTGGAGAACTACCAGCGAAGAGAAGCGTGCCGAGGAAAGACCCAAGGAAGACGATTACAACGATGTGCGTCGTGCTGCTGAAGTGCATCGTCAAGTGCGTGCTTATGCTAGAAAGATCATCAAGCCTGGTATGACCATGACTGAAATTGCTGAATTGATTGAAAATGGTACTCGTGCTCTTGTTGAAGAAAACGGCATGGAATCTGGTATCGGTTTCCCCACTGGCCTTTCCATTAACCATTGTGCTGCTCACTACACGCCTAATGCTGGCGATAAGGTGGTCTTGCAATACGATGATGTCTTGAAGGTCGATTTTGGTGTTCATGTCAATGGTAGAATTGTCGATTCCGCATTCACATTGAACTTCAATCCCAAGTTTGATAAGCTTGTTGAAGCTGCTCGTGAGGCTACTTATGCTGGTATCAAGGAGGCTGGTATTGATGTCAGACTATGTGATATTGGTGCTGCTGTACATGAGGTCTATGATTCTTACGAAATTGAACTGGACGGCAAGACGTACGATATCAAGCCTATTCGTAATTTGAACGGCCATACGATTGAACCTTACAAGATCCATGGTGGTAAGTCCATCCCCATCATCAGAGACTCTGGCGATGAGACCAAGTTGGAGGAAGGCGAACAATTAGCCATCGAGACTTTCTGTTCTACGGGCCGTGGTTATGTCGTTGAAGATGGTGAATGCTCTCATTACGCTAGATCCACTGATTCTGGATTTGTGCCTTTGCGTTTAGCCAGAGCCAAGAGTCTATTGGCTACCATCAACAAATCGTTTGGTACGTTGCCTTTCTGTAGACGTTATCTTGATCGTCTCGGTGAAGAAAAGTATTTGATGGGTTTGAGAAATCTCGTGGATGCTGGTGTCGTTACTGCATATCCCCCTCTTGTGGATACCAAGGGAAGTTACACTGCTCAATTGGAGCATACTTTGTTATTAAGACCAACATGTAAAGAAATTGTATCAAAGGGCGATGATTATTAAAATAAAGGAAAAACTGTGTGTGCGTGTGTATGGTCTAAAAATATATACAATGTTATTTTATTCATGTCTTCTCTTTTTGGTCTGTCTATCATCAATGTTTTCTTTGCGTCGATTCGATGCTTCCTTGATGCGAGGCATGCATTCAATCAGCTCTTCTTTGGATACAGCGTCTCTGATACTACGCAGCACATTGTCCACAGTGCTTTGGTGGTTGCCATCAGGCTTGTCGTCTCTGTATCGCATGAATCTCCATGGTGATTTGAGGTTCAATTGTTGCTGTAGCTCGGGATCGTAGTTGCATTCAATGATTTTGCCATCCATCTCTTTGGGTCTGCTGCTAAACTTCTCCTTCCATTCTTGGTCTGTGATGCCTAGCTCTGCAAAGAATGTGTAATCCTTTCCTCCTTGCCATACCAGTAGATCAATTCTCGGTGTAGCTGTGTAGTCTTTGACGCCTGGCAAACTTCCACCCGGGAAAAATAACGCTACTTTGAAATCGATTGAATTCTCGTTTAGCGGCTTCCATTTCAGCCTGGATGAATGAAAGATAAAAAAAAAATGAGAAAGGAGGTCTCAACGGAGCAGCATAATGGTGTACTCACATTTTGTTGCATGTTCCCATGGCATAAGGAGCATTGACAGAGGTGAAAATGAGACCATCGTTGCCATGCTTGAGTTTGGGTATGATTTCGTTGAATACAATATCCAGATGATAGGTGAATTGCTGCTCTTTGAATTCGACTCTACAAATATACATTGAATACAAGCGTCCTCGAGTATAAATTCACGGCTTTCTTACAAGAACGGTAACTGTTTTCGTAGTTGAGGGTTCTTTCTGATCATTTCTTGATGAGGCTTTATGATTTCACTTTTGAGATACTAGGGTATATTGCATTTAGTCTCATCAGCTGTGTGTTGTTGTCGTTGCCATGGTTACCCCTAATCGACTCATCAATCCTCGAGACACCAAGACATTGCTCTCAATGCATAAGCAATCAAACAGTAAAAATCGCAACTGTGTCTAAATCAGCAGTTGTTAATCCAAGTGTAGCCAGTGAATCCACTCTATATAACTCACTGTGCCATCTTCCTCTTTATCCAGAACGAACTCTCCATCGATGATTGTATTCTTCAAACATTTCTGGAAACTTGGATCACCAGGAATTGGGAATCTAAAGTTGCGAACAACATGGAAGTTGCTCTTTCTATCAAACTAAAGGTTGAGTCAATTGGGCTGTCATGTTACATGGATAACAAGAGACTCACTAGATAGATCTCTGGCTCTCGTCTGTGATTAACTGTCAACAAAGCAAGACAGCGCACACCATCTGATTTCTCAGCGACAAAGAAACTAACTTGAGATGTGAGCAATGTTGCCAATTAGTCTAAACCACATGATTGTCATTACTCTTCTTCTTCAATTTCTCTCAATTGCTTTGCACCAAAACTGATGGGCTGTGCTCCTGGAAATCTAACATTATGGCCCAGTGAATATTCACGATGAATTTTTTTTTGTATGGATGGAATTTTACTTGTAACTGTTTAATTTCAAGAGAGAAGCCACTTTTTCTTTGAGATCAAGCGTATCTCTGACAAATTCTCCAGGAATACTAGGAACTGGACTCGTCATTTGCAATGATTTATGAAAAGAAAAAAGTTGATAAAGGAGGAAGAAGAGAGGTATAGGAAAGCTCCAAGACGACGTCAGCTCAACCATTAGCGCGGGCGGAAAGTTTGCATGTTCTGCGGCTCATTCGGCATGCTTGCCTTGATGGTCTGTCTCTCTCCTCTGGCACACATTTCAAGAGACGCGTTTTTTGCTACCTATAAATTTTTTTCTTTTTCTTTTTGCTATTTCTTCTTTCTATTCTCCTATACATTACACATAGATAAAGCAAGATGTTTGGAAAGAGTGCATTTGGATCAACTGGAGGATTTGGTCAACCACAGCAGCAACAACAGCCTGGCTCAGTATTCGGCCAGCCAGCTCAACAGCCTCAACAAGGCAGCGCATTTGGTGGTAAGATGTTAGACATTGTAAATTTTTTTTTTTTTCGGTTGTTAACGACGAATCCTACAGGTTTTGGAGCTACATCTGCACCAAGTGCTTTTGGCGCCGCCCCTGCTACAACAAGTGCGTTTGGACAACCTGCCCAACAATCTGCATTTGGTGCAGCACCTGCTACTAGTAAGTCTGGTATTGATATAAAAAAAAGACTGTGTGTATTGATTGACATTGCAACACATAGCTGGCTTTGGCGCTACCAACACCTCCGCTTTTGGCCAAGCTAGACCCTCTGCATTTGGAACAACTCAACCCTCTGCTTTTGGTGCCAGTAAGTAATGTTGCTATTCATTGTTCACAGGACAGACGTTCATGTTCTTTGTTTCGATTGCAATTAGCTCAACCTGCAGCTTCAACTGGATTTGGTGGTGGTGGATTTGGAAGCAGTAAGTATTCAGACTAACAGAGCGAGAGAGTGAGAGAGCGAGAGAGCGAGAGAGCGAGACTAGGACGAATTAATCTACCATCGATTGGATCCACATAAACGATTGATAAATACCAACTATTTCTTTTTTTCTCTCTTTCTCTCTCTCTCTGTCTCTCTCTCCTTCATCCAACTATATCAACACTCGACTAATCAATCACTTCATGGTAGCCTCTACGACTTCAGCATTTGGAAGCACTGCAGCTCAACCCTCCGGTGGATTATTTGGACAACGTCCTGCCACCAGTGCTTTTGGAGGTGCTCCTACCACAAGCGCATTTGGACAACCTCAACAGCAAACATCAGCTTTTGGTGGCATGGGTGCAACTGGCTCTGCCTTTGGACAACCTGCAAACGCTGCTGGTGGTGTCAACCAAGGCACTGCTATTGCTGATTTCTCACCTACTCAAGATCGCGATATCACTACTGGCGTAAACAACTTTTTCCAGACAATTACAGCTATGCCACAATACAAAAACTATTCCCTTGAAGAACTTCGTTTGCAAGATTACCAACAAAATAGAAAGACGGCAAGTGGTGCTCCTGGTGCTGGCGGTGCCTTTGGTGCTCCTGCTGGTGGTGCTTTTGGCGCCTCTACCGGAGCTACTGGTTCCGCATTTGGTCAACCTGCTGGAGCTACAGGTGGATTCGGTCAGCAACAACAAACCTCAGCCTTTGGTCAACCTGCTCAAACAAGTGCTTTTGGTGCGGGTGCCACGAGTGGTGGTCTCTTTGGACAACAGCAACAACCTGCTACTACATCTGCATTTGGTCAACCTGCTACTGGCACCTCTGCTTTTGGTGCTTCCACCTCTGCTTTTGGCCAACCTGCTGCCGCATCTGGCTTCGGTGCTGCTGCTTCAAAGCCCTTCTCATTTGGTAAGTGAAATGGAAGCTGGATACGTCATGCCATGTTTCAATTTGACATGTATTTTCTTTATTTGTATGTCTATAGGTAGTACACCTGCTCCTGCCACTGGTGGATTTGGTCAACCTGCCACGTCTGCTTTCGGTCAGCCTGCTGCTTCTACAGGCGCTTTTGGTCAACAACAACCTGCTACAACCAGTGCATTTGGTGGATTTGGACAAAAGCCTGCTACAACACCCGCCACAGGTGGATTTGGTACTGGATTTGGTCAACCTGCTGCTACTGGTGGATTTGGTCAGCCTGCTGCTACTGGTGGATTTGGTGCCTCTACAAGCAAGCCTGCTTCCTCCTTCTCATTCGGTGCTACTGCTCCCACATCTACTGCTGGCGGTTTCGGTACTGGATTTGGCACGACGCCTGCCCCTGCTACTGGTGGATTCGGTCAACCTGCTACTGGTGGGCTCTTTGGTGCTGCTAAACCCGCTGCTCCTACTACCTCACTGTTCGGTAACACTGGTGCTACTACTGGTACTGCTGGCGGATTTGGTGGATTTGGGACTGGTGCAACTGGTGCTGCTGGCACTACTGGTGGTCTATTTGGTCAAAAGCCTGCTACTGGACTGGGAGGCACTGGAGGTGGATTATTCGGTAGCAATACATTGGGTGCTACCACCTCTGGTTTCGGCTTCGGTCAACAACAGCAAGGAACAAACAGCTTCAACTTGCCCGCTCAAGGTGGTTTGACTTCATTCGGCACGAACCCTCTTCAGCCTGGTATCCAACAACAACCCTTGATTGCCACTGTCGACAAAAACCCTTATGGCAACAATCCCTTGTTTGATTTGAGCAAGGTGCCTAATACACCTTCTGGTTCCAAATCTGGCGCCTCTGCTGTTGCTTTGGATGGATCTAGTCGTAAATCCAGCAGCCCTCTTTACCACATGTCGCCCCGTGTCGTCTCCAAGATTAAGCTTCGTGGCTTTAACTCTCATTCTACCAAATCCAGTGCTCGTCAAATCGCTACTGCCAACCTGGAAGGTATCAGTGATGATGCTGTTCTCGGTTCTGGTGCATTTGCTCCTCGTACTCACAGCAAGAAGCTTGTTTTCGACAATGATGTTGATGCAGCAAGTATTGTAGATCTCATCAACAGCAAAAAGTCTGACAAGAGAAGAGTTATGTTTGATCCTCAACTTGAATATGTTGCGGCCAAGGAAAACCACGCTACAACCTCTGGTGCTACTGCCGCTGCTTCCACGCCAGCAACCACGACAACCACGACGACCATTATATCCGAAGTGACAACTACAAAAGATGCACCATCTACTAGCAAGAAAAGCACCGCTTCATCCTCCATCGCCACATCCTCTGCCTCCAACGCCGCTTTGAAGAACGACTATTATATCTCACCCTCTCTTGATACCTTGGCCAATATGCCAAAGGAAGGATTGAAACATGTACAAAATCTCGTTGTGGGCCGTAAGGGATACGGTGAAATTCGCTTTGATCAGCCTGTTGATTTGACGGACGTTGTTATCGAGGATATCATGGGTAACATTGTTGTGATTGAAGAAAAGACGGTTGTTGTCTATCCTGATCAAGAAAACAAGCCTGCCAAGGGTACTCAATTGAACTTGCCAGCCACTATCAAGATCGAAAACTGCTTCTCCCATGACAAGAATACAGGTGCTCCCATCAAAGATCCTGCACATCCTCGTTTCGGCCTTTTCAAGGAAAGACTTCGCAAGCGTGAAAATGTTGAATTTATTGATTATACAAATAATGGCGAATGGACCTTTAAAGTTCAAGAATTCTAAATAGCAAATGACACTCGATTCATATTATATATTTGTCGTCCCCCCCCCCACCCCTCATACAATAAGCACATCACTGTTACTCTTTTCTTTCTCTCCTTTTCAGTCGCACCACTTGGTTATAACTGTTTTACATAAGAAAAACATTTGATACTAATAAAATAAAGATCCTTCCTACATCCCAGGAACGAAGTTTTCTAAGAGTGTCAAGATCTCATTATAAAATTTCACTTAACCCGGCCTTTTCTTTTCCTTTCTTCTTGCGTTCATTAACTTTTGAATATCTTTAGGGTCAGTTTATCCCTGTTGTCAGTGCTGCTACTCAACATTTGTACACTTGATCTGCTTTTTATCAATCACTTTTTTTTTTTTACTACTTTTACAGCACAAGTGTTTATGGCAACTATTTTTCAATAGTAACTATTGTTCCCGGTCTACGACAATAAGTTTATACAGAATTGAAATGCACATTGAATGGTACTGCTCTGAACAGTGATCTTACAGCTTGTACACATAGAAACCTGTTTTTCAGAAAATTTTAGAGGTTTTAGAGAAAAACATGTACCATGCCAAATCTGCACCAATATACCTGTAGTAGCAGTATTTATTGTGTAAGCCGCCTGGGAATTACCTAACGTTTGGCGTCTTCCTCAGAGCTGCAGTATCAGTTCTTATGACTCTACAGCACCCAATAGGCCAGCCGATGCCAATTTGTCAAAAAACGATTGCTCAAGGCTAACTTTCGCTACATTTGCGCATATAAAATTCTTTTTGGGCACTGTTATTAGTCATACCATGCTCGAAATTTGCTTCATAGACTCGAACACCACATGGATGATTTTGTGGTGTTATTCCTGTGGAATACATCCACTATGATCTGCATTCCGACAGTTCATCCAGTTACCAGATTTAGATATAAACTGTATGTACACTGGATTAGATGTACGATATCGATTTATACTATGATCATGAGAAGATATGGACTTCAGATACGCTAGTACTATAAGATTCATACTATATAAGATATAGGCTATAGATGGCACCACGGACATGGATGGCACTATAGACTTATACTTGTATTCCGACATTGACTACGGATGTTTACCATATCTGGATAGGCACCAAGATTAATGCAATATGAGCTTGTTGCTTCAGATGTGCACTTCATGATCCACGCTATAAGACACATGCTTATATCCGTGATACTAGCTACAGATACTTTATGTACTACAGACTTGTACTATATATGAGACATGCTATAGACATGCATACGATATGCTATAGACATGCCATATATCCAGATACATGCTAAAGATGTATGCTTAGCGATATACACTCAGATATGTACTATTAATATAGACTAAGAAGACTGTACCTATCGGATACATGCTACTAGATCGATATTAATTATCCTTATGGAAAGGATAGATCAGGGTACTTCGGATGGGAGTCTAATTATTCATCCAGACAGAGCTAAATCATGATTAGCTTGCTGGAGTTGTCTTTTAGCATGATTAGACATTAGTTGATCTGAGTTGACTTATTTGTCAATCTAATTAATAGAACTTTTATCCATTGTTATAGTATATAAGAAGGATCATCTACCTGGCCAGTAGAGAGACTTCAGTTTACTTTACACCTGTCAGTTTGATAATAAAATATACCTTTATCAAGTTGACATCACTGTTTTTTTATTCTTTTTTTTCCGTGAATTTTAGTCTATCAAGCCTCAAATTCCACAATTCCTGTTTAGAATAACGAAATACAGACAGAGAAAATACAATTAGAACTGAATATATTTGGTTTAATGGATTACACACACAAAAAAAAAGCAATCATACAATACAAAAAATCAACTGTAATTTATTTGTATGTAAAATAAACTGAAGATCGTCCTGGAATTGAGTAAAGAAAAAATAGTAATTATACATTTGTAACTAGCTTGTAGGATTAGTGATGGTAGAGAGTAATAGATGCTGTTGTTGTGTTATCTGGCAAATGTTTTTGATATTTGATTTAAAGTAGTAATCAATGCAAGAACACTGGCCATAAGGGTCGATTAGAGTAACTTTGATGGCTTGGATGAGCTATCGTCATAGCATGATTTAATGTAACCTTGACAGTTTAAGGTGTGGTGTTTGTTATGGAAGTGTAGAATCCTTTATCCAGGGTATTGTGCAACTAGTATGGCATCAGGACATAGTTGTCATATTTGAATATGCTTGTTATTGATTTGATTCTTTTTGGATAAAGATACCATCACTTATTACGACCATCATGGGTGTGATTGAATACACTGTGATCAGGAGTGATTCATTCACACGATGTGCGATATAAACATGCATCTTTACTTTAGTATTTTTAAATGGTTTTTTGATGTACATTTGAGCGCTTTCATTAATAGATCCAAATAGCATGAATTTGAATGAGTGCTATTTGATGAACTTTGGTTTTCAATTAAGTTACGTTTGGGTGGCTATTTCATTACACTGTTTATGAAGGTTGAAGGGAAACCAAACTTCTGGAGCACCTTGCAAATATACTGTTCGTTCACATAATCGTAAGCCTTGGCACTGTCAATTGCAACACCAACAGTACGATTGGAATGTAATTGGGCGTCCTCCATGAGGAATGTTGTGCCAGAAGGGCTACAACTGTCTATAAAGATTAAGGTATTCTTGATGGGTAGATATGTCTGTGTTGTGCAACAACATGGACAAGCTATGATAAGTGAAGTGCATCTCAGCTATCTAAATACTGAGGTTCACCAGATATGATAAGCGTTGTACAAGATAAATTGCTACTTTGGTATTCAGAACTTAGTATAAATAGAATAACTCTTGTCTTCATCAATAAATCTTTAGTTTTTGTGTCTGATCTTATTCAAATAAATCTTTTCTTGTTTTTATAATATCGAACATTTTTTATAAGCTACAAATAATAATCCTTTTATTCTTTGTGCTTAACAAGAAAGATCAATAGGAAAGCAACTACTTGTAACCCTTTGGTACTTCAACCCGTCAGCCAATCAAATCGCTTGAAAACTCCGCTGACCTAAAAAAAATTTTTGCGAGGGTTTCCCTCTGTTTTGATGTGAGGCAAAATTTTAAGCGCCGCTATATATAGCAATATAGCTGTTACTATCATCAAATTTCCCCCAGATGCTAGAGCATGCCTTACTTACACCACCTAGCTTTAGGTTCAGGCGTTGAGACTCTCATTCATCACTAAAGTAAGTAGCGATAATCAAGTGGAGGCAGCCTATCCACCTCCTAGCCTCGGATAATGTCTTGTTGAGCTTCAGTGATAGGCACATCCACACAACGTAAAAAAAGGTATGCTTCAAAGAAACACAATAATAAGAAAAGAACATACTACTATACGAGTATAGTAGTATGTAGGCAAAAAAGAGACACTCACACAAAGTGGGTCAAAGAAAAGCATAACAAACACAAGATCAAAGATGTTTAAAAATGCTCGTTACTGTTGCAAGAGAAATGCATACATGTGAGCAATGCGCATGGTAATAATAGTCAGATATAAAGCAACATGACACAAATACGCACAACTGCAAAAGCAACAGTGGTATTAAGACTTTGCGATACAACATAATGACTAATGTTGTTTCCTGTAAAGCAACAGAGAAAACACTACCACACAAAAGAAAAAGAAGAAGAAAAAAGCGCAACAAGGCAAACATCATGAATGCACTATCACGAGAAAGGAAGCAATAATATAAACCTTCAAAGAAGGTCTATATCATTGCGGCCAGAAGGAAGAAGATACTTACCACTTACCACGGCCACAAATAGATCAGAAGAGTATAGGCAATTACCGAAGAGAGACCAGAGAACGAGCATGCACCAAATACAGTAGACCAAGAAAGACCAGATTAGCAGCAGCAGCAAAACCAGCGCCATAGAAAAACCGAAGAACGAACGACACCAGAAACCAGACAAAGACCAAAGAAGCAACCATCAGACATGTTGTTAAACCAAAGAAATAGACAGCAGAGATATCAGAGAAGTAATGGCAGCAGCACTCACGTCAAACAGGCAAAAAAAAAACCAAAATCTAATATACAAATTCAATTAGTTTTAGCTCTAAGTGTTCCAGCACGCGTTATCGAACAGTATTTGATATATTTCACTTCAAAGAAGTGATATCAAGTCCTTCCAACAGTACAAGGCAGAGTTATCGGAAGCTAGAGTGTTATTATCAATCAAACGGTTTCCAAAACCACCAGGTTTGATACTAAAATGCGTTTTGCAAAAAGGGTAAAAAACGGGGGCATGGAAAAATGAGAGGGCACCCTATCCGACGTCACGACCAGTAGATTTGGTCTCAGTCGTCTTGTACCGTAGCAGCCGTAATTGCGGCAATTTAATTTGAATTTGTGTAGTGTGTATTTTCGTGTTCAAACTTGACCTGATCTGACATCTTTTAAACGCTTTATCAAATTTGACTATGAAAACTCTCGTTGTTATACCCAACTTTCCAATACATCTTTAGATGACTAAAGAAGCCGCATCAAATGATGCTAGTTTTATACAGCTTTTAGACTGAAAATAGCGAGCAATTCGCAAAGATATGAAAACAGATCTTCTGTGAATATGTCAAGATTTAGCATATACAAGCCTCATACAAAGGGCTTCCAATGTTGCATCCCATTTTGACAATCAATTTGATCTAATATCATAACATAATAAACGTTCAATCCTTAGACACTTTACAACCCTAATATGGAACCTGAGGTTCAGGACATCTATTAGACCTGGCTCATATGAGGATAATGATTTTACAATCAATCAACAAAAACCACTGTTAGTTCTACCCTCTTTCCTCTGCTCAATGCTGTCAGCGTTTTATTTGAACGACATCTCGGAACCTCAGAGATTTCACTACTTACTGCAGACATCTTACGCAGCCCATGAATCGTCAATGTCCAGACTAACGTTATTAAATATAGAATGCAAGACGATGTCATTATGAACGATATAGAATGCAATAAATTATTATTATAAACGATAGCTTTATGGGCCTGCCACCTACTTTTTCATACGCTTCAAGAGCATTTACTACTGTATTGCAGTATGAAAAGGACGTTGAGTTTGCCAGCAGGCCCCACCAGCCAAAATTTATTCAAACCCAGTCTTACAGTCTGTTCCAGATTGGACAAATTTTGATGATTTTGAACTCGATTGAACAATTTTTGCAGATTCGACTAAGTGAAGTATGATGATCACTCCATGCTTCCTTAAGTTTTCCTGGGGTACTTTTCAAGGCGCATCTAATGGTACTAAGTAAAATAGATGTTTTGAATAAACTTATTGAATGATTTGTAATAGTATGAAAAGAGGTTTCTGACCAAAATGTCGAAACTTTACATATCAAAGTCCCACAAAGATGATTTCAGAGGTTGCTTTGGATCGATAGAAACATTTTTATTCAAGATATACCATAGTAAAAGTCTTCATTTTCAAGGTCAAAAATGCGATCGTTTGATTTTCGATGAAAATCATGAGGGGTACCTCATGCTTTTGTTGAGGATATAGATCATCTCTGAGAGGCAAATGTATTAGGCGTCGTATATTACATAAGAGGATCTGAGAATGAGCTGAGATGCATAGTAGAAGTGAGAGGTCTTTATTCAAGCAGCACGAAGGAACATGAGTGGTGCCATCAAATGGCTAATCTATATCCTGGTTCCTAGAGAGTGGTAGCCTATGGCCTTTCGTCCCTGGAAGTGGGTTTCAATTCCGACAAATGTTCTTCCGTCAAAGCTATTAGGAAGAACATTCTATCCTGGATCATCTTTGTTGTTTATCCTTGACTGGCGGTTCATGAGTTCTGATGCAGCACATCCTCGTTACTGGTTCAAGGCTTATACAATTATCCCGCATTCAAGATCAAGGTCCTATTGCTGCGGCACTGTCAAATAACTATAAATACCTTTGATATCTACACTAGTTTTGATCCCTATTCAATCTTGGAATAACATAATAAATATATTCAGTTCTAATTGTATTTACTCTGTCTATATTTCGTTATTCTAAACAGCTTTTTGGTCGAATTTTGTTCATGTTTTTTTTTGATCCCCAAAAAGTTGAGCAAAGGTGTCAGAAAGTAACTGCCAGATGAGAGCAAGTGTTTGGTCCTATTATGACAATCTAAAACTGCCTTGGACGCGAGAAAACGCAGCTCAAATGCATTCAAATTTTGCTGTATTAGGCACACTCTTGGCTAAAAAGGGATAATATCTGTATGATAGTTGCCCGTATATGAAGTAGCTACGTGTATATGGATGTAGAGCAACACATAAGAATCAGATCCGCAGATATTTTGAAGGGTTTTCATGTACAAGTGGAGGGTTGAAATGAAAGTAGCGGTATTCTGATAAGATGCGTCAGGGCAACCGGCAGCCCAGGCTGGCGCTGCGCAGATGGATTCTTACCGAAGTGAAGCAAAGGTAGAGAGCCATCCGAAGCGTAGACATGCTCGTATAAAACGAAGAGAGAATGATAGATGGGGTCAATTATATGGAGTAAACCTGATAATTTGTGATAAATGTCAGAGTTTCTTTTTTCTGTTCCTCTCTCATTTCTTTTTCAGTATTTTTTTCACTACTTGCAACACCATGCTGATTGAAGTATGCTTATTTGATACAAGCAAGATTAAATACAATATTGTAGAGAGGGAGTTCTATAGCTCACCTGCCAATCATAAATCATAGCAGATGCTCATTCAGAGTGAGATTGGAAAACGGACAACGAAAGAACGTCAAGGCTCAGACTGAGAGCAGCCAAATTTCAAAATGCAGCACATTCCGATAATGCAAAGGTACACGAACTGGCACTATGCTAGTGGAGTTCCAACTACGTCATGTTGTTGTTGTTGTTGTTGTTGTTGTTGTTATTTGATGTGAATGTTGTTGTAATGCGTTGCCCAAGTTTCATTCGTTGCTTGCCATGGCTACTGGATAGAGAAAAAAAGCTCGAGCCAAGAGCAGCTTTCTATTTTTGATCTCAGGATCTCTCTCGTCCCCCCCCCCCTTTCTTCCCAAATTATGCACGAATTAGGGGGGCTGAGATAATTTATGCCTCTACTATGAACGATGATGGTAATTATAAGAATTCACACCCACCCCTTTTTCTTTTTCTCTTTCTCTTTCTTCTGTTTTGCTTTTTTTTTCAAAATAATACATATACCCCACATTATGCCACTGAAGCAGATATCTGAGAAAGACTGTTGGTTTGTGATTGGAGCCCATCAAGCTGGAGCAACCGAAAGACAGTGTTCTGAATTATCTGGCCTCTCAAAAACGATAACGCATAACATCATTACGAATTTTAAAAAGATGGGATCTCCTCATGCCTCTAATATGTCCTCTGTCAACGCTCTGATGAACAGTAATGTATACATTTGTTTTGTGGAAAACCATGTACGTCGACACTCATCATTCTTGTGTGCTCATGTAGGTTCTGATAAGAAACGCAAGATAAAGGACACAGAAGGATCAAAGGTACGTGATTTCATTATCGGTTAAAGGGGTGTAAAAAAAATCAAGAGATTGATAGTGGCAAATGTTTGCTATAGGATGTGCCTCGCAAGAGAGGTAGACCCCGTAAGCCTATTGAAGCGCCCTTTTTCACTCGTTCCGTTGTACGTGAAGTGTTTACACAAGTCAGAACAGATCAGGTAAGGGCAAAGAAAAGAGATAGCTCATGCATTTTTGATGATGAAAGAAGCGAGGAAGGGGAGGGGGGGGGGGGCTAAGTAAGGAATCACGTGGAGACTAATACTTATTATTCTAATAGTCAGTGTACGATAACAACACTATCAAATCACCTGCCATCTATCCATTGGATCGACTCAATACCCCACCCACAGATGAAGAATCGCAGCGACACTATTCGCCTTCTCATGACAAGGATGTAAAGAGAAGAAGAAGTATCAAAGACGACATGCTACCTTCCACGCCTCGCTCCATTATTGCTTTGGATGAGTCAGATGATGAGTATGATGATGATGGTGACGATGGTGGTCATTCTGCTTGGACAATGGAGGATGATAGAGAGCTATTGGAGCATGTGCTTGAATTACCCACCAAGAATATCAAATGGAAAGCGGTCGAAACTCAATTTGACGATAGACATTTGGCAAAGATGTGCTGTAAACGATGGGATTATTTAAAGAAGCAATTAATTAAAGATATTCATCATGTATTAATTGAGCAACAAGAACAACAATCAAAACGCGGTGGAGACGGCGATGGTGAGACTTGATATGATTTATTTTCATTTTTTAAATAAATTCTTGGTGGAGAGAAAATGAAAAGAGAGGAAAAGAGAAGCAAATGTAAATAATGTCCTCTATGCCTCGCTTTCTCTTCCTCCTCCCACGCACACGCAAACACAAGCATTTACAAACTCAATCAAATTACATATAGCCTGACGATCTTTTGTACTTTTGTGATCCCCTCAAGTGAATAAAAATGGTGCTACAGGGCCAATTATTCAGGTGTAACCCACTTCAACGTGCAAGCTACCCATATTATAACCAAAAGGCATGGTTTAATCAACGTCAGTGCTCCCAATAAACACAACAGATGCTCCTTATATTCCCTCTCTTTTTTTCTCGCTTCTTGGCTTGTTGAAACTGGATTTATACCTTCTTCTTCTTCTTCTTTACATCTTTCTTTTTTCGTTCCTTTTTTCAATCCCTTCTTTTCGACATTTCTTATATAATAAAGAGGCAACTTGTTCGTTGTTTGCTTGTTCAAATACCTTTTTATTATATACAACATCACACACACACACACACACTCTCTCTCTCTCTCTCTCCTTTCATCGTCTTCTCCTTTCTCTTCTTTTTTTCTGCTCGCGCACTCGACCTTTCTTGATTCATCATGAAAGAGATCAAGTGGCAATTTTCAATATTTCTTCTTGTCATAACAACCGTATTCAGTTTGATAGGTATGCCCTGATTTAATTTTTCAAGTCTGATTTGAAACCAACATCTAACATGATATAGTCAATGCTGCTGCTTTAAATGAAAAACGAGATACTGGTACTAGAGTAACCACCACTATTTCCACCACGACTCACCATCGCTCTCATCACCATTCCAAGAAGCATCACCATCACAATTCGTCCAGCTCAATTTCTGCTAGAGCAACAAAGACCATCCGAAACTGCTCCTTGGCTTCAATTCAGCAAAAGCATTTGAAGACAAAATCCTTGAGACATCACAAGTTGCCTCATACACAGACTATTTATGTATGTGATAGATCAAAGCATACCAAAACAACAATCAAGAAGCACTCAACCAAGAAGCACTCAACCAAGAAGCACAACAGTCAATCCTCTCACAAGAAGAGTGTTCAACCAAAGAGTAAATCTAAAAAGCACTCTACTACCAAGGAGCACAAGAGCAAAAAGCACACCACCACCACTATTAAACACAAGAGCAAGAAGCAACCTGCCTCGACTAAAACAAGAAAAGTTAAAGCTGTAACCACAACTCATAAATCTAGTGAAACATCAACTTCTTCTGTTGTTGCTGAAGCTTTACCTACTTCAGATACCACCATTACTACTACTTCTATTGATAATAATAATAATGCCAATGATTCCAATACCAATGATGTTAGTGCTGCCAACAACAACAACAACAACAACAACAACAACAACAATACCAATGATACCGCTGATGCTGCTTCTTCTGAAGATGCTACTGCCACTGCTGAACCCTTGGCTGCTGCTGGTGCTGGTGCTGCCCCTTCTGCTTCTACCACACCTACTGATAACAACAATCAAGTCTCTGCTCAAAGTGTCAATAACGGCCAAGCCATCAACAACGAACCTCAAAGCCAAGTTATTGGCGTCTCCATTGGTGCTGTTGTTGGTTGTCTAGCTGCTGCTGGTTTAGCTGGTATGTTTATCTATAAGCGCAAGCAAAACTCCAAGCACGATCAAGACGTTGAAGACTTGAATCAAACAAGTGAAGTCAATACACGTTGGCGTACACAATCTTTCATGGCTGTTGTTGCTGGCGCCGTCGCCAAGCTACCTAATCGAAGCAACTCGTCTAGTTCAACTCGTTCTGGTGGTGTATTGGGCAGTATTCGTAGAGCAGCAAGCAATGCTTCTAGTAAGCTGTCAAGATCAACTAGTAGATCTAGTACACAAAGCTATGGTATTGCCGTTTCTGGACCTATACCTGCTATTCAACGTATCGATGGCGACCAAGCTACCTACTATGCTGAACCATCTAGTCCATCGGGCCATCATCATACACACGCTTATTAGATGAATAAATTTGTTTCAAGATAATGTGTATATTAGGAGCTTTGAGAAATGCGCTTCCATGTACTATGTAACTCCTCCAAATATTGAAGTTTTTGGTTTTGTATTTGATATTGCTTGTATTCAGCATAAAAGATTAAGCCCACTTATCAACACTTGAGTTTCTCAGGAATAGAATTCTGTCATTCGCTCTGGGGAGAGGTCCCTATAGACTCTTCTTGTTTTACATATTGTGTCAAGAGATCATCTCAGCTCTAGTAACGCGAAAGATAGAGTTAACTCTGGTTCTGCAAACAAAGAGACGAGAGGACCTCCCTCACGAATGGATAATCTCTACCACCAAAATATGTATAAACGCGCAACTTGTAACGTGTCGATGCTTATATTTTTCAGAAAAAAATAGTATATAAATGCTCTATCGTCGTTTCTCATTCCAACATATGATTTTCCACATAAGACAAGATGAAGTTTTCTAGCGTTCTCTTTTTTGGTGTCTGCTATGTTTTTGATTCAAGCCAATGGTCAAGCAACTCATGCTCAATGCCAAATACAACGTCAAAAAGCAAGCGATCGTGCAAAGAGATTTCATCTCCCCAGCATGGCTATTCCTGTCTGTACCAAAGATGGCAACTATAATCCTGTTCAATGTGATAAAGCTACTGCCTCTTGTCGCTGTGTCGATTGCATCACTGGTAAACCCACCTCCCAACCTCAAAGATGCAGACCAACCAATTGTAAATGATTGTATAGGTATCAGACATGAATAAAGCACTTGCAGTTGCTGTATGGAAACAGGGAGTTTTAACTCTATATCATGTAGAAATTTATAAATGTGGTACATGATTTATTAAACTAGAGCTATTCTGTTGCTGATGAAGAGCGCACTGCAATGTTCAGCACCTCGTCCTTATTGCCACCACTACCAGCATTAGCGGCAAGATAATCATCTCCATATTGCCAAGGCTGAGGTCGTGTTTTCCTTCTTTGTTGTTGCAACATGATTTCCTCTGCATGAATAACATGAGTTGTAGCTGCATGAACAACGGCGCTGGTAGCTTCTTTAAGCTGTTGATGTGTCCTTCTGCTGGGATTTCTCTGTAGTCCGACAATCGATTTGCAGGTACGTGTGATGGTATTGATGACATTGCATTCTTGCGAGCACCACGTTGTAAATTGAGACAGCTCCAATGCCAAATCAATGAAATAGGGTGCAATGATTTCCTCTTGCTTGTGTCTTAGGAGTAAGATGCCTTCGTTTTTATCCACAAGATCATCGTCATCCACCTATCATGTGTGTATGTTTTTAGCGGATTGTGGGCATGATACCATCTAGTTTAAACTTACAGATACAAAGTTAATAAAGTTCATGAAATGGTGTGTATTGTTCTACAAAATCAAATATGAAAAAATTAATAAAATCTGCAAAAAAAACGTGCTTTTGTAGTACCTTACTTGAACAAATTCATTTAGTCGAACCATCCAGGGTTCTTTGGCATTTTGCTCAATGGTGCTATGGCTTGCTAGTGTCATTAAGCATTTGGCAATCAACGTCAGCGTGCGACAGGTCTTTGTATCAGGGTGATCTGTACAGATATGTGTGTGAGTACCAGCACCAAGACACTATTCAGCAGCTTACTACCTTGAACAAGCCCAAACTGTTTGGGTGAAATGATGGCAGGACAGATCCATCTCAAAAATATAAACCCACTTAAGAAAAGATGGGTTAATACATGATACCATACCAAAACAACCTCAATTTATATACCTAACACAAGTATACCTCGCTACTTGATGATGCCTATCTAATGTTTCTTTTCCTAAATCAAACTTCTTGACAATGGCAGATTGTAAATGGCCAAATATACGTCTTAGTTCAATGGGACATTTGGTCTTGGCTCTTTGAATTCCACTCCAGATGGACCTAACATGACTGAATAGCTCTGAGCAGTTGGCCATGGTATTTTCTGTGGTACTATTAGATAAGCGAGACGACTCCACCTTGTAGAAATTTGAGTTGACAGCTTCAAAGAGAGGGTATGGCACTTACCTCTATATGGAGACTGAACTTGCAAATCTTTTGAATAGTAAATTGCAGCGCTTCTTCCAAGAATTCCATTCCACTCATTTTCATGTAATTATCAATGACTTTGGTAAAGAAGGAGTTTCCTCTACAATCTGCCCGTTAGTCGTTTGATAGGGGGGCGCTTTAGTGCTGTTGTACCTGAATAAGATATTAACATCATCTATAACATTGAGATTAGTCTGGTGTGACCAATGCGTGTTCATCAGACTAAAAGCTTAACGTACCTGAGCTTAAAGAGGAGACTTCATAATCAATCAATGATTTAATCCAAGTCAGCGTCAATCCCATGCCTTCATAAATGCGAAGTAGGTTCTTGGCTAAACCTTGTACGTCCGATGTCTTTCTAGCCATGTCATAGATAATATCATGTCGGAACTCGGTAAGCACATCCATCAGGGGTTGATATACATCCAACGAAAACACCTGATGCTCTTCTAGTAACAGACCCACTCGTAATTGTCCCATAGAGCCATGACTAGATCCCAAACTCGTCAAAGAGGCAAATGCTCTATTTCTACTCTCCTTTCTGACTTCATACCACTCTTCATGGATGGCGTTGCTGGGATCAATCTGTGATACGGGCAAAAATACGGTACCTATGTAAGAGGCCAATGGTGAGCATGGAGATTCTCCCACTTGCACACACACACACACACACACACACACACTTACCGTACACAGTTTCTCGATCATTCTTACTACTACGGGAGTAGATTGTGATAGTAACACCATGCCTCATTCTCGAGATATCACTAAACAGAAACTCCTCCCTCCAAAACAAGGTTGATGTCTTTTTCAGCGATCCGGTCAAACCACGGATTTCATTGTCGATGACAATATCACAGTAGAGTTCACTATGGATAGAGTCCTTGTGGCTCACCTGGAACTTGCGGGCTTCTGCAATCCTTACCGTCAAGCTGAATATATTGCGACAGGTGGACACTGAGTTGGGGATGGACATCATGGCATTGTTGGTGCAATTCTTGAGATGGACCAGCCATGCATCTCGTTGGACTTTACTGCACGTCATGAGATGGTAGGTTTCTGAGGGTAAAGGTCGAATCACGATGCAGTAGCGCATATGGTCAATGGAATCAGAGAATGGGTAAATGTCTTGAGGCGCCAATGTAGAGAGCTGAATAGGACGATGGAAAAAGGAGTTGTCATCCTATACACATGTAACACGTAGCGGTAAGTAGTCTGGCATGGGGCAATACGTACCGAGTACTCACCTTTTCTGTCTGCAGATGAAGCATACCATCTTGGAATAGTGACACATGAAGTACGCATAATGTACCTGTGTGGTGCGAAGTGCAGCTTAATTTGTTGATACATAATTCTAGATGCTGTTAGTCCGAATTACCACCACCACCGTGGCACTAGCCTGACTTACTGTGTATTCTGAACAAGCCTGTCATCTGTAGTTTGGCTTGGCTCACAGTGCCTGTAGTGCTGCAGCAGTTGATGGGGCACTCTGTTACAGGGATAGGGTAGCCAAACAAGAGTTCGCCATTGTTGTTCTCCCCGTTGTTTACAAAGTTGGTTGGGCTTGTTCTATGATTCGACTGCGTGTACGTATGCATGTATGGATTAGCATTCTTCTCGATTGCTCTTCTTTTCCTCCTCCTTCTCCCTTCCCCTATACTGAACTTACAGGTGATAAAATGTCAATGCTATTTCCTTTTTTGCTGTAAGGTAGATCCATTTGTAACGTCTGTCCAGCAGAAAAGCTTGATTTCTTGGTGAGAAAGGTCCTGTTGCTACTACCTGCTGTCCCTGTGGATGAGTAACGAGGGTGTGCCTACAATCGGCTGTGAGTAATTGAGGGAATATCTAGATGAAAAAGATCTACTACCACGCGTTTGTTTGCAGAGGCCGCAGAGGAGGGCGTGTGTTGCGATATCTTTCTTGTATTCCCACTGCTGGTCTTTACTTGCTGAGGATTCCAAGATCTGAGTGCTTGCAACCAAGTAGAGAAATCGATCGCTGTTTCTGCTTGAAGGCTCATACTGCAAGCCAGGAGGTTAATCAAAGAGAAAGAGAAAGAAAGAGAGAAAAAGACACTTACATGTTGCTGGTGCCTTGCGAGGCAATTTGAATGACAAAATCTCGTTTATCAGTTTCTGATGCATACACACTTGCAGTTCTTAGATTTGTAACGACAACAGTAGTCTATAAAAGTGTTAATAACAGCGTGTGCGTATATGCACTTTGGAGATGACTTGCCGTTTGATCCTTGTATTGCTTCAGATGGCCATCGTCCTTGGTAATGTAGAAATAATATCTATCCCACTTGCCGCCGCCATGTTGATTGACGGAATCCTTGCTGTGAGCCACACTACTCATACCATTTGTACAGCTACTACTGACACCATTGCTCCTTTTCTTTAATAGTAAATATCCTTTTGCGGTGATATGATTTACAGTTGGCATCAAGGAGTGTGGGTTAGTTGACAGTAAGGAGTCCAGGCTGTTGTATCTCTGCTAATGCAGCATCAACGTTATTATTGTACATAGCATATACATGAAACACTTACGACAACTCTTGGCTTGTTTAGGAACGTAAATGGGATCAGTAAAGTGGGCGAGGAAGGCCTGGCCCTGGTCAGGTTCTCGTTGGGCGGTGGCTTTAGTGAGTTCTTGAGACAGGTGTAGTAAGAAGCGAGTTTTTCCTGGATATAGTAAGAGAGCCGCTCATTGTTTAGCTGCAAAATAACAATAAAAGGGAGGAGTTTAGTATACACAATGTGGCTAGTTCATTTTCAAACATGCAAGTTACTTCGTGGTAATCTTCAAATGAGGAGCGAGACACGGGCGATGGACTGACAGGTCTGGCGTCTTCACTGGAATTGTTGCTAGAGGTGAATGATGTGTTGGAAGTGGATTTCTTGGAATTAACATCGTACACAAAATCAGTGGAGATCAGGACGAGCTCCTCCAATGTCTTGAGGTTTCTGTGTTTGTCTGATTGCAGGCCTTCAAACAATGGCCTCAGCTAACGCATATAGATTAGTGGGCTGCGGCTGCTGCTACTGCTTTGATCATAAGCAAAACTACCTTGTCATTAACAAGATTCCTGGTTGAGCGAATCAAGTTATTCAGTGCGTAAATGTACTCGAGCAGTACTTTGCACAAAGATCGTTTAGCCACATACAAAGAGGTACTGATTTCCTATTTTGTGCACATTGTTTTACATTACAGATCGTCCTATGCATTAGACACTACTTACATCCAGTGATTTGTTGTTGGCTTGGGATGTCTTCAACTTTTGTGCAGCGCAGTAGCTGTTGGATAGTTGGACATGCTTGAGTCGAGAGGCAGTGACAGTGCCTTCAAAATGCTATAAACAAGAAAGAATTAGGAGATGTGGATATTAAGGAGCATTCAAGAAATTACCGTTAATGTTTCCTTGATTTTGGAGCCATGTTTTCTGAGGAAGGCTGTTGAATAAATCTAAGCATGTGTGCAATTTCACTCTGAGGAAATGAGGACCTACGTAAAACAGATCGGATATCTTCATTGTCCCAAATCTCATCTTCATCCAAGGGCCTTGTACCATTTGGCCAGTTCAAATTGCTGCACTCTTCGGCTGTATAGAATGGTTCATTTAGCATGAGTTTTGTCTGGTCATACAACAAGGCAATGGATTTACTATAGGCTAATGAATGTGGTGGATAGGGCTCAATTTCAATCCCTACTAAATCAATCAATCCGCTCTAAACTCACCTATTTCCAACTGTCTGCATTGCTCTACTTTTTCCAGCCAAGTCAGGTAATGGTAGAGCCATGTTTCCAACGAGGATAAATAGTCGTGAAATACAGGCGAATCAATCCAAATATCCTCATAGAGTATATCCGACGATAGGTCCATGACAGATGCATTGAGCTGATGTATCTTGGACGCCATCAGTGTCTTTCGACCTGGGATAGCGATACTGGTTTCATCGTCGCTACTGGCACTGATCGTATCATCATCATCCTCGTTGTCTGTATTCATGTCGTATTCACTGTCGTCTAGGTCGCAGCTGCTGTTGCTGCTGCTGCTCGTTGTATCTGTATCGTTTAATGGCACTTGCTCCGTGCTATTGTGCCACAATAACGGCATTTGAGGTGAAGTTGGTCTTGATATCACGGGCTGTATGGATGAAAGACTGAATGAAGACCGCGGCAGCCTAGTAGCAGATATCAAGTCGTCTTGTAGATTGGCATCATCATCGTCCTCCAAGTGGATGAGCGGAACACTGCTTGAACGAGATTGTTGATCCATGTTTTCTTCCCCTTCGGCTCAGAGTGTATAAAGAGAAGAAGAAGAAAGAGAGACAAAAAAAATGTATCCATCATGTATTATTATGTGTGCTGAAACTGGCTGATTAGCAATGAGAAAAAAAGAGTGAGTATATTGAAATACACAATTCAGGGGTTGAATAAGCCAAAAAGTAAAATTAAGCTTCAAAATACAGTGTAACCATCTTGGTATAGATGATAGCCGCCCCTTAATTATTGTTCTCCTTGTTGGCAGGAGTCCCCTTAATTTCCTCTCCTTAACAATCAACATGCAAAGGTTACAAATAGCCGTGGGTTATATGTGAGATACAACAAAGCATTACATCTTGAATACATGGACGACTCTAAAGTGTATTTATAAATGATGGACATGCCCACAGATCCTGCTCTTAATATAGATCCATACAGTATGTAGATATTCCAGTATCGACTAATTGTTATGATCGACTAGGCTGTGTATGTGTTCATTATCAACAACAACAACAACAACAACATAGACATAGACATCGCCCCTCTCTTTCTTTTTTTGAGCAAGCACAATCAATCCATTTCACAGTGTAAATATAAATCCTCTCCTCGCTCTTTCTCTGTCTTTTTCTTCCTTTCCCCTTCAGTGTGCTGTATATAACCGACTCGTCTTGATTTTTCACATACCTTTCTCTCTCTCTCTCTCTCTCTCTCTCTCTCTCTCTCTCTTTTTTTTCACCACCCCTCCAGAGGAAATTCAAGGCAGAGCCCTGAATTCTGTACATAATATACCCCCCACTCATGTTACCATTAAACCAGCCTTTACCGCTCTCCACTGAGATCACCATGCAATCCTTGATGAAGGAAGCATCCAATTATCTAGATTCTGGTAGACTCAAGGTATGTAGTGTTGCTATTGTCAATTTGCTTTATAAAAAAGGAGAAAACTGACGAAAAAGGGGCGGCTGGTTGATTGCCAAGTCTAGATTTCCTATGAACTGTACATTGAAGCACTGCTATCTGCCATCAAAGAATTCAAGCAGCTGGAATTCATTGATCAACGTGTAGTCGTTGAGAACAACAACTTGGCCTCTGTATTCACCTTGGCTCATACATGCTTGAGACATGCTAAAACCATCTCTTCCACCAAAACCACAAACAAGCAACATCGTCCTCCAGTGCCACCAAAACCATCCAACCTCAAAATCACGTCTCCTCCTCCTCTGCCTGTCCGACCTGTCCTCATGGCAAGAGCAAAGTCGAAGCCTGAATTTGTAAAGAATTACAGCAGCACAGCACATCTGTATACCGACGAGGAGGATGATGAGGAAGGGGAAGAAGAAGAAAATGATATCGATGACTATTCGGAATACGACGATTCAGACGGCTATGAAGAAGAGGAGGAGGAGGAAGATCACATCACTGTAAATAACAAACTGAAAGGTATAATAACAGGAAGCGACACTCTACCGGAATAAACATTCTTAATCAACACATTTACATAGCACAACAAACAAGAAAGGCCTCTGCTCCTTCACTCAAAATACTCAGAGGAGGCAGCAGTAGCAGACCCAAAATACCACGCAGATCATCCACGTCGAATTTAGCAAGCACATCTGCTCCATCTTCCCCGCTCTCCACTGTCTCCAACCCGCTCAATGCTGTTAAATCCTTCTTGTCATTACCAGGCTCAATGGCATCTCACACCTCCAGTCGAACTGGAATGTATTCCATGGCCATGGATTCCGATGGCATAGCAATACAAAGTGGCGATGATATCTTTCTATTGGCAAACAGTACCATTGATCCCCATGTGTTGATCACTGTGCAAACCAGCAACAGCGACAGTCTATCCACAACCACTGGGAACAATAACAGTTACTTACCCATGATTCCGCAAGCGCCTTTGGTGACAGTGTATCAATCACTTCAAAAGCAACTGGAGGAAGCACTCACACTGAAGAAACAGCAGCGTCAAGGAGATGTTGTCTATGCCAATCAGCAAGTACTGGACATACAGGCCTCGCTGAACAGAGTGCGTAATATACACATGTCTGCCACCACAGTGCCAACCATTCTTCAGTTTCAGCCGGTTTTGATAGCCTATCAACTCACACTGATTGATTCCACCATCTTTCGCAACATTCCAATGGATGCCATCTTATCCCATGCGCCCAAAACACCGCACCCTTCCATCGTAGCATCCACAGACTTCTTCAACTACCTCACTCGTCTGATTGAACATGCCATCTTATTGCAGCAAGATGCATCTGGAAGAGCACAGCACATCAATCATTGGATCAAAGTCGCTGGTAAATGCCATGAGCTCAAGAATTATCAAACCCTGAAAGCAGTGATATCTGCCTTGGGAACACCGCCTATTCAGCGCTTAAAGAGGTCTTGGCAATTTATACCGAAAAAGAGCCTGCAGCTGTTGGAGGACCTCAATGATTTCATGTCGGAAGCCTCCAATTACGGAAAATACAGACAGCGTTTGGGATTGTCTCAATCTGGAACCCACGAGGATGAAGTCAAGTACCGAGCAGGAGTAGGAGCAGGAGCAGATCAGGATGTACTCAATCCACCTATAGTGAAAAAGACCAGCACTCGAAAAAATTCATTCAGTGAACCCACAGTGCCATTCCTGGGTCTCTTTATACATGACATGACCTACCTAGTAGCAGCACTATCCAAGAAGAAACAGCAACAACACAACAGTGATTGGTCAGTTACTACGCCAACAAATGCTACAGTAAACAGCATACAGCAGGATCCAAGAGTGTCCGAGCTTTTGAGATTGTTTAAAAACTTGCAGAGAAGTCCTCCTTATTCACCCAATTTATCTGCGTCCTGTATCAAGGATTTGACCAAGAACAGAAAGCGCAAATTGTCACATGCACTCACGCGAACAACAGCCATGAAACGGGCTCCAGCTTATCATCAGGATGACAGTGATGGTGAACTTGGCATCGAAATGCAGCAGTGCCTGGTGACCCAATATTTGGTAAGTTATATACAGTGCCTGTGTGGTTTCCTTGGCTCATTTCTCTTGCAGTTGACTCGATCTTGGGTCAGTGAAAAGACGGTCGATGAACTGAGTCTTGTTAGAGAACCTACCAAGAGGAGTGTGTCTGTGACAGACTCGCTAGCGAGCAGCCATCATCACCATCATGCATCACAGCATCAAGTGCCTCCACCACCTCCACCACTCATGACCCATTCTGTTAGTCTAACAACCCATGACCAGCAACAACAGCAGCAAGGCGGATTACGCAGTAGCTCGGGTAGCTTTACAAGTGGAGGCAGCAATAGCTCTAATAGTAGACCTATCAGTCTAGAAGATGAACAGCATGAAAATGATGTGCTGGATAGAAAGAATACTGGATTTTGGCTGTTTGGTAGAAAGAGTGCAGATCAAGGCTATCTCAAAGAAGCATCTGCTTACGGAACAATGCAGAGATCACCCAGACACTTTTCGTTTGAGGATTTGAATGCTAATGCGACCACCCGCAAACAGCCCTCTGCAGTAACAACCTTAGACGGCACCTGTCGTATGCATCGAGAAGGATCTCAAGGGTCTTTGGCATCCTCCATATTTCGAAAAGAGTTTTGGAAAGGCAGTAATGGTAATAACAACGATAAACAGCAATTGCAGCAAAGAGCGCCCTTGTTGAGTTTCCACAGCGATCCTTCGTTTATGCAGCAGAGAAAGGGCTCTTCTTCCATGCTAGTTCATCCCTCTCCTTCCACTTCTTCCTCTACGACTACGTCGGTGGCAAGCAAACCAATGAATAACAAGAATCTCAGGCACGTATTGTCTTCTCCTCATCCATTAGACTCGCCTTCAGCAACAGCAGCATCAACAACAGCCACACCTTCATCTGAAATATCTAGTTTTAGCTGGGATTAGTAATTCTTGAGAAAGTATAAATAAGCATGGGCCATGTCGATCACAATGACAAAATCCTTTTTTTTTATGTATATAAATTACAAGTGTAAAGGGAGGGAAATAGGGAGATTGGGGGGAAAGCAGCGTGCATACGTGTTTGTTCAGTGTGAAATGACAGTTAAAAAGAGAGAGAGAGAGAGAGAGAAGGGGAATCAAAAGAGCAAATAAAATCAAAGCAAGACAAGAAATGAAGGGGGGAGGGGAAGGGGAGGAATAATACAACAAATTTACATCAATATACAACATTTGGAAGTAGCATGATCATTGGAATCATCTACGCCAAATCTATCAAATCCACCACCATGATTCGCTGTACCACCACCGCCACCGCCACCACCACTTGCTCCATTATAGCCAGATATATGTCGATTGCTATTCATTTCTTGTTCCTTGTTGTAACGTCTGATATCTCTCACGACTTCGTAGAAAGCATCATCCACATGAATACGCACTTTTGCCGACGTTTCCACAAACTGACACCCGTATTGTTTTGCTAAATCTCTACCTTCTTGACTGGATACTTGACGGTCTGATTCAAGATCACATTTGTTGGCAATGAGCACCATAGGGAAATAGTCTCTGTCCTTGACTCTACAGATTTGCTGGTGAAATGTCTCAATCTCCTCAAATGACATGCGAGATGTAATAGAATACACCAACAAGAATCCTTCGCCGTTTCGCATGTATTGTTCACGCATGGCACTAAGCATTGACAGGTAAGGACAAAGACAACACATACACACAAATAGTAGCTACCTGTATTCTTCCTGTCCTGCTGTATCCAATACGTCCAGCAGGGCTGTTTCTTCGTCAATGACACATTGCTTTCTATAGGAATCTACATGTATATACGATGCATAAATGGCTCGTCCATGCTCATCCGCTCTTCTTGGTCTCTACGTACCTTCAATGGTAGGATCGTATTCATCGACAAAATGAGATTGAATGAATTGGATGGTCAAAGCAGACTTTCCTACGCCTGTTGATACGAGAGGTCAATATTGGTCATGTTTGACATTGGTTTAGGGGCGATTCCTTACCTCCACCTCCCACCATGACAAGTTTATACTCGCGAACAACCCATGAAGCGGTTTTATTTGCCATGCTAATAATCAAGAAAGCAATCAGTCACTGTAACGTGAGAAAGAGAGACACTAAAAGATGGTGAATTTGAAAGGAAAAAAAAAAAAAAAATGTCAAACTCTTTTCCGTCGTGGCTTGTATCTAAATGGGTTGATGGGCAAAACAAACATTGGTGAAAGGGGCTGGTCTCACTGGAACTCATTTTCTTTCTAGAACATGAAAAAGAGAGTGCGCAGAATAGAATTGCATCTCAACATTGTGTTGGTCTAGTGAATAAATGAGAGCCCTCACTGAGGCTTGCTGTAGACATGATAATCACTAGGCTGTTTTCTATCTTAAAACAACGTTACAACAGTTGGTTGTACAGGGAAAGCAACACAATGCTGCATAAATTTTATTTAATCCCATGAGGTTAAAGCCGACTACTGTTGCTGCCATCAGAGACCAAATGCTGCTGTGCCTCTGCTTGCTTCTTCTGTCTCTTCTGCTCCATTTCAGACAGACGCACAATACCCTCTTGAGCAGTCGTAGCCACCAAAATACCATCTCGGTTATAAATTCTGCCAAAGGCTACACCACGACCATTGCTTGTGCGAGGACTATGAATGTCGTATAAAAGCCATTCGTCTGCTCTTGCTTGTGCATGAAACCAGACTGAATGATCCAGTGAAGTCATCATGCCTATGCTCTCTGAATTGAAGGTAAATCCATTTGCTGTGGCGGCTGTGTTGATGAAGCCACTGTCTGAAGCATAAGCAATGATGCAGGCATGCAATTTCATGTCATCGTCATTCAGGGCACCTCTTGTTTTAAACCATCGTTGCTGTCATTTGCGAGAGTCAAGTCAGAAATGATGTATTCATCAGCTTTGTAGTGGATACTTACACAGTATGGAGTTGGTTTGACGTTACCCGTAATAATCTCCTCTGGTGAATATTGAATCACTGCACGATAATCAATGGGTTGATCCTATGTATATATATATATATACAAAGATTAACGATGAGCAAATATAGGTCTCATCTTTTACTACAGCAACATACATCCTCTAATCTTTTTTGAACTCTCTGTCTAAATTTCTCTGGAAAGCTGTTCTCTGTGTTGTCTAATGTTCGTTGAAGCAATTCAACGTCGCTATCATATAGAATAAATGTAAATATATAGCAATCAAGCTGACAGATGCATCCAACTTACGAAGGCAGGCTATCAGCGTCAATAACATCTGGCATGTCAGTCTAATTTGTATATAAAAAAAAAAGATTAGTCAATAGTATTTATCCCAAATTTGGAATGCTTACTTGATGATTCAAGGAGATGCCCTCTTCTGGTTTTGCAAAACTACAACTGCATACAAAGATAGCCTTTCCTTTCTGTGTTGCTGTCACGATACGAGTTGCAAATGATCTGCCATCTCGGATACGTTGCACATTGTAAATGACTGGAATATCTACATTGCAAGCCAAGATGAAATACGAGTGCAATGACTATCAATCATCATCTCGTTAGTGAATCACTACGTTCTCCCGGATGAACAAGTGGTACCTACATGAACAAAGAAGTCTTCTTGTACTGTCTCCCATGCAGATTTTAATGCCTGAGCAACGATCTAATATACATCATTTTAGCATCATATAATGTGTCGAGCATATCATTATTCATGTACCTGTCCACCAAAGGCACCTCTTGATCCAAATGGCAACCACAGCTCCTTACTCATGTATAGATTTGTGTCGATCAATTGCACATCAATAGCATCTCTCATCTTCATGGCAAAATCAACATCCTCATCTGTCTTCTCCTTAACACCTTCGTCCTTGTTATTCTTGAAGGTTATTTTATTAGGGTATGTTACTATAGGCATTTAGTAAAGTGTATATGATGAATTGATAAGAGAAAAGAGAAGAAGCATGCTGAAGTTTTGGCATTAGTCAATTTTAAATGACAAAGTTAAAAAAAAAAGTCTTAAAATTCCCAGGGAACATTTCCATTTGATAATGCCATTTCCTGGATAAACCAAATGTTGTCCTTATCAATACACCAAAAATTCAAAGATGGATAAAGAGCAGCAAAAGAGTCAGCCAAGAAAAGGCATTGCAATGCTGGAATATTTCTCGGATACATGTCAGATTATGTTGCCATGGAAACCGAAATGTCAATATTATCTAATCATCAAAACCAAACCAGGCACATCAACCCTTATTTGGCCATGAACTTCAAATACACCATTTGGCAGCTGAAAGAAATCCATGTAGCACTGCAGACAAACGCTTTGCTACTCTATATATTCTCACAATCAATGAAGCATGTATTGAGCTATGATGCAGGGTTTTAGAGTTCAAAGACCATATTATTAATGGCTTATCTAATACTTTGCCTTGCTTTATAACCTGAATCCCCGATTTACCCGGCTGTGCTTTCTTTTGCTAACCATAGCCCCAAAATGTCCCTTGCGATTGTCGTCATCGGATTCATAATCTAAAAAACTAACTGATCCATATTAATCATAGAGCTCTAAACTATTTACTCCGGGCGGGAAAGGATTTGATATATAAAGCATTTGTATTTTTGCTAAATAAAACATCTCTTCTTTTTCTCATATCTTTCAACAAAGAAACTCTTTATACATCATGTCTGTCCTCGAACAACTCAAGAAATTCACCACCATTGTTGCTGATTCCGGTGATTTTGAATGTAAGTAACTCTCATGACAACTTTTAATGCAAGATGTTGAACGCGTTTCTCGGTATAGCCATTGCCCAATACAAGCCCCAAGATGCTACCACCAACCCCTCTTTGATCTTGGCTGCTGCTCAAAAGCCCCAATATGCCCATCTCATTGATGATGCTATCAAGTATGCTCAATCCAAGAACATGTAAGTTGTCAACATAGTCAATTGGGATGGTGTGGAGGCATCGCATGCTAATTCAGCACTGTTTGTTTGCTAGCTCTTCTGAGGAGAAGCTTGATTTGGCTACTGATAAGCTTTTGGTCAACTTTGGTTCCGAGATTTTGAAGATCGTTCCTGGTCGTGTCTCCACCGAAGTCGATGCTCGTCTCTCTTTCAACACTGAAGCTACCATTGCTAAGGCTCTTGTTCTCATCAAGTTGTACGAAGAGAACGGCATCAACAAGGACCGTGTCTTAATCAAGATTGCTTCCACCTGGGAAGGTATTCAAGCTGCTCATGTCCTCGAGACCCAACATGGTATCCACTGTAACTTGACCTTGTTGTTCGGTTTCGCTCAAGCTGTTGCTTGTGCCGAGGCTGGCGTCACTCTCATCTCTCCCTTCGTTGGCCGTATCCTCGATTGGTACAAGAAGAGCACTGGTGAAGACTACTCTGCCACCTCTGACCCTGGTGTCAAATCTGTCAGCAAGATCTACAACTACTACAAGAAGTTTGGTTACAACACCATTGTTATGGGCGCTTCTTTCCGTAACACAGGTGAGATTGAGGAATTGGCTGGTTGTGATTTCTTGACCATCTCTCCTGCTCTTTTGGGCTCCTTGCAAGAAGACAACAAGACTTTGGAACGTAAGTTGAGCCCTGAGGCTGCTCAAGCTGAAAATCTCGAGAAGGTCACCTTCTTCAAGGATGAGAAGGCCTTCCGTTGGGAAATGAACCAAGATGCCATGGCTACCGAGAAGTTGTCTGAAGGTATCCGCAACTTTGCCAAGGATGGTCTCAAGCTCGAGAACATGTTGAAGGAGAAGCTTGCTTTGTAAATTATATCCTAAACCCCTCTTTTTTCCTCGTAACAACAAACAAAAAACAACAATCATCTCTTTATCAAGATCTCGCCATCTTGATGTCCTTTTTTTTGCATCACATAATAAATATCAATAGTTTTGTTTAAAATAGTCCTAATCTCCATCTAGGGGTACACTAAATGTGCTCACATCTCCTTCAGCTTGACCCGTGTTATTATTACGCAATCAATCAATTTCCCCGACCAGTTTTAAACATCTGGAATAAAATTACAGCGCCAAAAAGTTTAGAATTTATCCTTTATGTAATCAAATGCATTGATTGAAGACACGTTGCAGCATGAAAAGATTCCAGGTGCATCAATGTCTATTTAATATACACGTTCACCATGCAACAAAATGGCATACCTTACTAATTCTCGGCTTGATTGGTGGAATCAGCCAAGTTTCTTTTGTATCACTCGGGTTATTTCACAAATACAAACAGATTAAAGTATTATGTAATCAATTGGCTGCAGTCTCTTCCATGGGAGTTGGAAGAGGGGGGGGGGGACATGACGGATAAAATCGCTGCTCAATTCTAAACGGCGAATGAGCAACCTAGGGTAACTACAGGTTTCCCCACCAAACGTAGGGGTTTGGTATGATTATGTAAACACAACATAATCACCATTGTAGAATATGAGGCTGTGGGTACCTGTGTGCCTGTGGCTCTTCACAGGAATATCCTCACTGGGTGTTGATGTAACATTTACAGCCCATGCCTCATTCATATTTTGAGTTCGGCCATCCTAATAGAGTATAAAGTTGAGATATCAGATCTTTTTCTGTACAAGTTTGCCGACGATTCACAATGTACTCTCCACGTGTCGTTGAACGTTTACTTACGTGGCATCTTTCGGGCGCTCATAAAGCTTGTATATCTTCAGAACCCAAAATTATGCTATTTTAACCAGATTGAGATGTCCGTTGTACTTTTCTGAACATGGCAATTTACTGTTGCAACATGGAACCTGATCAGTTTCGTTCCAAAGTAGCTGTTACATGTGCAAACATCCGCAATTGTCTCTCCCGGTGTTATACAGTGTATAAGCGCGGATTTAGCTGTGGAAAGCCCTGAACTTTGGGTGTCGCAGTAGTTGTCTTCGTGTACGAAATTACAATATCCCCCACTTGTTGTGATTTCTAAGTACAGTGTTTTGTGAGCTATACCTAGAGTATACGACCATTTGGGCGTGATCAGGTTGTGCATTCATTTTAAATACGTGTTTAAATAAATGCGTGCTCGCTCAAATAGCAATATCTTCCAGTAATGCAATCAGTGCTCAATGGGAACAGCAAAGCACTCATAAACTTGCTTTAGTTTGCCCCCCCTTCTATAGCATGAGATGCAATACAGTGAACATGCTGCACCTGTTATCTTTTGATGTGTGCGATTCTTGAATCGTACTGCTACATTCTGACATTTCACTGTTTAGCTCCATAATATGATGTAAGAAACTTCCACAAACTACGCACAGCCGCCGATCTGACTCTTCTGCGATGCTTTACGCCTGTGAAGACAGAAACAATTCATATACGCGCGGAGAGCATACTTACAACGCCTCTTACTAGTCAAGTATATGCAAAACGCAGCTTAATCTGGACGTCTTTGAATCGTGCTTTCTCGTGCTAGAAGCTGTTTTAGACCGCCAGAGTAGTACCAAACAACTGCTCTCATCTAGTAGTAGCTTTCTGACACCTTTGCTCAACTTTTTATAGGATCGTCGAAAATCGGTAAAAAATCATGAGGGATACCTCATAGTTTTCATCGAAAATCAAATGATCATGTTTTTGACCTTGAAAATAGAGACTTTTACTATGGCATATGCTAAATGAAATTGTTCCTATCGATCCAGAGCAACCCCTGAAACTTTGTTTGTAAGATTTTTAGATGGAAAATCTCTACATTTTGGCCCAAAACTGCATTTCGTATTTTCCAAAATTGCTCAATGAGCTTGTTCAAAACACCTTTTATATTTAGTACCGTTGAAAGCGCCTTGAAAAGTGCTTCAAGGATACTTAAGAGGGTGTGGGGTGATTATAACATTTTACATAGTCGAATCTTGAAAATAAGTCGAATCGATTCCAAAAAGTTCGAAAATGAACAAATCAGAACGAAAAGAAATATAGGCGGACATTTAATTTATTTTGGCGGCTGGTAAGGTCATTTAAGGCCATTGTTAATATGAAGGCAATCGATGTTTTAAAGGAATCTGCGACTTGAAAAGTATTATATCTAGCTTGGCCTGGACGACATCTCTTAATTTTTTTCGTGTTTGTAAAGCGGATATTCATATTAATCAAAACTATCACTTTATTCAGCTTCCATAGGCCTCAATTTTACCCGCATATGTTGCCTAATGTTCTGATTAACATCCATAATCTAAATGCATCATCTTGCCACTGTTAAAGGCTATTTCCTAAAGCAACCATTTTGCAAACAATGGTCAAATGTCAATATCAAAGACGATGATCTTGTGATTGAAATCAGCAAGCACTGCACAATCAGCCATTAATGAATTACAATATTAGATCTAACGTTTTAGCTATTATGAATTTTGCAATATTAGCCAAAGGCCCACGGCAGCGCGTTCCACCTGAACGTAGGTTGGTTTCCCGACCTTTGTCTTGCTTTTGGGAAAACCAACCAAAGAGTCGAAATCCTCATCGTAACGAAATAAATATATGGTTCCTACACGTTGTCGAAACCTCAAAAAAAAAAAGGAAAAAAGTTGATCTAACAAGTATTTTGATAGATTGGTATTACTAAACATAGAATTCAATGAAATAGCATGACTGAAGATAGTGTTATATAACTTGCCACCTACTTTCCATACGCTTCAAAAGCATCTATTTACTGTATTGCCTTCATGATGAAAAGGGCATTGAGTTTGTCAGCCGGCTCCACCAGCCAAAATAATTCAAACCCAGAATTATATTCTACTTTAGATTGGCCAAAATTTGGCAGTCTCTCGACTCGATTGAATTATTTCTGCGAATTCGACTAAGTTAAATATGATGATCACCCTATGCTACTTTAAGCTTTCCTGGAGTGCTTTTCAAGGCGCATCCAACGGTACCAAGTAAGATATATATTTTGAATAAAATTGTTGAGTAATTTGTGAAAATATGAAAAGAGGTTTCTGGCCAAAAAGTCGAAATTTTACATATCAAAGCTCCACAAAGATGAGTTTAGGGATTACTTTGGATCGATAGAAACATTTTGATTTGTTATATACCATAGTAAAAGTCTTCATTTTCAAGGTGAAAAATACGATCATTTAATTTTCAATGAAAACCATGAGGGGTACCTCACGCTTTTTAGTGGAATTTTGTCCATATTTTTTTGATCCTCAAAAAGTTGAGCAAAGGTGTCAGCAAGTAACTGCCAGATGAGAGCAATTGTTTGGTGTTATTTTGACAATCTAAAACGGCCTTGAGCGCGAGAAAATATAGCTCAAATGCACTCAAATTTTGCTGTATCAGGGACGCTAAGGACTAAAAAGAGGTAATATCTGTATGCTGCTTGTCCGTATATGAAGTAGCTACGTGTATATGGATGTAGAGCACCACATAAGAATCAGATCCACAGATAGTATGAAGGGTTTTCATGTGTAAGTGGAGGATCAAGTTGAAAGTAGCAGTATTCTGATAAGATATGCAAGGGCAATCGGTAGCACGAGTTGCCACTGCGTAAATTGGTTTTCACTGAAGCGTAAACACTCATTAACATTAAAAAAAAGGTTAATGAAGCACTTGATCTTTCAATACAGCATAGCTTCAAGTACTGCAAGGACATAATCCCATCCAGTAACATTGAGGTCTTTCAGAGCGATTCATTTGAGGCAATCCCTCTCTCTCTCTCTCTCTCTGAGAGACTGAACCCCCTAATGAACTCAGTTCAGCAATAAGCTGTTGATGAAATCGTCAAGAAACAAAGCCGTCTCCATGATCCAATGAAGCTCTACTCTAAGCCTTAAATTTTTTCTCTCCTAGACACTAGTCACCTCCATGCAAAAAAGTATAAATACATGGGGCAAAAGGCAGAAAGTTTTTTCTTCTTTACAACGCAAAAAAATAACAATTGTAATAAAAAGCATTCGTGTGAGATGGTTACCTCGGTAATTATCTATGAAACAACGAAATCGTCAAGCAATTGAATACTACCTATAACACACGAGATGGGTGCACAGAATGGTTAGGATTGATCTTCGTATTAACCTATGGCATTATGTGCAATTTTGTGGGTTTCATCTTTTACATTGTTGTCTCTTTGACGGCATCTTTATTATACATAAAATTGAAATGAAAAAAAAAAAAAAGTGCTACAGCATGATTTCTTCTTCATCCTCATCAATCAGCTTGGGTGTCTCTTTCACGGGTTCCCTAGGCCTTATTGTCACTGTATCCATTCTGATGGTGTTTTCCGTCGAGCAAAAGTATTCGGCAGAGTATTTCTGTTGTTTGGGCGCATCGTCTTCGGTTCGCATTGATGTCAATAGTGGCAATAAACCCTTTGTATCATGCACTTTTTCCTTGATCTCAAACAGCAAATGTGTGCCAATGGTCTCATCCACTGTTCCCTCAAATGTCAATCCGCCCAACTGCAACAAAGGTCGACCCTCTTCCATGCCCTGCATGTCTTGGTGAGCACTCTTGTATTCAGTACATCTTAGATACAACCTACCACGATACGACATCCTGCGCGCGCCTTTTGTTCGACGAAACTGCTAGAAATAGCCCTTCCCATGTCAAATGTTACATAACTAGACTGGATGATGGAATGAGCTCAGATAATTGAACAATCCAATGACAATTACCTCTTCCTCATATTCGTATTCACTGTCGCTCATTGTGCTGGTGTTGTGTATAAAGAGGATGATCTGCGAACAATGAAAAAAAAAAATTTACATTTCATGTCATTACACCCAGTCACTGATACAACACTTGATGTTTCCTATTCTCCATTTGATCAGCTGCCCCTTAAAATAAATGATGAAATGCCTCGAATTCGTATAACTTGCAAGGTATTTTTAGTATACCTATGAGGTAATGAATGAAGCGCGCTCAAGTACATTTATAATTCATGGTTATATATTACGCCTCTCCCCCAACAAGCACTGATTGTATAGTGCGCATCAGGATCCAATTCGCCTCCCGCATGAAATGAAATGTTAAAAAAAGGCATGCCCAACTCACACGCTTTCTTTCTCTTTCCAATTTCCCCTCTTTCTTCTTGAAACAAGCACACGCACAGTCAGACTAGGTCGTATACCAAGTAAGCAGCCAATCCCAAATTACCATGGCAAAAGGTAGAAACCGAATATACTTTGCCATTGCCTCCATCATATCCTCTATCCCCGCTATCGTTGCCATATATGCGCTTAAAGAAAACCTAGTGTTTGTCAGTTCCTTACTTTTTGCTCTTTCCATCATTAGCATGAGCCTGTCTACATTTTTATTCCTCGGTTACAAAACCGTGAAGCATGGCACACCGATGCTATTCAACATCTTGGCAAGTCTCAGCAAATCCTTGGCTCCTCTCACTCGATATTTAGCCAAAACGACCATTATTGGACCTCTATTTGCCTTTGTGATACGATGCTTGTTCTTTCTCGGTTTCATTTTATTGTTAATGAGCGATCAGCTCATCCGTGCAGTGTTTAGGCTGTTTATTGGAAGACATCCTTCCAAACAAAACTACTGTAAGTACAGCATGACTATAAAGCGCAAACACAGCAGCTCAATTTCGCCTTCTCTAGCCATCACAAGTGCAATGGATCCTCGTATAGAACTATTTGATGATACAATCCCGAGATCGAAACATTTGGAAGATAGCGAACTATTCAGGCAGAGAAAGCAACTGCGCATGACTGACTCCACTGGCCCTGAATCACGCGCACTCACATCATTGTTGAAGAGGCCAAAATACTCGGTGCCTCTGGCTTATACACTCTCCGTAGCCAGTAAATTGGTGTATGAAGAAGTCGAGATCATTAAATACGAGCTGAAAAGGGCAGGATTTGATGTTGACCGCACATTCAAGCCAATTGCTTATAAGGTTTGTCTAGCATGTTACACAGATCAGTTGAAATTTACAACATACATGTAGAACATTTGTGCTTTCATCGCTGAGAAAGATGACGATATTCTATTGGTATTCAGAGGGTAAATATAATATACATATTGCAATTCTTGTACTACAGCCACCTGTATAGAACCAATCCATTGAACATCCAAAACTATCTCACCAACATCTCCATGACCATGACAGAGATCAAATCACCGTGGGGGCCCATGGGTAAGGTACACAAGGGCTATTGGAAGGCCATGGGAGAGCCCATGAAGCGTAAGGACGATCATGAGACTGTGAAAACGACCATGACACCAGATGGGCCGGTGTTGCGCATCGAGCTTACAAATACGTCAGTATACCGAACCATTGTATCCGCTGTTCAGGGCACAGCTAAAATTATCAAGTTCCTGACGACCAATCTGTTTCATCATGTCAAGGAGCCCATTGATAGCAGTTGGGTGGGACCTGATATCGATATTCGTACCAACAGCATGTACGCATTGGCAGAAAAGCATATTTTAGAATTGATTCATCATCATCACTCGCCAGACGAAAAGCAATCGAGAAGAAGATCTGGGCTATCACACGGGGGTACAGCACCCAGCACCACTGCAACAAAAAAGAAAAAGAGACTGTTCATCACAGGGCACTCGCTAGGAGGCTCAATGGGGTTGAGTAAGTGGAGGACACACGCTGTCAAAGATGAGCTGGCACTTATAGTTGTACATTATAGTCTTTCTCGCAAAGATGCTGCAATCAAAGAGCCCATTATTGGACCATTTTGCAGGACTGTACACGTATGGACAGCCCAAGATTGGGGATACCGAGTTCTCCAAGGTGTTTAGTCCACGCATGACAAGCAAGATTTTTCACCATGTGTATAACAACGACATTGTGCCCCGTATCCCTCGTTTTTGGCACTACGAGTAAGATCCATCTTCTTTTCAGCAAACATACATCATCTCATCTCTTTTTATACAAATATAGTACCCCACCTGGATCACTCGTCTATATTGACTCTGCATTCAATATTACCATTTACCCGCCAAACCCTTACACAAATGAACCAGTGCCTGTACGTCCGATTTCGTTCCTGCATTTATCTGGATTGTTGAATCGATATGTCATCCGTCGCCTGCCCCGTGAAAATCAAATCCGCATCTTGTTTCGTATTCTGTTTCCCTTCTTTATGAATGACCATTTCATCAACGATTACTGCCAGAGTTTGCGACAAGGTAAAGTGCAGTGGGTTATCATGGGTGCTGGTGGACTGGAAGGCGGTGATGAAGAGCAACAAAAGGCTGTACACAAGCGCGGCAGTCTGCAGAGACGACTTAGTATTGTAGATGTTCATGATTGATAGACGGCACTCAATATAGCTAAATAAACTAAATACCCCCCTCCTTTCATTCCATGATAAAGAATTGCCCTATCATTTATTCTATTCGTGCTGATGATGATGATGCCATTTTAAAAGTAATGGCTGAGGACATATTGTGGGATATTAACACCAAACAGTGATGCGACAAATAATGCAATCCACAAGGCGATGGGGTACAAGAAGAGTTCTGTGTGAACCAAAAAGGGTAATGCTATGGTGTGTGTATTAGTTTTGGCACCAAAACGAGCCTGCGCATCCTTACCATTGAAGCCTAAAAAGACGCCCACCATATACCAGACCAATGCAACGCAATACATGAAATTGCCAATAAACATGGATATCCAATTTTCCTTCAAAATAAGCGGCAAAAAGAACAGCTGAATCACATATAAAATGAGGTATACTGGAATAAATGCATTGCAATGGACGTCAAAAGCATACGCCCACTCCACTTGCTGTGCTACTGCGTACGTGTTGGCATTCTGAATCAAAAACTTGTTGGAAATGTACCTATTGCATTGTAAGTATCGTAGTGTGGAGTGCCATGATGCTGCTACTACCATGTGAATGTTGCTATCATTGCTCCAAACAGTAGGAAGTCTATGCACAGCATCGATAAAATGGTCTTGATGATGCCATATGTGCCCAAATGATATGTGAACCCCCAAACTATGGCAGATACTGACCGTACATTTGAGTATCTTCTTTCTTCTGTCAAGCGATGCTCTCTTACATGTCAAAAATGCTGCTAAAAGTACAATGAACGCTGGGTCGTCTCTTGACCATCTGTTCTTGGTCTCTATTCGGTGCAATTGAATTGAGTTAATTTGCTACATTAGATTGATACAATGGCTGCATTACGTTTATGGTAATAAATGTTTCGATATCTACAAAATAGCCGCATTAGCTTCATGCATTGCTCTGTTGAATACCAACTTACACTCTTCTCGGCGCAATTAATAGATATCCCATCTGCCATAAAGCAAACTACGTTCATCAAGTATGAGTATGCTATGATACACGCTTTCTATAGAGTGCTTACTTCAAAGTCCATTTGTGGAAAACGAAACAATCGACGCAACAGAGCAGGCGAGCCCTTTCTGTGTCTTGCACCCTGATTATAATACGATGCCGATGATGATGATGGACCAAGTGTGTTATTTGTAGTGGGTAATATAGAGCTCATTTATAAGATACAACAAGACGAATGGAAAAACTACCAAAATTGAAACAAATGTACATTACACGCTCCAAAGACTGCTTTTCATATAGAGAATGGTAGCTTGAAACTGCACGGTTTATTTACTGATCTGTTCTTATCTGGAACCTTTTGATCTCTACAAATGCCTCGAGTTTTAAGGGTAGAATTAAACATCAGAGATCTACTTGCAAAAGATGAATGCAGAGCCATCTGATCCGAAGCCTTAACAATCAACTGATGTTGAACTGTTTCCGTAAGCTAACAGGGCACATGCAGAACACCTTTGGGGAATGCAATGGCACTAAAAGATAAATATAAAAGCATATACTTTATTTACAGATCATATACATAGTTTGACAATGTCATTTAATTGGAGTCACTTCATCACTCAACAGCTCATATTTTGTAATCAGTTCTTTCCACTGTTGTTGCATTTCATCCTCAAAACCGCCATTAATAGACTTGAACATGGTTTCTAAGTTTTCATCTCTTGAAATAACGGTATCGGTAGGCGGCGTTGGTACAGGTGTTGGAGCAGGCGACACTTGCTTACCCTACACAATCGGCTATGAGCTCACTCTTCAGGAGCATTGCGTTGCTGTAACTTACTTGGACGTCTAAAGTCAAATAATCCACCTCAACCTCTTCTTCAGCATAGTCATCGTCGGTGATCATACTGAACGAGCTTCTTGTGCTTGCATCGCTGTTGAATGAGGATATTGTATTGGCAATGGCAGTTTTCTTAGGCTTGTCAAGATGGTGGTGCTGTTGTGTATTATTGTTTACACTCTATATATAGCAAAACGTAAGCATCTATATATGTGTTGATAAGTAAGCAACTTACCGTATTAGGCGCTTCGTCTTTGTTGTTGTCGTTATCGACAATATCACTCTCTATTAATGAATCGTCGATGGTAGATGTCTGTATACCATATGAAGAGGACCACAACGAGGAGGCCAGTGTAGTGACAGAAGAGACTTGGCTGTAATTCTCGTTTTTGTAACATCCCAAGCTACTACCACCACTCCAAGAATGATGTACAGGTATGCGCGCAATAGATGGCTGCTGCTGCTGCTGCTGTTGTTGTTGTTGTTGTTGCTGATGTGATGCTGGTTTGGATTTCTTGATCATTTTAGAAGGTGATACAGACCTTGATCTACTGCCATTGCTGCTGTGGAACAACTTTCCGAGAGATGGTATACTGGACGTGCGTCTTGATAGGGAATTGGTTCTTGAACGAGATAGATGATGGGTTGATTGCTGCATCAGCTGGCTCTGTATGCTTTGCTGAATCTTGACAATGGTTTGAGCAGAGTAATCTCTTGATTTCTTGAGACAATGCTCTAAATAATACACTAGCCAACATACCATGAGCTATTTGAGATGGGTTTCAGGCAAGCACTACTTACTATTGTTCCAGAAAATGCTCTCAAAATCAATTGTCTGCTCAGTGGATCGCCTGAATGATTGCTGTGACATGGTCAGGTTGGTTCTAGTGCAGATATTGAACCGGAAGCCTTTCATATCTTCAGGCTGTATCAGGCCCACTATCCAGGGATTGTACAATGTATTTCTTGAAGAAAACAGACTGTCCATGCTTATTCCTCTGTCATCCGCATAAACAATAGTGGTGTCGCTCTTGTACTTGGCTGTAATGTAGCTCTCTTGATCGTAAATGTTGCAAAAGCTAGGCATGCCATTCCACATTTTCTGGTAGGCCTTGTCGGTAGTGAGCTCATATCGCTTCATCAATGCTCTTGTCTTTTGATATACAGTGCGGAATGTGTCGATCTTTTCCACGTAAGCTGCTTTCCTTGATTTTGTACATGAGATTTCATCACGGATTGGTATAATGGAGAACAAGCGAGGGCCTTTGTAAAAGTACTTTTCGAAAGAGGTAATGTTGGACACCTGATCTCTTGTCAATTCTGGCACGGCAGTAGCAGACAGAATGAATGAGCCAGGACGATCTATGCGTCATTGAGTGAGTCTCTAGTAACACAGACATCTAAGATGTGTACAAACCTGCTACGCCATCGAACATTTCTATGCTCTCCACATCCGCCCAGCCTTTGAATTTCAATGGTGGCTTCTCCACCTTATGGTGGATACTGCCTCTTAATATGGAGGCACTGGATGAATTTGTAGGACACACAGGGTTTGAGCTATCCAGTAACTGATGAAGGTCGATCTCTCTCGAGTCAATGGAGGACCTGCTAGCCACCAGAATCTTGTCTGTGAATAAAAATATGGACACGGCTCTTGTTGGTTTGTTGGTGACACGATGAATTTCAATGGCGTCAATATGTGCTATGAGCGATCGTTTCTGATTGATTAAGGAGCACTAATTTAAGGTTTAGATGAATGATGTGATGATAACAGCATAAACGTGAAACTTACGGGTGAGTCCTTAATAGCCTGATACAGGTTCAAAAAGAGTGTGGCTGTCTTGGTAGGGTCATCATCGGCCATGGTGGCAATCTCTCTAGCCTTTTCACAAGCTGCTACTAAGCCATGGTAGTCTGCATGGTCCTTTGGTGTCAGTTGAAGAATGTCTCTCAGCATCATGGAGTAGCGACTGATGCGCTGAACAGGCTCCACCAGGATGTCTTGCAACCGCTTCCGCTTAAAGTCAGAGTGATCTTTTACTTTTGTCAGGAATCGCTTGTAATTTTGGTTTGCCTTGTATTCCTTTGCGTGCAATTTTTGTGCTTCGGATTGCTCCAAAAGGTACTTTCTGTAACACTCGAATTTAATAATCTACATGTATTAACGGATGATGAGATCATTTGTTTGCACATTTAGCCCGCCATTTCTCATATTTACATGCTTTTGACACATCTCGCCAAAATTGTCCGTGGTTGCCAGCAAATCTGTCAAAAAATCGCTGTTTACCTTCATAATCTGGTCAATGTTGAGAAAAATCTTTTGGCATTTAAAGGTATTTAATATGCAGTTCTTTTGTTGCATGTTGGCTCGGAGTGGTTTCACTACATGTTTGACAATCGTTTTCAATGTGTCGACATATGATTTCTCGGTCTTGATGAACTCCTGAATGCGGAATTGTCTTTTATCGTCGTTTCTTTCAAACTAACGATGCCACCCCCGGTTAATTCTTCTTGTTCTCAGAGCTGCTGTTTGTCAGTAGTTACCTCTCTCGAAAGTGTGTCGAATGCTTCGTTGTGGTTGTCGTGTGGTGTGGTTTTATGGAAACACGATGCCTGCTCGTGAATTTCGGTTCCAATGATGTTTAAAAACTGTTCCAGCTGAATCTGCTGCTCTGTAGAGATATTAGTCGAGAGTCTACTAGTGCCTATTGCTCATGTCCATACTCGCTGTTCTATTCTTTGAGGGTATAATCAAGTCTATATTTTGACACTAAACAACGAATTAGCGTGCAATTTTAGTAAAGTCCACAAGCTGGCTATTTACTGTTGGTTGCGCTGTTTGCTTGGTGATTTTATCATAGAAATCGCCTTGTTGATGAGAGTCCTGTTGAGGAGTGTTGATGATTTCTTTCTGCTTTATTAGCTTCCATTGATGGCAGTACCCATTCGTTAATAGTTGTGATTTTAGTTCCTGACATTTAAATAGTTGAGATTTAGACATTGCCACAAAACCACGGCCAACTAGACTTACTTTGAGATTGCTCATTATGTTTTGAGTAAAGAAAGAGAAAGAGAGAGAAAAAAAAAAGGCAAGAAAAGAGCATGTTGGGTTTATTTATTATGCTTTTTTTATTTTTTTGTTATTGTTTTACCCTCCTAAAATAGTGATTTGTGCAACTGCAAAAAAATACAAACCATGCTCTTTCTTTGACTTTTCATTGTCTGTGGGCACAGTCTGTTCATTTGGTATATTTATTGGCTTCTTTGTCTTTGTCTCCATGAAATATGAACACTTTATTCGTTTAATAGTGTCTTGCACGTGTGCTGTTTGCACATTTCAATATGCTTTCAAAGAGCTATATCGACAGTAATAGAAGCAAATGTCAAATGCATGAAAACACACCTTTTTTTTTTTTTTTTTTTAGTTCGACTTATATATTTATATACACATTTGAACACAAACTCATGAATGAGTGGAAACTTGACAAGAGTGAAATTGTCTAATTCCATATTGGTAACACACGTTTTAGCAAAAACAAACAGTTGGTGATGATGATGATGATGGTGGATGATGAGATAGACTCCGCGTTAATGTTTGAAGAAAGTGACGGAACAGGCTGAAATGTGGATCATTGTTTATGGTAACGTGTTCAGCTTATTTTCCCATATCATCTAACAGTAATATTGGAAAAGCAACATGGGTACATACGTTAGCATGTGGAGATTGCTGCCATGCTATTTCTTTATTCAACAAAAATATCATAAATTGACTAGAATGTGGATGGGAGATGGATAGAAAAAGATGAAACGTAATTAGTAGTAAGAGTATTAAAAAGAGGTAATAACTGCTGATAAGAATCAACGGGTATAAATATACATAAATGCTCAAAAGTTGGCACGATAGTTGACTAGCACGGCGATACTGTAATGGCTTTGCTTCTTATTCACTTTTGTATTTCGCACTACTTCATCACTAAATTGAATGGGATCATCATCTTCTTCTTGTATAAATAAGCTTTCTTTATCGATATCGTGATGTAAACTGTCTGCTTCATGCTGTGGATCTGCTGATATCGACGATCTTCTATCGTATTCTTCGCTGCTATATGTATCGTAGATAGTGACATTGCTGCGAGATGAGAATCGGACGGATTTACTGGTAGTAGTAGCTGATTCACTGCTGCCGCTTGTGTCCGTACTGCTGCTACTCTTTCTTCGATTGCTCAGTTTGGATTTTGCTGATTGATATAATTTGGAGATGGAAGTTGGCATTAGGAAAAAGGAGGAGAAATGAAATAGATAGAAATGAACAACAATCAACATGATTTGAATATATATATGTGTGTGTGTACAAATAAATCAATGGTCACAGTGAGTGGTCAGCCATTGCGTCTAATAGGTACTGTATTGCTTCTCTATGGAGATCAAGGAAACGAGCATAATTTCTTGGTATTTTTGCCCAATCATCTCATGAATGACGCTTTACTGCTCAGCATTTAAGCTTAATTACTATGCGACAATTTCAAGCGCGGTTAAAAAAATGACACCATAGAAAAATCCATTGCCCTATAGACAAATCAACGATTCGCCTAGAACATTGCTCTTCTCGTGAATCATTATAAACATATTGGTAATCCACCCAAATTTGATTAGTAGTACTGTTTACCTTAAAGATGCATGGTCTCAGAAGAGTGATATGGACACAATGGAGTGCAATGTAATTTGTTGATCAAGGTCTCTATCAGAACATAAAAAATTTATAACTTCTAGGCATTTTCAAAGCCTCAAACAGGAAAGAAGTTGATCTAACAAGTACTTTGATAGACTGGCATTATCAAACATTGAATGCAAGGATAATAGCATGGCTAGCGATAGTGCTATGTAATTTGCCACCTACTTTCCATACGCTTCAAGAGTATCTATTACTGTATTGCCTTCATGATGAAAAGGGCATTGAGTTTGCCAGCCAGCCAGCCCCACCAGCCGCCAAAATTACTTTAAACTCAGATTCTTAGTCTACTCCAGATTGGCAGTTTTTCGACCTGATTTAACTATTTTGCCAGATTCGACTATATAATTATGATAATAATCCCATGCTTCTTTAAGCTTTCTTGGAGTGCTTTTCAATACGCATCCAATGGTACCAAGTAAGAAATATGTTTTAAAATAACTTATTGAGCAATTTATGAAAATATGAAAAGAAGATTCTGGCCAAAAAGTCGAGATTTTCCATATCAAGGTCCCACAAAGATGAGTTCAGGGATTACTTTGGATCGATAGAAACATTTTGATTCAAGATATACCATAGTAAAAGTCTTCGTTATCAAGATGAAAAATGCAATCGTTTGATTTTCAGTGAAAACCATGAGGGGTACCTCATGCTTTTTGGTCGAATTTTGGCCATGTTTTTTTGATCCCCAAAAAGTTGAGCAAAGGTGTCAGCAAGTAACTGCCAGACGAGAGCAATTGTTTGGTGCTATTCTGACAATCTAAAACGGCCTTGAGCGCGAGAAAATATAGCTCAAATGCACTCAAATTTTGCTGTATCAGGGACACTAAGGACTAAAAAGGGGAAATACCAGTATGCTGCTTGTCCGTATATGAAGTAGCTACGTGTATATGGATGTAGAGCATCAGATAAGAATCAGGTCCACAGACAATATGAATGTTTTTCATGTGAAAGTTGAAGGCCAAAATGAAAGTAGCAGTATTCTGATAAGATACGCAAGGGCAATCGGTAGCACCAGTTGCCGCTGCGCAGATTGGGTTTCACCGAAGCGAAGCGAAGATAGAGAGCCATCCGAAGCATAAATACTCGTATTAGATAGTAAATCAAGGTTTCTTTTTAGGTCAAAAGCGAATTAGCTGGTTGGTGATGGTTATTAAGGATTTGGTAATCAAGTCAAGATTTGACAAGGGAAAATGGCTCCTGGACTAAACCCGTGCATTCGGGATTACGCCATAATCACACTTGATTACAGTGAAACGCTAGATTGATGGCTATGTTAGAAGAAGTGACCAAAGCTTTGCTAAATAGAGATCGACTCGTAAGTGTTTGTTATAGAAGAATTTAGTAAGCAAGGCAAGATTTGACAAGGGAAAAAGCTTCTTGTCTAAATCCGTGGACTCGGGGTTAGTATTGGAAGGCATTTATACACACCAATGCTCAGTAAATGTCATATTGCGACATTGGGAATCATTTGGCTAGTTCTCGGTAAATTTTGGATAAAGTGACCAAGAAGTATAAAGCATTTCGCGAAGTGAAAGAGGTTTAGAAGGGTGATTTTGAAACTATCTTAATCTCAACAACATGGTGGTGACGCTCAAGCTGTGTCGTGCTAATCTTAATTTACATTTACCATGTGTCGTACTACCTGAGCATATTGGGGTGATCTACACTCAAAGAATTTGGGGTGTTTAGTTGAGGCAACGTTACCAATATTATGAATAATTTCAGGAGCAACTGTCTAGAAGATATATAAGGACATTATAGACATAATCGAAAACTGTCTGTATTATTATATGGACCTTATTGCTTGTAATTGAATGCATTGTACCACTACAAATAAATAAGCTTGTGCTACTATCCCCTTTTGTTCACTACCCGAATAAACCGTTTTTTAAATTACGGAAATGTTGTTGATATTTACAATTTCATATTTTCTTTCCCTTTTATTCATTTATCTCTCATTTCTCTGTTTTTTGGCACTGTGGATCTAAAAATACTACATGGTTACCATGGTAACCATCATTTAAACTGATCTACATGGCGACCGTCCCCTAGCAATATTAGATGCATCCGAGATAGACATCAGTTTCGACTCTTCGGAATGGCCACTCGCATATGTATCTACATTAAAATACGACAGATCAGATCAAGAGTATTAGATAAGCATTTGGTTTGTCCAATGTCACTCTATTTTCTTTTAGATACGATATTTTCATTATTTAAATAAAATCCGTCCATTTTGCATGTAATTTGTCCAATGTCGATATATACAATGTGTTTGATGGTACATTACGATTCTATACCATTTTCTTCATGGTTACCTATGATTATTCCATTATTCCACAAACAGTAATTTTGAAAGAAATAACCATAATGAGTTTTGGTAAGTCGGTTGCCTGAATATGGTAATTTGAATTGATGGATCGGGTGGAAAAAGAATAGGGAACCTTATATTTCTTATTTTGTGTGTCTACAGGAAACCTTTATATATTTGAGCTACCATTTACGACTGTATACTATAGTATTATCTATGTTGCAAGTCTTATTTTGCACAGCAAATCTCGCCTATTTCGAATTAAAGAAATATCCCATTTAGCATGCTTTTCAAGTCCATCTGCATGAAATCTCTATAGTTTCTTTAGCGAAAAAAAAAAGGCCAATTGGAGGATCAAAAGTACGTATACAGATAAACTTTGTGGTATATCAACAAAAAGGTGTTATTTACCTGTTCATCATGTGAATCAGAAAACCTCCCAAAAAAAACAACCCTTTCTTCTTGCTCTACTGCTACAACTGACTTTTGTGTTACAAGATGTGCGCTGTTGTGTGCCCATGGTTTTGAATAAATATCTTGTTTTTCTAACCTCTTTCTTCCCTCTTCTTCCTTTTCTCTTTGATTTAAAATCAAAATGTATCATTCAAGCCTTACATCCCATGATTTATTCCCACAATTAGATGGCTCAAACACTACATGCCAACAACCTCAACTGGCTGCTTTGGGGGTTTCTACCGCCACTAATACCACATCTGCCAGCAGTGGCATCTTGAACTCTAATCAATCCATGTACGATCCCTCCTTCTACTACTATACTGGTCAAGTCTCTACTCCATCCAATGCTGCTTTGGTTGCCTCTAGTATATTCGACTGCGAGGATGTCTTATTTCCATCCAATGTATCCGCTACATCATCCACATCATACAGCAAAGAACCACTTACAACATCCACATCTTATCAGTTAATGCAATCTTCTCTTTCCTCTTGTTACACATCTCAACGGGAATCTCCTTTTTCAATTGAATTAGACACCTTTCAACAACAGAACCAACAACATCAATTTCAACAATTGTATGTCTGTGGATCTCCAATGGATATGAATGTGTCCTCTGATGTATATGATATGGCTGTGCAACCAAGCGCCTCGAATGCCTTCCCGCTTCTTCCTACATCCTCCACACTTCGTCATGTTGGACAACATCAACACCACCATCATCAACGCAATCCTTCCTCCTCCTCTACTGCTTCTTCTTCTGGTTCCTCCATGTCATCTCCTGCCTCTGTCTACTCTGGATCTTCCTTTAACGACGACCATATACATCATACTTCTATACGTTCTGGATCTCTCTTCCAATGTGAATACAAAGGGTGCACAAAGGCATTCACTCGTACATACAATCTCAAATCACACAGAAGAACCCACACAGACGAGAAGCCATTTGCTTGTGATATGTGTCCCAAGGCCTTTGCTAGACAGCATGATCGCAACCGTCATGCCAAGCTTCATCTCGGGTTAAAACCTTTCCCTTGCTCATTCTGTGATAAATCTTTTGCCAGACAAGACGCATTGAATCGACACTTGAAGAGAGATAAGAAGAAAAATGCTGTGCAAATTACCAGACAAGAGGACATTTCCATCTTGCCACCTCCGTGTTTATTACTCAAGATCAAGCAAAAGCAAAAGGCCAATCTCAAAAAGAAGAAGCAGCTCTTGTAATGTGCTTGATTTACCTCTTCCCTGTTGTTTGTCTGGTACAAATATGTTATATTTACCTATATGCCCCTTATAACCCCCTTATTGCCCCAATCCAATACACACTGTCAGTGTTCTTTTGATATATATGATGCATTCATTTACTCTTTTTTTTTTTCCATCTTTTGTAAACTTTTTTTCATAGAAAGCTTCTTTTTTTATTCCGGCTCGATTGATCCAACTTTAAATCTACGTTATTCTCATTCTCTTCTATATCATTCTATCTAATAAAAAAAAATTGCATTCTCTGCATAAATTGTGTTGCTCGTATAAGAAAGTTTAGTAAAGATATCAAAAACTTTATATGAAAAGTGTCATTTTCATTGAAAATCGTATGATTTATGGAGAGCGACTCCCTGAAAGGAGTAAAAATTGGCCGCACAGATGTAAAAGAAAGTGTTCTTTCTTGTGCCACACACGCGTAAGGTGGTGATGGGCATCAAACAGGCAGCGATTGGAGAGGCTTCTCGGGAGTTAATCACTGTAGCAAAATGGGAATTTAATTTACGAACCTACGTTAGGGTTTTGCACATGAGTACAAATGCCTTTAATTACACATAAATATGAACGAAAACATGGCGTTTTTTTGCTTGTGTTTGCATTCTGTTTACTGCAGATTGAAAAAGGAAACACAGCGTAATATCCTATTGGTACCTCACAAGAGATATATCAACATGTATGAGTCGTACTAACTTTTCTTTTTTTTCCCCTCTCTAAATCGCATAAACGCTTGAGCGATAAAAATCCCCTTTTTTTACCAATTAGTTGGTTTTACAGAAACGCCATACGCAGCGAATCAAGGCTGGTCATTGTATTGCCATCTGCCAGTGGGATCGTTATGGTGTTTTCGCTTTACGTATGCAAAGTATTTCCTTAAAAGACGAAGCTAGGTCATTCATTTTGCCTATAATTTCCTTATCTCTTCTCGTATTATGTATGCAACATAACAAAGTATGAGTACATTGCCTTTCAGAATACTTGATCTCGACCTGTAGCTATCATGCGTCATGAAAACTCAACCAATTGAATAATTCAGGTACGACATTGTTTGATCCAAGGGTAAACTTTTCCTCTTGGAGCCCACCACTGCTCATTAGTATATATATAAACCTTTCAAAAGCTTCTTTTTTTAAAATAATATTTGTACTGCATTGAATTATGACGACGACAACAACGCCTCAAAAAGATAACTGGTCTGCTTCCAATTACGCAAAACACGCCTCATTTGTACCAAAGTTAGGTTCTGTGATCCTTGATAAACTCAACCCTCAATCCAATGAACGTATATTGGACTTTGGATGTGGGGATGGTGTATTGACCAAGATATTGGCATCAAGAGCGCAATCTGTTACTGGCATTGATGCGAGTCAGGACATGATTCTACGCGCACAGCAAGATGACCCTCCTCAAAACACCACCTATCATACCGTGAATGGGTATGACCTGGCTGCCTGGTTCGATTCCCAAGAAAAGACGGATCCATATGACGCTGTGTTCTCTAGCGCAACCCTTCATTGGTTGAAAGAGGAACCTGCCAAGGCCATTCAAAATATTTACCACATTTTGAAGCCTCATGGACGATTTGTTGCAGAATTCGGTGGTTTCATGAACTGTGGAGGTAATACACGCGTTTGATACATTTATAGATATAGGCCGTGATTGACGTTTCAGCTATTTATAAACAGAAATCAAAAATGCGTTGATCCATGCTCTCAACAAACGCGGCATTGACGGTAACGCCGCTTCACCTTGGTTCTTTCCATCAGCTGAACACTACAGTAAGATGCTTGCTGAGAATGGTTTCCAGGTACAGGAAGCAGAGTTGGTACCTCGTATGACGGAATTGGACACAGATATCAAGGGTTGGATTGAAACTTTTGGATTTGCCTTTTTAGAGCATTTGAGTAACGATCAGGAACGCAAGCAGGTCGCTCAAGAAGTGCAAGATTACCTTCAACCCAGCTTCCAGAGAGAAGATGGTAAATGGGTGGTCATGTACGTCAGACTTCGAGTCATTGCCATAAAAAAGTAGTGGTAGTAGTAGTAGTAGCAATATAGTGTAGTTGTAGGGATTTATTAATGTTACAATAAAAAAAGAGATGGATGAATAAAATATATGTATATAAATTAGCTGTAGTGCTTGACAATCAAGCCCTGACTAGAGTTCAACGTGTATCTGTTGCTTTCAAATTGCTCAGAGTGGAAGAATGATTGCACGTCTTGGATGTTTAATGCCTTGGCCTTGTTTTCAAATTCTGAAATAGTGATGGTCACCTCGGTAGGGAGTCGTCTGTAGCGAAGTTGATACAGTTTACGCTTCTCCACACAGATATCGTCCAATGTGGCAAATAGCAATTCATGGTCATCACGCGAGTTTCTGATAAACTTCATGAAACGCTGTGGGAGTGTGTATTAGTACCTGGCTTTATACTCATTGTAAATCAATCCACACTTACTCTGCGAAGCACCTTCATCATACTGAACTTTTGTGCGCTGATGAAACTGTCCAATGCTACACGAATGGCCATATCCACATCGTCTGAACGAACATACTCTCTCAAGTGCATCTTGGCGTGTGCTTCAGCGAGACGAATCATGGATTCAAGATGACGCACTGTAATAGGGATACTGCCACTAGCGAGTGATTCTCTTCTCAATTCAGAATAGAGACGCGACAATTTGTCCTCATCCACTTGTTGCAGTTTGGGTTGAATCTTTTCACGGGCGTACATGATGTATTTCTTGAGCAAGTCTTGGTTGATGATGTCGGCATCGTTGTCTTTGGGCTGGGCGAATTTCTGATCTGCGTCGTTGTGAAGGGGATGGCTGCGAAGATGACTCCCAATGACATTGGTGGCCAAGATGTGATCTTGTTCAGGATCTACCAAATCCTTGACGACACAGAGCACATCAAAACGAGAGAGAATAGGCTCTGTCAACTCAACATTTTGAGAGAATGGAATGGAGGAGTTGTAGCGACCACGGATAGGATTAGCAGCAGCCAAGACAGAGCATCTAGCTTGCAATGTAGTAACAATACCAGCCTTGGAGATTGAGATGGATTGCTGCTCCATGGCTTCGTGAATAGAAGTACGATCAGCATCATTCATCTTGTCAAACTCATCAATCAAACAAACACCACGATCAGCCAGCACAAGCGCACCACCTTCCAATGTCCATTCACGGGTGATGGGATCCTTGTGAACTGAAGCGGTCAAACCGACAGCACTTGCACCTTGACCGGTTGTATAGACTGCACGATGGGCTGTCTTTTCCACATACTTTAAAAATTGCGACTTGGCAGTACCTGGATCACCCAACATCAAGATATTGATATCGCCACGAATGATATGCTTGCCCTGAATGTTCTTGGGGACACCACCAAACATGGCCAAAGCGATAGCGCGCTTGATGTCGTCGTGTCCGTAGATGGAAGGTGCAATACTCTTCATGATCTTTTTGCCGATACGCTTGTCTTTACCCATTGCTAAAATTTGCTTTGTGTCATCCTCGGTCAATCTGTAGGCTGCAAACATGTTTTCCTTCTTGTTGATGAAATTGGCTTCAATGATGGTGGCGAATACAGGGAAGCCGTTTTTGGTACTGAGCGAGGCATCGAAATTGTTACGATAGACACCAATGACCTCAATCTCTTCACCAGGCTTGGCTTGATCGATCAAATCCCACAGACAAATCACTTCTCTATGGCGAGGCAAACGACCAGGAGGAACAGTGCCTGGTGATTCTTGAATTGTCAGCTTTTGATAGTTACGATAGACAGTCTGTTCCATGTTGACATTGAAGGGACCTTTGCTTTGACAACTGGGACATGTGTTGATCTTGATCTCGTTGTGAATGTCTTGATAAAAGGGACCCAACAGGTGGTTACATTTACCACAGTTAAACTTGACCCACTTCAATTGAGGGAATACACCAGTACGGCGAGTGACTACACCAGATACACGGATCAAGCAGTTCAATTGAGATTGTCTCAACTCGCGCAATGTGTTCTTGACAGGCAAATCAGTGATACGGACATGGATTTCACGGTGAATGCGTTCGTACGCAGGGAACTGCAACAAGGTGACTTCCAATGCGACTTCATCGAGAATCTTCAGCATGGCGATGGGTGAGTTGGATAGATAGTAGGCCAAGATGATTTTGCTGTCTGCCAAATTCTCGTAATTCACTTCAAATGACTCCTTGTTACGCTCACCCATATCTCTGATACGCTCACCATACACAGATGTACCGTGTTCATCTACATAGGTTTGCAAGAAATCCTTGAATTCACGCTTGATACCACGACGCACTGCCTCTCTGGTGATCCATACAGCAATGGAAGAATCCTTCATGTTTCGAAGATCACTGAGTGACATTTCAGGCTATGGGGCGATACTGTTAGGTTGAGTGGCGAGTTTAATGAACATGACACTTACAACACCATCCTCATCTTGATCAAGCTCTTGTGCCTCGTAGATATGACGATGTCTTCTGACAGCAGGTTGAGTGTCATTTGCATCATCATCCAAGCCGTAGATGAAAGCACCTGCAACACGGCCTTCTCTTCTTCTGATCTCTACATCACGTCTGTTCAGGTTGTTATCCAATGCGTTACGAGCTCCAATATCCAGGGGTTCGTAGTGCGTATCATCGACACCCTCTTGCTCATAATTATCCAATCTCTCGTTGTCAGCGTAATCTCTATCGTATGTGTCAATACACATTGTCATGCTCTCAACGGTTTACACTGCATTACCTTTCAGCATCTTGGAAGATATCGATATCGCCATTATCAGAGTTGTTAATGTCATCGTCGTCAGCAAAAGCATTATCAATGAGATCCTCTTCCTCAGCTTCGTTTCTGTACTCTGCCTCAGAAAAGAAGGGAGCAGGAGATGATGGGAACATGGAGGAGGGTCCAGGAGAATTACTGTGGGCGTCATCCTCACCAGCACCACTGGCAGCATGGACATCGCTGTTTCTTCTTCTCTTGCGTTCAGCGTTGTTTTGAGAGCTCTAGCATGTTCAAATTTCAGGGTTAATTGCTAGCAACATTTTCGATTTGGTGAGTGCTATTCTTTACCATTCTGAAAGATGAAAAGTTTAAAAAAAGAAGAAAGACTCCCAGCAAAAAATTTTTAGTTACCAAAACGCGTTTCATGAAAAATTTGATTTTGAATAGACGACATCGGTCTCGTTGTTGGGCGCGGGCGCGACTGATTTTGACATGCAGTGGATCGATTTTGGGTATGGCAGACTAGTGCAGTGTTTCAAATGTAAATAGCTAAGGCTCTGTCATACCGCATAAGCCGCTGTTCTTTTCACTAGGCAAGCTTACATTCACACTGGTACCAAAGCCAATTCAGGCACAACTGGATCACGAACAATGCCGATGTATGATAGCCAGAAGGTGTCTATAGAGAACATATCTTATCAGCAACTAGAGTGATAATCAAAGGATGATGCTGTCAAGTATGAGTTACATTTGTAGAGCATTGGCATCGTGAGTCTAATGTGAGTAATAGACATTCTAGAAGTAACGTTACCACTGCATATTACTTCCGAACCCTCCATAAGCAAGCTGTACCTGTGGATCTGACTTTCTTACGATGCTGCATATTTGTATCAATGGGAACAACCCAAGTAAGGTCTGGCAGTATACAGTCATCACCTTTTGTCAGTCAAATATACGCAAAACACAGCATAATTTGGATGCCTTTGAATCGTGATTTCTCGTGCTAGAAGCCGCTTCAGACCGCCAGAGTAGCACCAAACAATCGCTTTCATCTAGCAGCAACTGTCTGACACCTTTGCTCAACTTTTTTGGGATCGTCGAAAATTGACAAAAATCTACGAGGGATACCGGGGGTGGCTAACGTACCAACAAAATATCCTCTTCATTCGCCATACATTTTTTTTTCAATCCTGACATGTCAACTAAATCTAACAATGTATTTGATCTCATGTATAAGGCAAGTAGCCAATCGATCGTGCTACCCTGGATGACGGCGTTTTCCCGCGGGCTCTCGCCGAAAACATTTCATTTCAGAGATATCACATAAATCTTAGACATTCAATTAACAGTGAGAGATTATTGTCATTGCAAAAGATACTTTTACAGGGAAAAACTCTGAACAAAAGTAAATATATATATACATATATTTGGACTAAGTAACTGTTCTTTCAAATATATGGTCTCCATTGGGTCAGTATCGCAATTATCATTGTCATCATCAGAAAGGCATTCGGGTAAGCCAGCATCAGCGAAGCCTGCCAAAATTAATTCAAACTCAGATATTTTTTTTGCTAAAGATTGGTCAAATATCGTCCTTTTTCGACTTGATTGATCTCTTTTGCGAGATTCGACTATATGGATTGTGAAGATCACCCTACGCTTCCTAATACATTCCTGGAGTACTTTTCAAGACGCTTCCAATGGCACTAATTATAATACGTGCTTTGAATGAAACTATTAATCAATTTGGCAGAACATGAAATGAGGTTTTTAGCGAAAATAGACATATTTTGCATATGAAAACCTCAGAAAAGTGGTTTCAGAAGTTGCTTTGAATCGAGAGAAACGTTTTGAATTAGTATATACCATAGTAAAAGTCTCTATTTTCAAGGTGAAAAAGGTGATCGTTTAATTTTCGTAAAAAACCATGAGGGGTACCTCATGGTTTTTAGTGGAACTTTGGCCATGTTTTTTTTGGTTCCAAAAAGTTGAGCAACGGTGTCAGGAAGTTACTACTACTCGGATACAACAATTTGGTGTCATTCCGGTGGCTCAGAAAGGTTTACATGTCAATATATGAAGGCTTGAAAGCTGTCAAAATTGGTAATGTTTTTGCTTTACAGCTTTTATTTACACAGCGTGAATCACATTTTGGTGGATGGATAGCTGAAATTCTTTAAGAGGGCAGTTCTGCAGTCTGTGCAACTTCTAATTTGAATAGGAGGCATATTGATTTTGGTAAAGCTCAAAATCATTCTCTGGACTGCACAAATTTACAGTAATGTAAATCAATAAATTACACCACAACTCAAACTGAAAGCCTATACTGACAAATTTATACTTAATAGGAACCAAAAACTTGCATTTTTGTCATTCATCGTCTTGTATTTATATTACTTGCAATACGAGAAGCTTGCAAGTCTATCAATGTCTAGAGACAATTTGTTGGTACGTTAACTCGAGGAAAAAATAGCAGACAAAGCAAGCGCTGCTACAGCACTGCCGGACAGGGTGTGCATTTATGAGCTTTAATATTTTGTTGGTACGTTAAGGAAAAAAGGAAATTTTTTGTTGGTACGTTAGCCACCCCCCCCCCCCCAGGGATACCTTATGATTTTCATCGAAAATCAAACGATCGCGTTTTTGACTCTGAAAATGAAGACTTCTACTATGGCATATATTAAATGAAAATGTTTCTCTCGACCCAGAGCAACCCTGGAAACTTTGTTTGTAAGACTTTTAGATGGAAAATCTCTACATTTTGGCCCAAACTTCATTTCATATTTTCTGAAATTGCTCGATAAATTTGTTCAAAGTAATTCTCATAAATGGCATCGTTGGAAGCGTCTTAAAAAGTACTTTAGGGGTGTGGGGTGATTTTTACATTCTACATAGTCGAATCTTGAGAAATAAGTCGAATCGAATCCAAAAAACTCGGAAATGAACAAATAAAAAAAAAAGAAAGATTCGGACCTTTAATGCATTTTGAGACAAGTACACTTTGACCTTTGACATTTGAATGGCCTATCAGTGTCCTATTTTTGCATATACTGCAAATTTGGGAGGTCAGAAATTCGTCAATAGTTATAACTAGAAGATCACCAGCAGCTTCTCGTTCCTTGAGACATCTCCACATAACCCCAGCAGCACCATATGCTTCTGAAGCCAACAAGATGGGGATGACCGATCGCAAAGTTACGTGAACTAACATAAATACTTTGTTTTCCTTTTGTAACTTGTGCTACTTTAGGTACGAATCTTAATAACATCTAAAAAAAAAGCCTAATGAATAAATTTCAAATGTATGCCACTAAGCAACAACTATTAGAAAGGCGAGTACTCTCAAGAAGCAGTGGAATGATGCAAACTACAATTGTAATTGTATATTGGCAGCAGCAACCTAAAGACAAAGGCAGTAAGTTGTTTTGATAGGTCCATCTAGCGGTCTCGATGGAGAATTGATCCCATCATACGAGTAAAATTCAGATACATTTGATGTCAGTAACCTGTCAGCGGTAGATGCTCCATAAGTGGTTCTACTCGGAGAGTGCCAAGTACTCTGTTATAAGTAACCTCTTTACCGCTTAAAATACACAGCAGGCATTCTTCCTTCCGCTCACTTTGGAGAAAGTAAAAGAACCATGTGGAGACCTGTGATCATAGCAAGATCACAATCAAATCTTTCGTTCATGTAGAGATGGTAGTCGTTCGTAAGGATAATGCTGGCGCTTGAATAGCCCAGTGATAGTGATTTGGTGGGACATAAATTTGGTGTTTTGAAAATCTACATTATATGTTCAGCAATAGATGACGTTTTCCTATAAACTTCCATTATAAAATGTCGAGTGTTTAGCATGCCACTAGCTATATAGAGTTGACGATTGTGTGATACAGCGGTAGTAACTGGATCTACAAGGCAATGCTTTTACTAGCTGAAAGTTTAAACATATAATCCGTAGTTTCTTATTGCTTGAAACGGCCAACACCGATTAATGGAGTTGTTTCTTGTGTCATTACTGATTCATACACTTGTGATCATTATGTCCAATTAGCTTGCTAGTTAAAGACTTGATAGAAGACGATGAGGGATGGCAAGCAAGTTCAATAATAATGCGCGATTCTTTTATTGCTATGATATCAACAAAACATCCTCAATTGAAGAACACTTTACGGAGAGCATTAGTGGTCATGTCAATCACTGTCAAGGTTTCTGGCGAATGAAGCGCTGGGATAGACATGAAACCATGGATAACACCATTGATACGCACTGAAGTTACGGGAACATTGGCTTGCATTAATTTGCGACCGTAAGATTCACCGTCTAAGGCACTCAATGTCAATATTTGCAAACCACACCTAATATTTCCACTTACCATCACGAAGCACATCGGCTTCAGCTGTAACAAGTAGAGCTGGAGGTACTCCAGCAACGTCCTCAATAGTGGCCTTACCAGGATAAAGAAGAATGCTGTCCTTGGCCGCTTCTGTTTTGTAATTACCCAAGAACATTCTAGTAAGGCTGGTTGTTAGGTAGTAGCCCTCCCCAAACTTCTTGTATGACTCTGTAGCAAAGCTGTCCCCTGTAGCAGGGTAATATAAGACTTGATATTTGATACTATTTTCAAGATTGTTTCGTTGCTTGGCAAGAACTGATATAATGATGTGAGTATATCTCCTGAGAATGTAGCCTAATCAACTTACTAGTGATAGCAGCTGTCAAGTTGCCACCAGCACTGTCGCCTCCCAATGCTACACGCGTAGGATCAACTCTGAGCTTGGACGCATGTTCTGGATTAGTGGCATGAGATACAACCGTGTAGCATTCTTCCAAAGCAACAGGGAATTTGACCTCAGGACTCAAAGAGTACTGTACCAGAAGCACAACGCAATTTGTCTCACCAGCCAACTGTACTGACATGTCAGCATCGTGTTTGTGTATAAAAAAAAAAAAACTCTAATACTATGCAGTATATACCTTTGTAGCCAAATAAGGATGTGCGCCTTGGGCTGCAACGCCCCAACCTCCACCAGGCCTAGATATTTGCATTGTACCGATGTTAGCCATTTGGTAAATACTACTTCTAATGATGTACCAACTTACAAGTAAACCAATGCAGGCAGGATGGCATCTCCAGCGTCCTTGGGTCTGTATACATCCACATGAATAGGGTGGCCATCAGTATCAGCAGGGATTTCCATACGGTCGATGGTGACATTGGGCCTTGGGATGTCATCGCTCAAAGGAACCTTGGGACTATTGCGAACATCCTCAATTGTGAGTTTACTGTAATCAATATTAGGGGGTATGAAAGATAGAAAAAGCTTGGAGCTAGGATTCAAGAAGCTTGTATCGACAGGAGACATTGGATAGAAGTAGGCTTTTCAGAAAGTATAGAGACCCAATGCACACAGATTGCAAAGGTGCTTTATATACTTTTTCAGCTGGTTACCTGTGAAACATGACAGTGAAGCTGGTATTAGTCTCAGTAATTGGAACGACATTACCTAAAGAATATCACATTATGTTTTTCTACATTAAAATCCACAGGACCGTGGATGCACATGCTTCAGATTCCACACATTTGAAGAGCTAATTCAATCAATTTCTCATAGATGTTGCATGCTCAACTCATTGCAATGTTTAGCCTTTCTCACCAAGTGTGTAACAGATCACTAAATTAGCATAATCATATTTTGAATTGATTTAGATGTCCCATCGTGAGTATTCTCACGTAATGGCAGTAAGTAATGCTAAATCCCAAGGCACCACAACAGCACGGAGATTAACTGAGCGCCGAATTGTCAGTCTGTCAGGAACTCGAATATACAAATCAACGGAGATTTACATTATCGTGGATTCAACATTTGAGCTCATCTCATGTCATTTTCTCCAATTTCAGCTAAAGAAAATGCATCAAGATGCTGTGCAAGCGTTCATCATTCGCTTCAAGATGAATCAGAGGCTATTTGTAATCAATACATCAATCTCTCCGTAGCTACATCTGGATCAGATCGAATAGATGGATGAGTTTTATGATATCCAAATGTGATTGGGTGAGTGTGGCCGCGAAACCACAGCTTCAATCCAAGTGGCATAGTTCGAATCCAACGTCTACGTCACTCACAGCTTCTGTGTCATTGGCCAGGTTTTTATGGCAGTTACAAAAAAAAAATAACGAAGGGGCTCTCTCTTTTTTTCACTTCTTCTTTTTTTTTCCTTTATAACAAGAGCGGAAAAAGTATTTTTATTTGATCCTCCTACAATATTTTTTTTCAGTAAAAATTTTTTTTTCACAAATCTCAAATACGAATTTGGCCTTCTAATCTATCGTACAACAACTAGAAAAAGAGTTGCTATAAAGAAACAAGAAAGAAATAACTTCCTATGGATAACACGCATATTAAAACTGAAGAACCCTCCGTGACTTCCCAGAATGAGACTGCCACTGTTGCTGCTACTTCATCTAATGACAATACCATAGCCGTGACTAGTAGTAGTCCCACATCAACAACATCAGCCTTTCAACCATATCAACAACTCCATGAAGCAGTGTTGGCAGCAGTGAACAGCAATACATCTCTTTCGAACAGTCTTTTTTCCGCCGCTGTGGCCGCCGCAGCCGCCAATAGCAACGTCCCCATCCATTCTCACACACCCCAGCTGCAACCACTTGACCAACCACATCAGCAAACCATTCAAAACCCACCAACAGCTCGTCGTATCAACCAGGAAATGGATCAAGCTAAAAAGGAGAGTGTTCGTGCCTCAAACAGAGAGAGAAAGAAGAAATGGCGTATCCACAATGAAGAGAGAAGTAAGTATCTGAGAAACAATTTTTTTTTCTTTTTTGGGATCACAGGTATGGAATATGGAGTTAAACTAACCCCCCCTTTTCATCTATTAGATAAGGATAATGATTTGAGATGCAGAGTCAACAAGAGAGCCAATAAGTTGTATGGTAGTCAGGATTCACCAGCCAAGCAACAATGGGTTCAGGAAGAATTTGAAAAGCGCCGCCAAAAGCGTATGGATAAGGAGAGAAGAAAGCATCTCGTCAACAATGTGTTGAGCGTGCCAAATGCAACAAATCCTGAAGCACATCACGGTGTATCCACTGAGGACAATCACAACACAGATGGCAATAACAACAATAACGACGCCAACACGGTTTCCATGCTGAACAGTGTAAATGCCAACCAAATGCAAAACTTTTACACACCGTTACCACAAATTGATACTGCTACCGCTGCTAAATTATTGGATTTCCCAACTGATTTGCAACGCCAGCTATTGGAGCAATTGAACAATAGTATGATGGTAAGAAATTGATATGAGTAGATTAACGGCATGGCTATTAATCATTGGCTATTCGAAACTTAGGCTCTTACAAATGGTATTCAGCCTCCTCCAACTGATCAAGGTAATGAAGACAACAACAATGCGGATGCCTCGGGTTCTGCAGACATGGTGTACGACAATCAGCAGGCAGCCGCTGTAGCAGCCGCCAATGAGGCTCTTCAACAGGTCATTGCACAAGGTCTTTCTACCAATACGACCAGTGCAACCAGCAGCGGCCATAACTCACCAATGCAGTATACTGCCACCACAGCTACTACCAACGATTTGATGGAGACTGATGAAGTCAAAGCCGAGCCAGCAGAGGTTCCAGCAGAAGGTCCAGAGGTGAAAGCAGAGTCAACTGAGGAAGATAAGGTCAAGGATGAGAATGGTGAGGAAAAGAAGCCTGAGTATCCTATGGATGCTGTCCTCACATTGATGCAATTGAACGCTGGTTGGAGACAGTAAACCCATCACTGTCGCGTCTTTTTATCATTCTCTCTTGAATCAAAATCTTACTATCATATATATATTTCTTTCCTCCCCTTCTTTCTTCATAATTTTGCCTCTACTTTATCATTTACATTAAATAAAGCTTTTTTTTTTTATATATATATTAGAAACCTTGGTAACCATAAATGTGTGCACAAACTTAAACTTTAAAGGTGTTTTTTGCTATTTTTTGATGGAATCCAATGCATTTTTCTGCCATTCATGTCTTGATTCCATGTTGCATTGCAATTGTACTGTTTGCTGCCGCGAGATATCATCATTTGGAGCACTGCTCACCAATTGCCAATCATCCATGCCATTTTTCGACTGATAGGGCTGTATTGAGTAGTAGCTCCAGCGACATTCGGATTCCCGCGATGTCACAACAATTTTTCATCATGTTTTAAAAAAAGAAATACACACACAAACTCGTCCCCCCCACCCCTATTTCCTTTCGTTGGCAAACAGAAAAATAGGTAACGACTAGACAGAATGAGAACAACTCTTTATGTCTCTGGCTTCAATCCAAAGACTCGCGCGAGAAATCTGGCTTATGAATTTGAAAGGTTAGTGTTATGAATAAACTCAAGAACATGCGCTAATGTTGCGCTATATTAGATATGGCCGTCTTGTTCGATTAGACATACCTGCGCCAAAAACCTTCAACGCCAAACCGTAAATATCATGTCGATTATGTTCACTGAAAAAGTTAGCTATATTGACGCCTGCATGTAGATATGCCTTTGTTGAATTTGAGGAAACCCGAGATGCTGATGATGCTTTCCAAGAACTGAACGGAAGAGTCATTGACGGCTATACGCTGAGCATACAGGTTTGTAACAACGATACACTCTTGGCTGATTGTAGGCTCATCAATCAACAATTCCATTCATATAGTGGGCCAGAACTAGCCTGTCAAATCCCCATCACAGATCCCAGCATCCACCCTCTCATCATCATCATCAAAAATCATACAACAGAACGAGTCGATCTCGGAGCCCATACCGTAGAGAGCGATCTGCCTCACCTTTACCCCCACGATACAACAATATTGATGCTCCTCGTCGATTACGCTCAAGATCTCGTTCGCCAGCAAATTACCAGAGACGTCGCTCATATTCACGTAGTCCTCCCATCTAAGCCCAGTGTCCACGCATGTATGTTACTACACACTAGTCAAAATTAAGGAATAAACGGCGATACATGTGTGAATTAATAAGAGAGAAGGCGTTTCTTCTTCTTTATTAAAGTATATATATGTTACAAAATTGTGAATAAAAAAAAGCAATAGTTGGCAAAGTAAAGGGTGTTTAGTGAAATGTGCTTTCTTTCTTTCTGTGGATGTGTTGTTGTATATGAAAAATCTGTCAATGATATCCATTTACAATCAAGGCTGCATGTTGTTGCTTTTGCGTCTAAATGTTCATTCGATTACAATTGTTTGCTTAAACGAGCCAAATGATAGTTGATGGTGTTGGTGTTTTTGGTTCTTTGAACCTATATTGAATTGCACATTAGCATTCCATGATGTGAGGTAAGAAAAATAGTCAAACTTACAGGCTTGCCCATGCAACCAGTCAAAGATTTAGCAATGGCTGCACAACGCTTATCGTCAACACCAGCAGTAGCCCAGCATTCAAACAATGCACCCATTTCTGCAATACAAGGACTTGCCTCGAGAATCTTCTTGGGTCTAACTTTGAGTTGCTTCAACTTCATATTGATGTGATGGATGAAAAAGATGAAAAAAAAAAAAAAAAAAAAAAATCAGGCAGGGTCAAATGGGATGGAGGGGTATATCGACCAACAACGGAAATTCAAGTTAGAAGCGGTCACCTGGTTATTGATTCAACCATCAAATGCTCAACATCTCAATACAAACTTTCGAGATACAAAACAGCAGATGGCTTCTTGAGAGATCAAACTAATACATTATTTACATTGACTTGACAGCACGAACGGCTTACGTAAAAGGCAATGAGTGGTAGTAATGCTTTGACGTTTGAAAGATTTCAAATTGATGTGTAGTGATGATTGGCTAGTGGATACTGTTAGACCTCTGATTTGAACATGTAGCCCTTGCACTCTCAAGGCAATATCACAGAAGGCAGCTGTAAATCATTGCGAGGTAATGCAGTAGCACATAACCTACGACTAGGCATTCTTTTAAAGGGGGCATGCTGATACGCCATGGATTCGCAAAGCATCTCATTCACTTGCAAACAGACGAGGCTTTTTATTTATTGGCTATGAGAACAATAGTAGACGGTTTTGAACGATTTCATGAAAAACTGTTCATTCGGTATCTACAACTCTCGCAGCCTGTTAAACCCAAGGTACATCTATTCAACGATCTTTGTTTTGTCCAGGTTTGCAATGTTTTTCCCGGTAATAGACGAGTTACATGACATTGTACATATTGTTGATGAGATGGTGGTGCGGCAACGGGATGTTAACTACCTGTGCTCTCCAGAACAATATACGCTTATGCAAACTTACGCCTCAATCCTTCATGTCAAATAGCTATTATTACTAATAAAATGAGGATAACAGAAAATAAACTTAAAGGGTATACAGACACTGATAATTATTCCATGTCATGCTTGACATATACATTATGCTGCTGTTTGTTTGTTTACTGCTACTTTATCAGATCTCACGATGGTATTGTATGCTCACAGCAGTGTGGCCTATTTTAAGCGGGGAATATACATACTTTAAATTGGGAATCTTATTATTCCTGAATAAAGCAAGCTACATTTGTCTAGTCTTGACAACAAAATTCTTCAACATGTCAAGTATCTATTGATAACTTGAAACCAGCAAGTTAATATGATCCTTTTCATACGCTCCGATTTTTAAAATGCTTGGTCAAATGCACACTTGTGTGATGTACACATGCAAAGGGTGAACGGAGCTTCAATTTCTAATATTCTGAATGATGATCTATGGGATTCCAAAAACTATCGACCTTAAAATTACGCGTTTCTTGATAGTAAACACACCTTCAAACTTATATAAAACTTGTAGAGAATTCAAAGGAAAATACAATGGTACTTATATTAATTCTCTGGTGTACATTGTTCACCTGATATTTGGTACGATTGTTTTTGCATTTTTTTTGACTATTTTCTAAAGATTAATCAGTATCTGTCGTCAAAACATTTTGTTAAGCATTACTAAACATTGTAGGCCAAAGAATTTTCTATCGAATGAGCTATTGTTTGAAGCTTTGGCATGACTCTATCATGAACTATTGACAATATTGTCCTGACCAAAAAAGGTCACCCAATTTTTTCGCTTGCTATCACAGGCAGATTTTGAACAAAAGTTCATGATTTTGCATGATACCCCTTTTTGACCATATCTCGACAAATACTCACTGGATTCGCACAAAACAAAGACCATTCAATAGCTATACGCTATATCCATTATAATATAAGGGCTTCAAGTACCAGGTGTACGTTCCCTCCATAATTTTGCTCAAAATCATATATTTCATGAGCTACAAGCAGGGGATAATCAAAACTTCTTTTATTATCCTATAATAACCATACCATCGTATAGAGAATTGAAAAAGAAACAAAAGCTACTAAGCTTTAGCCTCGCGTTCACTTAGTAAAATCCAGCGGTACAGTCCTTTGAAAATTGTTCATTTTTACTATCTTTCCTCATTACTCATGCACATTGTTCTCAATAACCTCAAATCAAACATCCTCTACTCAACCAACGTATTCTTTACAACTTTTGATAGACATATGACCCAGGTTTATATACAAATCAAAAAGTTTTACTAACAGCATCTGTCCAAAATTTGCATATTTCTCAAATCTCCAATTCCCCATCATCACCGTTTTCAATATAAAATCTAATTGCACCATCATTTTTTACGCAAAAAACTGTCATAGTAACTTGCTACTTTCAAAGCTCTAGCTCGAATTTCCAAATCGAAATTCAGAGAAATTATAAGAGAAAAAAGAGAAAGTAAATCAAGCAACGAAAAGCTAGCGCGCGACATTGTCTTTTTATTAGCATTTGCGAAGAAATTATTTGATACTGTTTAAATTGCAGGGTAACAATAGATCTACTTGAAGCAGAACGTACAAATTTTTTTTCCTCAGGAACGTTTGGTTCTGTGGAGGAAAACCCTTTTGAAAGGATAGCAATGAGTGATCGCAACATGGTGGGGCATTAGCAACAGGCCGAGAGATACGACATCAAATGAGAGGGAAGAGAAGAAACGTATGAAAGGATTATATTGATAGATCCCAAAAGTGCAAGAGCATCAAAATTGAGAAGGAGGCGGTTGTTTATGACAAGCAACAAATTGAGAAATTTCAGCAAGAAGAGCAGTAACTGTATATCAATTAAGCGTCAAAGTGTCCTTCTGATGAAAGTAACGAACGTATTCAATCATCGTGTAGACAGCACAAACTGAAAGTTTTTGATTTTTCTGTGACCAAAAGAGAAATCTGTTATATCAGAACAATAGTAATGAGCCAAATAATGACACTCTTCTTCAGAATGCGTCAAGAAGATACATCTATAAACCTTTCATAGTGATATGATCTACTGCAACGCAATGACAAATAATACCACATCCGGTAAGGTTGACTATCCACTCAACAAGTAATCGTAATTATGAATAGCATGAACTGATGGCATTCAAAAAGCTGAATTCATGAACAAATTTCTTTATTGAGTATACAGATGAAATGATGGTATTATATATATATATATATATGAAGAGAGAGATTTATAATGTTACAGAAGAGAAAGAAAACTAATGTCTAAAGAAATGCTTAGCTCTGGACTTGAGCTTGTATTCATGAGGTATGTCCTCATTGTGTTCCAGTACAGCCACAGCCATAAATTCCAAGAACCTGCGTCCATATTGAGTGGGTTTGACAGCTGAAATCGCATTTTTGTCCTGTGTCAAAGATTTGTAGACATGTTCGGATTTTTTCTTCATGTCGTATGGCGTCAGGATATCAATAATACCCAAAGAATAAAGTACAGGTAATGGCCTATCCACTTCATCTGTACCCTGAAGACCGCCCTCATCAGCATAAAATACACAGTTGCGGCGCCTACAGATTGTTTGACATAAATTGTTAGATTCATAGTGTAAATGAGAAGGTGAATCAAAGCACATACTCTTGTGTCTCTTCTGGTAATTTGGAAACATCCAGTTTATCGGGATTTGCCTCTGCGATGGCCTTGCGAACCACTTGGGCTTTGCTCTTTCTACGATTCATCAAAGTGTTTCTACGCTGCACTGATTTGGTATCTGGTTGAAATGTTTGTAGTGTGGTATCACGAATGCCATCCTTATTTCCGCGCAACATGTCATGCACGCCAATAAGCAGACTATAATCCATAATGTTTAATTGTGATAAAAGCTAGTAGTAGATGGAAAAAGTAAGTGATTCCATCAAATGACCATTTCGCCTTTAGACAGGATAAACTTACAGTAACATCACGAACGAGTTGTCCAATAAATAACTTTCTCTTTTGGGGGCCAAGCTTGAGTTTGCGCTGTCTCTTTTCCCAGTTGAGGTCCTTCATCACTGCAAATGGATTCTTGCGGATCTCTTCCTCCGGTAAAAGCCTTCCTAGTGTGGAGCCCTACAACCATCATCAAACAAACAAATAAATAAGCATGCGCTTTTACCCATTTTCTTCGTCATTCTATACCTTTAAATCATAGGTCTCGTGAATATCTTTGCTTGGAGGGAACACATTGCTCATGACAACAAAGTGAATCTTCTTTCCGTGGGGTAATTTGACTCTGTGCAAGCCATAGTATCTACACAATAGAGTATCCGGATTGTCGCAAATATGCTAAGCAATACACTTTAGTACGACATGTAAACAAAAACGTGATTTTCATCGTATTTATACCTGATGATACTCTTTCAAAATTTTCCTCATAAATTTGTGTTCTGTGTAATGAATGGTCTTGATGATGAAGCGGTAGTCTTTGGAGTAGTAAAAGAAGCTGCCACTTTTACCAGGAGAGCCTAGCTCGGATAGAATGTATTTGCTTGTCAAGGAGATCTATGTTAATGTTAGAGGAGGTGCTTCAGCCGCTGGAGAAATACCTACTAAATAGTCTGCCGGATCAACACCAAACTTTTCTCTTAGATTACGAAATACCCAGGGAGCATAGTCTTTGAATTTGAAATCATATTTAGCGCCTGGCGTCAACTCATCACCCACGACATCGAAGGCTAGTTTATGTGCAGCTACATAATCTTCGTCTGTGATGGGTCGATTTATCTTGGCTGTAACTCTGCTGACGGCAATACGGATACCAGTCAGCATATTGTACATGAGCACATAGTTTTGATGTCCTTCAGAGATACGAGTTCCCATTAGTACTCGCTCATCATCTGGATCTTCATTCTTTTCTGATGCTGTTGTATCCATCAAGCGAGAGAGTCTTCTAAATGTCTTTCTTCTGGCTGATAGCTCTTTCTGAAACTCTTCAGAACGACGCATGAGGCCAAGCCTTTCTTTATCAGCCATACGCTGTCTAGCTGATTTTAGTGTATGGCCTGTTGTATGATGTCTGCCAAGAGAAACAACACTAGGACTACTGGATATCCTGGGAGCTTCAGGTAAATTGTTTTCGTCAATGGTATGAATAGAAGATAAAGTGGAGTGACGCTTCAAGACGGATTGCTCTAGTTCGATGTCGTTGTTATAGCGACGCTGGAATTCTGGAGTAGCTGACGGTGTAGGTGGAATGAAATCCATGTTGTTTTTGATATAAGGTGTAGTGTAGGATCTCTTTTCGTTGAAGCTTACGCCCACTGACGAGGTAGGCGATGAAGGCGGCGATAAGTCCAAGGGCTCTTGAATGAGATCCATGGTGTTTAACGAGCGTTTGTTGGTTGCTGCAGTAGGGTATACGGGATAAGATTCGTTGTTTTCAATGATTTCAGTCTTATTCCACTCAATAATATTGCTATTTGCTGTCGTGTTGATATAGCTCATATTTAGTTTGTTTTAGCAAAAAGAAAGAGAAGAAATTATGAAAACTTTATCTCTTTTATATAAATTTACAGTTGTGTGAGGACTGAGTTGTGGTTGCACATGTGTGCGTAACTGATATTTTACAGCTTATTCAAATGTTTAATTTGGAAAATCTAAACAGCTAAAATTTGCCACTAGTCTGTTGCATTAGACTGTACATGGCAGTGCATTTCATATCTGCTGGATCCTTTTCTCTCTCTTTGCACAGAGAGTGAAGAATGATGTGGAGTGCCTGATATGTTCTCCAATACAATCCTGAGTTGTAAAAAAAAAGTAAGATTCTATTTTTATATCTCATCTCATATATAAACAATAAGCTAATTTAACAAATCACTTAATATCTCTGCCACATATATATAGAAACAGCTTCTTTAAACCTATCTGTTACGACCAAATGGAGGTACGTCATATAAAAGTGTGTGCCTGAAGTTTCTGACACAAATCACAAAAAAAAATTCTAATCTGTATCAACTATTTCTTAACTTCTTGGATCTTGGCGACAATTTTCATCATAAAATGCTTGATCTTGCCTGCTTATGGATACCGGGCGTTACCTTCCTGATATAGATCCAGGGCATTTTTATCCGTTTAAAATGTGCGTTGCCATGGTGATTGAAGCAGATGACTCGATTGTACATGTGGGATCTGATTTGACTCGTCTAGAATCGACTAATGAATTACTATATGCACATGAGATGCTCATACGTTTTGGCTCAGGCATGCCATTTAACACACATGCACCGCAGCATGTTTCTGTATTTTGTAGATATTGTCTTCAGTTGCTGAGCAAGTATATGATCTGATCCGGAAAAGCGATGCATTTGACTAAGGCTACAAGCTACAGCGCAATGCTGCCTCTGCCACAGCTCAAATAGTACAGCATGAGGTGCCTTAGAGTGACCACGATAATCAATGCTACTAGGATCTCACCATTTGCATTGCTGCATTGATGAAAGGACGTCGTTTTCTGAGCTTAAAGCCCAGAGTCCATAAAATTTTTGCCATTGGCATTAGTAATACAACACATCTCTTTTGCAAACTTGCTATATACCATGGTACATTCTGACATAGAAGACGATGTTTGGGCTAATAGCGACAGCGAAGAGCAAGTTGCTTATGAAAGAAATCTTGCTGAAAAGGAATGGGAACGTTTGCAGGAAGATCATGGCAATGTGAGTTGTAAACATGTGTATGATCCATTACGCTGGAGTATTCCTAATGATGGTTGCATAGACTGGCTATAAAGAAGGCATTGTTGAAGGAAAAGAGGTCAATATGCAAAAAGGATTTGATAGAGGATATGCTGAAGGGCTTGTCATTGGAAAAGCTGTAGGCAGATTGCGTGGCATGGTCAGGTAAGAGGAGCTTGCTGCTGCCAAATGAATGGATGGCTCACCTGCGCAACCAGTTGTCAAATTATCTACTATAGACAAATGCTCAAGAATGAAGAGGCGGCCCAAGAATTGGATGCTTTGTTTGATGAAATTGACAAGATTGAAGTGAACCATGTGTACAGTGTCGACTACTTTCGCGATGCTGCTACATACAAGGAAGACTATGTTGCACCCGAGGCTTTCGTCCAGCAATTGGAGGAAAAGGTTAATTCCACTTTGACTCGTGTATCTGAAAAGTACCATTGCTAAAGTCGGTGATGCCAACAAGCAACTTGACCGTGTCGAGCTATGGATGTTCCATGTCAAGAAAAAGAAGCGAAAGAAGAAGAGCCTTCGGTTTATTGCTGTGTGAGGACCTCACATCATCATCATTGCATTTGCTAATAAATCAGCTTGTTCTTCTTGGGCGGCTGCTGCTAAACTTGCAGCCATGACCCATTCAAAAGAACCAGGCTCCAATACATGTCCATTTTGTGCTATGTAAGTGAGTGCATTGTGTCGTTGCTGTGTGATGTGCACCTCACTCTGTGTTGCCAATGCCTGTTGCTGCAACATGTCCTTGTAAGCTAACCAGCATGCTGTACCGCAAAAGCGCACTTGCCTCGGCACAGATCGATGCGATTGATATGTGCGTAGTTGAGCTGTACTGACCCATTCGTGTATAAAAGGAGAGCGACAGTGTGGACACAGATGTAAGTTTTCTCGGATATCTTCTGCTAAATGTTCTGGCACATCTGAGAGCAGCAATTGATCGCCTTCCAAAACAAGCAATCTCAATGCAATTTCACGCAGAGAGTGCACCAAGTAGATTGGCTGGCCTTGATTCTGGTGGATGCTGATGTCTTGCTCTGTAGGGTCATGATGTGTTGCAGAGCTTTCTTCCATCGAAGGGGGTTCTTGTTGGTCATTCTGATACAAGTGATAGTCCATCATAGGTATAGCAGTTTGTATCAAATCCCTTACAGTAGTGTATGTCTCATTTTGCCATATTACTGTAGGATCTTCCTCCTCTTCCTCATTGTCATCTTGTATCACATTTTGGTGCTGAAGCGATGATAAGGTGAATGGATTTCCTTGTATGATGACTTGAGTCTGTGTTTGATCCAGCATCTCTGTTGGCACAAGCTCTAATCTGTTGTTGCTCAGATTGAGTACTTGCAATCGACCATGTCGCATCAAACGCAAGACGCTGCTGGCCGTGCTATGTGGAATCGTCCGTATGAGGTTGTCTGATACATCCAGCGTGTTCAATTGAAAGCAATCATCAGTCAAAATGGGCAGATATTTTATGCGGTTATGACTGAGATTCAGATATTTGAGGTTTTGTAATCCTTGCAATGTGCCAACATGTTGTAAATCATTAAAGGAAAGATCCAGTTCCACCAAGGCTTGCATGTCAGACACGGACACTGGCAGCACCTCTATCATATTGCCTCCATATTCCGAGCCTAGGCGAAACTCGCGTAGCTTTTTCCAATGCCCTATGCTTTCTGGAAGTACGTTCATGCGATTGCTGTCTAAATTCAATACCGTCAGCTCCGTCAGACAGAGTGGCATGGCTTCAGGCATGGCTTCGATTTGGTTTTCCGATAGATACAGCTGCTGCAATTGATCCAGGCAAAGAATGGCTTCTGGTATGGCGGATAGATGATTGCAGCACAGATTCAGTTGCGTGAGATGAGTAAAGCATGATAAGAGGGAGGGATGTATGATTGATATCTGGTTGCGAGAAGCGTCCAATGTAGCCATGTTATACGGATGGTCGTTTCGAGATGCCAATAGACGTTGAGCAAAGTCTTCTGAAGAGAGGCCTAATCTTCGCATGATTAGTTGCTGGTGTTGGTACTGGTGCTGCTGGCCGTGATCGTCCATGGAGGAGCAAGCGGAATAGGATGATTCCGACAAGTATGAAAAGTAAGATCCATGATGGATCATGTCTAGAGATGGTATTGCTGACACTCCCTCTAAGGTTTTACCGCCTTCTAGATAGGAAAATGCCATATTGTAGTATTGAATTCAAAAGAAAACAAGGGAATGAATGAAAAAAAAAATACGAGATATATTTCCATCTGATAATGCCTCTCCTTAAATTGTCCTTCCAGTTTTAGATTATGCATTTGCCTTTTGGGATCATCGAATTCCCACACAGCATGTTATCAGATTCTTACGCCATGACGGATTTACGCATCGGGAGCGAGATAGAGAGAGACGAGCTATTTAGTACCAAGGTCCTTTTGGGCATGATTTCTCTCCATCCAATTCAATCATAGTAAAACGACGTCATGGTTGCCTAGACAACTCATGCACACCTCTATTTGCCAGTCATAGAAGGGGAGTTTCCATCCAATCTTCAAGCATTTATCACTACTACTTGCCCTTCCAATTCATTTCTTACCATGTCTCTCCTTGGCCTGGCTTTCACCATCACCAAATCAATTACACCTCGACACCATACCAGATGCTTGTCTACCAACACGCCCAACAAAGTCATTGAAAATGTCCGGGGTATCATGCGCAAAGTTCCTCAACCAGTTGTCGTAGTGACCACGTCAAAACCAGAGGATCGCAATCATCGACGAGGCATCACAGTCGCTTCATTCACATCCGTGTGTTTGAAGCCAGAGCCTTTGGTCTCATTTTGCGTGCAGACACCATCGAGAGCATCCGATTTACTGCACTCGTCCGGGAGCATGGTGTTGAATATGCTAGCCCATGAGCAGGTCCAGCAATCCATTGCATTTTCATCGCCCAATGCAGATCAGTTCAAGGATATTCCATTTTTCGACGATCCCATTACTGGACTACCTGTGCTGATGGGGACCTTGGGAGCCATGCATTGCGAAGTGTACAAGGTGGTGCAGTTAGGAGATCATGAAATGTGGATCACCAAAGTGCTCAAGGTAGAAGAAGGCGTGGGTGGAGAACACGGCGTGCGGGAGGAAGCCAAACCATTGCTGTACTATGACAGATGCTACAGAAGCGTAGGAGACCAGGTGTTTATGAAGGCGTTTGCAGACAACAATGATTTAGCAAGCACAAAGTGGATGCATCGAGCTCATTTACGCATGGCGTGGAACTACATACGAGAGCTGGGACCAGACGCTGCTGAACCAGTGATCAAAGAAACCATACGCACCCATTTCTCAAAGAACCCTGTCAAGAGTCGAGATTACCATGAAACCATCACCTCGTTTTATATTGCACTGGTGTCGGCTGCTGTTAGATCTTTCAAGGGTGATGATGCCAGTGATTTTTTTGCACTAGTAGAGCATTTCCCTCAATTACTCGATTCCAAAACCATTGAAACTTACTATTCACCCGATCAATTATACACAGATCATGCCAAACATACATTTGTCAAGCCTGATCTCAAACCACTACCTACTTATCTATAGAATAAAAGATCAATGATTCCCATACATGCCACATTGTTGCACAAAAGACAGATGTCAACATTTGCATATTAGTAAAATCTCAAAACCGCTGGAGATCTAGAAACACTGTAGTAACGTTTTCCTGCTTACCATTGACTTGAAAAGTGAGAATAGAATGACCATACTTCAAGACACTGTTGCCCGGCAAGACGGCGAGCTTGAGCGAGCCCAAGCAAAGAGAATGGTTAATGGTGTTGTCGCCGCCAAGCTTGACTTCCCCAAAACCAAGGGGCTGCCCAAATACACGTTGGACCAAGGTGGATGCAATGGCGCCCGGACGAATGTCAGTGGTCATTCAAAGCTAAGCTCTAGTACGCTTCAAATCATAGCTCCCTTATTAGATCCAAAACGTTGATTGCCTACGTAAAAGAAAGGTATAGGGCTTGCCAGCCAGCCAGCAGCCAATTAAATCCCGCTTGCCTTTTGATTCATATTGGCCAGATTATGATCAGCTTCGACTTGTTTGATCTATTTTGCCATATTTGACTATAGAAACTGTCATGATTATCCCATACGTTCTAATGGCTTTTTGGAGTACTTTTCAAGGCGCATCTAATGGTGCCAACTAATAGAGGTGCTCTGACTAAACTTGCTGCGCAATATCAGAAAGTATGAAATCAGATTTTTGGCAAAAATGTCGAGATTTTACATCTCGAGGTCCCACAAACAAGGCTTCAGGGGTTGCGTTGGATCGAGAGAAGCATTTTGACTTAAAATAAGCTGTAGTAAAAGTCTTCGTTTTAGTGGTTAAAAACGCGATCATTTGATTTTCGTAAAAAACCATGAGGTACCCCTCATGCTTTTTGGTCGATTTTTGGCCATGTTTTTTTGGGTCCTAAAAAGTTGAGCAAAGGTGTCCGAAAGGAAATACTGGATGAGAGCAATTGTTTGGTGCTATTCTGGGGGTCTAAAACTGCTTCAAACACGAAAAAACGCGGCTCGGGTTCCCTATTTTTGCATGCCAGAGTGGCAAGAGTCAATATGAGTATAAAACCTGCCTATATATATGGATTGTTTCCGCTGGCACAGCCGTAATTACATGAAAAGAGCCAAAAGATCTACAGTGTTGAATGCTTTGCATGTGGTAGAGGGTGATAAGAAGTCTATACCAAAAGGATTTTTGATGAAGCCTACAGTATTTCAAACAAATAAACCAGACGGCCGGCAGCATAGGATGCCACAGCGTTGGTTGCTTCTCACTAAACTGAAACAAACCTAGAGAGCCACCTGAGGCATAGGTACTCGTTCGCAAAAAAATAATAATCATTAGCGGCTAGAAGAGAGTGTAAGTTACAGAAACAGCTTTTATTCCATAAACTGATCGATGGTAGTTTACTCCACCAATCAGCATGAACGAAATACACTCCAGTTATCACACCGTTGAATGAAACTCTGGGATCATCACATCTGTAATAACACACTCAAATCGGATGTTATAATGTACGAAATACGAATATACTTGCTATGATGTAAGCTATAGACTTGGATCTGGATTCAAAACCTATCAGTTTGAATATACCTCGTTGCCACAACTCTAAATTATCAGAAATGATCTCAGTTATCTGAAGAAAAAAATCAGCTGTTTAAATGCTTGCATAATTTCTATTCTTTTATTGGTATCATTTTTGATATTTGTATACTATATACAGTTATGTACAAGTTAGGCGTGTCGCAAATGCTTGATCTTACGGATGTTATCCACATTGTCATGGTAGTGATTAATAGACAAGGATCTTTTTCTACCAAACACGAGCGGAGGGGTCTGATGCATCTCCATCACAGCAGGAGCGGGAACAGTGTGAAGTTGAGGAGGAGGAGGAGGCGTAGAGGTAGCCGATGTGTCGGGAGAGCTACTGCAGGAAGAAGAAGAAGCAGGAGAGGTATATGGATGATGAGGATGAGGACAAAGATGCTGGTAAGGAGAAATATGGTGATGATGAAGCTGGTGTTGTTGTTGTTGATGAGATGTGTTGAGCACGGAGTAATAGTAATTCATATCCTGCTTTTGCTTTGCAATAGCAATAAAACTCTTCTTCTGGATATGGTCGTGTAATAGAGAAACCCACTTGTCGTAAAGTGGTTTGCTTACATACAATTGATAATCAATGAGTTTCAAAAAAACCATCTCTGTAGCGTTGATTTCAGTAACATTCAAACTCGCAATCTTGGCCCAAGTTTTGTTGCGATAGTTTTTGTCATTCAAATACTTGGAAGCGACCATCAGGGCTGCTAGAAACATGCGTCTACCACAGCATACCAGCTCGTTACTTGTAAGAGGTTGTTGCAATCGTTCAAAAATAATCTTTTTGATACGGAAAATGTAGAATAACGCCAATTGCAGCATCGAATATGTTGCTCTTGATCTCTTGAGTATTTCTCGGATGAAGCGTGCCGTTGACATGATCTTAGTGGAGCGGTTGTTTGTCCAAATGGAATCGATGATGTCTGCTGCACAGTCAATAAGTTTGTCAATCATGATAGATCTCTCTTGACAGGATGTATCTGAAAACTGATGCTGCTTTTCGACAAAGGTTTTATTGGTTGTAGCCATCATCGGTGGCAGGTAAATCTTATTGTTGTTGATGTGGTTTTCATGAGTGTAACTCGATTTCAAGCTGTATAAATTTGGGTCTGAACATCTTCGGTTGTAATTGATGGAAATAGTTGGCATTTAAAAACAAATGAAAAAAGCAAAAAAGAAAAGAGATGAATGAAAGCGAAAGAGAAAAGAAGGCGAGAAATAGGGAAACATGTCAAGTATTTATAACCGTTTCATCTTTTGTAACAGGGCAAAACAAGGGAAAAGCTGAAAACAGAAAAATTTCAGAGAATGTTCCTCAACAAAAAAAAACAGTAAGCAGGGGGATTTCAATAAGATACCAGCACATGAAGAAGGCGAAGCTCTAGAATGTGTATCATCATAGTAATTGTTTAAGCGTGATTTTATTTCGGAATTACGTTATTGGTATAGGTGAACAAGTCCATATAACAATGTATGGAAGAGCACGTAGGACAGCAGCCCACCAACTGCTCCATTAAACACAATGTCTTTATATCCATTCATAAAGTATTTGCTGCCACCAGATGTACGCGATAGTAACAACACTGACAATATAGTCCAACTAAGTGCGTAAAATAGAAACCCGGACAGATTCGTAAGGCCAAGGATACCTGCTGCTGATCCTGCTATGGCTGCAAAGCATGATCGAATGTATTGTAGTTGTCTTGCATTGTGTTGAACGTGAGCTTGCACAAATTTATGCGCATCTTGAGGTGGGTTCATGTTTTTTTTTGGATGATCGTTTTTCGCTTGAAGCCGTTTTATGGAATTGATTAAAACGGGACAAGTTTCAAAAGTTTAAAAAGAGTGGCAAGATATAATCTGGCTGGCTGACTGGTTGGCTCTCCTCGCCTCTCCCACGTCACTTGATAAATGCGCACAAGTTTTAACTCGGTGTAATACTTTACCACCTTTTCCAAAGGCCCAATCAAATGAAACAAAACATAAGGTGATGTTTTCTATTTTAATAATCATGTTATATGGAATTATGTTTTTATATAGGCTTTTCCCTTCTCGCTAATGCAGCCAAAAGATCATTCTCATCGTGATCATCTTCGCTGGAATCTGTCATTGTGTTTGGTTTGTAGTAATAGTTGTAGGTATTGGGCTTGTCATTGCTGCTATCTTGGTGATGTGGCTTCACTCTTTCGTCAATCAATACAGCTACTCTTTCCTGTGATACAGTCAATTGATTTACTATTTCCTCTTCGTCATCGTCAGAATCATCATCGTCAAACATTCTAAAAACATTGGATCGCTGTGGTGGTGCTTGTTGATTTGATCTAGCATCGAATGTCAAATTTTCCAAATTGTCGGCTGTTGAATTAATTTCTTGATCCATATTACTCGTTGCCATAGCAACTGGTGTTTGTTCCTGAATTGCTGATTCCGTTTGTTCCTCTTCTTCATCATCAGAATCATCATCATCTGGAAACATTTGGAATCGACCTTGACTTGCTGCTGGTGCTGGTGGATATGTAGTGGCGGTCTCCTGTATTTGACGGGAAAGTAAAGGTGGTGGTGTTGATCTACTGGATATCACTGTAGTGCTATCGTCATGATCTTGCGTAGACTTCTTCTCTTGTTCTATTTTACTGTAGTTTCTAGGTATATCATCTTCGTCATCCAAATCATCACCAGCAAAAATATCAAATATACCCCCTTGTTGTTGTTGCGATGGTTCTGGTTCGTTGTGTTTGGGTGTCATGATCACAGCAGGGGATACTTGCTGCTGTTCATCTTCCTTTTGAGAACCCACATTCTCCGTTTCACCTGGTTCACTGTTTTGGTTGGAATTCCTCTTACTGCTATAGAGTCGCAACGTGGAAAAGACACCCTTCTTCTTCTTCTTTTCTTCGCTTGATGCAGTTGAAACACTACTGCCAGTTGAGGATTTTCTAAACATGTTTCCCATAATCTTGCTTTTTCGACTAATCGAATTGCTTGTCTCAAGTTGATTTGAAGAGGTTGATATAGAAGCTGTATCCGATCCTTCCGTTGCATTTTCATTGGCCAATCCTGCATCGAACGATTGTTGTTGTAGTGATTGAGGTTGTAATTGTGGTGATACACTTTGCTGCTGCTGTTGTTGTTGTTGTTGTTGTTGTTGTGGTGGTGGTGGTGGTGATGAAAATATACTCGATAGTGATGTATAAGTGGATCGAGGCGATGACATGGGAGAAGTAGCTGGTGATACGGATCTGTTTGTGAGTGTGGGTGAGGAAGCATTATTGTTCGTCATTGTAGGCGAAGAAGCATTATTGTCGGGTGAAGCCAATGTACCAACTACAAAGGGTAGATCCACTGTCATGAATTGTGATTTTGTACCTTCTGATGTTGTATATACGCCCTCTTGAGCAAACACTTGCACTCGAATAAAATACGATACTGACAATAATTGACTCTGTTCTAACGAGATACTTGGCATTGTGCCTCTGGGAATAGGTAATCCCACTCGCACTGTCTGCACTTTTTGGTTGTTGTGTGAGCTATTATCTGAAGTAATGTTCAAATCTGTCACTACTCGATGCACTTTTTCTCCTTGAGAAGTATAAGCCCTATATATCATGCATATCTTACATTGAGCTCCTTGTACCCATTTGAACACACAATGCTAAGCCTACCTTCCGTTTGCCAATACATGATTTACACGAAATAGAGATATGGATATACCCTGCCTTCTTGTGAATTCCATATTGTTCCAAATAGAGATGGATACAGGTATAGCAATACCAGGCTGAGATCCACGACAGGGTAAAGTGACCCTCATGGCTGATGTAAACTCCTTTTCCTCTGCAAACAGTGATACCATAAACACTTGCTCTGCTCTTTGTGGGGTGGTCATTTCCGGAGTCCGGGTATAAATTGCTTCAAATACAGGCACCGTTTTCTGTGCAAAAAACACCGGTTTCTCTTTTGCATTACTTTGTTGCTGTTTCTGATCATCGATAAAGGCTTCCAACAGGTAGATAATTTTGTTTGGTGAGATGCCGCTTTCTGTACAACTGGGCAACGGTCTGTCGTTGGGCACGTTTACCTTGAAAGTTAAGCCCAAGGTCTTGTTCTTTTGTAATTCCACTTTGGGCTCTTGACCATCTTGATGCACCAACACCAGATCTGTGAAATAAAATGGTACATTGCTGGATCCTTTAGGTGTCTTTGAGGGCGATTTCGTAAGTTTCGGTCCGAGTTTCCAGCATTCGTCAAAGTAGATGCGAACATCTTTGTTGGATTGAATGGGTTGGACCTGAATGCGGCCTGTCCAAGCTAAGCGAAAGTTGCGAAGACTGTAATTTTGGTTGGCAGTGAGAAAGACCTTGCCTTCAATTATATCCCCAGGGAAGTATTTCAATTGCTTGTCATCCAGTACAATCTCTAACTTAACATCAAGTGGTGTAGGTGCCATCTTGTTTGAGCAAGAAGAGAGAGAGAAAGAGATAAAGAAAAAAAATGAACCAAAAAGGCTATCGTGTGTGTGCTATAAACATTTGTGTACTGGGCTGAGCCCCGATAGTGGGTAGTACATGATAAACAAGTAATAAGGCTTTTTTTCTCGGATTTGATAGAGAACACACAATTTGAAGTGTTTTCACAATCTGAAGTAGATGCAACAGTAGACCGCAAGTTGAAGAAACAAATAGCCAATTGATCACAGCACTGCATCTTCTCTATGCTGCATAAATTATTCATTTGCCTCGCTAAACTGACATTTCTTGTCCTTGGATTGGCTCATTTGCTACCGTCCCTGAATCATGCTGTTTGTGCATACCAATGATGCATCATTTTTATGCAAACGTACGGTGTAATAATTAGCGAGAGATTTAAGGCTCTTACAGAGAATTAAACTGACTCAATATATCCGCATCTAGAAGTTGTTTCTTTAGCAAGTCCTGGTCATTTTCTACGCAGCATTGTATAAAAATTGGGTAACTTCTTCATATGTGCAAACAAAAGGTGGAACAAAGTTGTGATTGAAAGACCATAGGACGGTCAGATCGTTGCTCAAGCAGATAAGCATTCCCTGTATATTGTTTGGTGTGAATCACTCATAAAATCAAGCACCAAAATCCACCGTGCAATGCCGATTTTAAGCAGCTGAACCTTGACAAATATGGTGTTTTCGAAGGCGTGGCTCAAGACGCAAGCAATTCAAGCAATATTTGAGTTAGATCAAGAGACAGCTATGGATAAAGAAGCCATCACAGTCGCTCTAAATTTCACTCTTCTAAATTAAAGCGTTATTTTGTTGCATTGATGGCATTTGGATCCAATCCAAGCAAACAAAACAGCCAAATGCTAGAAGTGTAATATGTAAATAGTTTCTAATTACCAATAGAAATTGTAAAATTATTCAATTTGCACATCAGACAGTGTCCTTCCTTACAGATCCGAGATATTGTGCGTGTTAGTAATTCAAATACTCATTGGTTGTGTATGTACAGATCCATCCATTCATTCAACCTACACAAGTATAAGGATAGATAATACGTTGCTCGGCAACAGCCCCTATTATTGAGAATTTCCATCACGTGTTACATTTGATCAATGAAATGCTTTGTCAACGTAAAATTTACGCAATGCGGCATCGACTTTCGCCAAGATGTCGAATATATTATCAATTGTTTTCAATGAGCACTGCATGGGATCATGAATCATGCAACTCTAGATAGTCGGCAAATGTTTGTATGAATCAGAACCATCATAGTGCTCGACCCCAATGACTTATCAAAATGCATTGTGTTGGAGAATGCATTATTATGCGGAAGTCCTCCGTGTATGAAATGTAGCTGTAAACAGACTCTACTATGATGCTCTACGTCTGTATCAATGCAAGCAAGCCGTGTATAAGCAGACAGCATACTTACATTGACTCTTGCCACTCAATGGAATGCAAAAATAGGGAACCTGAGCCGCGTTTTCTCGTGTTTGAAGCCGTTTTAGACCTCCAGAATAGTACCAAACAATTGATCTCATCCCGTATTTCCTTTCGGACACCTTTGCTCAACTTTTTGGGACCCAAAAAAAATGGCCAAAAATCGACCAAAAAGCATGAGGGGCACCTCATGGTTTTTTACGAAAATCAAACGATCGCGCTTTTCACTTTGAAAATAAAGACTTTTACTATGGTATGTATCATACCAAAATGTTTCTCTTGAGCCAAAGCAACCTCTGAAACCACTTTTATGAGGCTTCCATATGCAAAATATGGCTATTTTCGCCAAAAACCTCATCGCAAAATTTACTAAATTGCTCAGTAATTTCATTCAAAACATTCATTACAGTTAGCACCATTGGAAGCGTCTTGAAAAGTACTTTAAGAATATATTAGGAAGCGTAGGGTGGTCATCACAATTTATATAGTCGAATATCACAAAATAAAACAAAGAAGTCGAAAAAAAAACAAAATCTGTCCAATCTTGAACAGAAAAAAATCTGTTGAGGTTAAATTAATTTTGGCAGCGGCTTGCCACTGGCTGACCTAAATGCCTTTTTGTTCAGAACCATTGTACAGCTATCCCACGAAGAATTCCAAGCACGGTCCAATAAATAGAGTACGCTAGCCATCATTGCATCTTGTGGAAGCATAGGCCGTATACATCTCGACATGGAGTATTATTCTTTGTCTTCACAGATCAATATTGAGGAATCTGTGCTTGGAAAATTATAGCTGAAGTTTGACAATTTGCAAACACAATTAACGAACTCGAGCCGTCAAGAGGGAGTAACTACGCTTGCACTGGAGCTGAATAACATAGAACAAAAGTACAAAAGCTAACTGGCCAAGACAAAACTCTTTTGAGAGAAACTGAATGACACTATATGTCCTTGTTCGGCTCTAAAGAGGGAGATTTTACACCAAATGATAGCCACTTTATATGATTTACAGTGTATTACGTAATCTATACATGCTTCACAGCTACCCAAAGTGTGATAAAATTCAAATTCCCGGATGTTGCTTTAGTGATCTGAATATTCTAGTGGTATATCATTCTGCATTTTTATCTGTTGTAAGCACAACCTGAAAATCCCCGATCTTCAAATCACTATATCAAGCAAGAGTGGTTATGAACGAACGAGTTGATGAGAAGAGATAAGGCATGTGTCACATTAAAGATTTTCGAGCATCTCGAGATATTTGACTTTTTGCTTAAGTTATAGTTTCTTGAAACTAGACTATTTGTTGATCATTTGTATGCAACTTTGTCTCGTTCAATTAGATGATTATAGCTCATTTTTGCTTATCTGATACGTGTATCAATCTAGACAGGGGCGAGATCTAGATGTTATTACTGCTGTTGAACATGACATGATTGAAACAGCGAAGGGCGCCTTCACATTTCTCCCACACCTTGAAAAAATGTTGATGTGGTAAAGCTAAAGAGTAAAAAAAAAGAGGTAAGGCAAGAGGAAAAGAAGGAAAAAAGAGGAAAAAGTTCCATGTTACCAGTAAGAGGATGGGTTTATATACTTTTTTTCAGTTTTAATTTGACATTTGCATGTGAAAATAGGTTAAATTTCAACACCCAACTTTTATCACACATACACAACATTTGGCAAATGCTGGTGTTTACAGTTTGAGTTTCTACACCAAATCAGCCGAGCAAAATCAACAAAAGATGTCAATAGTACGTACTCAATACAAACAAACGAGCATTGTTGATTGAAACATGTTTGCAATCAGCTAATCAAAGCGGCTTTTCTTTCCTTGCACCAAAGCACTAGAACTTGGTACAACATTGCGCGAACAGACCAACAAATAATAGGAATGTCTATTTTGACAAAATGGGCTTTATCTTATAGAGACCATACAAGTCTAGTTTCCCACACTTGATATGGTTTAACATTATATAAAGAAGAAAAAATAGTTAAGCAACCCTCTTTTTATCTTGTAATCATCTTGCATACATTGTAAAGCAGTAAAAAGCGGGAAAACTTACTATAAAGTAAACTCATCTTACATTCTTTACAGCAACCAGCAACTAGTAATCCGTGACCCGTTTAATTTATAAACACAACAATTCAATCTCTCTACGCTTCGTTTGCTGTCTGGCTTTCTCTCTCTCTCTCTCTCTCTCTCTCTCTCTCTCTCTTATATTTTGTCTCCCTCCTCTCTCTCTCTCTTGTTTGCACATACAATGACTACTGATACAAAAACAATGGCGCAATACTCATCGACAAGAAAACTTAGCCAGGCAGATTTGGAGAATCTGCTTGACCCTCAAGTCAGTTTCCTACCTTTGTTTCAAGATTTGAATCCCGGATTCGAATCATTGTATTCGCCATACTCTCCAAATCTCGATTCCTCATCTACAGCAGATTCCAGCTCTCCACCAAATTCTCATTATGAAGACATAGCAATGAGTGTAAAGTCTAATTTAGATCACACAGAGGTTAAAAGATTTGAAATTTACCCCTTAAAAATGTATTCTTTTAGGCAGAAAATGCAGCCGCTGTACCTACATCGACATCTGCACCAGATGACTTTCTCAACTATTTATCATATCCTAACCACGAAATGTAACATGAATTTTTTGTTGTCATGATTATCAGCATGCTAAAACACATTTGTTTTCGTCTTAGTGTAACTCATAGTGGCAATACCCCATCTCCTTGTACGCAGAGGTAAAATTACCAAGCGAGAATGACAAACATGTAGTAACTCACCTGGTTACAGTAGTAATAATCGTCTACAAATTCGAATACTCGGGGTACCAAACACTGGAGCAAAATCTCGTGTGGAGACTCAAATCAAGCTTTGTATCCAACTAATGACAGGAAATGAAAAAAAGGTACAAGACTGGTCGTATATCCGCTTGAGTGATTCCATGTTGGCAAGATCCAGATTGCGCAAGAACCAGCAGCAGCAACAGCAGAAATCAATGGATGGCTCCGTAGCAACCATGGTATCAGACGAATCCAAGGTGTTGTGTTTGGAAGCTCAAGTAGTTTGTGCCAGTAGCACAGATCAACCGATTCGGATGTGTGTTGGCTGTGTGCGACGTGAAGTGAGTTTATTAATATGCGTGTATTTTTAATATTGTTTACTAATTGCTTGTTTCTAATAGAGAAAAAGAGCGGAAAGAACAAAAGATGGCAAGCACAAGGGAGACATCTTGCCCGAAGACATTGAATCAGAGAGAGATCGTATCCTGCTATTCAATTGTAGTCCAATGATTAACTTTTCTTCTGGAGATGCCATCTTGCCTACTCGCATCACTTGTTATTGTCGCCACCATAACGAGAAGGTTGGATTTAGGTAAAACTAGCGGATAAATGTGAAAGTCATTCATCATGACTAATTTGTTTTAAATCAGGATATGCTTCTCAATGAAGAACAACAGGGGAGACATCATTGCAAACGGTATCTCTCCACCTATCATGATAACAGATGACCATAAAAGCTCAAAACAAAAGACAAGCCTTAAGAGAACAAGACAGGAAGACGATCAGTTTACTATTTCTCGCCCTGATACGCCCGCTCCATCTCGCAAAAACTCGATTTCCATTGACCTTATTCCACCAACGACCGATATACTTGACGATAACACGGAATCTACCACACCTACGAGCCTCGAGTTTATTAATTCAGGAATAAGTGCCATGACAAATAGCAATAGCAGCAGTAGCAGCAACATCTATTCCGACTTTTTCCCTCCTCCTCCTGCTCCTCTTTCATTCAATGTGCCAATGGACATACCAACACCTCAACAGCAATACTCGCCGGAAGAAGACACTGTGACATCTACTGAAGAAGCTTGGCCATTCAACCGTCGTCGTAGAACTATATCTGGCTATGCCTCTACTGATGATCCTGCCCTGACATCCATCTTGGATGATTTCAGGCCTGTCGTTGTAGTGCCTCAACTGGAAAGACTGGTGCCTGCTCAAGGCCCAACCTATGGTGGCGTTGAAGTGACCTTATTGGGTTCCGGGTTCTACCGAGGCCTTACCTGCTTGTTTGGTGAGCATGTTGCTACCACTGTCTACTGGAATCCCAATACCATTGTTTGCATACTGCCTCCTGCTGCTCACATAGGTCCTGTGGTCGTCTCGTTCAAAGAGCATCCGTTGGTGCTGGAGGGCCAAGATGTAGCCATATTCACGTACTATGATGCGAGTGATCAAGCTTTGCTAGAACTGGCTCTTCAAGTGGTTGGACTAAAAATGACGGGAAAACTACATGATGCCAAGCATGTTGCAATGCGAATTGTTCAAGGTGGTGAGCCATCACAACAGCCACAGCAACAACAACAACAACAACAACAACAACAACAGCAACAACAACAACAACAGCAACAACAGCAGCAGCAGCAATTATCAGTACTCGAGGCTATTCAGAGTGCAGATCAACCTGACCTTTCACTCGTCAATGCCAGCGGACAAACATTGCTCCATCTTTCCGTCATACTCGGCAATGAAGAACTCGTTAGAGCCATTATTCACGCTTACGCACATCGTCCCACCAAAGATAAACAAGAACTATTGAACGCGCAAGATAGGAACGAGATGACAGCCCTTCAATTTGCGTGTCAAATGAAATCAATGGAAATGATCCGAATTTTGTTACATGCGGGTGCAAATCCAAGCAGTGTAGATAGTGCGTGGCTGAAGAAATCATGCGCAGCAGCAGAAGATATCATTGATTTACTCGATTTGTATACTACCACCTCCAACCATATAAAGCGAAAGCCACTTTCCAGAAGGAATAGCAATGTAAAGAGCCACATGATGCATAGATTCCACTCTTTGAGTAACACGAGTACCGATACATCCCAGCTTGGCAGCAACAGCAACAACAACAGCGCAGATAGCAAGCACACACCCAGCATGGAATCAGATGGGTTGGGCCTTGTTCGCCAAAAGAGTGATCGTCGACTGTATCTGTTCTGGTTACCTGTTTTGACGCGTAAGTCATTCATCATCTAATATTATGAACATGCATTGATTTTGTTCTATTTTTACAGTTGCTATCGGATTGTTGTTTGTACAAATGTTTGGTCAACCCGCTTTGTTAAGGCCCATTCTAGATTTATTACCTAATCCACATCGTATTCCCTTATCCGCCTAAATGTAAAATACCATATACCTTTCTCTGTCCATATAAACACTTTGTTATCTCGTACAATTCGTACAATGTATTTAATGTGTCGTAATCGTCCATAGATCCTTTTGAAAAGATGTGTATGCTTGCTCATTTGGCTGTTTCTTCAAAAGAGGGAATCAGCGTGTGTCTCATTTTTAAAGGTTACGGGACCGATACGGTATCATATTAAAAATTAATACAGAGACCACCCTATTAAAATCAAATTAACCTCCTACGAGTTACTTTAGACGAGGCTGAAAGCCGACACTGGTACAAATATAGTGAAAACTAAGCACCAGAGTTTTGGACTCAACATGCTATAACAGAGCAACAAATCAAGATAGAAGCTAGCAGCTTTTTCTACTAGGTTTGCCAACACCTTACCTATCGATCTGTCACTTGTAATTAAGAAGTTACATTTAGCAAAGGTAGCTCCAATTACGCCTCACACTAAAAAGACAATATTTCAAAATATCCATAGCCCAGCCTTCATACTGCTGAAAATAAGAATCCATGGATGCCTAAAACCTTTCAGCCTCAATACCATGCGATTGTGGTGATGACACTGCTTCCAGCTAAATTAAATTCAGGGTAAAATTTAACGAAGAATCTAATAATGATACCAGTTTCAAGTGCATTGGCCCAAGTTATTAGACTAATTATTGATAGGAGAGATCTTGTGGTTTTTTGGCGGTTTTTGACAGATTATGAGATTTCTGTCATCAAAACACTGTTTTCAGTACTTTTCAATGTGTATAGCAAACAAAATCCTATCGAATGAGCTCTGAATCATAGCTTTGGTATAATTGTATCATGAGGAATTTACAGATTTGTACCTGCAAAAAAAAATTGGTATCCAAATTTTTGCCTTGCTACCATGGGCAAATTTTGGCCAAAAATCAAAGATTTTGCAAGACGTATTTTTTATCGTATCTCGGAAAAGACGCATCGTATTTGAATAAAACAAGGGCCATTCAACAGCCCTACTCTAAATCTACAAATTTCAAGAATCGCACATTTCTCAACGGCAACTCATTCTATAGCGACTTTTTTTCAGAGAGTATCATTGCAAAAGACACCATTATAGGGAAAGCTTCCAAGAAAAAAAAGCATTCGGGCTAATCAACTGTACTTTCCAATTACAAGATATCCATTTAATTAGCATCGCAATCATCATTATTACCATCAGAAAAGCATTTGGGTTAGCCCGTGGCAGCGCCAGCACTCATTCAAACTCAGTTTGTTTTTTTCTTCTCAAGATTGGCCAAATCATGGTTTTTGCCGACTTCTTTAATCTATTTTGTGATGTTCGACTATACAAATTGTGATGATCATACGATGCTTCCTAATACATTCTAAGAGTACTTTTCAAGGCGCTTCCAACAATCCTAAATAAAATAGATGTTTTGATTGAACTTATTGAGCAATTACAGAAAATATGAAATAAGGTTTTTGGCCAAAATGTTGAAATTTTGCATATGAAAGCCTCACAAAAGTGGTTTTAGAGGTTGCTTTGAGTCGAGAGAAACATTTTGAATGAATATATACCATAGTAAAAGTCTTCATTTTCAAGGTGTAAAACGCGATCGTTTGATTTTTGTCAAAAAGCATGAGGTACCGCTCATGCTTTTTTTGGTCAATTTTTGACCATATTTTTTGGGTCCTCAAAAAGTTGAGCAAAGGTGTCAAGAAGTTACTGCTACTTGAGTACAATTGTTTGGCGCCATTCCGGCGGCTCAGGAAGGTCTATATGTCAAGATATGAAGGCTTGAAAACTGTCAAATTTGGCTATGTTTTTGCCGTATAGCTTTTATTTATACGACATGAATCACATCTCTGGTTGCTGTACTCTTCTAGAAGGGCAGTTCTTCAATCTACGCAATTTCTAATTCGAATAGGAGACATATTGACTTTGGTAAAGCAACTTTTGATGCGTTATGTTGTTGATAAGCTTATCAATAATGAAAATGAGAAACCAAATTTACTGCTTGATTACTATGGTTTCGCACGTTTGCTTCATTACAGCAAAGCCCTCTCAAGGTCCATGTTACCGAATGTTGCCTTGAAACCACAAATCGCTCAATCCACAGCCAAATAGCAGGTAAGAAATCACTCGAATTAGATGCGTTATGTTCTTGGGAGAAGGGCTTTTAATCTCTGATTAGCTTCGACGACGCTTTTGTGTTCAAGTTTTCTAGTATACATAATGATTATGATAGTAGTGGCGTATGCAACCAACGGGAGTTGACAGCGATGCTAACAGCAAAGGCCTAGGCGATATATGTTCGACTTTAGCTAAAGTATTAGATGACTAAACATGTTATAGCCATCTCGTAGTTCGTCAATGTCGAATTCTGCGTTTGTGTTTCAGCTTCAGCTGATTATTAGCTATATTTTCACTCAACAAATGTACCTTTACTGACTTTCTTGAATATTTACCAAGTAATTTTAATAAACCTTGGTGGACCTTTGGCAATATTTGTGATATTGCCAGTGCCTCTCATGAGACCTGCTGTTCCCTTGGCCTTGAATGGCCTTTCAACACATCATTGCTTGTAGATTAATCGCATAGTTTATATTAAATTTCACGCTGGCTGATTTGCTACATTTTGCCCTGTCCAACCTCCCCCCCCCACCATTTAATGTAATGTACACACAAATCCTGACCTGGAAATCTTGTAACATTGCAAAGCGGCAACACAAATGAACAGAAAAGGAAGAAAATTTTTATTCATTTATATAGTATCTGTGTCGCTCTCTCTCTCTCTCTCTCTCTCTCTCTCTCTCTCTTTCGTACGCTCCTTTTATACCAACGTCTAGAATGAAAGTGAAGATTGCCATTTCTGAGCCAACAGAAGTGACAGATCCTTTTATTACTGATCTCGCCTCCTTCATTGCAAAGAGTAAGCGTGCTCTCGTTGTGACTGGAGCAGGCATTTCTTGTAGCAGTGGTATTCCTGTATGTATGTCCTCCTCATACAGAGCACAAGATATTCATAGGATTTTTGCGATAGGACTTTCGTTCAGCAGACGGATTATACAACATTGTAAAGCAACGACATCCAGGCACCGTTCTACGCGGCAAAGAATTGTTTGACGCGACTTTGTTCCGTAACGAAAAGACCATCAAGTGCTTCTACACCTTCATGGCTGAACTTCGCTCTCTCATCACCAGCGCCAACCCTACAGCCACACACGAATTCATTCAATCCATGACCAACAAAGGACAATTGTTACGATGCTATACACAAAACATTGATTTTTTGGAAGAGAATTTGAATATTCCTGCTATTCAATTACACGGCACCATGAAGCAAGTACGCTGTACCCTGTGTAGCGCCACTTATGACTTTACAGACGACTACGAATCTCAATTCCGTGCAGGCGATGCACCTACCTGTCCTCAATGTGAAGATATGGATGCAGAAAGAACCCGTCTTGGAAAACGTCAATTAGCCATGGGTACACTGCGTCCAGCGATTGTGTTGTATAATGAAGAGCATCCGCAGGGTGAATCTATCGGTCAGCTGCAAGTCAACGATTTGAAAAAGAAGCCAGATCTCATGATTGTGATGGGCACCTCGCTCAAAATCCCTGCTCTCAAGAAGTTTATCAAACAGGCTGCACGCATCATTCACTCAAAGCCTGGGGGTTGCGTTGTTTTTGTCAACCGAACATCGCCTACCAAGGAATGGGAAAAGGTCTTTGACTACGAAGTACTGGGTGATTCGGATGAATGGGTTGAACTCACAAACAAGAAGCTGTTGGACGAGAAATTGATGACACAAACCGCCTCCAAATTGAAACGAATTGCCAAAGACCTTGCTGAAGAAGAAGAGGAGGAGGAAGAGAAGGAGAACAAGTCAACCACATCAACACACAAACGAGCTACAAAAGTTACCATCAAATCATCCAATTCCAAGTGTGCATCACTCAAGCGACAATTATCAAAGACACAGACTACATTGCAAGATTACACTGTGGCAAAGCGACGTTGTGCCAATAAAGCCGCAAAAGCTGTGTAAAGAGAAGACCTGTGATCCATTGCAACCTAATATTTCTATTACATATATATATATATGCCAAATGCACTTTCTCTCTCTATATCTATTTCCTATTTCTTTTTCCTATATACATAACATATACAAGATGGCAGATCCTTATTTGCTGAATAAAGACTAAATTTGATCAGTTAGCATCATGCAGATATAACAAAGATGGCAGTATTTAGGGATATGGGCAATGGTGATACCTGATACCATTTTGTTTGGGTCCCATTTTGATCGCGTAAACAGCAGATCAAATGTTGATTGTAAAGATCGAATCATTTTGAGGCAAGCCGAAGCATATCCTTTTTGTAATATCTCGCACTGTACCACTAATTCTTTCTCAAAGGAAAGCAGGGATTGCTGGATAGCAAAACAATGTTGATATTTACGTAGTACTATTGCAATAATGTTTAATATCGATCCGCTGCTCAATTAAAGTCGTTTTGACCCAAGATGCCAAGCTCATGAAGCTGCCATTTAGAGTTCAAGTGGAGACAAGAAAAGTTTAAATGGCAAAAGGAGTTGTTTTCAGAGAAAGTTTAGCTCTGTGTGCACTGCTTTGTGTGTGTGTGTGTGTGTGTGTGTCCAGCTAAATTTCGCCCTGTAAGACGCCCAGTGTTTCTTCTTTCTTTTTTCTTTTCTCATCACTTACTCTCTCTCTCGTTACATGGCAGGTCTAAAACCCAAACAAAGACCTGGCGAAGGGGCACAAGAAAGAACGTCTTCCAAGATACTTGGCTCTTGGTTTGCAGTGATTCTGAGTTCACTGTGCGGTATTGCACTTGCATTCCATTTCCATTACAAGGTACCATTACCCGCTAATCATCATGGTTTCAATACGGATGGTGTTTCCGATTTCTCTGAACATAATGCAATGAATATCATCTCTCATCTCAGTGATACCATTGGCTATAGTGAGTATACCCGCTATAATGCTACGCGCATGTTGTCATTGACACTATTTGCTCTAGGAATTGTGGGTACATTGGAAGAGAAACAATCCTATGATTATATTGAGCATGCCATTACACAATACAAAAAGGAGTCTCAGGGCATCATTGGATCTCCCAAGTTTGATATTTGGGTACAGCAGGGCACCAGTTCGCATCGTTTTGATATCATGGATAAGAGTGAGTTCGAGTTATATATGAGGGTGTGGAGACAAGGAGAAAGAGAGAGAGAGAGAGGCTAATGTTTTGACATGAATAGTGGTTTTAAAGGCATACACCAATGTGACAAACATCATTGTTCGTTTGTCTTGCCCAATTGACCCTCATGATCCCAGCAACAGGGCTTGTGAAGATAACGCTGTGCTTCTAAATGCCCATTTTGATACTACATTGGGTTCTCCCGGTGCAACAGATGATGGCTCAGGTGTCGCTGTGATGATGGATATCATTCGTGTATTGAGTAGACGTAACTGGGAAGGATATAAGAACTCAATCGTATTTTGTGAGTATGAGTCTATAAGCAGAAATGGAGGTATTCATGGATTTTGTCGTATACGTAGTGTTCAATGGCGCTGAAGAGTCATTGCAAGATGCTTCTCATGCTTTTATTACTATGCACGATATCAAGGACTCGTAAGTGTTTATTTGGGCACATACTATATATATATATATGTATATATGTATACTCAACATGCATGATGATAGCATCCGCTCTGTAGTCAACATTGATGCTTGTGGCACTTCAGGCCGTGAAATCCTGTTCCAAGCCAACTCTCGTGAAATGGTAGAAGCCTACAAACAAGCACCTTATCCTCACGGCACGGTGATGGCCAACGATGTGTTCCGCACAGGCCTTATTCTATCCGACACTGATTTCAGACAATTTGTGCAGTACGGCAACCTCACTGGCATTGATATGGCCATTTACAAAAACTCGTACCTGTATCACACCCATTTGGATATTGCGGAGCAGTTGCAGCCTGGTGCTATTCAACATTTGGGCGCTAATACCTTGGCGATTGTCAATTATCTGGCTCAGAATGCAACACTGACTGGTATCCAGCCTTCCAGTGAAGTGGTGTTTTTCGATGTGCAAGGCTTGTTCTTTGTCGTGTATTCATGGGCAACTGCTTATAGGATCCAAATGGCTACTGTTGTCTTGGCTGCTGCTTATTTCGCTTTCATTGTGACCAAGACGCATCGCTCTTCTCCTTATCGATCTGTCAGCAACATTTGTATCTCGTATGCCAAGTCCACTGTGTCAGTGTTTTTGAGTATGGTCAGCTCCATGGTGTTGCCCATCTCTGTCGCCTTGTTGATCATTTCACCCGTATTCAACCGTCATATGGCTTGGTTCAAGAATGAGTGGTATGGTGCGTTGATCTTTAGTCCTATGGGTCTTGTGGGCTCCTACGGTGTCCAATATCTGTTTACCTTGCTGCCTGGACCTGAGCACTTTGACATGGAGTATGGTACCTTCAACTCATTGATGCTCTGCTTTGCTGTAGGTACCGCTGTTACCACACAGACCGGTGTCGCTAGCTCGTATGTCTTTTGGCTATTCTGCTCCATCTTGTTTGTCGTCTGCATCTTGAACGAATTCGTGTTGCGTCCTGCTGCCTCCAAGATCTACTTGCCTCAAGTCGGTACCTTGGCCTACATTGTCAGTGGATTTGTGCTAAGCTTGTTGTACGCTGACTATGCTTATGCCTTGGTGGATATATTTGTGCCTTTGACAGGCCGCATGGGTGTGGATACCCCTGTGGATTTGATTGTTGCCGTGATTTATGGTATGATCGTTTACATGGTGTCTTTGCCTAGTGTGGCACACATTCATCGCTTTGGAAACAAGGTCATGAAGAAGGTCATTGTGCTATTGTTGTTGGGTCAAACAGCAGTGTTAGCAGCTGTTTACATAAGTGGAGGTCAATATGGAGGCTGGGCTTTCCCTTATGATGAGCTTCATCCCAAGCGTTTGTTTATTCAACAGCTCAAGAATCTGACATCGGGGGAAATCACAGTGGGTGTTGCTCAAGCAGACCATGGACCTTATATCCAGACTGTCATTGATTCATTAGAGCACGAGTTGCAAGTAACTCCCGAGGTGCGTGCAGGTGCCAGCAACATGAATGACTGGGACTCCATCTATCCTTTCAGTGCCTTTTTAGGTGGCTATCGTTTCAATGTCGAGCCCTACATTCGCCAACATGCTACACAAGAGCTGTCTTCTGCATCTCTGTTTGATTCGCTGAACGGCCCCTTCCCTGAAGTCAAGATCTACAACGATTCCTATGACGCTGATACCGGCGTCCGTTCATTCTCTCTGTTGTGCCTATCACCCACTTACACATGGACAGTCATTGCATTTGACGGTCTTGTGGTCGACTGGAGCATCCAAGACGAGGAACCTCTCAAGATACCCTCTCATTATGTTGTGCGTCATGTCAGTGGTTTTGGCAACGATGGTTGGACGTTGGATCTGTCTATCAGAGTACCTGAGGCGGATCGTGAACAAGCTGCCCGTGGTGAATGGAAGATGCAATTTGAGTTTACTGCTTTAGAAAAGGAGGGATTTGCTGCTAGAGGAGAAGAGAGATCCATTGGTGGTGTAGGTATCATGGGCGTTGTGCAAAAATCACTGCCCATCTGGACCACTACGACGTGGTTGAGTTCTGTAGTCAAGATTTGGGAATTGTAATAAAATTTATCCTGTGTATACTGTATAACATGCTCTTGATCGAATGGCTAGAAAGTGTCTGTCATCCTCATTATCTCCATGGAAACGTCAACCAAAGAGCTACAGTGTAGTTTTAGCACTCAGACTTCTATTAGTGAAGTGAATGCCGTGGGAACAAAGCCTACTCATATAAATATCAACCATCAGTTTCTCACGGGCATTTTTTTTCTCTTTCTTTCACCTCCCCCCTCCCCTTTATATATTTTTGATAGATATCATGTTGTCCAGAATCTCCAAAAGCGTGCTTCGTGTAGGTTCATGTTTATACTACTATCAAATCAGACACTAATACAGCTGGGAAATAGAAATCCTCTGTCAATAGACTTTTGCCTTTGAGATCAGCTTCCTTCTCCACCTACAATTCCGCCGTTGCTGGTCTGTCTCCTCAACAAGAAGAGCTCCGTGAAGCTGTGCACAACTGGGTCAATGTTGAGCTCAGTCCTCGTGCTGCTGCCATTGACAAGGAAAACGAGTTTCCCATGGACATGTGGCGCAAATTTGGTGAGATGGGTCTTTTGGGTATTACTGCTCCCCAAGAATACGGTGGCCTCGGATTGGGTTATTTCGAGCACACACTTGTGATGGAAGAAATCTCTCGAGCCAGTGGTTCTGTCGCTCTCAGTTATGGTGCTCACTCCAATCTCTGTGTCAACCAGATCACTCGTAACGGTAACAAGGCACAAAAGGAAAAGTACTTGCCCAAGTTGATTTCTGGTGAACATGTGGGTGCGTTGGCCATGTCTGAACCTGGTGCTGGCTCTGACGTGGTGAGCATGAAATTGCGTGCTGATAAGAAGGGAGATCATTATGTGTTGAACGGTAACAAGTTTTGGATTACCAATGGCCCTGATGCGGATGTATTGGTGGTGTATGCAAAGACGGAACCTGAAGCTGGACCCAAGGGCATTACTGCATTCTTGATCGAAAAGGTATGTCAATATAATAGAAGCAAAATGCTTGTTTACTGATTCGATCGTAATCTGCGTAGGATTTCAAGGGCTTCTCCAGAGGACCCAAGTTTGACAAACTGGGTATGCGTGGATCCAATACCTGTGAGCTCATTTTCGAGGATTGCGAGGTACCTGGTATGTATTTATGATGGCTGTTTATAGTTTGCAAATATTTATCCTATTCCCCCCCCCCTTCTAGTCGAGAATGTGTTGGGTGAAGTCAATAAGGGTGTCTATGTTTTGATGAGTGGTTTAGATCTTGAGCGTTTGGTGCTTTCTGGTGGTCCCTTGGGGTAAGCGTTTGAACATTGGATGTAGATGTTTGAGCTTGCTGTTTAACATGCTCTTTTCTTGTTTAGTTTGATGCAAGCCGCATTGGATGTCACTGTTCCTTACGTCCATGAACGCAAGCAATTTGGCGTCCCTATTGGCGAATTCCAATTGATGCAAGGCAAACTTGCTGATATGTATACTAAAATGAACGCATCTCGTGCCTATGTGTACGCCGTCGGTAAAGCATGCGATCGAGGCAACATTAGTAACAAGGATTGTGCAGGCGCAATATTGTATTCTGCTGAGCGTGCAACCGAAGTAGCCCTTGATGCTATCCAATGCCTCGGTGGTAACGGCTATACCAATGAATACCCCACGGGTAGAATCTTGCGTGATGCTAAATTATACGAAATTGGTGCTGGAACAAGCGAGATTAGACGCATGCTGATTGGTCGTGAATTCAACAAGCAATTTAAATAAAGGGGGAATTTCCCACTACAAAAATATTTCTGGTAGATTCTCTACCAGAGAGTCTGAATAAGCATTCGCGTTATTTGTGATCATGGATGGACTTCAAGCACTGCTTTAATATAGACTAATCCCAACCACATGTGACTGAATTCAAACCAAATATATACAAGATCTCTCCTTCCAGTTTCTTTATTCTCTTTTTCTCTCTTCTATTTCTCTCTCACTTTTTTCTTTTGGAAAACTACTACAACATGAACTTTGAAGATATTGTCGATATGGAATGGGTGGACAGTCATACCACTCTGGATGAAACAAATGAATTCGCTGGTGATTATTACTTTGATCATCAACCTGATTTCCTATTGGAACAACCTGTAACACCACCTCAACCAGCACAGGAATCCATGATGGAACCTGAAATCAAAATGGAGCCTATTGCCAACATGCCTACCACAGAGCAAATTAAACAGCTGATCGAAATTGCAAAGCATCAACTCGCTTTACGCGAACAGCTACAACAGGCCCAGGCACAAGCCCAGCTACAATCAGAGCCATCTACGCAGCAACAAACACAGCAGCAGCAACCAGACCAACCTTTATTCCAATCACTGTCTGCACAGCAATCTGATATTCAAACTGCTGCGCCTTCCACCATCTTTGCTCCTCCTCCTCCTCCTGTTGTAGTAGCTCCCACCTCTACAACAACACCTGCTATGCCTGCTCTATCTCCCAATACGATTACATCTACGGACATGACGCTTGCTCCACCTTCCACAGTCATGATGGATAGCATCACTGAAGATGCTGCTCAAGCGCAGTCCTTATCAGTAGATAACAACAACAACAACAACAACAACAAAGCTAGAAGAGACTCGCTGGCATCCATGACAGAAGAATCCATCTCTCTGGAGGCTTATGCTGAGGCAGATGGTATTGATCTCAAGAAATTAACACCCAAAGAGCGTCGCCAATTGCGCAATAAGATCTCGGCTAGAAATTTCAGAGTGAGAAGAAAGGGTAAACTATCATCTGTGCACAGCATTTCATTCTCCATGCCAAAACTAAAGGTTTCTGTTTAGAATACATTTCTACATTGGAAGGTCAAGTCAATGAACACAAGCTGGTAGCTGAGGGCTTGAGAGAGAAGCTCGTCAAAGTAGAGGAAGAGAACAAGAAGCTGCGTAAAGAGATGGATACACTGAAGCGACAAAACCAAATATTACAGCAACAACAACAACAACAACAACAACAGCAAAAGAATCCTGCATCACCACGTATTTCATCTCCTTTACCCAAACCCAACTTGAACAAGGACATCAGTATCATGGGCACCAAGGCATCGGATTCTTATCGTCAACAAGACAACTGTATACTTGTTTCAAACGCTGTGATGCCTGTGTGGGACTACAATGCCATCCTTTTACAAGATCTCCACCAAAAGCCATCGCATGCTACTGGCCCAGACTATAGCTACATGAACCATCTTGTGGGTCAATTTCTCTTATCGGTTGTACAACTCGCAAGCACCATGCCTTGTAGAACCAATCAAATGAGTAGTGGTAGTGAATACTACAAACCCCTTTTGCCTGATGATCGTGATTTCACTTCATCCACTAGGGGTCTGGAAAAGGAATCCTACAACGCAACAACAGCAGCAGCATCATCATCTTCACCATCTTCATCCACAGCATCCACATCCACATTTAATACTACTACAACTATTGCATTCTCCAACTCATCTAGCTCCTCCTCCTCTTCATCCTCATCTCTTACTTCTTCTTCTTCTTCTACCTCTGCTGCATCTTACAACATGGAGGACCTGTATGATATCTTAATTCAATCAGCTTTGATTAACAGTGCAACTGCTGACAAGTCATTTTTGTGGTGTGATAATAATGCTACTTTTACTACTCAACATTAAGCCTTTTTTTTTTTCTTTATATAACCCCCCCCCCCTCTCTCTCTCTCTCTCTCTCTCTCTCTCTTTGCCCTCCCCCCCATCCCCTATTTCAGAAATTGAATAAATCCATTTTTATGTTTGCGTTACATTTTATACATGGTGTGTGTGTGTGTGTGTGTGTGTGAAAAAATATAGTAGAGTTGGTCCCCCTTGATATTTCACAGTGTTGGCAGAATCTCCCTTTTGTGTGCTTTCTATACACACACACATTGGATATGAACGCATCCTCCCATCGGAGCATCTCCGCTATTTCATGAGAATTCTAAATATTTTGATCATGATTGAAACCAACACTAAAACAAGTGCCAGCAAAGCGATAGCGTAAATGAATCACCTGTATCTTATATCTGTGTAATCAAAAATATTCTCAAATGATATGCATGTATATATACAGGGTTTTGATTATTTTATATATATATATATATGGCCAGTGATTTTCATAGGATATAAAGTTTAATTTGATCTGTATTCAATCCAACATCCGCGATACATCTCACCCCTCTCCCTTCTTCATCACAAGAGCACGCTACTGAGAGCACGTCGTATGCATCAACATACAAGTTGAAGCATGCTATCGTACAACATGTACTACCATGCCATACAGCTTGTTTCAAGCTCAAGTAGATGCAGCTGTTCTTGATATGCAACAGTAGAATACCCACGATTTCGAGACGTATATACAGTATAGTTCCCTTGCTTTCAAAAGTCTAGAATGTATACAAGGCCTGTTTGAAACTCTATTCTACCACCAAAACTTGTTTGCAAATCAGCCAAAAAATCATGGTATGGGTCAATGATCGGCATTGAAATTTCCTCATTATCATCATCATCGTTATGTCAACTACAACGATTTTCTGTAGTTGTATCACCAATGTAAAAGTAGCCTTTATACTCTGATGGACATGCCAATTGAACTTCGGTAGTGCTCATCCATGATATAAACTGCAATTGCTTGTGATAACATTAGAAACAAAACCTGGATTTCGATTAATCAATTTTTTGAATGAAGGCTGCAATTTCTATTGACACTCTAATATAGCCTAAAATTGTAAACGTAACAGTGACATTTATTTGATACAAATGAGTAAACTACCGTTTTAAATGTACTGCTTGTTGTTTTTATGCCAGTCCTCCAAAGAACAATCAGGATATTCCTTGAATGCATGCTGTTTCTCACCAGGTTTGGGTGTTGAGGCCCAATTAGCCTTGGAATCCAGCATAATATGATAGACATCCTTAGGATTCAACTCAGGAAGTGGTGTATCAATAGCACAGGCAAAAGGATATACATATTCAGCCCACTTCTTGTCATAAGCATATAAATGACATCCACATTCACTGCAAAAGTATCTGATATTGCCACTGTAAAACATTCAATCCTTCAGTATACATGCGTCTACCTTTGACGGTGGTCAATACACTTACCAAAGCTCCTTGGTCGCTTTATCTCTCAAAGCTTGGTATTCTCTATAGTTTTCAAAACGTCAAATACGCCACTCTGTCAATGCAGCTTTGAAATTACCTCAGATACTCCTTTCCAGTTACTTTCAGAGTGTCGTACTACGCTCTACATGAGTCTCTGGTTTTATATTATGCCACTGATTCTCATTATACCTGTCCCATGATATTAATAGCATAGCCTCCTCCTCCTTGACATTTGCGGCAAATAGAACTGGGCCGCCATGAGTATATATATATATTATCCTCGTGTTTCTGCACAAACTAAAACTTACCAATAACATCTCATAAACTAGGAGAACCAGGCTTAATAGACATTCTAATAAAGCTAGTCAACAACTTACGGGTGCAGGAGTATGTGACAAGACTGTAAATGATACTTTTTCGCAATGGCAAGAACCTTTGAGCTCCATTTTATATATACAATGTATAAATTGAAAGAAAAAGAAACACCCTTTCACGAGCTAATAAATTTCATGCAATTTTATTATGCTTTGATGATTGTGTTTCACGGATAAATAACGGATGATTTGTGCTCCATTTCGCCGCAAGTCCCTCCTTGTCATTCATATCAAGCTGAAATACAGATCAAGGGACGGAAGAAGCATCCAGTTTGTCTAGCCTATAGGTCTCAATCTATCAGCTTACAAAACACCAATGATGTGTGTCATCAGGAACACATCTTTTATCGTGAAATTGGAATTGAAATGAATCATTCTCTTTCGTCTTGAGCTCAAATAACAATTGGAATATAATAAAGTTGTGCATGTCTTTTTTTTTTTTTTTTTATTTGTTTACACCCGCAAAAGCCAATGATAGGCAACATGCTATTCCTAAGAGACGTTAACGAGGCATTACTCGGTCAATTTTCAGAGCATTTATATTCTGTATACGGTGCAGAAGCGCATCTGTAATGCTTGATTGGCTGGAAATCATACAAGGCATCCTGCAACATGAAGCCATCTATAGTCGCATAAACATTCGACACAATTCTGTATACATACATGACCGAATTGTCTTAAATCTTACCAGCACGTACTATTATTTTTACGTTTGAACCTACCGACATCACATGAGGCTTTTTATGAGCGATCTACAGTTGTAGGTCTGGCTTTTCCATCGTGCTCCGTGTCCAAATCAATGGTAATAGCTCGTATACGGGCGGGCAGCATACCTAAACCACCTCTTATTACTCAAAGATATGCAAAACACAGCATAATCTGAACGCATTGGAGGCGCGTTTTCTCGCGTTAGAAGCCGTTTTAGACTGCCAGAGTGGTACCAAACCATTGCTATCGCTTAGCACTCACTTGCTGGCACCTTTGCCCACCTTTTTCCGGATCGTCAAAAATCGACCAAAAGGCATGAGGGGGTACCTCATGCTTTTTATCGAAAAACAGACGATCGCGTTTTTCACCTCTAAAATGAAGACTTTTACTATAGCATTTATTGCATCAAAATGTTCCTTTCGATCCAACGCAACCCCTGAAACTTTGTTTACGGGATCTTTATATGTGAAATCTCTACATTTTCGCTAAAAACTTCGTTTCATATTTTCACACTTTACTCTATAAGCCTACTTAGAACACACGTTTTAAAGTAGCACCGTTGGATGCGCCTTTAAAAGTACTCCAGGAATGCATTAGAAAGTATGGGATGATCATCACACTTCGCATAGTCGAATATGGCAGAGTAGGTCGAATCAAGTCCAAAAAGTTTGAAAATAAACAAATCAGGACAGAATACCAAGCGGAGATGCAGTCGATTTTTGACCGCTGGCAAGATCAGCGCCAGCCTTATCAGGGAGGCAAACGATGCTTCTAAAAGCTCATACAAAGGGAGTTTTGGGTTGAAAAAGTAGTAAAACTTAGTCTGGATATGCTTATATTCTTAGGTTTTACATTTAGTAATTTAAGTCGTTGTAAAATGCATTTCCAAATGCAGGTCTTCCTGCGTATATAACTTCGGATAGTAAATCTTCTAGTAGATTGGTGCCTTTCATATGGTAAGAGGCTCAAGGTTGTGGGTGGTGGTTTTGAGATGGAAGCTCGATATGGATTTGTAGGTGCATTCAAGCGTCAAGTTTGTGCGAGTAGAAAAGTGCTACTCATTGGCTATGTCGCTATCTCTCCTAGGGTGATCGTGTGCTTTAGAGGCAGCTCTTACATGGATGATGTTTGCATCCTGTCTGTCAAAACAGCTGTTGACGCAAGTGCTAATCGAAAGTGCAAAATCTGCAAGACTGGCGTTTTCAAGTGCAGAAACGTTGCTTTCAATGGTTGATTGCTGTTGGGACAAGAGATAATGAACAAGGTCGAGCCAGGAGAGGTCGAGTGACAACTGTCCCTTGCTCCAAACAAGGCAGCATGGCAAGCATTGAGTCTTTGAATCAGTAGAATGTGAAACTAAATTGATAGATATAGCGTACCGGCATTGAGTCTGCTTTGGCAAATACCGAATGGTTAAGCAGCATTGCGTTTATCAGGAAAGCGTAAGTTTGATATCGAATTTCACGTACATTCAAAGCCTGCCATCAAGAAAAACACATGCAAACTCCAACTCACCAGGACAATGCAGCCCTTCCCTTTCTGGCGACCATGCTCTTACACCAATGGAATGGAGCAAGAGCGTGGATGGGATGCAGCTGGCCTTGGCCAAGCTTGCTATTTCAACTGTATCTTGCAACACTTGTGCAGAATACAATCCGTTTGCAATGTAGCATTTAATGCAAACAAAGACGATGAATGTATGTCACTGTGTATAAAAGTAAATATAATGGTAATCTAACCATTTCCTTACAAGACCTTCATATGCTTCGGGGGGCATAGTTGGCGCAATTGACAGAGAACAAGGTCCCTGAATCACTTAATGATCAAGTAACAAAGAACCGGTAATGTGGATGATGTTGGTGCCAGGCAGATACAATGAGCGAGGCTCAAGATGTCTCAACGTAAATACTCGAGCAGTTTTTCAGGCACTGTCAATCCGCTGCTATTTTTCGCTGCTCCTGTTGCTCAAACACCAATACGGCATATGGGACAGCTCTATATCGAAAGCTCAAGTTCAGCGCAGCAAGTACTACCAGACAATGACCAGCGACACACAGTAACTCGGAAACAGCCTTTCACGGCCACATCTTGTCATCGATGACCATTCATCTTTAAACAGGGCATCAGCAAAAATTTGTAGCTGGCAGTGATCCTAGAAGAAGATTGCGCTTACATGGGCTCAGCGTATCTTTGGTGGATGGGTATTGGACGTCTCAAATTTGTCTTTACTACTGCCCCTAAATTGCAAGGCAAGACTCCAGCATTTCAGGAGAGTTCGCAATCCACGTCCATCTGTTGATGCTAGCTTTTTAATAAAATAAATACGCATGCACCATCCAAATGCAACACTATATCCAAAAACTTGTATGAAACCGTAAGAGGACAGTTCAAGAGAGAAGATAACAACAAGGATTGGGTAAGCTATGAAGTTTGAGCCCTAGGTGTTGATAAACACATACTGACAAAGCACAACCGGTGTTGAATACAAATCTGTTAGTACTGACAGAGGTAACAATCGAATTTGGCGTATGAAAAGAGCACTTCTGTATTGTTATCACAGATTCTTTTGATCTCATAACAGGCATCTAATTTTGTAATTATGGTGCTTGGGCACTATTATTTATGTAATCTATAGAATATAAGGTGTAAATACAAGCCAAATAGATGTAAGAAGCAGTGTGTAAATCCAGTAACAAGACAAAAGATCTTGTTTGCCAATCATTGCAATGCCAGATGTGGAAGTATCTTTGGTTTTTTCGAAAGGATCGAGCATGGTATCTCCAGTACCGTTACTGTTATTTCCAGAACTAGTTGTAGGCGCTTGCTGGCTGTCATTTTGCAACGCACTTATTATTTCTACATGTATTAACGTCAGTACGCATAATGAATGGCATTTATAGTGATATTTACGTTGTATATCACAAGCAGCTCTCGAGGTTAGGCATATTGGCGCACTTTTGATGTCGGTTGAATTAAAGAAAAATGTCATATTCTTGATATTGATACTAGCGTTCTCTGTTGCTGGGCCTTGACTAAAGTTGGCGTTTCCATCTGTCCAGTGATTGAACATGACTCTGCTAGGAAGGTTCAATACATTGGTTGTCATACGATACGACTCCACACCATCCACATAGAACACGGTCAGATTGGGAAACCAGTCAAAGCGATATTCATGGAAATCATCTGTTGGATCAAAACCAAGCTGAACATTACCATGCGTTAACGGAGATGCTTTTCCGTTTTCAATCAACCCAGGGTGCATTGCAAAATAAACTTCAGATGGCTGTAAAGAGCTGAGCAGCTCAATGTCGATTTCGCCTTGAGCATTGTAGGCAAACATGCCTGCCACTGTGCCATTGACCTTGGTGGCTCGCATGTAGCTTCTGAATGAGCCGTACATGAAGTCTTGTCGATCGGTGCCCACGCCTCCACACTGAATTCTTTCCGCTGGCGTTGATTTGGTAGGATCGACTGTAACACGCACTTCCAGTGATTCGTCATGGATGCGAACATTCTCCTTTTTGAATACACGAGGATAAGAGTCATTGAATTTTGCGTCGATTATATAACTAGAAAAGAACAGTTCTTTGTCAGAGTACAGCTGTTGTTGCATGGTGGCTGTAGATCCATCGTTCTTTTCAAAATTCATGTGCCACATTTCCGACCATGTTGCCAATGTCCTTGGATCTGAATAGCCACAATCACATTGCGAATATGTCGAAATTTGAGCTGCCAATGCAGGGTAGGTATATGCAAGTACAATGAGTAGAATCATGGTAGAGTGGTAGTGCAAAAAAAGAGGTGAAGATCGAATCAAATGATATTTCAGATTGTTTTAACAAACTTATATACCCGAGTAGATTTTTTTCATGCAATTAGGTTTTATGACTTGCCTCGCTTTGAAAAGCAACATGGCGCATTTTCAAATAGGGATCATGCAAGCTAAATACATTGATTAAACCATGCTACGATACATCAAAATCAATCAGGTTGGTGACGACGGGTATACATGAGTGAGATCTTTTTTTTTTTTTTTTTTTTTTTTTTTTCATAAACAAAAGAGTTCTTATTTAATAGCAAATAGGATACAAGGTTTTTTTTTTTTTTACCTTTTTTTTCTTTCTCATTTTCCCATTATTCTGTTATACGTACATCCACCCGAGATTTTATTTCCACAGATATGAATACTATGAAAAGTCGTATTCTGTTCATATTTCTTGCATTATACCAATCCATCGTTTGTCATATTGTGATCGTGGTATGCATAGTAGAACCGCGTGATTGGGGGGGGGGTAATGCATCCATTCATTGACATATACTTATATAGAGCAGCAATGATACCCATCTTGATAAGCCAGCTGTCTTTGGTCCTCGGCTTACAAAGCAAGGCGTACTAGGCAACTTGTTACTAGCACCCAAGGAGAGCAATGACGGGTGCTTGCCATGTACATCGCAAGGCAAGAATTGGATTGCTATAGTGGAAAGAGGAGGATGTTCGTTTGTAAACAAGGTGAGATCGCTGCAAGCAAGCGGAGCCATTGCTGTGATTATCGGGGATCGACATTATAATGGCTGGATCACCATGTATGCCACAGGTAGAAATAGCATGATGAATTTTTTTTTTTAAAAAAAAGAGAGATAAAATGACTGAATGGCGTCCGTTTTTTTTTCTTGTCTAGACACTGATGCATCTGATGTTATTATACCCAGTGTGTATGTCGCACAGTACCAATTTCTATCTCTGATGCAATATTTGCAAGACACACAAAACTCGTCTGTCATTATCAGGATCACCAAAAACGAATTATTTACATGGTATGGTGGCCTAGTAGCAAGATTGTTATAAAACCTGACCCATTTCAATAGGTCTCTGTCAGATCTCTTGTTGTTTTTCGCTGTGTTGTTACCTTCTAGTGTGCTATATGCACTGTACCTGACATGGCGAGTGCATCAACAGCGTCAGCAGCAGAGAGAACAGCGCCGAGTAGCATCACATCAGAGCAAAGCACCGGCAGAACTAGTGTATAGACTGAAAACAAAGACATTTCACAAGGAAAACAAGGACGGTGAGGAAGAAGAATGTATCATTTGTCTGGAATCCTATCAAGAAGGTGATACACTACGCAAATTACCGTGCAAGCATGAATTTCATTCAAGTTGTGTGGATACATGGCTCATCACCAGAAAGAAATATGTACGTAGAATCCGATGAGTTATATTAACTTTTTGCGTATTTATGTATATTGTATTGTTGTAATTGTATATAGTGTCCAATCTGTAAATTCGATGTATGTAAACAAATGTATTATCAACCAAACGAGAGTACGCCGTTATTGTCAGCTTGAGAGAACAAGTGGTAGTAGTGTAAATAAAATCTTGAAAAGTGTAAAAGCTGTGTTTGTGTATTCTCTTGTCGTGGCTCGTGTAGTATGTATATGTTATATGTTCTGAAAGAATGGTATGGATCTATCGTCTCTGCTGCGATGAAGATATCTGAGCTGCTTGTCTTCTTGCGGCTGCACCTCCCTGCAAAGAAAAAAAAAAAAAAAAAAAAAAAGCTTAGATGCTCTGCTTTGGTCATATGTATTGCGTGTTTTCCCATACCTTCATACTCAGGAACTCTGATTCCAGTTCTTCTTCCTCTGCAGTCGATGGTTGTGCATGTATATTATGTGGAGTGGCTTGTCTCTCTATGAATGCCAATAAGAATATGTTTTGCTAGTAAAGCTACACCAATTGCATACCTCTTCTGCGTCTTTCTTGGCGAGATGGCGATGCGCTGTTGTGTCTATCAAAGGGCGTTCGCTTTCTGAGGCTGCGCTTGGTATGCACCCGTGCATATGCATCCTTAAACAGATCCTGCACATCGAATTCATAATCATCCCTGTCCTCTTTGACTTGCTTCTTTCGTTCTTCGATGGCTTGCAAGACAAGATCATGCAAATTGTGCCTTTCAGTCTAAATACACCTATCAATCCACACGCTGCCAAAATCAAAAAGTAAGATGTTTACCTCGTATTCATCCTGTATTAAATTCATCTCTTGATCATACTGATGCTTGCTCAATGTCAATTCGTAATTCTTGAAATACTCTGCATAATGAATCGTCTGTTCGCGACGCATCTCAATGTCTGTCATTGTCTCTGTGAATGTGGAATGCGTGCCTTTAATTTCCCAAATAGAAAATGGATCTGTGGTTAGTTGATTCGGCTACTAAAAAAAAAAAAAAAAAAATCGCTCTACTAGAAAAATACCTTCTTGGATCGATTGAATCTCTTCTTGTAATGACTGCAATTTCTCCCGATAAATTCTAACCATCTTTTGTGTGAGAACATGCCCTTCTCATACATTTCCAGCAGCCGACAACTTACTCATCACATTGCTCCCAGAACTCGCTGTCCATCCATGTCATTAAATCACTGAATTCCCGGATCCGACGTAACATCTTGTTCTCTTCTATTGGTTCTAAATGTAGAGTTACATTCAATGACGTGTTTAATAAGTATAAATTATGTGATTTATACCTTGCCAACGAGGATGCTGCTGCTGGCTGTGATGCTGATCCTCATACAAATAGTCATCATGTTGTTGCTGTTGCTGTTGCAACTTGGCTTGTGTTTGTGGAGGCAATGGCGGTTGTACAACAGATTTAGTACTACCATGAAGGATGGGTGCTTGTTGTTGTTGTTGTTGCGGTGGCATTGGTGGTGGCGATGTGGTATGATTAGTATTAGTAGTAATGTTAGCATAATGTTGAGCCTGAGAAGGAGGTGGAGGAGCAGGAATCGTATGAGGAGGACCCTGCTGATGGGGTTGCGGTGGTGGCGGATGTTGTTGATAAGATTGAACTGATGGTGGTGGAGGTAGAGGCTGGTGTTGAACTTGCGATGGAGGAGGAGGAAGAACATGATGGTGATGTGAAGGGGGAGCTTGCATCATTGAGTAAGATGGCGGTGGTTGCTGCTGTTGCTGCCATGAAGGAGCATGATACGGATCCATATAACTTCCGTCCTGCCAACTAGCGCTTTGAGGAGGAGGGGGTGGTGGTGGCAATGGCTGAAGCGATCTATACTGATCATTGCGTACATCATACGGTGGTTGATATCTGTTGCTAAAGTATTCATCCCTTGTCATGGGTGGTGGAGGTGGTGGTGCAGAGGAATACATGTAAGGCAGAGGTGGTGGCAGCATACCGCCAGTGCTATTCGACGGTGGAGAGGGTCGCGTGTAGTAGTAGTCTCCTTGAGATGGTGGAGCTTGATTTGTCTGCTGTTGCTGTTGTGGAGGTGGAGCATTGGACGATGATGAAGGAGGGGGAGGGTATGGCTTTGTCAATTGTGGAGTAGCCACTGCAGACGATGATGCTGATGATGTTGCTGGAGGAGTGATATTATTAGGTGTTGGTGGATGCGAATCTGCACCAGCCTGTGCAACAATAAAGCCAAACTGAGGCAACATTTTGTATTGTATAAAGATTTGCTTAATTTAATCTTGTTGCTTTTTGTTTTTGTCAATCTGTTTAATAAACTTGTAAACAAATATGTATCGAATCTCTCCAAGCTATGCTATCAAATCAGAAAAGAAACCAAGGGAAAGCGATGGGCAAACCTGGGGAAGGGGAAAGAGGTGGTGAGAAAGAAGAAGAAAAAGAGAATCGTACAGAGAAGCAACAGCAATTATTAAAAAAAAAAAAAGTGGAGATTTTTTTTTTTTTTTCATTCAAATATCATTGGAAGATACAAATAAAAAAGTCCCTTTTTTGTATATGCTTCTATGTCTTTTTCGTGCCATTTTACACTCTTCATCAAGTTACACGGGCCATGAAACAACGCTGATAGAGCAGAATATGTCTCTAGGTATCAGACAAGCACACCACACTTTTTGATGTCAATCGACAAAAAAAATGGTGCAGAGAATCAAAAGCCATAGTGACCCTACACACTCGGAGATTCGATCAAGGGCCATACTGTGGCTATGGTGCCATGGTGATGATGGCTCTGCTATACTTTGAACTCCTTGGCAGATGAAAATTTGTCCATGGACATGGATACTAAACACATGTAACATGTCCCAGTATGCACCTCTGCAACAAACGCGGGTTCCATGGTTCATAAGGACGATGCGGTATGAATACCGAAATGTTGATATGACCTCCCGTCCTTATTTGGTGTACAACTTGTGATTCGGTGACATTTTGGGCATTTTGGTTAAATGCAATCAAATAACCGGGTTCAATGTATTGACGGATCTTGTGCAACTTTACCTATTTATAGTAAAAGGAAGCAAATGGTGAGTACTATGCCAAACTGATGCATAAATGAAGTTATCAAAAGCTTTGCGAGATTGTCAATGTGATGTATGTGTCGATCGAATGCGTAATAGCAAAAAAAAAAATAAAAAATTCAATCATGGGTGTTTGTGAATTCTAGCATAGATCCATCCCTATCAGCAGCATCGGCTTCAGGCATGCTGGCTTGTCAGACATTTTACAGCTAATATTTGAAAAGTGACATGTCGCATACGTGAACTCGCTCTATTGCAAAACCAACTCGCTTTCTTGGGATATGAAGGTAGATGATCAAAATTGGATGTCGCCAGAAGAAACAAATGCCGTGGGATTCAAAATAAAGAGACGAAAAGGCTTTTTATAGTAGACTGGCATTTTATAAGACTATTTATGGCTGTTGTTTCAGAATATTTTCGAATTCATTTCATAATGTATCGAATTCTGCACTACACGCCCTAGTTCCCTGTTCCTGGAAATTGAAAATTTAACTTTCAGCGGGCGTTTAATCAAATTTTGATCTCGGTTTGGCAGCTTTTAGTCACTCATAGTATATCACACTATGAAGCTTATATTCTACCCATTCCAAGCATCACTCTTAAGGTGATTGAAATATAATAAACAAGGCAATATAGCTTACCGCAAATAGTAATATTGGTATAAAAACAATGACAAAACACATCAATCCAAAGGAGGTAGAATTCCAGTTTTTTTTTTCACATGATCTGTCAGGGCGCTGATCCTTTTATTAATCTTTATGGTTGAATCTAATGATGTTTTCTTGAGAGCTGCTTACCATGAGTAACAATCTGTTGTATTTAGTCAAAAGCATGTGTCTTTTCCAATATTATTACCGTTGGCATTTACAATATTTGACGTAAAACGACAGCTTTGCATTTATTTAGATTGAAACGTGCACTGTTTAACGATTACATTTGTGTATTAGATATAAACGTGCGTCATGAAGGTACGTAAAAGTATTATATGCTACGTTGTGGTGCTTTCTATTCAAAACTGTCTTTTCGTTAGCTCTCAAAAGCATTGATTACCTCCCATGATACGCATTGCAAGGTTGCTGCCACCACTAGCCAAAATTATTGAAATGTCGCTTGGCATTCTGTCCTTTATTTGTTCATTTTCAAACTTTTTGGACTCGATTCGACCTATTCACCTCTCTTCCCATTTCTCATCACTTTTGGTGGTTTGAAATGTTATTTGAATTTTCAAAACGGCCTCGTCAACCGTAGAGATGGTCACTTGCGTTCCTTTCCTCAGCTCCTCTTGTGTCTCACGCGTTTCTTCTGCTTCTGTCTTCATCACTCGACTTACACAGAGTCGTCTTGTTGTGTGCTGTATCCGTTTGAGTGTTGTTGCTTCCCTGGTTTGGTGCCTACTACCAAAATATAAAATATGGGCTTGGTGGACCCATAGGCCTTCGTGATATAGTCCAGGCGTGGTGCCCTGGGACACCTGTGCGCGTGAACATTCCTTGTGAATATAGCTATTGTATCAACCGTTTCATATTCAATAATTTTCAATCGTTTCATCCTCACTAGTTTCCTCCTTGTATTTCCTGTCCTCGCTCTTCCCTCTCCCTCCTCCTTCCCCCCCACGAACCTGCACACAGTCTCATCACGACATCTGTAGGATTTTAAACAATGAAATAAACACTAAAAAAAATCGGTTCGACCTATTTTGCCATATTCGACTATGTGAAGTGTGATGATCATCCCATACTTTCTAATGCATTCCTGGAGTACTTTTAAAGGCGCATCCAACGGTGCCACTTAAAACGTGTGTTTTAAATAGGCTTATAGAGTAAAGTGTGAAAATATGAAACGAAGTTTTTAGCGAAAATGTAGAGATTTCACATATAAAGATCCCGTAAACAAAGTTTCAGGGGTTGCGTTGGATCGAAAGGAACATTTTGATGCAATAAATGCTATAGTAAAAGTCTTCATTTTAGAGGTGAAAAACGCGATCGTCTGTTTTTCGATAAAAAGCATGAGGTACCCCTCATGCCTTTTGGTCGATATTTGACGATCCGGAATAAGGTGGGCAAAGGTGCCAGCAAGTGAGTGCGAAGCGATAGCAATGGTTTGGTACCACTCTGGCAGTCTAAAACGGCTTCTAACGCGAGAAAACGTGTCTCCAATGCGTTCAGATTATGCTGTGTTTTGCATATCTTTAAGTAATAAGAGGCAATGCATGCGGGATAAGTGCTTGTATGCGAATAACTCTCATCGATACAGATATGAATCATCAGGTTTACAGCTAAAGACAATTTGTTATGAAGTCTTATCTCTGACAATAGTAACCCAAAAGCGACATGTTTACAGTAAATTGACTATAATGGTCTTTCTGGAGAACTACAAGCTTGTCGATCTGTACAAGGCATCGATTTTGATTATATCAGTATTCACGCATTCTACAAGTGTTGTGATGAGGCACACATCTTGATGGAACATGTTACAAGCATGTGCTTGATGTTGCAACCAGACCAACGATGAAGTTGGATGAGCTTGCATTTCCATCCATTTCGCTTATTTTTATCAACTATAGAAATGATATACCTCAAAAGCTGGTATCTGAATTCCATTCTATGCAGTATCACTTGTCAATGTAAAATGTTATTCCAATTCATGCTATTCTGATACTATACAATGCCTACATCTCGTTCAGATCTCTCATAAACCTAATGTGGATTTTGTAAAGAAATAGCATCTATTGAATACTCTACATGAAATTACGTCTTAATTACAGTATCTGAACTGCCATGAACAGTTTGCAAAAAAAAAAAAAAAAAAGAGAAAGGCAGTTTATTCATCAGTTGTTGTAGAAGGTGCATAGATGTGTTTACCTCGCTGCTGATAGCTTGTCATGCCTTTACCGCTACCAATAACTCCCACTACAATGTACCAAGAACGAATCAGCAAAACACATTCCTTGACATCAAATCACAAACATACCTTTTCCTTCAGGGTTATCGGGCGTCTTGAAGATACTCTTCTTATTGATCACAGGTGTAGCCTTCTTCTTCTTGCTACTGCCAGTAGCAAAATTCAACCAGGCATTCTTTTTGCTTTCAAATTCGGCGGCCTTCTTCTTCTTTCCTGTAGGTGCTACAGCCCCTCCTCCCGCTGCTGTTGCTGAAGATGCTGACGATGTTGTAATATCTTTTCTTTTCTTTTTGGGTTCACCTACATTTTCAAAAACACCCGTTCTCTTTTTGCTTTGGAGTGGCTTGATATCTTCTGCTTTTACGAATTCTGCTTCAGAATATCCTTTAAATTTAACTGAAAACACTTGATCAGCACCACCAATAGCTGTAATAGTTGCTTTATAAAACTCTCCATCTCCCGACCAACGAGCCATTACCTCTTGATCCACTGAAAATTCATGTGTTTTGAGCGCTGTGGTCGCGGTTGTGGCGGTAGTAGTGCTTGCGTCTGCTGGTGTGGATGATGGTGGTTGTTGACGGTAGGTGTCCTTTTTTTTAGGCGACGTGGGTTCAGCAACTGCTTCAAACATGGAAATCAGTTCTTGCAGGTCATGTTGGAGTTTCTTGAGTTCTTCGTTTTCAGGATCGGATTGCAAGGCAAGTTCAACTTGTTCTAATTGGAACTTGTAGGATTCAATTTCTTCGGCACTCATGTTGGCAAAAGTTGTAGAGTAGTAAAGAAAAAAAAAAAAAAGAGAAAAAAAGATTTAGTTCGTGTCCATTGTTTGAATTTATGGCCATGTAAAGCAGTCAACAAGTCTCAAGGACGTTTCCCAGATCAAACATTGCTGTAGCCCAGAGGCAATTGCTTTAGTATGTTGCCAAGAGGTCGGTTGATAATCTGGCCATTGCTATCGTTTTCTGCATTAGTGACAGCACTCATACAACACATCGATGTTTCTATGATTCACACTGCACAACATCGTGAACATTGAATGGCAGTAGTGGTTACATCATTCTTGATTTCGCTGATTAAGCCTTCGTTCAATGCAACGCGACAGTCCATGCATAGTTTATTTATACCGAGCATCTTTCCATGAAGGTGTATTAGATGGCATCCTGCCTATATCAATGCATACGATGGAAATCAAGACAACATGTGCTATCCCTGGTGACTGGCTACGACTTTTCAAAAGAAGGTAAAATCAGCATTGGGGATACTGCCATTATAAAGGGCGGGGGGGTTGGACCTCAATGCAGACTTGTTATTTTTTTTTTTAATCACTCACTATGCTTAAAACACTCTTGAGAGCCAATATACTGCGCACTACCAGCAGCAACGTGAGGGCTGCATTGCCATTATACCAGAAATCATTATACTCTACATCACCCAATTTCACTACCATTGACAAAGCCGAAGTACAAAAGTTCAGCGACAAGGCAGCAGAATGGTGGGATCCATCTGGAGAATTCTCCATGTTGCAACTACTGAACCCACCTCGGGTGTCCTATGTTCGCGATCAATTGGTTGGAGCAGACAGCGAGGCAGCTAAAAGTGGAAAGCCATTTGCTAACATTCGCATGTTGGACATTGGATGTGGTGGTGGTTTGTTATCAGAGGTATGTAAAATGGGCATTTGACAGTTCGAATGCGCGCCGCAGAGGGCATGCTAAACCAGGCTCTATAGTCTTTAGTGCGTTTAGGTGGCGATGTTGTTGGCGCAGATGCTTCAGAGGACAATATCAAAATGGCTAAATTGCACGCCCGTAAAGATCCTAGTTTATGGCGAGGACCAGGCAAGATTGACTATAGACATTCGACAGCTGAGGAAATCTTGAGAGGAGGCGAACTATTTGATGTCGTTTTGGCGATGGAGATCATTGAACATGTCAACCAGCCCTTGGAGTTTCTGAGAACTTGCGCCAGTTTAACACGACCTGGAGGTGATCTGTTCCTGTCCACCATGTCTCGCACACCAGCTGCCTATGCATTGACAGTGTTGTTGGCTGAAAAGGTATTAGGTATGGTACATGATGGCACGCATGACTGGAGTAAATACATTAAAAGCAAGGAGTTGCGTGAAGCCATTGAATCGTTTGGAGACGAATGGGAAGTGAGAGATGTGCGTGGTATCTCTTGGGATCCCTTGGACCGTCAATGGAAGGTAGCTGAGCGTAACGGATTAGTCGGTATTGGTGGTTTCGAATCATTAGAGATCAATTACATAATGAGAGCCTCCAAGAAAATGTTGCAATAAATATATAAAGTGTTTAATTAATCATGATATTGAGAGGGGGGGGGTTATGTGCATAGAGAGAAGAATTGAGAGAGAGAGAGAGAGAGAGAGAGAGAGAGAGAGAGAGGAAACTAGACAGCAGCGACAGCAACGGCAGAAGAATCAGGAGTAGCAGCAGCTGATGATTCTTGTTGCTTTTGCTGCTTTTGAAGAGCAATGGCCTTTGAGAATGCAGCAGCAGCAGTCAGATCACCCGCAGGCGACGCCTTCTTATCACTACCAGCAGAAACAGAGGCAGCCTTTAATCTGTTCATTGCACGCACAGCACCTACAGCGCTCTTTAGAGTTCTACGAGGGTTGAAATTCTCACGCACAGTTTCCAAAATGTCGATATCGTTGATATCACTGCTAGTCATCCACTTGTGTTTCATTGCAGCTGTAGCTGTTAATCTCTTTTCAGTGTCCAATGTCAACAGAGAGCGAATGAAATCCTTGGCTTCCACCGAAATGTTCCTCCAATATCTCTCGTGGAAATCGTAGCGTGCGTGTGTAATCTCGTCAATCAGCTCCACTTGATCTTCTGCTTGGAATGGTTGATAGCCGCATAGTAAAGTGTATGTAATGACACCAACAGCCCACATGTCAATGGGTGGCCCATATCCCTTTTGAGCCAAGACTTCGGGAGCTAAGCATGTGTTTTAGAATGTTGAGAAATAAAATGGAAACTTTCTTTTTTTCTTACCAACATAACCAGGCGAACCACACACAGTTTCTAGAGCAGATGTTTGAGAGCTTAATTTTGCGATACTATTCAGGTGTTTGAGTTAGTTTTTTTTTTTTTTTTTTTTTTTTTTACCAGCCACACTCGCCAAAGTTTATTTCATGTTACCCAAAATCACAAATAACCAAGTCTGCATCAGAATCAGGTGTTTTAAATAGCAAATTTTCGGGCTTCATATCTAGAATGTAATACAACTCATTAACACACATAACATCAGCCTTATTGTCATGCTTTCTTGCCTCTGTGAACAATGTTGTTTTTGTGCAAATACTCCAAGCCTGTCAGCACGGATCGAATGACAACCACAGCGTCCTTTTCAGTGAACTTTCCTCTATCAAACAATCGCTCAAACAACTCTCCTCCTGTAGCCCTGTATGGTTATATGCACATTTAGTATGGTAATACACAATAAACAAGAAAAAACGTGCTTACAGTTCAAAAACAAGATAAAATTTGTCTCTATCACAGCCAGAAATAGTGAGTGCTTGTTTCAAATGAGCATTTGTTTCAAATTATTCTACCTGGATTCAAACGTATCGTAAAATCCAATGACATTGGGGTGTGATAATTTGCTCAGCACATCAACTTCATCTTTGACCATGTCAAAATGGTTCTTGACATTTCGTTTAGGGATGATCTTGATGGCTACTTCCTTGCCATCACTGACTCGAATGGCCTTTTTCACTGAACCAAAAGAACCACTGCCTAAGACATGGTTTAGAAGAAAAGATTCAAAAGAATAAAATTAAAGGATATGATTACCTAGTACTTCAGAGAATGTATAGTTTTTCTTTTTATCATAGGAATCCGGCTGTTGGACGCCGCCATGAACAATAGTATCAAGTGCTTTAAAAAGACCCATATTTGTGTGAATGAAGAAGAAAAGATGAAATTCAATGAAAATTAGCCAGAGCCGATCTGTTATACCACAAAAAAAAAATACTTATTTACATCTATAGGCTTTATGGAGCAAGTGGACTGTCGAATGGTGCAAGTAGCACATTTGTGTAATACGTTCCTAGATCATTCATGGCCATTTAAGCCTTATTGCCATCATAAATTCAATTATGGCAGTTTGGCTTTATTGCGATGCTGAGGTTATTTAATCTCTTCTTTTAGGGTTCAGTATATTCAGTGTATAAGCAACGACAATGCATAATATAATAAAAGCAAATGGTGGGAAATCTCGAGTAAACAGTATGATTATACAAGATTGTTAACATTATTCTCTTTACATTATTATTTGCACTTGATCGAGTACACTGGAGCTGATGTTATGTGTCAATATCAACTACCATGGTTTTACAAGTATTCGCTTTTTACCTCGACACAAATCATGAGGTACCTACCCCTCGTGGATTTGGGTTGAATTTTGGTGATCTCAAAAAAGTAGAGTAAAGGTATCCGGAAGGAAATGCTGGATGAGAGCAACTGTTTGGCGTTATTCTGGAGGTCTAAAACGGCTTTTAATGCGAGAAATCACGGCTCAAATGCGTCCAGATGTTGCTGTATTTGGCATGATTTTGGGTAGTGAGAGATAATACTAGTATGCTGTCTACTTGTATGTACGTTGTCTCTATAGGTACAGACACGGAACGCTCAACTGGAGCTAGATCCGCAGCTACAGAGAGGTTTTATACGTTTGTGGAGTGCTTAAAAGTCAAAATGAGTAGGATATTCGATGCAAATCACAGTATTCAATGAAATGGGCCGAGGTTTTGCATAGCTCAGGCTGTCTCCTTGCAGGCTGTTTATGTCTAAATCGGTTTGAAGAAGTTACGCCATCCAAAACATAAAAACACTTGTTGTCTGCAATGCAATGTTTGGTGTGCCAATGTTTGGTGTGCCAATGTTCTGATTTGACCATCTAAATCTGACATATTCTGTGAAGGATCAAAGCTGTATATGAGTAACGAATGATGGAGTACATAGCTACCTCCAAGTGAATCTGAAAATCAATTTTATTTGCTTCTGATGGCTGAATATTGGTATATTTGGTCAAGGCTGACATTTTTCTTTTGTTGGCAACAGCAAAATAGCCTCTGTAACGTCTACAGTGCAAACAGCTATCCAAAGAATCATTTGGGATATAAAAAAAAAACGCAAAGATATTCTGTTTTATACAAGTCTATACAAAATTTTACATGCATGTTTGACTACAATACGCCTTTTCGTTGGTTGTCTTATAATGCTTATCATCAGACTACATTCTGCTACCATCCTCGATATGAACGTCCCAACGTCTCATGAATTAATTCCTGACCAAATGTCGATTTCAAACACAATCGATCTCTTCCCTTCTCTCATCTCTCCGCATAACCATTTTTTCTTTTGTTTCTGCTACTACTACTCATACTATATCATTATGTCACAAGAATTGTAAGTTGCCATCATTCAATAGCTAGGCTTGGGTCTAAACTTGCTGCTATAATAGAAAACGCCAACAAATAAACGCTTTACTACAGCAAAATCCCTCTACAGTCACCGTTGTGGATGGACAAATATACGAGATACCACTGCAAGCACAAGAGAACACCTTTCTGCTCGTCAATCTGCCTGCCCATTTTCCCGAAGAACCACCTGTTATTACATTATCACCTACAGGCATGCGACATCCTTGGATAGAGGGCGATGTGATCATGCACGATGCATTACCAAGCTGGACCCAGCAATCGAATTTAGGTGTGCTAGTCAAAGATATCCGTGAAGAGTTCACAAAACGACCTCCTGCCAAGAAAAATGAGCAAAAAGAAGATGGGTAATTATAGATTCAACAGTTTGCTTAGCAACAAGAGATTAATATATAAATATATATATATATATAGCTACAGCGCTCGTCCACCACCACCTATTCCTTCTGCCTCAACTTCATCTAGTTTACCCATGAATCCAGAATACAGTGCCATTTCAAAGCTGAGGTGAGTTGCTCGATACTTTAGAGATAGACTGGGACAAGCGATACTGACACGGCTCTAGTCCTGAGCAGATGGAAGAGTTACTCTCGAATGAAACTGCATTTGATATCTTTTTCCATTCTTTGGAGAGGGTCAAAAACCTGCGCACATTTCAAGAAGAGTTGTTGAGTGGCAATGAACAACTGGCCCGTAAGTACCTGAGTGGCGAGATGACGGCCAAGGATAATGTGATTTACTAGCATCTGGGATAGATAAAAACTTGAGCAAAGAGGATCAATTACTGAAATTACGAAGCGAAGTGGAGAATTTGCATGGGCAATTCAAGGTGGACAAGCTGGGATTTGAGCAAAAGGAGAAGTTACAAAACGAGGCATACAATGTAAGTAGACAAGAGTGTTTTATGCTTGAGGGCAGTGGCAGCATACTGATGCTCATGCCGACAGAGATTCTCTTCATCCACCGTCTTGACTCGACTTAAAGCCAGCATCTATGAATCCGACGAGCTATCAGAATCCGTCGCTCAGAGCTTTTTGGACGGTAATCTGGATAACGATGGTTTTGTAAAGCAGTTTAGAGAATTCCGCAAAGTGTATCATTTGAGAGCTAGCAAATTGGAAAGAGCCCAGAAAGACAACCTTTTTGTTCCTTATTAGACAAAATCATGCAACCCACCTGACTGGAACATGCCGCTCCCAGTTTTGGATGTTTGTTTCGTACCGAATAAAATAATTCGCTTTTTTCCCTCTTTCGTATATTTTTGTTATATACAGTATATACCATAGAGATACTATCAAAAAATGAGGATTATCGTGGCTGAGTCAGGCCATGAGTTCGAATTGAGTAATCCATTTTCGAAAACAAAGCGATCGGAACAGTAAGGGATATGAATGCATTTGATAAGGATGGGCTAATTGATACCAAGACGATGATTACTGCGACATTTCTGTAGTTTGGCCCAGCTGAAGCAGGATATAGAGACCAAGGTTCAGATACACAGTGCAGATCAAATACTGCTTACAGTCGATGGAACACAGATCAAGGACAACACTGTGCTGGAAGACGAGCAGGATGCATCCACCATCGTCTTCTTTAATCGCCGTTTACTGCAAGATCCAACGCTTGTGCAACTACCTGAATTCGATCTAGTTACAAATGAAATGATACCTACCTTGGCAGAGTTGGAGTCTATGATTTATACATGCGAGACAGAGCCGGATAAGGAGGACGAGATGAAGCGCTTGCTCAGAGATATCAGCGAGGTAAAGTATATGTTGTCTGGTCCAGTGACACTGTACTGAGACTATCTGCAGACCATCATGGAGACATGTCAGCGCCGAAAAGCTTGTATAGACAAATTGGCCCGAGAAACAAGTGGGCAAGCCATTGCACTTGAAGCAGCACTCTCCAATTTGGAGTCCCATGTCAAGTAAGTCGAGATAGTAAAGGCACGCTACAAATACTAATCCAAACCAGAGCTGCCTATCAGAACTTCGGCAAATTTGATCGTATTGCGCAACGAGAATTCGCCAAGCACACCATTGTCATTGACCAGATAGCCAATGACATACAATGGCTGGTTTCGACATCGATTCACCCTCGCATCCTGATACAAGTCAAGGATCCTCAGGGCACCACATTGGACACATTTATACCCATTGATCTGACGGAGCAGCATCAGGAGCAATACACCGCACTGCAAAAGCAGTATCATGATCTTGCACAAGCTACCATGGCGCAACGAAACAAAGTAGACTATCTCACGCAACAGACAGCACACGTGGGCAGCACCAATCGAACTGCCTTTGAAATGATGGTCGCTCAAGTACAGAAATTAGCTTTGAATTCAGCACAGGCCATGCGTGGATTGATGGGATGTCAGAAAAAGATGGGATCAAAGCAACAGGGCCGCATGAGAGAGGCATTGACATCACTGTATCGCTATCACCAGGTCTTGTACGATGCTGAAAGGCTGATTGTACAGCAGAGACAGCTAGGGTTGCAAGGGTTTGTCAACTGCATGCAGCACATTAGCAAAGTGGAGGAGTCGGTAGCTCACATATATCCGACACTGGCCGAGTTAGAAAAGCAAATGAAGGGCTTACGGTTGAATATTGAGAAAAAGACGAGTGACAACCTACCCAAAAGACTGATGCTTGGCTATGTATGTGAAAAGAGGGCTGCTTACTAATATACACTCATCAAATGAAAACAGGGGCTGCTGTTAATTGAAATCTGGAGACGAGACAGATACTCTGAGATAGTGACTAAAAATGCTAATTTATTGGGTGATTTGTTTCGTCATTTTGGAAAAAGAGAAGAGCGTTATAGACATCATTTCAATCAACAATTGCAGTATTTAACCAAGCAAAACGAGCCATCTGAGCAACCAGTGATTCTGCTGCCTTTTGAAATGCAAGGTAAGTGTGTAGAAGATACATGATTTTATGCAATGCAACAACTGTTTGTATGTGTATGCAGCTATCAATGATGTGCCTGTGATTTGCAAGACATCAACTTCTGCCGTCTATCCATCTGATCTTGTATCCAGTGTTATTACCAAGAACCAGATTGAAGGTACGTGCATATATCAGCTTGGTCTTTGAATGCTGCTGTTATTAATCGCGCACAACACAACATACAGGCTTCATTCAGTCCATTCAATACCAAGACATTAGCTTTCAACTACACCGCAAATTCGACAGAGAATCCAAACGGCTGAATAAAGGGCTATCTCTATTAGGTAAGGAGATAACACCTCCTGAATGATAGAAAGAAAAGGACTATGCTGAACTCTATATGAATAATACAAGCAGGATTACCGGGCGGACCAAGTATGAACCAAAAGGTAAAGTGTGACAATAACAACTCGGATTTGCATGAACTTCAGCTGATTGATTGGGGTTATTGTTATTGTTTATACAAATAGACTATTACTTCTATTCCTCTTTCTCCTTCAACTTCTTCCACAGCTACAGCTACGACAGATTATTCCATTGACATGAAACTCGCTTCTCCACCTCCATCAACTACCCCCAACACTATCTTTCATCAAAAGGAGTGGGAGCTGGAAAAGGCTTCGGTAAGTTTAGTTATTCATACCGGCAGACATGGTGCTCAATTCCTGCACCTATAGATTCTTCGTCAAGCTCAAGAATACAAAAAATACATTGAAGACATCCATACAAAGCATGAGAATGACAGAGCCAAGTTTGAAAAGGACAAGCAGAGTGTAAGTTTGATGCGAAGCTATGTTTTATCGCAATCGAGGAGAATCTAAATCGCATTTTCTAGTTGTTGAGAGAACTCTATTCCAAAGACAAAAAGATGGCAGAGATCAAGGCGTCGTTTGAGCTCAAGGTAGGCCTTGGTATGTAAACTATGCTCAGCACAACTAATATCCGTTACTAGAAAAAGAGCATGGAAAAGAGATTTCAAGAAGCCCAGACAGCTCACCAATCCGAATTACAGCAGTTGCGAAACCAATATGATCACGCATTGGAGACAGAACAAGCGACTTACAAACGACGTCTTTCCAACTTTTACGATAGAATCAGTGACAAGAACCAGGCAATTACTCAACTGGAGCAATCCCTCAGAGAAACCAAGAGTGCACCTACATCTCCTACCATCAAGTCATTCAAACTCACTGTATCACAAGAGCAATATGATAAAGACATGGCCAGAATGCAAGGCATCATAGATCAGTTAAAGCAACAACCCTCTGTCGACTTAAAATCACAACTAGCAGCTCGAGATCAAGAAATTGAAGGCTATAAATCTACCATTGCCACATTAGAAGCCGGCCTTAAAGAGTCTAACGCAAAAGTAGCTCAAATGACCGAGAGTGAGACTCGTATGAAGCAATTGGCCATAGCTGAGAATGCTCAAATGATGATGCATGCTGAAGCTCGAGTAGAGAATCTGGCTGCTGAGCACAAGCAAAGCATGACTGAATTGGAGGAAGAATACGAGAATGAAAAGCGAGTACTGCAGATCAAGCACCAAACTGAGTTGGATCAGACCAAGCAGGACATGGTAGACAAGCAGCAAACCTTACAAGAGGAGATAAAGATCAGAATTGACCAAGAGAAAGAAGCATGTATGGCGAAACTAGCTGAACTGGAGTCTGTCTGGAAGAACAAGCTCACATTAGCCCAACGCCAACATGAACAGCAGAAGACACAGTTAGCAAACGAATTCAAAAAATTCAAACAAGAGACGAGTATCAAGCAAAGAGATTTGATCACTGTAAGTTAGAAATGATGCAATTGTATCAGTTGCGGGGGAGGGGGGGGGAAATATCTTATGCTTTGTATATGTTTATAGTTGCGAAAGGAACAACAATCTGCCAAACGTATTGCTCAAGATTTGGTCTCCATGTCTAGCCCTCAGCAGCAACAACAAAAGCATCTTGACGATGTACCTCTGATTGATTTGCTCAAAAGAACACTGGGAAATGTCGCCTCTTTACAAACTAAAACAAGCATGATGGAGCAATCGATGGACTCTTCTTATTTAATGAGCACCAGCTACGACTACTACTAACATCTTTCAGCATATTATCATTTATATCTTAGTACCTATTTCTTATTTCAATTATCATCACGTCTATGCTACATACATATTAATCTTTTATATATATATATATATATATATTTCCTTATACTTCCTATTATCATGTAAATAAACCATCATGTCACTAGCATATTGTAAGCAATGACGCTTGATTGACGCACATTGCATTGCTTCAAGTGATGTTTCCTTACATCATGTAGTCAGTAGACATCATAAAGGCGCTTTACTATGCATCATGGCAAAATTTATCATTATTTCTCGTAGCTTGTTGTGTACCACTTCAAGCAAGATTTATTCAACATTTAGGTAGATATCGCATAATTGCCGGGCCATTTTTTTTTGTTCCATTTCTACTGTAGATTCACCATGCTATGTGGGTTTCGGGTATCAAATGTACGTCCCTTCAAATATTCGTCCAAACCATAATCCTTTATTATGAGCTACAAGCAAGAGATATTCAAAGCTTTTAACGTTTCTCTATAAGAATTATGCCATCATATAGAGAATTGAAAAAGAAACAGAAGCTACTGAGCTTTAAGCTCACATTCACATAGTGATATCCTGCGCTACAGCCCTTTGAAAATTGTTCATTTTTTACTATCTTTCCTCATTACTCATCCACATTGTCCTCAATAACCTCAAGTCAAACATCCTCTAGTCAACCAAGGTATTTTCTACAACTTCTAATAGACATATAACTCAGGTTTATATACGAATCAAAAAGTTTTACTAGCAGCATCTGTCCAAAATTTGCAAATCTCTCAAATCTCGCTTTTCTCATCATCACCGCATCCAAACTAAAATCCAATTGCACCACCATCTTCTATGCAGAAAACTGTCATAGGAACTTGCTATTTTCAATGCTCTAACATGAATTTTTCAAAAATCGATGTTCGATCGTCCAAAAGTTGAAAACCTCAAAATCAAAAAACATTTTGTACGTCCAGGTCCTCATTAGGTGAAAAAATTAGAATCTCGTTAAACTTATATATGTTGTAGAGTAATGATATTGGAACAACTTCTAAGTGAAAACATTATATTGGAAATGCTTACTCCTTGAGTTAATCGACATTGGAGATGTTATTTTTAAGCGGGGGAATATACATACTTTAAATTGGGAATCTTGTTATTCCTGAATAAAGCAAGCTACAGTTGTCTAGTTTTGACAACAAAATTTTTTAACATGTCAGGTATCTATTGATAACTTAAAACCAACAAGTTAATATGGCCCTTTTCGTACGCTCCGATTTTTAAAATGCTCGGTCAAATTCATCCTTGTGAGGTGTACACATGCGGAAGGTCAACGGAGCTTCAATTTCTATTGTTCTGAATGATGGTCCATGGGATTCTGAAACCTATCAATCTTAAAATTATGCGTTTCTTGATAGTAAACACCCCTTCAAACTTATATGAAACTTGTAGAAAACTCAAAGGAGAATACAATGGTATTTATATTAAGTCTCTGGTGTACATTTTTCACCTGATATTTGGTACGACTGTTTTTGCAATTTTTTGATTGTTTTCTAAGGATTAATCAGTATCTGTCATCAAAACATTTTGTTAAGCATTACTAAACATTCTAGACCAAAACATTTCCTATCGAATGAGCTATCGCTTGAAGCTCTGGCATAACTTTATCATGAAATATTGACAATATTGTCTTGACCAAAAAATCGTCACCAGATTTTTCGCTTGCTATCACAGGCAGATTTGGAGGAAAAATCCATGATTTTGCATGATACTCTTTTTTGACCATATCTCGACAAATACTCACTGGATTCGCACAAAACAAAGACCATTCAATAGCTCTACGTTATATCCATTATAATATGAGGGTTTTAAGTACCAGATGTACGTTCCCTTCATACATTTGCTCAAAATATCATATTTTATCAGCTACAAGCAGAGGATTTTCAAAACTCAAGAAATAAATCTATAAAAACTATACCATCGTATAGAGAAATGAAAAAGAAACAGAAGCTACTAAGCTTTAAGCTCACATTCACTTGGTAAAATCCAGCGGTACAGCCCGTTGAAATTTGTCCGTCTTGACTATTTTCTATCATTATTCATCGCCATCGCCCTCAATAATCTCACATTGAACATTTTCAAGCTAAACAAAGTACTCTGTACAGCTTTTAATAGACGTGCAGCCCACATTCATATAGTAATCTAAAGAGTTTTACTAAAAACATCTGTCTAAAATTTGCAGATGTCAAACATCGCCAATTTCTCACCATCAATGCATTTTATCTAAAATCTAATTGCATCATCGTTTTCTACGCAAAAAATAGATATAGTAGTAACATGCTACTTTCAAACCCCTAGCTTCAATATGCCAAAACTCAATTTTGGATGGTTTGAAAATCGAAATTGGAAATCGTTTTGTACACTAGGGTTTATACGCGCAGAGAATAGCACCTCACAATAGTGAACTCTGGGGTACATCTAAATTAAGCAAAGTATATTTGATTACCGAGAAGCTGGGAAGGCCAGTAGTAAACGAGTTAAACGACATTGTATAGATGGTATTTTTCAAGCAAGAAGAATATGCATACCTTAAACTGGAATAATTATTAGAGTTGAACAGAGCAAGCTACAGTTATCTAGTAACAACATGTTGTATCACAATTAATGATAATTTAAGTTTTTTTTTTTTTTTTTAATTTTGGCTTTTATTATATCTCTCATATTTCCTTCTAAACGGGTGGGTACAATACCTGTTTTCGGGAAACTTAATCTTATCATTTTCCATAGCAAAAAAAAAAAAAAAAAAAAAAGGTTGTGTTTATAGCGATTTATTCCGATAAAGCATCGTATCAATGGAGCGAATGTGTAGATAAACCAAACACAAAGTGCTTTCATATCAGCTGAAAGTTAAGGTACACTGTTTGCCGAAATCTGACTAAAAGGTCCGATTTAAAATCTGAATGGCTCAATATGACTAATGCAAATGCGTGAGATTTTTCAGATTCACTTCTTTCTCACTAATTCACACAATCTGATAAAGCAACTTGCACTGATATCAATAAATCACTCTTTCAACCATATGTTCAGCATGGATGCACATCTTATTCTATACTATGGCACGGTTGTGTTCTTCATGTACATTTTACTGAAGCTTCGTCGACTGTTCAAGTCGCGTAGGCGACTCAGTAAAAACCTTCGATCTCAACTCCAATGATTTGTTCTAATCTATGACAACAAAATTCCCAGAAAATCCATCTATGCATATATAAACAACCTTAAAATTTCGCGCAATCGTGTTTTGTAACTACTTTTCTCTCTTATTACATAAACAAAAATGTATGCCATTGTTCGTCATCTACCTTTGAGCTTTGCCAGTTGCGTTACTTCGGTGGACAACAACGACAATCCCATCAACATTGAGCTGGCTCAAAAGCAGCATGATGACTATGTCAATGTGATTAAAGAGCATGTCAAGCAAGTTATTGAGGTACCTGCTGATGAAGCTCATCCTGGTAAGTTGTCTATCGTTAAGGAGGAGGGGGGGGGGGGTGGGATCCAGTGTGAGAAGAAGAGGTATTGATGCGCAAAGGCATATAGATTGTTGCTTTGTGGAAGACAATGCTATTGTTGTCGAGGACAAGGCCATCATCAATTATCTCGGTGCAGAATCCCGTCGTAAGGAAGTCTCTGGCGTCGAAAATGCATTAAAGGAGGTAAGTGAGTTATAAATATGGAAATATTCTACCTAGTGATATGGATAGTTGCTTTATATAGGTTCCTGTCATTAAAGACATTGTTCATATGCATGATATTGATCCAGAGGCTACTTTGGATGGTGGAGATGTGCTATACACGGGCAAGCATCTTTTGATTGGACTTTCACATCGCACAAACCAACGTGGTGCTGATGTGCTAGCCAAAGTGTTTTCAGAAAAATGCCCTGTCTACACTATAAAGAGCCTGTTGAGTCATGATTCTTTGCACTTTAAGTGTATTGTTAGCATGTTGGACGATCATACCTTATTAATTACGGATCACAAGGCTGGTCATGATGTACAAGAAGAGATCCAGCAATTCACAAACAACCATTACGAGTTTATTCGTGTACCAGAGCAAGTTCCCTCCAACATTCTCAGTTTGGATGGTGGTAAATTCATCATCTATCAGCAGGATTTTCCTGAATCCGAAAAGGTCCTTCTCGAAGAATTGCACAAAAAACGTGGTGTGCAAGTCAAATCACTGTGTATGAGTGAATTGATCAAAGCAGATGGAGCATTGACATGTTGCTCGATTTTGATCCCAAGCAAATAAATGACCTCATGGTGATGTTGACCTTTTCTCTTTTTAACTGATTCATGGTTTGTTTGTCTTTTTTTTTTTTTTTTTTTCTAAAATGCATTTATATTTGTGCTTGCACTTGCAACTGTGTGTAACTAGATTCTTCTAAAAATGTATATATTGTGCCAAATAACTTTTAATGCTTTGATTGTGTGATGGCCATGTTTATAGGAGAAAGCATTTATTATAATGGTTGCTATGTACAAGAAAAAAAGGGATTTGATTGGTACCCAAACAACATGATATACAACAGTGCTCACATCCACAAGCCGAAATGTATACATGTACGTATGTATGTATGTATGTATGTTTATATACATGTATGTATGTAGAAGAAAAAATGAGAGTTAAAAATAGGAGAAGCAGGGCCATGAGCAAATGTAATATTATCATATATCTTGTCAATGCATGAAATACTATATAAAGGAGTTTTGGGGGCTATTAGAAGAAAAAAAAACCTTCTTTTCTTTCCCCCATTATCAACATGAAAAGGCTTACTTCCATTTCTGCTACACCAAACCGCCATCACCACCACCATCATCATCATCAGCATTCGCATTCACATTCCTTTTCATATACCAACAACAACACTAATAAAGAGCGTCTATTTCCTTTGCATCGTTCCATTACAGAAGATGATAAATACCAACATACGCATGTCTCTCCTATCACAAAGTTTGTCTGTAAGCTCTTAGGTATGTGAAGTGTAGAATTACAACAAACTTTAGAAAAGAATCAAAGGAATTTATATACTCTGAAAAAAAAATAAATTAGGTTTGGCGGGTCCATCATCCTCATCTTCAACAACTTCAGCATCCACCACAACGAGACCAAAATCATGGCATAAATCAAGATCAACCACATCAATTACAAAAAGCTCTGTTACATCATCATACCAACATACGACATTGCATGCTTGTTCTTCTGCTGAAATTGCAGCTTCAGCAACAGCAAGTCCATCGGCAGCAACAACAACAACTCCAAGAAAACCAACTGCCATTACTATTGTTACACCCAAACCTTGTACACTTACCGCATCTATCATGGAATGGGACCACCAACAAGAAGAGCAGCCCAAAGTAGAAGATGATGTTATATCCGTATCCTCATCTGAATCATCTTCAACAAGCACAAGTGGAACCATGCATAGTTCCATTTCATCCATCTCCAATACCAAGACCACATCAGCCGCAGTCGATGCTCTTGTCATTGCTAGCTTATTACCGTCTACTACGAAGGCTGCTACTGTAACTAAAACGAGGTCAACAGACGAGCTTGATGATATGCCCTCTATCCATTTGATTGGTCGTCAGTTTGATATCAAAACTGCTGTATTGACAGAGACAATTGCTGAAATGGTGAGAATATTACCTTGTTTGTCTATTCTTCTTATAGCACTGTCAACTAACATTCACAAATACAGGTGCGTCCCTATATTCCCAGAAGATACAGAATTGCACAAAAATGGAACCTTTTGTATAGTCTGGATCAACATGGTGTAAGTCTGGCCACACTTTACTCTTGTATGAAGAGCTTTGAAGGACCATGTATCATGGTTATAAAAGATGCACAAAACCAAGTAATGTGTGAGAAAGACACATATGAATGATGAGATGTATATTCATGCTTTTTCTTGTTTCTAGATTTTTGGATCCTACTTGTCGCATCCATTTTCATCACAAAGTCATTACTATGGCACAGGAGAATGGTATGTTCATTTGTGTGTGTGTGAATTGTGTAGTATAGTAAAATTAACATGACATGTTGTATAGTTTTTTATGGAAATTAAATCAACAAGAGCCACAACCCAAAATCAAAGTTTTCCCATGGACAGGCAAGAATGACTATATGATGTTGTCAGATTCAAATTTCATAGCCATAGGAGGTGGGGATGGCAAATTTGGTCTTTGGTTGAACTCTGAATTGGAGAAGGGACATAGCAGCACATGTCCTACCTTTGATAATGAGGTCTTGGCTTTGCAACCAGAATTTCAATGCATGGAAATGGAAGTTTGGGGCCTTTGTATATAAAGAAAAAAGTTTTTGTCTACCACCATCCCCCCCCTCCTCCTTTTTGCTTTTTGCCTCTTTCTTATTGCCACACACACTCACACACTCCTTTCCTATACATATTATATATATATAAATATTATAACAAATAAAAATCATGATAATTATCCCCGCCCCTTGCATATGAAAAAGAAGATCGAGAAAGTTTTTAATGTACAACAGATCTTTTGCATTTAATAATACCATTAGGCCCAGACGTATAGATATCATCAATGAAAAGCTGTATTTGAGTTACGCCAAATGCTTTGAGCTAGACAAATAGAAATCAGTGTTTTCCCAATGTGTGGTAGACATGATTTGAAAGCAACTTACTGGAATTCGGTTAAATGTCGGCGCAAGGAATCGATTTCTTGGTTGGATATCGAATGATTGACGAAGCTTATATGTGCTGACATCCCAAATCTATAAAACGGACTGGTTGGTGGTTCCCATTGTATAGGCAATAAAGTCAAACACTTTACCTTGAGTTCACCATCAATGGATCCTGTAATCAACGACTTGGTCTCTGGATCAATGGAAATGGATCGGATTCTAGATTGATGTGCTGTGAACGTATGCATTGTGGTGGAACGTTGTCTCAAATCAGAAACCACAATTTCGCCCCTTTTTCCGCCTGAAAATAGCAATTGACTGTTTGGCTCATATGTAATGGCATATGCACCACTTTCATGACCAGGCAGTGCTATGATGCATGATATGAACAAATTGTGAGCGTGCTTGGAATAACAGACTTACCAGACACCATGGCTTTGGAGGGAGGTAAGAGGGTGTCCCACAAACACACATGATCACGCTTACTACTGTTTTTTTTTGTATGAACTTAGTCTTTGCGTACCAAATAGATCCATTCTAAATATCTGTACCTTCTGCTCATAGTTACTGACGAAGTGCCCGCTGTAGCAATCAGACTACTGGAATTGATAAATGTGATATCTCTTGTCGCTTTTGAATGGCAATTCAGTGTCTGTATGAAAAGATAATGCTTGGATCAGTATACATGGCATGGACCCATAAAAAACAATCAAACTATTACATAATACGGCTTATTCGAATGCGCATGAGCATCGAATCGCCACAAACATAGATTACCAGAAGTATCTCCTGCTCCAAACTTTTGTCCAAACTGGTCAAAATGAATGCGCGTGGTCTTTCCTTGACATCCATAATAGCTTGCAATCTCACGTTCTTGTCCGAATTGCCACAAAATAGCACTAGGTCCTCCATTGCTAACATCGCATCCAGTGATATCTAGACAAGTGTGAGTAAGGTGAGGTGTCTTTTTTAGATTTGCACATAAAGATGACTCACAGAACGGGTATTGCGGATGGGTTTCTGCACAAATTGCAGAAATGTTTCGTCTGAGTGATATCTATAACAAGTCAGCATGACATTGGCGCATTGTTTGTCTAGGACATGCATTACCATCTTTTCTCTTTCGGCATTGTCAATAGGGGCTGGACTTGCATTGGCGGGTGTTCTGGCATGATCTGAACCCTTTGTTAATGACCTTCTGAGGGAATCATGCAAATGCTCCAGATTCAGGCTTTGAGGTACTTTTTGAACATGTTCCTCGAATGTTCTACTTCCAGCTGGTGATACGAGTGGTGTTGAATTACCAGAAACGCGCGATGAGGAGGCGGTTGGGAAGGGTTTACGTGTGGATTGGGGCTGTTGTTGCTGCTGCTGTTGCTTTGCAGTAGTGGCAGTATGAACAGAGTCATGATCATTGTCTGAATCTGTATCGTCTTCTTCTGTGTCTGGGTAACTGTCGAGATGATGGTCTTGTCCAAGACCAGAGGAAGAGGCGGACCGAGTTCTGATTAGAGGCTAAGCAAAAAAAAAAAAAAATGAGTGAGTATCCAGAGTGAGTATTATTGGTATGAGATGACTTACAGCGCCAATATTGCTCATGGCTTTGGTCAGGTCTATTTCTTGGATTTCAGATTTCAAACACACTGCCATTGTGTCCTTTGTTGACTTTTAGATATGAATGTTAGCTAAACATGCTGATAAAGGGGAATATTAGTTACTTACCGAATTCAAGCTGAATGCATAAACAGTGCTTGCTGAGTGATACACAGTACGGAACTGGTCAAACTGATCATCTGCAAGTATGTTGACGTTGGGTGCCTATCAAGTTTGCATGTCAGTTACTTGTGCAAAGCCCTGTCATTGGAGTCAACTTACAGCAGCATTTACAAACGGTAAGAGTCGATCAAACGAGCTGAGGCTTTTGACGGAATGCCAGTATTTCTTTTGTCGAAGTGTCTTGAATTGGCGCAAGACATTGTCTATTGAAAACCGTGGTGCATCAGTATACTGAGCCAGAAACGGTACAACAGCAGTACTTACGACGAGTCAAATCATCTTTAAGTTCTTCCAAGATCTTTTCCTTGATACAGTGCACTCGATAAGCGACTGGATCCAATAATGTCGTCCAAATGAAATCTGAAAGTTGCTCTATAAATGCGCCATCAAAGTCAGAATATACACCCTGGATGATACAGATGAGGCATCTTACCACTCAAACTACTGTGTCTTCCCTGACATTGCATTGCATGCTCAATAGCAGACAACACATAGTTTAATGTAGCCACTTCCAGAATATTAGCGCCCACCGACTTGTCCTTTGAATCCAACAAGGGCCTGTACACCTCTTCATTCATATCAAACCCAAACATACTTCCCTCTGAAAAGCTTTCAAAATCTTCGGCCATCATATCAATCATTTTGGTATCGTTCTTTTTCAGTTGAGCAAAGCAGTTGATCAGTGCCGTGTCACTTCCATTGGAGCCAAGGGCCTCTAAAAAGAACTTGAAATGATAGATCAATGGCCAGCAGCTTTCATAGTGACGTTCTTGCAAGGTGATCAAGATGAGGCTGATCAGTGTGGTCAATGCAATCTGTCGGGTGGTAGATGCCGCTGTATCAGGGTTGCAATAACGAGCACGTAGATCGTTCCAGATGGGGAAGGTTTTAATGACATGTCTACAACAATATAAATGATGAGTCTAGGTCAAATAGCATACACATCCACGCGCAACTTACTCGGTCCAGTTTTCAACAAATACCAGAGTGGCATAATCCAGTTCTTGAGGCATCAATGCAATTTCATTGACCTCAAAGCAACCTACCTTGAAGGCTCTCAAGAATTGATGGACATCAAAGTCCTTGGGAATGCCTTCGTTCAGAATATACAAGTAAAGAGGGAATACGTCTGTTTCGATACTCTTTTCCATCAGCAAGCGAGAAAAGATGTCAGGCGGAATCTTGACAGATTCACCTAAATCCAGTAGTGCTTGACGATTTCGAACAAAGTGGGAGCGATAGACGCTTTCGTAAGCGTCATCAGGCTGTTGTAAGCCGTTGTACAGCGCAGATGCAGCATGGAAGAAGGTCTATTTAAGAGAGTGTGAGCTGTTTGTGTCAAGGAGTATATGGGCACCGTTTACCTGAAGCAAACGAATCACAAGCAAGGCTTTAAAACTATCCAAACCATCGTATTCTCTTTCTGAAGGATCCAGGGTGTCTTGTTTTTCTTCAGCATCAGATAGTGCAGTTGCGGTGGTGTTTGTGCTTGCAAATATGTCGCCCTCCTCCTCATCATCATCATCATCAAATAAGCCTTTGGAAGACGACGCTGGCTTCTTGGTAGCGAATATGTCCTTGTCATCGTCATCAAACAGATTACTGGCATAGGATGGCTTTTTGGGGTCTGCAAACAAGTCATCGTCATCATCAGCAAACAGATCAGAAGCACGAGCAGATTTTTGTGTGGCTTTCGTATCATCAGCAAACAGATCTGTGGCATAAGCTGGTGCTGTGGTGTCATCGGAACCAAACAAATCTTCAGCTTTGTCTAATCGAGCCTCTTTTGGAGGTGCTTCTACAGCGGCAGAGGGTGGCTTCATGTAATACTTGGTCAAAATGTACAGTGCCAGCAAGGGACAGCCTAACCGTTCATACGATCGCGATACAAGGAGAGAGAATCCATATTCAATATCGTAAGGCACAATGGATTTTTGATCCTGCGTCAGATTTTTTTTCAGATGGTGGTACAGAATAAAGGCATTGGGATCATGCACTACTGCTGCCGAATCTGCGCCTGTTGTATCCATGTCCTTGTCAGTGAACTGGGTCAATGGCACTACCATGGCACGCACTGCATCCTTGTGTCTGTTTAGCAACCAGTAAGCCATACTGACCAGCCAGCGATCGTTGTTTTCTATCGCCATGGGGATCACGGAATTCTCTAGGATGTCTCGTAACAGAGGACTATGATCTCCTTCATACACACGACAGATGGCGATGGCGAGATGAAAGTCTTTGACGTTTTTAAGGATGACATTGACGGCATCCTTCAGTTTGTCTGCCAACAAAAAGAAGGCAGCGGCGTATTCTATCGATGTGTTAACGTTGTGCATCTACTGGTTTGTTTGTTGATATACACCTACCAAATCGTTGCTTTCCCAATAATGCAAACGCATTCTTTGACGCTGCTCTCTGCCATCGTGGATCCGTGAAATCATTTGCCAGGAACTTTTTCATGGCTGCTTGTTCCTTGTGAGACGAAGTTGTCTTCCACAAACCCTCGATGAGATTCTTTTTACGTAGTGCCAGGTAGTACAGTGTGCAGTCTACTGGATCTCTTGCTTCAGCGGATTTTGACAAGTATATATTTCTTGCAATGGTGGCCATTTGGTCTCTCTGCCAGCACATTGAGAGTGAGTATACGAAGCAATGCGCCTACTGAATCACTTACCACGACATCAATCTTTTGCAGCCATATAAACAGACCCAAGTTGCGAGCATCTTGCCAAACCAGTGTATTGTCACAGAGTCGAATACATCTTTCCAACAGTAGATCCTGCGATTGACTGTGCAATGCCCATACATAATCCCTTGATTCCAATTGCATCTGTCGTTGTTCTGGTGGCAGTGATTTGTTTAGATGAAAGTGATTTTCTAGTAGTGCCGTAAATCGAGCACCATTCTCATCCAGTGAGTCGCCTTGGTTGGTGATCTGTGTAGCGTTAGTCGCTGTGTTAATGGAGAGGCACAAGGTCAGCTTACTTCAACAATGGTATCCACCATAGCAATCAAGTGAATTCTCTCACTTTCGTTCAATCCAGGCAACACTTTCACCTTGAGGTAGTGAGCCAAGTTCTTGGCTTCATTTGATGTCAATGCTCGAACAGTGTCATCGCCCTCGTTTTGTCTAGTGATATGGTAAATCAATAACAAGGAAGAAAGCAAAAGAGAAACAATACATGATGCGAATACTTATACATACATTGTGTCAGCATCGTCTGCGTCATCATCGTCCTCAAACAACCCATTGTACTCTTGCTTGGCACCCTGCTTGGACTCGCCCTATATTCAACATGATTAGCGCCCAAATGCGAGGTATATGCTATGCCTATAACATACATTTTGAAGCTTCAACATCTTGGAAAAGGACACTGGAGGAAATTCGTTGATGCTATTGTCCTCATCATCGACAAACTGTTTAAAGAAAGTGTACAGAGAGACCAAGACACTGTGTACCAGATCCATTTTGCCCCACATGATGTAATGAATAAGATGATCTGGATGGTAAAAGGGCAAAGGGCCGTTCATTTCATAAGAAATGTCAAATATACTGGACATGGGCTCCACCTGACTATCTCCATGCACTCGAACAGCTAAAGCCACAAGTCAGTAAAGAGGCAACACAGTACCTATTCACTTCATTACCTTTGGATATCGTATCATCGTCAATCAGCCATTTCAAATAACATCTGAGCTGGTTTCCTGCTGCCACTGTCAATACACCGCAATCAACCCAAGCCAGCGCAGTGATATCCTCTGGGCTATTCCAACAAGTAAGCAACACTCTTTCATATCTACAACAAAGTCTACTCACGTATCCACCTTGAATGTAGTATACCAAGCCCAGATATCATCATTGTTTGCATTGTTCGATGCTCTCTTTTGCCCAAAGATACCGACACTCTTGGGAAATGCAATAGCTAGGATAAACTGAGCATCTGAAGTAACATTCCAAGCAATATCACGCACAGGCTCATCAAACTCAAATGTCTTGACACAGCTGGGTGCTACGCCTGATCGTATTTCCATCCAAATAGACAAGGTTTTGTGATCTTGACCAGTCACCAATGCCACTGTGCCTGGCGCACACTTGATTTGATGTATACGACTACTGCTGGAAGTATCCATGCTGAACAAAGCGTTCCATTCAATGTTGGTTGCGTCGGTGTTGATGCCATAAAAAATGATCTCTGGTCCCAATGATACGGTCAATACAGGCTTCTTCTGTAACGCCATTTTGTGGAATAGTTTCGAAGCCGTGTTGGTTGCCCATTGACTGGCTGATCCCACTACATTGGGATCCACTGTCCAAGGCATAGTCTGTGTACCTCGAAATGCGATATCCATGTGTTGCAGATGGTTGCGGGTCAAATGCCAGGTACTGATTTGTCTCAGTGTGGTGGATACACCTATCAGCAAAAATGATTTCTCTCCTGAATCTGCTTCCTCCCTATTGTATACATGCAATGATGATAGATCCAAAGCAGCTTCCGTCTCGCATTTGATGAAATGGTGTAAATGGCAATCTTGTTTATCAAACTCGTACAGCTTGACGTGATGTCCATCATACACTGCTAAAAATTTATCTAATGTTGTTTTTTTTTTTAGTGCTCTTCTCCTTGGTTATAACAGAGATGATCTCTACCTTTATCCACAGGTACAGCCAAGAGTTGCTTGGATTCAACAAACAATGAACAGTCCAGTTGCAACTGAGTCGTCATTTTGCCACATGTCTAACGCATGTTGTGAGTAGCACTCTCAGGGCAATACTTCATCAGTTAATAACATACCTCTCTCAGCTCATATTTCCACACATTGATCTGTCCATCGACACCCACTGTGCAAAATCGGTTCTTTTGTGTTTGATACAGTTTTGAGATGGAGTGCTGATGGCCCAACCATGTGTATTTCAAGTGCAGTCTGGGTGAAAATGAAGTTGAATCGAGGAAATCAATCAAATTGAGACTGTAACAGCGCAATTGTCCATGCAGGTTTCTGGCCACCAACGACAACTCGATGGGTTTGATTGTGGCTGTATATCTTTCAGTATGACGGCACGCCCAAACAAGCTCTTTCAACTTACATGCTGACTGAATATGTGAATAATCATGCAAAATGTGTGTCGGATTTAAGAAGTAGATAACATCCAACGGATCAATGGCCTTGTCCACACGCAGCACTACAAACACTCTTGGAATTCGACGAGGCACTGAATTCAGATGCTGCACACCCCAAAATGTAAGTGATCCATCTGCCTGTATACGAAACAGCAAATCAGGGGTATCTCGCACTCTGTCTCGGATGCGGTCCACGCGTTGATCAAAGCGCTCGTGTTTGGAATGGGACCTGAATCTGGCGTGAACGGCACTGGCTAGTTCATCACAACCGATATAATGAATAGGTGAAAAATCGTCCTGCTCCTCCTCTTCTTCTTCTTCTTCTTCTTCTCCTTGAGCGCTATGGTGGTGGTGATTGGCCTCTTCTACTTTGCTGGTGACCAAAGACTGATTGGAATCAATCACTGCACACATGTACAAGAAATGAGGTTGCTGTACATCAGTAGGACTCCAAAATCGCCCAATGCCATCGCGTGCCATGGTGAATAAGGTGCAATCGTTTTCTCGATCATTGCTGCCTGGTAATCGTCTCCAAACAAAGTGCGTGACATATTTAGGGTGCGAAATGAGCGTGAAATTGTAGTCCACTGTTCTTGTTGCTGCAGACGCATCGTGATCATCCTCGGTGGGATACCATATGGTCACTATGCGATCATACTAGGGATAGAAGGATGGATGAGATTGTCTGGGTGTGTATGTTTGCAGTGTATGCCTACAAACCTTGCCCAATGTCGCAAATACGTTGGATTTTGGCTCAAATTTAGCCAGTATCACATCCGAAGCTGGTAGTTTGCTGCACATGGTTTTCCATTCGGAATCGCTATCGTCGTATTTCCATAGTTTGATCTCTTTTCCTGCACTCAGCAATATGTCTACATTTATATCCCAGTGTGAATAAGTCCCACATACATCTTCTGCCTATAGCGCTGTACAGCAAACTCACCATGCATGCTCCAATCAAGACAGGTTATAGCTACTGAAGTATCCAATACAATCTCCAATTCCCAGCCTATCTGGTTTTGTCGTTGATAGGGCCTCAACACTGCTATTTGAGTACGATACGCTATAGCAATCTAATAACATACGTGTGTCTGTGTGAGATGATTTGTTATATCCACTCCAACCCCCTCCCCTTTAAAGTCAAACGTTTTACTTGTCCTGTATTGCTGTTTCCTGCAACCGATGTCACTGGTTCTAGCTGCTGTTGCTGCTGTTGCTGCTGCTGCTGCTGCTGCTGCTGCTGCTGAAAGAGTGAAGAAGCAGCAATGATCTGTACAAGATGGTCAGGGTCAGCATAGACCACTACTTTGGAGCCAGTTGCATAAACCTATCAGAGTGTTTCAGCAAGTGGAATCGCTATTATCGGGGCATGTCTGCTTTACAATGAATCTGTCGTCTTTATAGACAAATGTATGTATGGCTTGTGGTTGTGAGTTGACTTGTCCTGGACAAATCTGTTCCAGAAACATGGTATTGTATGTTTTTCTGTAAGACAAAAAGCAAAAAGAAAATGTTCTGAAAAAAGTTACATGATGTAGAGTTTGTTGTTGCCTGCTTGCGCTTCGTGACGCGCGCTGCTTGTATTCGATGCTTGTACTTTCATGCTGTTTGTCAGCCAATTGAAAGCATTAGGTCTAAAGTCCACTGCTCGTGCTCCCAGCAGGCATTAGACAAAAATCTTGAGCCCTAAAGCACGCTGATTAGTTATAGTTCGTTATCACTGTTGCTGTGGCCGGGCCGTTTAATGAAGCACATCTCTACCCTGACAACTGCTTTTTCGATTGTACATCTGTAGACTGCATATCACTTGATCAAATGTTGATGTCTTTTTTCAGTGAATCGCTTCATTTAGAATCAGCCGAGGCTTGTAACGTTTGAGCTGTTGGATGATAGGCTTGCTGATAGTGCTTGAATCTGCCATTTTTTTGATGTAAGCATGCCTTCTGACCAAGAGTGGGATGGAATGAAGGCATTTTACTGCCCAACAGGCATTTCACTTCAACTCACTGGGCAAAATACATTGTAAAATCTACTTTTGATTGACTATGTAGGTTTCAAAAGATGCTACAAGCCTGTATAAATGAAAAAAAATGCGTTTTTAGTTTGACATCATATGCATTTTGTCCCTTGCTCCTCGTTTATATAGCAAAACAAGGCAAAATGTGGGTATTTTTGATCCCAAATACCACCCTTTACAGGCCGTTTTAGACATCCGGAATAACACCAATCGATTACTCTCGACTAGTAGTAACTATTTGATGCATTATCTCAAATTTTTTTGTCCAAAAAAAAATAGAATCGAAATTTCGAGATTTTAGATGAGTAATACCAAGAAAAAATCCATCGATTTTACTTGATCGCATTTTTCACATCAAAAACGGCATTTTTGTATATGGTGTTCCTAATATCAAACTACTTCTACAAGTCGTGTGCAGCGTACCAAATTGGTTTTAAAAGAGATGTGTATGCAAAAACTCGGCATTTTCTCCAAAAACACCTTTCCAAACTTTTGCAAAGTACGCATTACTTTTGGTAAAAAAAAGTGCAAAACAAATAGCACCATTCGATTCGCCTTTAAAAGCTTCACCTGAAAGCATAAGAGAGTTGGTTTAGTAAATTAGGTTAACTGCGTATAATTTACCAAAATAGGAGAAACGATGTCGATTTAAGTCGATTCAATCACGAATGTCGTTGCCGCTTCAACCTCAGAGCGGGGGGCTAAATCGCTTTGAGGTCGCTCAGTAGCGGATCAGCTGCAGGCTTCATCATTGCAGCAGCAGATGATGCAGTATTCTATTACGCATGACAATAAATCGAAAACGATTTCGTCGAGACCTCAACTTGCTTCATAAAAGACAACCATTATATATTGCCAAAGATATGGATACGTTTTTTGCCACTGCATAAGATGAGCAATAAATGTCAATGATTCAGACTAGGAAATATATTTTGATTTATACATAGAAAGAATAGTACAACTATAAAGATAAAAATACAGTCGTAGCAACTCAACTAACAAATTGCTCTACCTCAAAGATAAACAAATGGCAACTGTCTACTTGACCAGCTTCATTCTTTTGTCATTGATAGCTCGTAATTTCTGATACAAGACATTCTTGTACAGTAATGTTAATTCATTGTTGGTGGCATCTCTCTCTTCATCGCCGTAAATGAATTGCAGCATCCATTTTTTGAATTGGCCAATATTCGTGCTTTGCTTGGTTGCTTCCAGTATTGCTGCATTATAACTAATATATATATGGTAGCTGATTAGTATAATTTACCTTGAAAGAAGTTGTAGTTTATAAATTACTTTGGCTTTTGTGACAGACCCAGATCTTTCCAAACTTCCATCGTCTCAGCCATTTCTCTGCATTTCTGTACTTGGGAATGATTAGTGACATCTCTTGAACCACAATACAGAATGTATGACGCCAAGCTGAAATAATCTACAACTCTGTTTGTGTTTTCGTGAAAAGTAAGAGGATGCTCGGTGTGAAATCCCTTTTTTTTTACAAAGTTTTGAGACTTGAATGTCCAATTGTTGGTGCTGGCTGTATTGCGAAAACTTTGCAATAAACGAGCATCTCTCTCACAAGGAACGGCGGTCTGCGGTGCGATAATTAGCCAGTGTGTTTGTTGCATGAGGGTGACTGGAGCCCTTGAACTTCCTAAGAAACACTCATGTTGATCGTTGTCAAATCTCCCGCAAACAGCACCGTTAATAAGCAATTCGTAATTCTTAAAATATATCTTCAACTCATACCAAGCGTTTTTATATGCTGTTTTTCTCTCGTACATTAGCAGGCTGGTTGTCAAAGGAGCCATAATCTCACTGACTGGTGAAACCTCTCTGGCACGACGGTCTAAGCCTTTGCCTCGGCCATCTTCTTCCTCATTTCTTCTCTTTTTTTGATCTAATTCAAAGAAAATTAACGAAGGATTTCAAAATGTATGCAATGTTTCTCGCTTACTCGATTAATTCAACGCTTTTGTTCTTTTTAAAATCAACTTCTATCCTGAGCTTCTTGAAATAATCTGATTTGACAGTTATTTTATACGAGCGTCTTGTTTGATCAATGCAAGACAAAAATCGACCGCTGTTGAAGTTTTCCTGATCCAAAAGGGTAAAAAGATCAAGGTGGTTAACAAATCGAAATTGTGTCAGAACCTTATAAAGGTCATGAAAATAGACTGAAGGATTGGAAATCTGTAAATGTTCAACCTGATGCACAAGGAAGCTGCTTTGGCGCTGGTTGTTCAGGTCAACAGCTAGGTAAATATCGCTTCTGATCATTTTCACAATATCGTAAGACTTTTTGCTTGCCATTGCCAACTGAAATCTGTCTTGAAAATTCAAGAAGGAGCAAATTTGCTCCCAAATTTCTTCTGGGAAATTGATCAACAATGCCGTAGCAACCATGGTAATATACGAAATGAAGAAAGAGGGAGATTCACCATATGCTGGTATGGCAACCCATTATCAATTGACACTGTTGTTTACTTGCAATGAACTCTATTTCCAGCACAGAAGTTTTTATATGCTGGTGTCACCTTGTTTCGAAACATTTGCCCCCTATTTTCTTTTCAAAATACATGCCGTACTCGAGGTAAGAGAAGAAGCAATGCTGATGAATCAAGCAGCATCTACTAAATGTAATCTTATTTGTAGTCTTGCCTTGCCTTGCCATCACGGGTAAGAACTGAACCAAATGATACTCTCACTGCCTTCAATTTATAGGGAGTTGCTTGGTTATGAGTCATCAGATTCTGCCTTTGTATCCTTTGGGTACCTCTCCTTTCGGGTTTCCATGCTTGAGTTGCTCCTGGGGAGTTGGGCGGTAGTGCTGCCAAGTGAACTTATTCCGGAGGTGCCATTCACAAGCGAATGTATAAATCACCTCACCGTGGTGAAAGCCACAATTATCACTTTTTGGGATTAGAGCGCTCTCACCTTCTCGAGGTTAATCCTGTCAGTATCAAATCATTCTATGATTTGAGAAGCTAAGAAGAGCAACGTTTGACTAGTCTCATTGATTATGACTGAAAGCATATTTAAATAAATGGTTTTGATATTATGAATGTTATTTGTCATTCAATCCTTGGTCAATTTTTTTTTTCAATTTCACTACATTATTGCCGTCTAAAATTGCTGCAAAAATGGGCTACATTGATTTCAAAGATCAGAGTATGCATTTATATTGTAGTCATTTTTTTAAGGGACTCTGCGCGAGTCCAGTTGCTAGAGGAAAGAACAAATTTAAGAAATGCATAAACAAAAGTCGCACCTAATGTGGTTGAGGTGTACAGGATGCTTAGTATGCTCAACAAGCCCAATGCCTCTCTGACAGCTGTCAGACCATGGAGCTATCCTTGCCACCTATATCTTCTCTTCCTCCAAAACTATAAAGCTTTTTGCAAATGATCGCTTCGGCAGGGTTGATTTTGACATTGTTGACGCAGATATTTTTATTATAGTAGCTCTTTGATAACCAGTACAGAAGGATAATATTGGAAGATCACTGTGAGTTTTGTCGTCTTTTCTCATATTCATCAGTCTCTAATACTTTACGCTATTATATATTACTTTAGATATCAAACACGATCAAATACTGAATCAGTAGCGTCCAATATACTGACTGTTGCTGACGGACGTCGATAAAGCGACAAGCCTATAAAGTCAATCACATGCATTTGTTTATTTTGACAGGGAAAACATACCATGCTTTTTTTTTTTTTTTACAAACATCATTTGTGGCGTAGCCTATGCTTGACAGATACGTACCTCCAACATAAAGACTCCTTTAAGCCGGAAGAAAATGCATACTACACACGTTGACAGAGAGCATGAAGGCAAATAAGATCTTATACAGTACAACAGCATCATGTATTGACAAAAAGTTGGGGGGTGCCGACTATGCCGCTTCTTGAGTCATGGTGATGATGGAAAGTAGTTCAAAGAGGACACCAGTAAGGAGCTAGATCAAACGTGGCACCAGTACTGATCTCTTCTTGATAGGATGGCTTTTGCTCGGATTTGCCTCTTCCTTCTCGTTTTGTAAAGACCGTTTCTTATATGAAACAGATCAGACAGATCAAGGAGGGGATAATATACTAGTTCCAGGGACCTAAAACAGTGTGAAACACATTTGGAGTATAAACATACTACAGCAAGTCTTTTTATATATAGACCTTAGCAAGAAAAGGTCATTGCGTGAGCCAAATGACACATTCAAGAGTAAATACTCGACATGATTTCATGCATTTACCACTTGCCATTACAGATTTAGGTTACTAATGAGAGTGCACGAGCCTTTCAGTGCACAAGCAAAAAGAGCCAAGCAAATGGAATGATGTGAGCATATGAGCATAGCAAATGCCTCATTTTTCCCTATAGAGATGCTTATCTACATATATATATATATATATATAGCTCAGCAGCTAGCAAGCAAGCTAGAGTAAAAAAAAAAAAATGCCATGAAATCCATATAAATTGGATGCCACCTTATGATCAAAAAGAAGCAGAGACATTGTATCACAAGCTCTTTCTCTCCTGCTTGATGTTGTTGTTGTTGTTCATCATCATCGTCATCCTGTTTGAATCAACACTAGGCTAAAATTATACAAGATGTAAAGAGTCTATACCCATCAAGAAGTCCAAGAGAGGCAGACATGTTGTTCCTGGTTTCAACAAGGCACAACAAACAGTGTGTGTGTGTGTGTGATTTTCCCATTTTGAAGAATAACTGCGGATGTGATACATACATGAAATCTGTTACACGATGTGCGCTAAGATACTAAATCACTCACTCGACCTGTTTATAAATAACCTCTCTGATATTTCTGCACTTTTTTTTTTCTCTCTTTCTTGTTATTTTATTCAACTCTAGAAAAAGATGACACTGACCATCGAAGACGTTGTCACTCATTATGTGCTTTCTAGCCATCCGCGTAATCGAGCCATCATCGATGTCAAGGACAAGAAATCAGGAGAGCTTCGTTTTATCAAAATCAGGCACAGATTATCCAAATTTTATGCTGTCAGTTTGGTAGACCCAGTAACATTTGAAGTGTGGGCTGAAATCCAAGTCAAGAGCGCTGCAGCTCGCATCAAACCCATCATCTTGCATCTTGATAACAAGCAGGATACAACTGTGGAATTGAAAGATACGTCTCGTATTGGGTTTGAATGGACATTTGCATGGGAGGGAGAGAAATACCGATGGTGAGTATTGCATTATTGTTTATATTACATTTGTGTATCCTGATTTGTTTAATGTATCAAAGGGTACGTGAGAGTAGAATGAGCAATTCATTAGAATGTAGAGCTATTCGAAAGACAGGTATACTATCCCTGGGTGATCACAGTGGAATCCATGCTAAAAAAAAAAGTGTTAGGTGATATTTGTGTCGCACAATACTTACCTCGTATGCTCAAGGACGAATACTTTGGCATCTTTTCCTTGTTGGGATACAACATGCTTCGCTGCAACCTCACGAAATCCCGTGAACTAGAGTTGATCCTACTGATGTCCTTGATGACTGTGCTTGATAAATCAAATGATGCTAGCTGGAAGAGAGATCCTATTAGTAAAGGCGTCCAGGATGACATTCGGAACGGAGGAGGCAGCAGTAGCCACACTAGCAGTAGTAACAGTAGCTTTGTATCACCTCCTTCGGCTTCTTCGACAGCCAATAGCCACGGAATGGATCACTATGAAGATCCGATCCCTAAAAAATCTCAGCAAAAGAAACACAAGGTGGAACTATTGAACGATCAAAAATTGCAACTCATGTTGGAGAAGGATGTGCGACGATCCCAAAAACAGATACAGTTGGACCAAAAGAACCACAAGCCATCACTGAGCGCTGGAAACAGTCCAAATCAGACACCAAAGACATCGCCTTTGCCGACACCATCGACATCCACCAACATCATGAGCAACATTTTGTCTCCTCGTCTGTCTCGACAAAAGTCGGCTGCTCTGTTGACCGGCAACACCAATGCATCCCAACTAAGTGATGCTTCCTCCTTATCTCCCACATCGCCGACGACGTCCATTTCAAACCACAGTGGCACAAACAATGGTGCTGGCAGATTGTCTCGACTTTTCAACACATTATCACAAATGAAACAAACAAGCGATATGGTTATAATTGCTCCTGATACAAATGCGCCTGCTGATGATTTTAATGCATTCTATCCTCCTGCTCCACCACCTCTTTCTGAAGCTACTACCAACGAATCTCACACTAAACAGCAACAAAAGCAACAGATTGCTAGAGATCAGAAATTGAAATTGCAACGACAAAAACAACGTCAACAACAACAACAACAATTGCTATTATTACAACAACAACAACAACAACAACAACAACAACAAGCTCAAATAGACCAGGATTATTATGAGCAGCATCATCACTTGAGCTTGCCTACTGGACAATTATCTCGATTTACCAGCGATTTTGGCAATCTAGCTATCAGCAAAACGAGCTATGACAATCCACCCAGTCTAAGAAACATCCGATGGAATCCAGAACCTTTGACATCTATCGAGACAACAGGCAGCAGTGCTACAAACACATACATGTCATCCAGAGTACCGCAGCAACAACCACACTACCCACCTCCTCATCGTAGCAATAGCAACGGTAGAAGGCCACGTATGGCAGATCAGCACAGGAGATTATCTGCTACAGAGTATTCCTTGTACTACAATCACAATCCACCTCCACCTCAACCTCAACCTCAACCACCCCATTATACCAATACCAACTACAACAATCGTTATTCTACATCAGAATACTATACACATCAATACCATCAGCAACAACAAGCTGTCTATGATTATTACCAGTAAAATAGCACAAAAGTAGGCGCTTTTCCTCCCGTTATATTTGTTTATATGTAAATTTCGCTCTCTATGTGGCTAGTACTAGTAGTTGATAACCTGCACCATGTATAAATAAAAAATGACTCTATCAACGATCAAAGTTTTGTTTATCGTCATAGACATGTGTGTGTGTGCGATTGAATTGTCAGGATCGTATGCACTTCTCACGCTCGTTTTTGCATGCTGTATTATATTGTGAGTTAAATTACATGTCAACAAATAAATAAATAAAAAGGCCCATGTTCAGGATGGTAGATTCATCACATTTGCATATATATATATATATATATATATATATATATATTCTAAAGATTCAAGTAGTAGTGAACAAGTGAGGGGATATATATATATCTAACTAAGTATCGGTAAAAACTAGACGCACAAGCATTAGTTTCTATTCAAAAACCATCTTTGTCCATCACCCACACACACACACACACACACACACACACACTTACGTTTCCAACAATGACACTGGGTAAATCAAAAATATCACGTTTGATAGTGAAACAAAACGTACAAGGAACAATTCGCTTTGTGGGACTCATCAATATACAGGTGCTGTACACTGCAGAATCCGTATTATCAAATGCATGCAGAGCATACTTTTCCCAGTACTCTACAGCCGATGGATTACTCATGAGCTACCAACAATGTCAGTCAGTCATCTGTGTCTTTGAAGAAATCCTTGAGAACAAACCTCGTAAATGTACGTCTTTTTGCTCAACAACATGTCCCTTGACCACTGCGTCAACAAGGAAAACTCCTTGCCAACCAGCGTAATCTCGCCCGTTCTTCTCCACACCACCGTCGGTGTACCTGAATAGCTGATCAACTTTTCGTATTCCAACAAGGTACGCTGCAAGCATTTCTCTGTAAACACCAAGTCATCTTCTGTCAGGTTCATCATGGAAGCTAATACGGAGGGTCTAAATAGCGCCAGCGCTCTACTGATTCGCATCAAATCTTCTCTGCTCATCCTTGTCTTGACATAGTTGATCAAATAGTGATATCCGTCTGCATAACTAAAGGGTTTGGTAGCACTCGCATAAGCCATTTCGGGTGTGATGATTTGATTTCGACGTCTGACAGCGGGTCCTGTGCTGGCTGCGACAGGACTGGCTACATTGGCGACTACGGCTCCATCACCATACGCTTGTAGTGTGGATATACCCGAAGAGGATATTTGTGATGTACCCATGGCTGAAGAAGATATCGATGCAATTGGTCTGCTGTTGTTGTTGTTGTTGTTGTTGTTGTTGTTGTTACTGTTGATGTTGGTAGGAGGAGTCGTATTGTTCTTATTATTAGTGGTAGTAGATGTAGTTGTCATGTTGCTGCTGTTGAATGGAGAAGATGAAGTGGGTACATTGGAGGTCGTGGGCGTTGTTACAAGATGATTTGATGAGGATAAGAATGTACTGGGATCTGCAACGCCAGCGACATTGGCAGCATTCATCAGATTCAGTGGGGTTCCTGCAACGGATTCAAGAATGGGCGATTGCTGCTGAGACCATATATTGCTCAATACATCAGCGGAAGAAGGCGTCTGAACAGTTGGGACAGAGTCTGCCAATGGAGAGCCCAGCATGTTGGATAAAATGGAGTACTCTAAATTCGTAGCATTGGATCCAAATCCATAGTTGTAGTTCATGTTGTTGGCTGCGTTGCTGTTGTTACGGTTGGCATTATCATTTGTTAAACCAGCCATCGATGGAGAGCCTTCCAATATATATATTAGCCCTACTCTTAGCTATCGCTATAGTTACCGCTTGCTTACCTGTATTCAGAAAATTGGAAGGTTGAAATGGTGCTGCTTCTGGTCCAAATGGCGTATTCATATTGGGCGGTGTTTGCATGGATGATGTTGTGCTAAATGGTGTTCCAGGTGAACTGCTACTCGTTGCTGCATCTATCAACTTGATTTGATACATGTACATCCATCAGCAAGAAGCATATCTTACCTTCAATGTCTTGCAGATACTTGGCCTTCTTTCTTGCACCATCCGTACATGTGGTGGCCAGATTGCGCTTGATACATCGCTGACAGGGCCGCGCTATCAAGAGTATTAGTTTTGCAATTCCCATCATTCAATAGATACACTACAGTCATCACAGGTCAAATGGGCCTAAAACCAAAGATGGACATGAATACGGAAACGCACACACAACATTCACTCATGAAAGTCCTCACCTTTTGACAATGGATGCAGGCTCTGGCTGCCTTCTTTTTTCGTTGACCAGCTGGTTTTGTTTGATCTGTCTTCATATTTCAATTTATTTCGTTTTCAAAGGAGAGATGGTGGATGCTATGTTCATTAGTCGTCTGCTTGTCTATCTATACGATAAAATATAAAAGAGGAAAGAAATGTAAAAAAATTGTTTGTCCCATGTAACTTTTATATTCTCTCCGTCTCGATCATTTTGCACCGCATCATCCTTTTACCTTTTGCTCATGTACACTCTTCTCAATTGAAAAAAAAAAAAAAAAAAAAAAAAAAAAAAAAAAAAAAGTGAATAACCACACTTGCTACAGCCAACCCAAGCACCAGCCACTGTAGCAAAGAATATGGACTTCTACACTTGTGAAAAAAAAAACACCCACTTTGACTATAGACATAAACAGTTGACATGTCCATAGTATCATCCGCTTATCAAATCCTGCTTCGTTTGAATTCTGTGATCTGATGAATGTTTGTAAGCAAATACCACTCAAAGTGCATATAAGATTAAAGTGTAAATTTTTATTGAGATATTGAGTACAGACTTTTTTTTTTTTTTATTCAAAAGTGTCAGTAATATAAATGAAGAGAAGAAAAAAAAAAAAAGGTGTGAGATGTGTTGACGTGTGGGGGGAATAAAAGATTAAAGTATATGCTTAATAGTTATGGCACTATTAGTTTCAAATAAACTAAATATAAGGAAAATAAATAAAATCAGATATCATTCCTTTAGAGGGCATTGACACGAGCGTCATTGGCAACATCATGAACTCTGACACCGTTGAGAATACCGCTGGCAGTGTTGTGAAGCTTGACATCAGTGTCATGGACACCAACAGTATCACGACGAGTGAGCACATTGACACGGGCATCGTTGAGAACATCCTTGATCTTGAGGCCGTTGAGAATACCACTGGCAGTGTTGTGGAGCTTGACATCGGTATCATGGACACCAACAGTATCATGACGACGGTTGAGAGCATTGACTCTGAGGTTGTTGGCTACATTCTTGATCTTGATACCGTTACCAATGTTGTGGAGAGTCTTGTCGAGCTTGACGTTGGTATCCTTAAGGCTGAGCAAACCTCTGCGAGCAACACGGACATTGGCATCGTTAGCAACATCCTTTACCTTGATACCGTTGGCAATATTGCTAAGAGTGTTCTTTGCATGGACGTCAGTATCAGTCACCTTGACTAAGCTTCTACGAGCAACATTAACTCTGGCATTATTGGCAACATCATTGATTTTGATACCATTGGCAATACCACTGGCAGTGTTGTGGAGCTTGACATCAGTGTCATGGACACCAACAGTATCACGACGAGCGAGCACATTGACACGGGCATCGTTGAGAACATCCTTGATCTTGATACCATTGGCAATACCACTGGCAGTGTTGTGAAGCTTGACATCAGTGTCATGGACACCAACAGTATCACGCTTGTCTAAACCACAGTTGCAATCGTTACCTTCGTTGTCATCACCGTCATGGTCACCGCCTTCGTTGTCATCACCATCGTGGTCACCACCATCATGGTCACCACCATCATGGTCACCACCATCATTGTCATCGCAGTCATCGCCGCCTTCGTTATCGCCACCATCATGGTCACCGCCTTCGTGGTCACCACCATCATGGTCGCCACCATCATGGTCGCCACCGTCATGGTCACCACCATCGTTATCGCCACCATCATGGTCGCCACCGTCATGGTCACCACCATCGTTATCGCCACCTTCATTGTCACCGCAGTCATCACCGCCTTCGTTGTCACCTCCATCATGATCGCCACCGTCATTGTCACCTCCATCATGATCACCACCATGACCACCATCACCGCCATGATGACCGCCATTGCCACCATGACCACCATGACCACCGTGACCACCATGACCACCATGACCACCATGACCACCATGACCGCCATTGCCACCATGACAAGCAGGGTTAGGGCTACCGTCAGCGAGAACATTGACTTGGAGACAGTTGAGGATATCTTCAGCCTCCAAATTGTTGAGAATGTTGGAAGCAGTGTTATCAAGACCAACATCAGTGTCAGTGACATCGGCAAGACCACGACGTTCAACAGCAGTAAGAGAGTTCTCAGAGTACAAGGAACGAGCAGAGACGGTTGCAACGATGCTTGCAATAAGACCGAGAGGGATAAACTTCATGTGCATTTTTATACTTTTTTTTTATGTGTCTAAATGGAATGGAAAAAAAGAATTAAACTATATTTCAATAGCGTGTTAGTATAACAGAGCCTATGATATGTGAATGATTGTATATACAAACCTCTATGGTTTATTAAATATGAGATGAAGATGCTTATTAAATGAAGAATAAAAATAAAAATAAAAAATAAAAAAATTGACACTAATCAAGGCTTCTTTTATACTAGATGAATGTTGGATTGCCCTTGATTTTGATTAGTTCTTTTCGTCTTTATTGCATGCTGTTCTGCTGCTTGTTGTTGTTGTTGTTGTTGTTGTTCCTTTAAAACAACTCCTAGTATATATGATGTGCATGACAACTCCTTAGTGGGGATATTCTTATTTTCCAATTTCATTGATTTCCGCAATCAAGACTAGAATCAAGGGGGATTAGAGAAGGAGGAGAGGCACATGGTAATTAAAGCTCGCATCTCTATGATTTTTTTTCTTGTCGTGTACAGGTGAAATAGAAATACATGATGGCAGTGACCATGCATTATGTGGTATAAACCAGAATCATCAAAAGACAATGAGTGTTCCTAAAGATAGAGTTTAAGAAATAGATCGGAATGGGTCGAAAATTGACAGATGCAACTTGGTGTAACAAATCAAGCTGTAATCTAGCAGGCGATCTGCATTGCTGTTGCCGTGTTGTGCGCATAAATACAACCGTTGCTATGATGGTTTATTTCTGGCTTGAAAGATACAAAATGATACGATCAAGCATATTATTGCCACAAAAGAGCCAACATGCTACGTTGCTTATATACACGATATAGAAAAATCAAGGACAACAATATGGAAAAAGAGGATCAAAGGTAGCTTAGGGAGTAAATATGTAGCGAGTTGTTTGTTTATACACGCACACACACACACACACTCACTTACAGAGGTCATGACAACAGTACGTGAAGATCAATGTATGTATGCCTATCTGCACAAAAAGAAATAAAGGCAGCGTTCTTTTTTTTGTGTCTATAGCTGCTTAGCATTTTCATCGTGAAAAACATGGGATCTCTGGGTACGCAATCAACACTAGCAATGATGAGCACAGAAACCTGGTTTCTTTGTTTTTGCGCGCTAATCTCGATCAAGCATATATATCCAAAATCAGAAGCACAATGAATAGCATCTATCTGGGAAGCAGGTTTTTTTTTTTTTTTTTTTTTTTTTGCTTTTCGAGAAACATTTGAGTTGACTATGCGTTTCATTCTCTCACACTCACTCACACACAATCTCTCTATAAAATAACATTTACATCAAAGAGTCCCTATGATGGGCATACTGTCATCCCTGCGTACATGACATGTACACTAGCAAGACATTTCTCCCCGTTGCTTTCTTTTTCCAGGTAGACTAGCACACTTGCTCGGTTTCTTTCTCTTTCTCTTGCTGTGTCGATGGCAATTATATCATTTAGAAATTAATTTGAGAAAGTACAAGTAATTTTGGATACAAAGCCCAAATGTAACGTACACATGCATAGGGGCGTGTACGACATCAGACTCTTTTTTTTTTTTTTTTTTTTTTTTCGCTGAAAGGGGTTCAGCTTCCAGCATCCCATCGTTCAAGGGCAACACTTGATGTATCGACTAGATGGTTTACTTTAAAATATGAGACAACAATAGATGGACACTATTTGCATTTGGATAGACACATTTGCGCAGTAAAATGCACATTCAATCCATCAGTGCAACTAGATTTCAGGAAGTAAGAGAAAGACATTTACTGCACATGTTTGACTCCCTTTCCCTCCTCTTTTTTTTTATGTGCGTGTGTGTGTGTGTGTCGCATCTCCTTTTCCTCAATACACCGAGTTTTGTTATTTTAGACTGTGTGTATACAATCCATCCTGTTTGGAACAATCCCCTATTGTCAACATGTAGAAAGGGATGTTGTGAAACAGACAAGCAGAACAAGAACCGCAAGAGACAAAGAAATAGCAAAAACTTGTCATTTGCCCATCCACAGCTGCTGAATCATCAGGACCGTATGTTATCCTTCTCAATCCTAGAGACTGCATATATGTATAGGTGTGCGACTAAATATACACATGCATACATGTTGCAAATCATTTGCATGGAAAGCAGCAGCAGCGTGCATCTACTGTAGTATTTTATTTTCGTCATTTTTTTGTCCATTTGTAGATAAAAATGATACTACTAAATCCACTATGAACTTCAAGGAGTCTCTCTCTCACTAAAAAAAATCGTTAGTTTGAGAAAGAAACCTACCATGATAGCGGTCAGTGTCCAGTATGCTTTTTTTTTTGTGTCGATCCTTCATCACAACATGTTGGTTTAGATATCAATTACATAAACCATGTGAATCATGTACATCCATAACTGACATGTCCATGCAATTGCACCTTTGGAATATGCTTGTAAACACTGCATATTGAATCAGCAGTGTGTATACCATCTCATCGCACATGTGCCGCAACGATTGCCACTTGTGTACAGTTACAGGAATGATGTAGATCAGCATTTGGAACAACCAATGATAATATATTTGCTCTATCGTAAGCAATCCTTTGGAAAAAAAACCATGTCTACCAGTAAGAATGAAGCTTACAGAAGGAGAAAAAAGGGAGTGAATGATGAGAAAGGCCAATATTTCCATCAGGGCAATGTGCGAATAGGATGGCAATGGTAGCAAATTTACACTGATTGAAATATGGAGCATGATTAAAACAGATGGTACAAATGGTAAAAAAAAAAAAAAAAAAAAAAAAAAAATAGAGGTGATGATAGGCATAATGTGATTTGCCACCTACTTTCCATACGCTTCAAGAACATTCATCACTGTATTGCTTTCATGATGAAAAGGGCATTCAGTTTGCCAGCCGGCTCCACAAGCTGCCAAAATCAATTTCCACCCAAACTTTTAGTCTACTTTAGATTGGCCAAATTCTGCTAATTTCGACTTGATTAAACTGCTTTGCAAGATTCGATTATATAAAAGGTGATGATTACCCCATGCTTCCTTAAGCTTTCCTGGAGTACTTTTCAAGGCGTATCCGATGGCATCAAGTAAGATATATGTTTTGAATAAACTTATTGAGTAATTTATGAAGATATGAAAAGAAGTTTATGGTCAAAATGTCGGGATTTTACATATCAAAGTCCCACAAAGATGATTTCAAATGTTACGTTAGATCGATAGAAACATTTTGATTCAATACATACCATAGTAAAACTCTTCGTTATCAAGGTGCAAAACGCGATCGTTTGATTTTCGATGAAAACCATGAGGCACCCCTCATGCTTTTTGGTCGAATTTTGTCCATAATTTTTTGGTTCCCAAAAAGTCAAGCAAAGGTATCAGTAAGCAAGTGTTGAATGAGAGCAACTATTGAGTGCTATTCTGGCGGGCTGAAACGGCTTCAAACACGAGAAATGACAGCTCAAATTCACTCGGATTTTGCTGTGCTTTGCTTATTATAAAGTAGTAGGATGTAATGTAAGTATGCTGTTTGTCCGTTTCTTAATTGCTCCCATTAAAGTAAACATGGAGCATCCCGGTGCAGTCAGATCCACTAGTATAGACCGATCATGGAGAGCCTTCGTACATTTGTGAAGCACTGAAAAGTGAATTTTCGATGCAAATTTGAAGCCTATATAAAATTCTACTGAAGTGCTATACATTTTGAACATGCCGCCAGTTTCAATGGATGAAGGTACTGTAATTTTAACGATTGCAATCTTTTTAATAGACCCATTAATAAATAGAAATTTCACGATCTCATTGTGATTATTGCATGTTGAATCAGCACGGTGATCTTTAATCATGTGCTGCAAAGATCGCCAAAGTGATGCAAGTCGAAAGTTATGACCTCCAAGGTATCACTTGCAAAGTTCAATATTCATGTATGATATAATTTTCAGAGAGAAAGAGAGGTAGTAAAGCGCCGTGAACAAGAAAAAGGCGCATGTTTCCAGTAGACCAAAGTGTATATTATAGGGTTACTATGGCAACAAATTTTTATTGATTGGGAAAATCGAAAATAATTAAAACTGTTTGAAATGGAATTAAATAAAGCTATGATTAGGGATATATATTTGAAACAGTTTAAATGAGACCATCAGTAAAGCTGGCACGGTTAGCTCCCTCGCCATCAGAATCGCCCAAGACAGAGTCAACAAGAGGAACGCTTGAAAGTGTAGAGCGCTTTTCCATGGTCTTCTCATTAGCCTCGTTCTCATCAGTCTCGGGTTGAGTAACTTCTTTCTCCTCTTCTTCGTCTTCGTCCGTTTCGCTTCGACGAGTAAGCTCCTCCTCGTCCTCCTCTTCTTCATCGTCCTCCTCTTCATCCTCGTTAGCTTCGGAACGGCGGGCAAGTTCATCCTCGTCCTCCTCATCTTCGTCTTTCTCATCCTCAGAACGGCGGGCAAGTTCTTCCTCATCCTCTTCTTCTTCATCGGCCTCATTTTCAGCAGCAGTAACCTCTTTCTCCTCTTCTTCGTCTTCGTCCATTTCGCTTCGACGGGTAAGCTCCTTCTCGTCCTCCTCGTCTTCGTCTTTCTCGTCTTCAGAACGGCGAGTAAGCTCTTCTTCTTCTTCTTCTTCTTGGACAGCAGCAGCAGCCATCTTGGAACGGCGCATTACCTTGCTAACACTACTTTCATTGACCTTGTTTTCATCAGCTTCTTCCTCATCAGCTTCGCTCTCGTCTTCATCTTCTTCGTTCTCATTCTCATCTTCCTCCTCCTCGTCGGCTTCGTTTTCACTACGACTGGCAAAGCGAGCCAAGTGACGACGACGAATAGCATCAGCAACCTTTCTACGGGATAAGGCACCAGAAGCAACATTAGCACGAAGGTCATTGGCAATGTCATAGACATTGGCACCGTTGGCGATACCAGACAAAGTGTTGTGGGCTCTGACATCAGTATCCTGGGCCCTGATAGTATCAGCAGCAACAGCAGCTACAGCAGCAGCGAGTAAACCGAGCGAAAAGAACTTGATTTGCATGTTGATTGATTATAAGAAAAGTAGTTTGTGTTGGAGATAAAAGAAAGAAAAAGCCAACAGATGATTTGAATAATGCTGCTTTATATACTCGAATTGTGTCTTGCTGTTATGTAGTATTGGTTTGATATTCAATCAGCATTTATGCATCAAAAGGGGGGGGGGGTTTCTTTTTTTTTCAGCGTTCAGAGCATTGACTGTAAGGCAACGTGGATTGTGCAATTCTTCCATAGGATGGTATAGCTTTGTTTTGTATGTATATGTGTGAAATCAGGCGATTTCGATGTTTGAGCATTTTGACATGCAGCCAAGGCACAGCGAGCAAGCGAGCATATACCACAATCCCTCATTTTCCTGTTGCCTGACTCTCGCAAAACAGACCGAGTCTCTTCTCCCTTTCTGTATACTAGAGTTTTTGAGATGAGAGATGGCGACTCTATTTTAATGTAGGCTCTATAGAGCAAATGGGGTCATCAAACAAGTTTTTTTTTTAATACTTTGACTCGAGTCTTGTTGATTTGCATTTTGAAACACAATCTTAATGGAGGTAACTTGAATTCTTAGTATACATGTCTGTATCTCGGATGTACATCCAAACAAAGCAAGATACAAGCCATTCAAATAAACTAATTCAAATACGTTGGCATGAATCTTGGTGTATGCTCTCTCAAATCAATCAATAACATGACGATACTAGCTTCAAAACGCCCAGAAAAAGGCCCGAGAATCACTTGCAACACACTGTATCAAAGGCATCACCTATTATGGTACCTGATGAAAGGAGGAGGAGCCATTTGACAGGCTACATTTCTCAGATCATTGTGATTCCCATCAAGGAGGAAGATCTATTCATAAAGGATAGCCGCCATCAAAACAATCAATGGTTTTGATTACAGCCGAGCAGTTGAAATTTACAAATTAGATCATATACACATGATATAATGCAGATCACATCTAGTGCATATTAGCATACAGTGAATACATGGCTCACTTGATAGGTTTGACACATTCTTGAGAATAAATGTACAATAAACACAGATAATTCAGCGTCTGTGCATGGTATAAACGATGATGTATATACATATACAACTCATTAACTCTAATTCCGCACTAAAATAATCATACGGTCTCCTTATTCAAAGTGTGAGGCGCTCCTCTCTCGCGTAGTATCCATGGTAACCTCCGCCCCTCCCCTCCCCCTTCCTCCTTTTCCTACCCTTCTTGAAAGCCCCTCAACTCTTTTCTGTCGATTGCATGTGCAAGTAAATCAACAAACAAAAATAGACTGATGATCCTTTCTTTATTTATCCAATTCGACTCGTGATGGATGATCTGGATCCACAAAGCAGCAAAACAAACAAGCACGCCCTTCCGCTCTGAAGGATTGTATTTTGATTGCCACTCAAACCACAGCTGTTGCCGCTGCTGGCTTCAACGATCGAAACAGCTTTTGCATTTCAAAGAGCCCTAATTTAGCTTGGTACAGACAAGAAGATTTAATACATGAAACTGCTTGAAATATGAATTGTTTGTTATTAATAAACTTACGTATAGGCACTTGCATAGATAGCACAGATCGAATCATGTCTTCCACTTGCTGGATTGCATCTGTTTGGAAATAGACCAAGATCAATAGTGGCATCTCTGATATCTCTGACTGCAACAGTTGGCTCAGCACTTTGGATAAATCGTTCTATCGTTTCTCTTGTTTAGTCTTTTTGTGCTTGTTGTAGGTATATGACATGTACCTGTTTTCTTAAAAACTGGTCTGCCGATAAGAGTATTAAGCACAATAAAAGTTTGACTAGTCTAGTCATACGGGTGCCATCAGTGATTTGTCTCTTTTCTTTTATAGAACTTTCTCCAATACCTTTCTGATCGTGTCTTGCCAAGCAATTTGATGCAGACAGCTACTTCATCTTCCTTCAATTTGATGCCAAAATAAGCTACAATCCCAATCAATGCTCGGAGAGCAAATGAGACTGCCACAGTGTTCATCTGTTCACTCTGCCAATTTCAACAAGTCAACACCATGTAAATGGCATTGTATTCACAATGACACCAGCACTACAACTTACCTGGACATTGGATTCGATGCTTGCCATGATTCGATTCTTCATCTTTACGAAATACTGTCCACTATTCACAGACTGCGCCAAAAACCATGTTGAGTTGGTGTAGAAAATACCGTTTAGAAATTCAACCTAAACCCCACCGCCATTGTTAGTATGCATTTGCATCTGCCACAGATCAACTTACAGTATCGCGACAATACACCACTGTCAGTCGAGTAATGAGGTCCGGTAGTATTCGCATCTCTGCTAATTTGAACCTGAGCACAAATGCATATTCTGGATATTCCTCTATCGCCTTGTAAATCATTTCGCTAGAGTGCCCAATCCATGTACATTAATAGGTCATGCCAGTTTTCGCTCATTCTCGCTTTTAGTACCTCAGTTGAATTGAATATCGAGAGTCCAATCGATGCACGCAATGCAGTAAATGATCTATAAACTAGCGTCGGCAATGCTGTTTAATCCCTGTTGCTGGTCTGACCTACAGTGCCATAACCAACCTCTTTGTACGTAATCTCGTTGTTTTTCGCTAATCCTTTGATAATTTCTGATCTCGTTGACAAGTGAATGAACCCCTCTAATAGGTACTACAGAAGCAGATCCATCCACGTGAGTGTGCATGCCAGGCACTGATGTGATCCTAGGTTACCTTCCATGACAGCAGATTTCCTTGATCCCCTTCTATTTCATCAAATAGCTCAATGATATCCACTACAAGCATTCCATTTTCTTTTAAAAAGGCTTCATTGTTTAATAATCGCGTTACTGATCGTATGTTTTTGTTGGCACGGTCAATGGGCTCTGTTTTTACAGTGAATTGTATGAAATAAAGCTCACAAAGCACTTCGCTAGATGGGTGGGTAATAAGTATGTTGGTTGACTTGACAGGGTGTACTATTGAACTCACAATTTCCAATCTTGCTGCCCGACTGTCTTATATTGCACCTGTTGCCAATGTATCGAGAGTGAGTAATTGGCCCATGTTCAAGTGGTTTTGTCAACATACGAGTGCTTCTTCTAGTCCAATTTTAGTGGCTGTATTCTTGAATTCGGTATATTTTGCTATCAGGTCATGTTGAAGTTGTGTATTCATGCTTTTTTTGCTTTATGAGAATGATCAGTCTGTGAAGAAAAAAGAGTTTATTTTGGGTCGCGCCACTAATTTATTTATTACCTCGCGATATGAATTTTATGAGACATCAAATATGAGGCGTGAATCAATATGCAATGCTAAGAGGCTAGTGGTATAAGATGATGCATTGTATGTGATGGTTGTATTTAAATGGTTGTTTAATTAAGCTCAAATCAACGCTGACATATTGAGTTGACTTGTCAAGACATGCTTGGCAGCACTGGCTATAAAAGACGATTCAATATGTGTGAATAGTATGCTTGTGATGGCCCAGTATTGCATTTGACGCATATATGGCTGTGACTCTGAGTCTTTTGATATAACCTACTACGTCTGTGTCAACCAGGAAAACTTATGTATAGGGAGACAGCGCACTTTCATTACCTCTCTTTATTCAAAATTAAGCAAAAGACAGCAAACCTAGTGTGTATTTGAGCAGCGTTTTCTCACGTTGGAAGTCGTTTCAGTGTGCCAGAATAGTATCAAACCATTGCTTTCATCTAGCACTCACTTTCTGCCACCCTTGCTCAACTTTTTGGGGACCAAAAAAAAAAAAATATGGCCAAAAATTGACCAAAAAGCATGAGGTATCCCTCATGGTTTTCATCGAAAATCAAACAATCGCATTTTTTTTTACCTTGAAGATGATGACTTTTACTATGGTATGTATTACATCAAAATGTTGCTATCGATCCAAAGCAACCCTTGAAACGTCGTTTGTGTATCTTTTATATGTAAGTTTTTGACATTTTTGCTAGAAACCTCATTTCATATTTTTTGATATTGCTCGATGCGTTTATTATAAACATCTGCCATAAGCACCATCATTCGATGCGCCTTGAAAAGCACTCCAGAAATGCATTAGAAAGTATAAGATGATCATCGCATCTAATATAGTCCAATTCTGCAAAATAGATGAATCTAGTCGTTTTTTAGATCAAAATCTGTCCAATCTGGAATAGACGTTAAGCGAGAATTCAATTGATTTTGAGTGCTTCTGATATCAATGTAATCTACGATCTTGAAGCTAATATAAAGAGGATTGCAATTTGAAAAAAAGTATTATAGTAGCTTATTCTCTCTACTTTTGCCTGATTCTGAAGCACATTTTGTTTCTGACACTCGGATTAATCATTGTTTATTACATATTCAAATAAATGGCCTAATATGAAACGCAAACTTTCTTGCTATTCAAAATTGCAAATGGCACTTGAGGTTTGATGTACTGTACATTGAGATACCACTACTAGGCTATACTATAGCAGCCACTAAGGCAATGCTATAATACCATATACGCTTGGGAACCTAATGCCAAATGTCCATTTTATTAAAGTGTAAGGGCCATCACATCTCCTGTTACTAGGAATTTTTAGCAAATAGATGGCAATACTAATTATGAAATACATGTGAGGTTTCTACTGAGCACTAACGAAGACAGACAACTGGTTTATACATACACACTTTTTTAAAAATCATGCAAATACTGTATTTTGAGGCGGCGTCATGTCACCCAAGTGTTCTACAGGCCCAAAAGCAGCGGATCAAGATTGCCTTTTACTTGGATACACATTGTAAAATATAGCTTCAAATGGGTTTGCTTGCACTACTGCCAATATGCTCACTCTAATTGAACGATGACTTTTTGTTTGTTTGTTTTCCGTGCAACTTGCCAACATTCTTTTCAAAGAAGTAAGAGCATATCCTGTTGGTGACAGTAGCACCAGAACTTTGACAGCTCTGCTTGTACATATAAAATAGTGAATACATGTAATTTATATACTGCAATCACTGCAAAACTATACTGATAAAGAACCCGTTATTGTTTACATTTTGCTCGAACTTTTCAAATCCAAAGCGAATCAAATTGTTCACTTTCCGTTATCAACCGAATACAAGATGTAAATGTAAACAAGCTGACTGTGTTTAATCAATAAACGAAATAAACCATATGAGTTTATATCATATCTTGTGTGTATACAGTAGTAATAATGCATATCATATTGTAGGGCAGTTGAAGGCGATTCCAATGGTATTAGTTGCATTGTCTCTGGATGCCAGTAGCGTTCAGAATTGCGTTTGAAGTGTTTTTTGCGTGTCTCCTTAAATTGTTGCTACTGTAATCAAGGTATAAAAGGTAGAAGATTTCTCTCTTTATCTCACGTCCTTTCTTTATCTTTTTCTTCATCTTTTTTTTTTTTTTTTTTTCTCTCAAAAACAATAGACGCTACTAGAAGACTGGTGATCATGTAAGTATATTTGTCTTGTCTGCACATAACGGATGGTAACATGCTCTGAATCAGGGTGGTTCACAATACAAGGCTTATGGTATTTCAAGACTGGTTCTATTCTACTTGACGGCTTTCTTTGGATACTTTTGGTTCTCTCTGGTTCTCTTTGGATACTTTTGGTTCTCTCTGGTTCTCTCTGGTTCTCTTTGGATACTTTTGGTTCTCTTTGGATACTTTTGGTTCTCTCTGGCTCTCTCTGGCTCTCTCTGGCTCTCTCTGGTCCTAGTATATAGATATTTATATTTATTTGGTCGTATTCTTTCGCATGGGGGATTTTTAAGGGCACACTCTGAGGTTTTCAAGTCTTTGGTACTTTGTCTTTTGAGAGTTTCGTGTCTTTGGTGTGAGGGTTTCTCTAGTAAGTCTTCTGGAATAAGTCTTCTGTAGTAAGTCTTCTGTAATAAGTTTTCTGTAGTAAGTCTTCTGTAATAAGCCTTCTGTAATAAGTCTTCTGTAATAAGTCTTCTGTAATAAGTCTTCTGTAATAAGTCTTCTGTGTTGTCATGTGTTTCCCTTCCCCCATGCCTACTTTCACTTTTTGGGTTGAGATTGGTCTCCACCTTCTCGTGGTTCAACCTGTAAGCTTTTTGTAAAAGCAACCAAGAGAGACCATTATTTTTTACAATAAATAAAATGAAAAACTATACAATACACATTAAATGCGTGTGCCTGATATGAGTACACATTAAACATTGCTTATTTTATATCAATAAAATCTTGTATTTGCCCAGGAAATTATAAATGTCGATATGAGATGCAAAGGGTATAAGTTTACTGCTATGGAAATCAATAATTCGGATTGGATGTATTAGCTGCTTTTGATAAGCTCTTTGGATCCGAAGGAGGCAGCTTATCTTGCCATGCAGATATAAGTACATCAAAGCCTAAGCTCGCATATGTAGGTGTTGGGGACTATGCACGCTGTAGTTTTGCCTCATGTCAAACATGAGTCTTTGCGTCTATGTTGGCTGGGCTTGTTCTGGTACGCTGAATGATGCTACAGCCAAGGATGACCTGGCTAAATGGCTGTATCTTTGTATATTTCGTTGTCATATATTTCATTTCAACAAAATCCCGGTTACCATGGACGGATGGAGACGGCGAGCATATTGATATGTCAGACAATGATTACATGGCTCGCTTGACTCAATTTTACTTTGGATGGAAGTGGCCTTCAACGATCTGATACACGCATTACCCTTTATTACTCGATTGTGCGCAAAACACAGCGTATTTTAGATGCATTTGAGCCGTGATTTCTTGTGTTAGGATCCATTTTAGACCACCAGAATAATACCAAACAATCTCTCTCATCTAGCACTAACTGTCTGACACTTTTGCTCAACTCTTTGGGGACCAAAGAAACATGGACAAAAATAGACCAAAAAGTATGAGGTACCCCTCATGATTTTCATTGAAAATCAAACGATCACGTTTTTTACCTTGATAATGAAGACTTTTACTATGGTATACGAGCCTTTCAGCACTTCGGGTGGTTTCCTGACCTACGCTTCGCTTCGGTGGAAACCAACCTTCGTTCAAACGGCTCGCGCTGCCGCGGGCCTTTGGCTAATATCCCAAAATTAATATAGCTAAAATGTTAGAAGAGGAACCCTGATTGTTGATTGATATATAATCACTAATCATATGAGTGTTTATGCTTCGGATGGTTCTCACCGAAGCGTAGCGAAGGTAGAGAACCAACCTGCGCAGCGGTAGCTCGTGCTACTGATTGCTCTTGCGTATTTTATCAAAATACTGCTACTTTCATTTTGACCTTCCACTTACACATAGTAACCTTTCATATTATCTGTGGATCTGATTCTTATGTGATGTTCTACATCCATATACACGTAGCTACTTCATATACGGGCAAGCAGCATACTGGTATTCCCACTTTTTAATCCTTAGTGTCCATAATACAGCAAAATATGAGTGCATTTGAGCTGAATTTTCTTGCGTTCAAGGCCGTTTTAGATCGTCAGAATAGTCCCAAATGGTTGCTTTCATCTGGCAGTTACTTTCTGACACTTTTGCTCAACTTTTTGGGCATCAAAAAAACATGGTCAAAAATCGACCAAAAAGCATGAGGTATCCCTCATGGTTTTCATCGAAAATCAAACGATCGCATTTTTCATCTTGATAATGGAGACTTTTACTATGGTATATCTTGAATCAAAATGTTTCTATCAATCCAAAGCAACCTCTGAAATTATCTTTGTGGGGCTTTGATATGTAAAATTTCGACATTTTGGCCATAAACCTCTTTTCATATTTTTACAAATCATTTAATAAGTGTATTCAAAACATCTATTTTACTTAGTACCATTGGAAGCGCCTTGAAAAGTACTCCAGGAAAGCTTAAGGAAGTATGGGGTGATTATCATACTTCACTTAGTCGAATCTGCAAAAATAGCTCGATCGAGTCCAGAATCATCAAAATTTGTCCAATCTAGAACAGACTATGATTCTGGGTTTGAATTAATTTTGGTTGGTAGGGCCAGCTGGAAAACTCATGCCCTTTTCATAAGGCAATACAGTAGTAAATGCCCTTGAAGCGTATAGAAAGTAGGTGGAAGGTCATAGCACTATCGTTTACAATGATATTTTATTGCCTTCTATATCGTTCATAATGACATTGTCTTGCATTCTATATTTAATAACGTTAGTCTGGACATTGACGATTCATGGGCTGCGTAAGATGTCTGCAGTAAGTAGTGAAATCTCTAAGGCTCCAAGACGTTGTTCAAAGAGAACATTGACAGCATTGAGCAGAGGAAAGAGGGTAGAACTAACTGTCGTTTTTGTTGATTGATTGTAAAATCATTATTCACATATGAGCCAGGCCTGACAAATGCCTTGAAACTCAGGTTCCATATTAGGGTTGTAAAAGTGTCTAGGGACTACGTTATGATAACTGCACTGATATTTCACTGAAAGAAATTAATCACTGAAAGTCATCTCTTACTAAACGTTATCTCTTTCAGCGAGATCTGTGAACGTTTTCCTATATCATTCAATGAGAAATACTCGATATGATCCAGTGATTTCAGATTTTGATCAGGGCCATAAATTAGGTAAAATGGTTTGCTATTATGGTTTAATCATTTCAGTCTTCAAAGAGATTCAAAGTTCGTAACAATAACTCTTTCTACTACATACGGATCGTTTATTTGTGCATCTTCAGTTCAAGGTATGTGCTATATTAGGGTATGATCTAAGACTTGGTAGTTCTATTGATGCTAGAGGCTTCAGTTAATAAAGTCTAATGTATAGATGTATGCACATTTGAGATGGAAATCAGAAGTTTCTTCAAAACTAACTCAAACAGAAAAAAGAATACTCATTTATACAGTTGATGCCATGTATAGTTACTTGCAAAAGGTCTAACCATTGTATTTTGAATGCTGCTTGATGGAAAATGGATGCTGGCCATTGGCTGGAATCTTGCGCTCCAACTTCACCCCCGTATATAAGCTGATCGCCATGTCAAATGTATCGAGTACCTTTTTTTTTTTCCACACTATGAACACTTTAATCAAGGTAATAAGAATACAGTTGCGAGTTACGACATTACCACTAAACAAGGCATGTAGCGCACAGTATCAACACAATCCGTAAAGAAGGCTCGTCGTGTATTTTCAGGCATTCAGCCCACGGGCACACCTCATTTGGGTAATTATCTTGGTGCTCTGGCCAACTGGACTCGATTACAAGAACCAGATGCAGTGACAGGCGAGGTCCCATTGAACTATTACAGCATTGTTGATTTGCATGCCATTACTATGCCTCAGAATCCAGCCGCATTACGACAAGCCAAGATGGATGTGGCAGCCACGTTACTCGCCTGTGGCATTGACCCTCAACGCTCTGTCTTGTTTGAGCAAAGTCGAGTTGGATCCCATGCCGAATTGACCTGGATATTCAACTGCATCACACCTGTTGGATGGCTTGGGCGCATGACACAGTGGAAGAGTAAATTGGACAAAGTGAGTGGGTCCCATGCGCAATCATTGACAGACGAGACGTTGACCTCGGGTTTGAAAATGGGGTTGTTCGACTACCCTGTGTTGATGGCTGCTGATATTTTACTGTACAAAGGAACCCATGTACCTGTTGGTGAGGACCAGATTCAGCATTTGGAGTTGGCAAGAGACATTGCAACCTTGTTCAACAAGACATTTGGCTATACATTTCCCAAACCAGAAGCTATTGTGCCACCAGCAGCCAAACGAGTCATGTCTTTGCGAGATCCCACTAACAAGATGTCCAAATCAGATGCATCCGACTTCTCTAGACTGAACTTGATTGATACCCCTGAACTGATTCAGTCCAAGATTGCCAAGGCAACCACAGACGGTATTCGAGGTGTGACATACGATCCGGTGGAGCGTCCTGGTGTATCCAACTTACTGGGCATCTATGCTGCCATGCGCGACATTAGCATGGAGGAAGCAGTGAAGGAGTGCGCAGACATCACCAGCACAAAGGATTTCAAGAACAGAGTATCAGAATCCATCATCACCCGATTGCAGCCCATTCAGTCAGAGCTAGTTCGACTCCAAGCAGATCCAGGCTACGTAGCCAAGGTACTGGATGATGGCGCTATGAGAGCAAATCAAGTGGCTCATGACACCATGGAGCAAGTGTACAAAGCTGTGGGATTAAGATGAAAAATAAATAGAATACTTTATTATGTAGTGGCATGTAAAATGGCGCTGAGACCATAGTGGTCTGATATTTGTGTAAAGGGATATGAGGATGCATTCTTTCCGTCTATGAAAAAGCGTTGTACTGTGATATTGGAGAGTGTCATGGTATGGTTTTGGCTTCTGTTGCCAGCCCATAGCAGTCTGTCTATGCTCTGCACTGTCAGCAGTTGATTATGGCTGGTGAGGATGGTTTCTGCTGGTACCAGTGTGCCATTGGGTGTCTTTTTGTAATCGCCAAATGTCACAGGATGGTATCCAAATGTTGCATACGGCACATCTGTGAGATTGTCGAGGCGCCATGTACTTGTGTAGGACAATCCATCATTCTCATTTTCGCCGCCAATGAGTTTCAAATCAGTGCCTTTGCCTCTTAATACATCCATCATCATGGTGTAAGCAAGTGAACTGTCATGCGAGGGCACATCAGGCAAAGAGCCGTTATGCACAGCAGCGTCCACGTTCAAATCTCCCATCAGCAAAATGGGATGTGTATCGTCCTGAGCCGTGTCTTGGATGAATTGATGGACATGCGCAAACTGACTCAATCTCACTTTGGTATCATCCAAATTCAACTTGCCGCCATTATCATAGGAGGCCTGTGTGTGTGTGGTATAGACATGGACAAGCTGATCCTTGTTGTCGCCCACCTGGATCAGAGCGTGCAGCGCACCCTTGAAGGAGAGCCTGTAATATAATTGACAAGGTTAAATTTTCTGGATGATTCCGTTCTAGTGTAACTATACCAATCTGCATGGACACCACGGGAAAACTCAATCCGGTCGGCTTTTTTAATAGGATACCTTGATAGAATAAGCAAGCCACCATCTCCTCCTAAATCCCAAGGATAGTGTCGAGGTGATGCAACATGATAGTAAAAGCCTTGGTCAAAAGCAGCAATCAGCAGCTGGTCAATACGTCGATTCGCATAGGCAAATGCCTCTTGAATAGTGATGATATCGTGCAATGGCAAGACATGGTTGATTATGTAATCCAGTCGTTCATTCTTGTAGTCGTTTTCATTGTTTTTCACGCCTGGTGGTCGCATAAACATGTTGAATGTCAATAGACGAGGGGATGATGTTGGTGGCAATGATGTAGGAACAGTATCTACATGGCCATTGCTGCTGCTGCTGCTGCTGCTGCTAACAGGAATATGGGGTAATGCAACAGGAGAAAAGTACACTGAGCAGAAAATGACAAAAGATGCAAGGGGCACAATACATGCCACTAGACATACCAGTAAACACGATTTTCTAGTGCGGAAGCAGCAGCAATATCTGCTCTTGTTTCTTGCCATAGAGCATGTCCTTCTCTGTCTCTGGGTTGCAATAAAAGGCGATGAAGCCAGTTCCTCGTCAGACTCACTGTCATGATCTTGTAGTAATCGTTCTGTATCATCTTTTGTAGTTGAACGCTGTAATAGGGGCGCAAATCCCTGCTGATAATGATGTTCCTGGCGACGATCTTGTCTATGTGATGTCGCATAGTCATTGTTCAACATCAAGTGGTCATTTTCAGTGTTGATATCTAATGTCGCTGGTGAGTCGTTCTCCTTGTCAGTCTGCTTGACGGCCGATGCCATTGCGCTACAAGTGATGCAAAAGAAACAAAGGAGCGAAAGAATGAGTATGATATAATGACAAATGGCTATTGTTTAGCTTCCTTCCACACTCAACTACGCCTCTGCCCCGCCTCATTTCCGTGTAATACATTATCCCGGATGCACATGTTTATCCGTATTGTCTCTCTTTATTTAATCTCTGTCTTCATCTAACCATGTCAATAATTCAGGTGTGTAGTAAGTCAAGATCAGTGTGGCACCAGCTCGGATGAAGCCAGTCATTGACTCGAGCACAATCGACTTGAGATCAAAGACACCGGCTTTGGCAGACTGATACAACATGGCATATTCACCAGACACTTGGTATACAGAAATTGGGTAATCAGCCGCAATTTCAGATGCTTCTCTCACAATATCGAGGTAGGGCATACCAGGCTTGACCATAATACAGTCAGCGCCTTCTTCCATATCACGCTTGATGGCACGACGGGCCAAACGACGAGCATTGGCAGGAAGCTGGTAACAACGACGATCGCCAAATGCAGGTGCCGAATTAGCGGCATCACGGAAGGGTCCGTACCAGCTGCCAGCAAATTTGGCAGAGTAGGAAATCAACATGACCTTGTGTGCAAAGCCAGATTCCATCAATCCTTCCTTGATTGCACGAATACGACCGTCCATCATATCAGAGGGAGCGACACACTGAGCACCAGCCTTTGCATAGTTGACAGCGACCTCTGCGATACGCTTGATGGAGAGGTCATTGTTCAATGTACCGTCCTCACGCAACACACCACAATGGCCATGAGAAGTATACTCACACAAACACACATCGCATGCCACAAAGAGATCAGGAAAGTTCTTGCGCAAGAGCTGGATAGCCAAGATAGTAGGACCCTCAGGATCGTCTGCACGGGTGCCCGTGGCATCCTTGACGCCTTCCTTCAAAGGCACACCAAACAGGATGACAGACTTGAGTCCCTTCTTGACCAAAGGTGCAATAAAATCGTTCAATTTGTTGATGCCAATACGATATTGACCGGGCAGTGAGTCAATGGTGTCAAAGGCCTCGGGATCGTCAGTAATGAACATGGGATACATGAGCATGTCCTTTGTCAGTGTTCTTTCGGCTTGCCATGAACGAGACAAGGCGTGGTGATAGCCTCCATGAAGAATGGCATTGGGAGGAGTCATTTTGTAAAGAGTGCTGAAAAGTAAAAGAGTAAGGAAAAAGAGAGCTACGAAAATTACCCAGGCTGTAGAGTCTAAATAATCTATGTGCGCATCGGTCATATAGTCAGACGTTTGATATTGATTTATCATACTATTTTTATTGAACTGATCCAATCACATTTCCATTAGCGTATTATAAATCAAGTTACAGTGCCACTTTCTTTTTATTCAATAGGATGGAATGAGGGATCAAGATGCAGATATACCATATGCCCTTAGGTGGCTCACAGATGGGCCTCAGCTTATCGTAGCAAAAGGCCTGTTTGCACCATCGGCTTCGCACAGGGCCATGTGGTGAGACAATGTGGACTATAGACTCGCCAATTTGGTACATAATCTTGACTGTTGTGAGATGCGGATTGCAGTCAAAGATGAGCTCACAAATGAACGGATCCTTGGTGTTTCTGTCTTTTGGCGGACACAGGTCAGCGGCGAATTTGATCAATTGAGGACATTTGCCAAAGACGTACTGGTTCATCGTCTGACTAAACGCTCGCAATTGCTTGGCTGAATTGCAGTAAAAGTGCTTTAGTTCCAAGTACTTCAAGCTGTGCTCTGGTATCGTCAGACTCTCCTCTGTGATACGACTGATATTCATAAATTGCACCGCCAAGTGCTCTAGATGCGGTGCTCGACTGAGCAAGTGTGGTATGATGCGATGCTCGTAGCCCTCCTTTCTGCTTGGCAATTCCTTGAACATCTTTAGCGTCCTGAGCCCTGTAAACAGTAGTAAAAGCAGCAATATGCCACGTCCCATTTCACCCTCCAGCGTCACATTGCCCTTGGTGTAAATATCAAGGTGTTCGACTGTATGGCGTTGTGCCGATTCCTCTAAACCCTTGATCTGGATGCCATTTGTCTTTTCATGAACGTACACAGTGAGGTGCTTCAGGCGTATGTTACTCTTATCCATTGCTTTTAGTAGCTGTCCTGACAGCTGACAAAGCTTCATGCCGTACGATATCAAATGGGCTAGTCCGCTAAAGGACGACATCTACAGCTTGTCAAATACGCCCTTCAGAAGGTATACCTCGTGCACTTTGGTGATGTTGATGGCCAATTCGGTCAGATTAGGGTATTTCGCTGTGACATATTTGAGCCACAGACTCTTGCTGTTGTGTTTGGCATTCATTTCTGATTGCATTCCATCCATGCTCTGATCAAACTCCAGTGCAAATGACTTCATCTTCAATGCCAACTTTTTGAGCGTGATTTGTTTTGTGTGTAGAATGTGTGGGAAAGCCTTTTTTTGTGAGTATTTGGATCGCATTGGTATCAAATCCTGCAAATACGTCAATTAGCTTGAGTGTGGTCAGGTTGGGCGCATACTGTTCATGATTTTCTTCCAAGTCAAATGGTGTGATGTGCAAACGCTTCAGCTCTAAAAACGTGAGGTTGGGCGCATTCTTCAAGAGGGGTATCATGGGCCTTAGTTTAGCCTCGTAGTTGAATGCGGCTTCCATTTGCATCTCTCCTTGCGAAAAGGCACAATTGTAGAACGCATAGCTAATGTGTTTCAAATAGACAGTTTTGTGTGGCGATTTCAAGATGGGCATGACAAATGGATAATGCAGGTTGTCCTCTACAATGTACTCCAAACGCTTTAATTTCTGCACAGAACGCTCATACGCTGTCATGTCGCAAATATGCTCCATCTCCATGAAATCGAATCCAGAGTACGTGACAAATCCTGATGTGAGTTTCTTGAGGTGACTGAAGAGGGTGATGAGATTGATATCGTCGCATGGAAAGTAGATTTCGAGCTCTTCCACGGTCTGGATAAGCTTTTCGTTGCCTGGTCGTTTAAATGTATTTACCGCGTTTTTCAGGCTGTGGCCTTTAAATAGTTCAATCTTGTGGTAGAGCAATCCATGAAATGTAATGGCAATGTGCCAGTTTCTGCAAACAAGTGCGTACTTGAGTTTGTCTTCAAAACATAGGTATTTCGTAATCTCACGTAAGACGTCAGTGGGTATCAGATCCATTGATGAACAATGGAGTGTGTATAGTACAGCAGGAAGAAAAAGGGATTCAAGAAAGAATGTGATCCATATTTGATTGATACAGTATAGACTTTTTGATGGTTACAAGCAAAATGCAATCTTGATAGTTCTGCCGGTGGTGTCCTTCCTTGAATGGGATAGCTACTACCAACTACTTTGGTACCAATGGAAGTGAGGAAACAAGTGTGTTGATGGAGCTGAAAGCTTCTCACAAAGAACTTCAGTGAATGTCCATGGAGCAGATCCGTAATTCACTCAGGCAGATCTGTAAAATCTCATTGACATTTCATAACAACCAAGACTTTCAAGCAACAACATACTGTAATCTTAAGTGCGTTGAATGTCGAAAGGCCGCCAAAGGCTGTTCTGTGCGTCTGTGATAGCAGTAAATGATGATATCAAGCATATATTTGTTTTAGGATGCTGCTGAAATAACAGCAAATGGAGATTGAATTTTATGCTGGAAAAAAACATTTTGGCGTTCAAAATCGACTCAATTTCACATCTTTTGAACGTTTTTGCAAAATTCGACTATATAAGTCGCAACGATATGGTCATACTTACTAATGCTTTCTCGTAGCGCTTTTCAAGCCGCATCTAATGAGGGTATCTAACGAAGGCAATTTGATTAAACTCGTTGAGAAAATCTTGAAAATATGAAATCGGATTTTAAGCCAAAATGTCGAGATTTTGCATGTTGAAACTTCACAAAAGCGGTTTCAAGAGTTGCTTTGGATCAAGAGAAACATTTTGATTTGATATATGCCATAGTAAAAATCTTCATTTTCAAGATGAAAAATGCGATCGTTTGATTTTCAATGAAAACCATGAGAGATACCTCATGCTTTTTGGTTGATTTTTGGCCATTTTTTTTTGGACCCTAAAAAGTTGAGCAAAGGTGTCAGGAAGTTACTGCTACTCAAGTACAATTGTTTGACGTTATTCCGATGGCTCAGAAATACCTACGTGTCAAGATATGAAGAATTGAAAGCTGTCAAATTTGGTTAGGTATTGCTTTATGGTTTTTATTTACCCGATATAAATCACATCTTTAGTAGTTGAAGTCTTCTGAAGAGGCAGTTCTGCAGTCTGTGCAACTTCTAATTCGAATAGGAGGCATATTGATTTTGGTAAAGCTAATTCATACAAATTTTGATGCGCTATGTTGCTGGTAAGCTTATTAGCACTAAAAATAAAAGGCCAGATTGACTGCTTGAATACTATGGTTTCGCATATTCGCTTCGATACAATCAAGCCCTCATATAGATCAATGTTACCAAATGTTGGATTAGACGCCTTATTACCATAGCTTTGCACTGTTGCTTCACTATGGTAACCCCCCCTATAAACCAATGCTATCTAGTGTTGAATTAGATGCGTTACGTTCTTCCCCCAAACTCCCTCTCCAATGCCGGCTTCGTCTATCATTTATTCACCTTGTACAGCACAATTCTTTAAATTTTGAAAGGATATGACTAGCTTGTCTGAATGCTTTACAGTATATATAGTGAAGGTTTAATGCAAGGGCTTAATTTTAGTTTTTGAGATTCATTTTTGTTGTATCCAAGCTTAGAAAGATACACATATAGTAATAAAGAGGATTTCTACAGACACTTGAAAAGGAATGTATAGAAATGACTAGACACTAAAAGCTGAAGAACCTTTATTGAAAGACGTTACGGGATCCTTTTATACAAATCAACATCGTTCAACAAAGTCAATCTTCCTTTAACAATCAGGAACTAATAGGATAGAGTTCCTACAATCCTTATATAACATAGTACTTTTCAGGAAACATCCGGTTATTTGCTCGATTGAGATTGATATTCTAGTAAATACAGCATCACAGCCCAATTAACCTTAACAGGTTCGAACCCTGTATATTCCCAAACATCTACAGCCCAACCTTTATAGTTCCTTCTGTCATTAAGAATGAGTAACAATGAATGTCTTGATCCGATCATATCTGAGTTGTGTAGAACTCATCTAGTCCGACAAGCTCAACACAGCAGTAGGTCCTTCTCTAAAGATGAAATGCAATTCTATTAAATGAAACTAACTTCGGTTCCGTAATTCAACACCTGTTTTCTCATCTACTGCCAGAAAAGCAATATTGTGCCTCTGTAATAAGTTATATTGTTATAGAGGTTATCTCTATCATTTCAGCGACTAGTTGCACTTAAAATCATCTGGAATACTCATACTATGCGCTACAAGTGTGCGTAACGTAAATAAAAGATCGCCATTCATCTGATGTGACAATGTAATTTAACAAGTTGCAAATAATTTTTTGCTGACTCGATTTTCGGTGCGACATTCTAGGTATCACGTCAACTCACTTTGTAAAGAAAACCGCCTATGTCTTACCATGTTTGTCAACTGGGTAGATCAATGATTGACGCTACTGTGTGGCATTTAGAAGCAACTTAATAAAATCGAACTCATCATTACGAACTGAAACGCTGAAGATGTCTGCGTGTTTGTTGGAAAAGAATTTAATGGCTCTGGTATTCATTTTGTCTATGCTGTCTAAATGTTTGCCTGACTATGCTACATGTTGCACATTTCGTGGTTGCAGTTGATTTATGCCTTTTACAGTGCTGTAGACATTTATCGACACTGAGTGTTCTCCTCTCTGAGCGAATAGTGCCGCAAAAATGTGGTATCGAACTATTTCACTGGTTCAAGACATAGAAGGTTCTATTATTTTCATCAATGATGAGGTTCAATGCGTTAAATGGGCTGTCAGCACATGCTAAAAATTAAATGCTTCAATGGAAGAGGGGGCAAAGTGTTGACAATGCTGTTTCAACAAAGTAATGTATGAAACTGGAGCTGGATTTCATCGTCATTAGCTTCAGGCTTTATCGCCTTCATCTTTATCACTTTTTATCTTCTTTATCCCTGTGCCTCTGATCAATTCCAGTAAGAAAGGGATTTTTAATACAATGCGCTTACCCTCGATAGCCCTCCCGGATCGAGGATACTGGCCTACAAACCATCACATCTGTAGTATTTCAACGTTTATAAATCTTTAAGAATGATATTGTGCTAGAAATCCAAGCGGACTGGCGCTGTCGAATATAAAACTCATAAAAAAAATAAGAAAGTAGCTTGGCCAAGCGATAGTACTAGCCAATCCACAATCCCGTTCTTAGGAGCTTCTGAAGCCATCGTGTGTCTCTATAAAGGAATGGCAATAATTTCTCTACCGTCAGCCACGGCCGCTGAGCCCAGTCGTTGTTCACTATACTTCAGATGTAAGCGATGAAATCTCATAAACAAATTATCCGAGAGGCAGCGTATCGAAAAATATGCAATGTATGCACAGTTTTTGTTCAAATTTTTGCCCTTGATAATATCTAAATTTTGGAGAATATCAATATTAATTCGAGTTTTCCAGTTACGAGCGTTGATATTATACATTTGATTCCTTTGATCGTTTTGGTGTCTCTCTCTCAGCGATATAAGATGACAGAGTTTGTGAAAGAGACTCCTGCCCTTGCTATATATGTGAAAAAGATTGTATTTTACCCATGGTCCTGGACTCCATTGCGGGGCAGTAACAGATTGGGTCTCGGAAAATGATCCGATACGAATCTTGATTTACAGCGACTATACAGCCAATTGTGGTCGATATCGTTGCATTGGAGGAGTATCATGTACCTTGTATTGTATATGCTTCCAACCTATAAGGACTGGTATTGATACATGAAAGAGAGTAACTGCTTAATCGTTCATTTCGGATTGATCTATGATCTGTCATCTGATTGGCTGGATCACCACATTTGCATAAATGTTGAATGTAGCTCAAGAATACGACAACACATTCCATCTAGCAATTGGTTTCCATAATAAGTCTACTACAGAGTCCTCTCAATGCTCCAACTTGCTTTAATTTTGATCAGAAACCCATTAAATGTATTATCAAATCTCAAAATAGGGTTTATAGATTGGTCGCACCGACAATAGTCTTGGGAAATCCGGAAGAATGTAATATACACATTTTACTAATGCCAATTAACCATGTGTGTCAATGCTGTTTTATAAAAAGAGACAAATACTCGTTATTTAGATGCTTCTTTGTATTATTACTTGTATAAACACAAATCGCCATGGTTTCCTTGCCTTATCCTATTACACTGCCTGCTTTAGCTGACTCTCAAGTAACACACGTTGGTGTAAAATCTCCTGAAGATGTTGTTGTTGTGTCAGCATTGAGAACTGCTCTTACCAGAGGAAAGAAGGGTGGTTTCAAAGATGTGCTTGCTGACGGTAAGTTTACCTAATTGAACATGAAAGCAATTGCTAATATGATCATGCACAGAACTCCTGATGAATGTATTCAAAGCTACTATTGAAAGAACTGGCATTGATCCAGCATTGGTTCAAGACATTACAGTAGGCAATGTATGCGCTGAAGGTAATCTTGCAGTGCCCTCGCGTATGGCTGCTCTTGCTGCTGGTTTTCCCGAGACAACAGCTGTCAGCACCTTGCATCGTCAATGCTCATCTGGCCTCCAAGCCTGTGTGCAAATTGCTTCTGCTATTCAATGTGGCCTCATTGAGATTGGTATTGGTGCTGGTGTAGAGTCCATGACAGCCGATTATTACAATCGCCGTACTCCCTACTCAGACAAAATCTCTGTAGTGCCCTGTGTCGCTGACTGTCAGGTTCCTATGGGTTACACATCTGAAAATGTTGCGCTTGAATATGGTATCACTCGTGAGGATCAAGATCGTTTCTCTGTAGAATCGCATAGAAAGGCATATGCTGCTCAACAAGCGGGCCGGTTTAAGGAAGAGATCATTCCATGTACAGTGACGCAAATTGATAAGTATGGTAATCAAAAACAGGCTACTATTACTGAGGATGATGGCATCCGACCTGATTCCACTTTGGAGACGCTCGGTAAAATTCGAGCTGCTTTTGGCAAGAATGGTACAACAACTGCTGGTAATGCCTCTCAAATCTCTGACGGCGCTGCTGCTGTCTTACTGATGAAGCGTAAAACGGCACAAAAACTGAGTCTGCCCATCCTTGGTAAATACATCACATCTGCTGCTGTTGGTGTACCTCCTCGTGTGGTAAGAAAATTATGCAATGAAACGACGGATACACGACTAACAATCTGTAGATGGGTGTGGGTCCTGCCTACGCTATCCCTGTTGCTGTTGAGCGTGCCGGTTTAAAGCTCTCTGATATTGATATTTTTGAAATCAATGAAGCATTTGCATCTCAAGCCATCTATACAGTGAAGGCACTCGAAATTCCGGATGAAAAGGTGAATCCCAATGGCGGCGCTATTGCATTTGGTCATCCCTTGGGTTGCACCGGATCTCGTCAAGTAGCTACTCTATTTCCCGAATTGAAGCGTCAAAACAAGCGCTACGGTATTACCAGCATGTGTATTGGCTCTGGTATGGGCATGTGTGCTGTTTGGGAGGCAGAGTATTAAAGATTCTTTTATGCATAAATATGAAATTGGTCCAATAAACCGTTGAAGGCATAAAAGTTGGCACGGCTAGAGTCTAGGGCATCCAATTTGATCAAATGATGGGGCTCTTGGCCATTTGAAGCATCCACATTATCAAATAACTCTTCCAGGTTTTAAATTGTGATTGAATTTATTGTGTTATGTTGTGGTCCTGAGTCTTATGCAGGCTTAATTGAGAGGGAACTATTTGATCTACTCCTCTTCTCATTGTAATCGTGTATTTCGCTTATTTTCATGAGGAGCCAAATCAATCCAGTTTTTTTTTTTTCCCCCATTGAAGGCCTTCCAGAGAGATCAGCTATCTCTAAATGTTTCCAAGGTTAGCTTTGAGAGGAAAGAGTACCATTAATTTCCCAACCGACACCTTTTGAGGGCTTCAATAATCGTCATATTAACTGCAGGTCAAAGCGTGGTATGGTATTGATGAACGTCTACTTTCTTCTGGATGTAGCGTAAGAGAACCGACCTCATAGCTAACCTCCCATGAATCGTATGACTCCTGTTTAGCTGTCGCGCTGGCTAGGCAGCAACAGCTTCACATGGCGGCCCATCTCTTACACGTTTTGCAGTCGTTGTAGACTCTTGTGTTGTCAATAGTAGGTGTCAGTTCCTCGCATCAATACGTTCATATGCAAACAAACAACACGTAAAAGCTTAGTAAATCAGATATGCATTCTTGTGATAGTTGCCTTACCTTTCTTGTAGCAGTTCATTGCTGTTGCATCACAGAAGAGCAGTAGCACTGCTAGCCAAGCTGGTGCCTTTTAAGACTTCCATCAAGTATCCTATTGATTGCAGGTTAGGGCAATATATGGCATTGATGAACGGCCCGCTTTCTTCTGGATGTAGTGTAAGAGAACCGATCTCATAGCTAACCTCCCATGAATCGTATGACTCCTGTTTAGCTGTCGTGCTGGCTAGGCAGCAACAGCTTCACATGGCGGCCCATCTCTTACACGTCTTGCAGTCGTTGTAGACTCTTGCGTTGTCAATAGTAGGTATCAGTTCCTCGCATCAATACATTCATACGCAAACAAACAACACGTAAAAGCTTAGTAAATCAGATATGCATTCTTGTGATAGTTGCCTTACCTTTCTTGTAGCAGTTCATTGCTGTTGCATCACAGAAGAGCAGTAGCACTGCTAGCCAAGCTGGTGCCTTTTAAGACTTCCATCAAGTATCCTATTGATTGCAGGTTAGGGCAATATATGGCATTGATGAACGGCCCGCTTTCTTCTGGATGAAAAATAATGTAGTTGAACTGTTGAACATCTGCTGCCTTTTGGACAACAAATATATGTGTGACGTTGAATGTCTTGAAATAAGGGATTGAATGCTTTTTCAGCTTTTTAATTCAGAATTCAATCAAATGATAGAGCACGATGTGAAATGGTGTCTTGACAATGCTGCGTCCTTAAGCTTAAAAGCTTTTGCTGTCGAATATGGATTTCGAGAAAAGGCTCGTGCAAATAGCCGCTACAAGAACATTTTAGAGTCGCGCGCGTTCAAGAGCTGTCCATTCCAAAGCGAGTTGATTCGTGAGTTCGAAATTTGGAAAGGTAGTACGCTTGAGAGGTCATTCTGGGCAGAGATAGCTTTGAATGCGAAGAAGCAGCAGGTGGAAACACTATTGGAATCAGACGGCTATGATACAGCAGCTCACTTTTCTCTACAAGCATCATTAGAATTACGAACACGCTCGTCTAAGGATCAACCCACGTAATATTGATACTTTACATTATCATAGAGAAAGATTTCCTGATGTAATTTTTAAATAGTCGAGCCAAATCGCAACCTACTGATGAAAAACCTGCTACCTCTGATCGCTCCATCTCTGAGTCTTCCTCGAACGATAGTTCTTTTGCACCAGAATCATGCGATAGCAGCTCAGAAGAAGACTTAGCATACACGGCCCGTAAAACCAGCTTTGATTACCTCGTATCTACAAACCGAAGGGATGAAGTCGTGTCAGCAGACTGTAGCGTACAATGGATTTTGAGCGATGGGACCAATTTATCACAATCGTTTATTGAAAAGAGAAATGCACTGATTGAAAGATGCAGAAGGGACAAGAGTAAATTGTCTGTACAAGAACAGCTTGCTCTGAGTGGCATTCTTTTGTTGGATGATCGTCAGCAATCTGATTTCCTGAGGAATACTGACTATGTCCAAGCATGCAGAGAAATGAAGCTCAAATATGGTCAATTTGCTGATGTCGAGAATCCTTCAATGCATGATGTCTATAAATGTATAGAACTGATTCAAAATGGTGATTCGTCCAAGGTCGAGGATTTGCTAGACACAACCAATTTACCAATCCGCTTCAAGTCGATATTGTTTTCATTGAGTAGAACATATGGAACCAGCTACTCAATCAAGGGCGCAAATGAAAACACCATTATCAAGGACTACCTCTTGCCTATGCTGGACTCATTCTTCCCTAACACCGAATACTCAACAACCTTTGCTGCTGACAAAGAAATAGAGGAGAGCAATAACAGGTTCGCTTCAATTGATCCCTCTTTGGCAAAGCATGTGAAAAAGGCCGACTACTCAATTGTTCACAATGCTACAAAGTATATGCTTTTGACTTTGGAGGCCAAATCATGCAAACAGCAACACAAATCTACAACTGACCTGATCAAAATTGGCAAATACTTGAAGGACATAATCGATGCAGCTGAAATCAAAGGCTTTAAAGAACTTAAACTCGTAGGATTGATATCAAGCGGTGAACATGTTGACGCCTATCTCATTGCACACGATCACGATTACATATACACCCTTTACAAACTTTATACCTTCCATATCCCGATTGATCGCACTGATATCCATCGCTGCATACCTGCTATTTCGATCATCCCAAAGTTGAAAAATATCGTTCTCGCATCTATCGACATATTGAATAAGCCAAAGGGGAACACGCAGGCAGCCACATTACGACGTCTTGAAACTTATCATACTCCTATAGCATTGCCTGAACAAAAAGTGAAAAGAGTGCCCAACATCCAGACCTCTCCCGAGTTCAGAGCAGCCAGGCGAAAGCTATTTTAGGTCTTTATACCCTTATTATTACCCTATGATACAATAAATTTTTCATTTACTCCATAGCTTTATTGTATTCTCATTGTATAATCATTTTCTATATGTTGTTTAGGTCTATAATATCCACATTGCATAGGGATATTCCCTAAACTGCATAGCTTTATTATATTTTCATTTTTGGCTCACACCATTTCACTTTAATTCATGCAGCATACTCAATCTGCAAAGTAGATTGATCGCATCAATCTCGAGCCAACAACAGGCCAAAATAATGTAAAACATGATACTATTGTACTACCGATATCTTCCCTTGCAAGCCGTTTTAGGCCGTCAGAATACCACCAAATAGTTGCTCTCATTCAGCACTTACCGATACCTTTGCTCCATTTTTTGGAGACCCAGAAATATGACCAAGAACCGACTCCAAACCATGAGAGATGCCTCATGCATTTTATCGAAAATCAAACGATCGCGCTTTTGGCCGCAAAAATGAAGATTTTTACTATAACATATGAATGTTTATGCTTCAGATGACTATCTACTTTCGCTTCGCTTCGGTGAGAACTAAACTGCACAGCGGCAGCTTGCGCTACCAGTTGCCCTTGCGTATCTTATCAAAATACTGCTACTTTCATTTTGACCCTCCACTTACACATAAAAAGCTTTCATATTATCTGTGGATTTGATCCTTATGTAATGCTCTACATTCATATACACTTAGCTACTTCATATACGGGCAAGTAGAATACTGGTATTTCCATTTCTTAGTCCTCAGTGCCCCTAATACAGCAAAATATGAGTGTATTTGAGCTGCTTTTTCTCGCGTTCAAAGCCGTTTAAGATTGTCAGAATAGTATCAAACCATTGCTTTCATCTAGCACTAACTTCCTGCCACCCTTGCTCAACTTTTTGGGGACCAAAAAGCATGAGGTATCCCTCATGGTTTTCATCGAAAATCAAACAATCGCATTTTTTTTTACCTTGAAGATGATGACTTTTACTATGGTATGTATTACATCAAAATGTTGCTATCGATCCAAAGCAACCCTTGAAACGTCGTTTGTGTATCTTTTATATGTAAGTTTTTGACATTTTTGCTAGAAACCTCATTTCATATTTTTTGATATTGCTCGATGCGTTTATTATAAACATCTGCCATAAGCACCATCATTCGATGCGCCTTGAAAAGCACTCCAGAAATGCATTAGAAAGTATAAGATGATCATCGCATCTAATATAGTCCAATTCTGCAAAATAGATGAATCTAGTCGTTTTTTAGATCAAAATCTGTCCAATCTGGAATAGACGTTAAGCGAGAATTCAATTGATTTTGAGTGCTTCTGATATCAATGTAATCTACGATCTTGAAGCTAATATAAAGAGGATTGCAATTTGAAAAAAAGTATTATAGTAGCTTATTCTCTCTACTTTTGCCTGATTCTGAAGCACATTTTGTTTCTGACACTCGGATTAATCATTGTTTATTACATATTCAAATAAATGGCCTAATATGAAACGCAAACTTTCTTGCTATTCAAAATTGCAAATGGCACTTGAGGTTTGATGTACTGTACATTGAGATACCACTACTAGGCTATACTATAGCAGCCACTAAGGCAATGCTATAATACCATATACGCTTGGGAACCTAATGCCAAATGTCCATTTTATTAAAGTGTAAGGGCCATCACATCTCCTGTTACTAGGAATTTTTAGCAAATAGATGGCAATACTAATTATGAAATACATGTGAGGTTTCTACTGAGCACTAACGAAGACAGACAACTGGTTTATACATACACACTTTTTTAAAAATCATGCAAATACTGTATTTTGAGGCGGCGTCATGTCACCCAAGTGTTCTACAGGCCCAAAAGCAGCGGATCAAGATTGCCTTTTACTTGGATACACATTGTAAAATATAGCTTCAAATGGGTTTGCTTGCACTACTGCCAATATGCTCACTCTAATTGAACGATGACTTTTTGTTTGTTTGTTTTCCGTGCAACTTGCCAACATTCTTTTCAAAGAAGTAAGAGCATATCCTGTTGGTGACAGTAGCACCAGAACTTTGACAGCTCTGCTTGTACATATAAAATAGTGAATACATGTAATTTATATACTGCAATCACTGCAAAACTATACTGATAAAGAACCCGTTATTGTTTACATTTTGCTCGAACTTTTCAAATCCAAAGCGAATCAAATTGTTCACTTTCCGTTATCAACCGAATACAAGATGTAAATGTAAACAAGCTGACTGTGTTTAATCAATAAACGAAATAAACCATATGAGTTTATATCATATCTTGTGTGTATACAGTAGTAATAATGCATATCATATTGTAGGGCAGTTGAAGGCGATTCCAATGGTATTAGTTGCATTGTCTCTGGATGCCAGTAGCGTTCAGAATTGCGTTTGAAGTGTTTTTTGCGTGTCTCCTTAAATTGTTGCTACTGTAATCAAGGTATAAAAGGTAGAAGATTTCTCTCTTTATCTCACGTCCTTTCTTTATCTTTTTCTTCATCTTTTTTTTTTTTTTTTTTTCTCTCAAAAACAATAGACGCTACTAGAAGACTGGTGATCATGTAAGTATATTTGTCTTGTCTGCACATAACGGATGGTAACATGCTCTGAATCAGGGTGGTTCACAATACAAGGCTTATGGTATTTCAAGACTGGTTCTATTCTACTTGACGGCTTTCTTTGGATACTTTTGGTTCTCTCTGGTTCTCTTTGGATACTTTTGGTTCTCTCTGGTTCTCTCTGGTTCTCTTTGGATACTTTTGGTTCTCTTTGGATACTTTTGGTTCTCTTTGGATACTTTTGGTTCTCTCTGGTTCTCTCTGGCTCTCTCTGGCTCTCTCTGGCTCTCTCTGGCTCTCTCTGGTCCTAGTATATAGATATTTATATTTATTTGGTCGTATTCTTTCGCATGGGGGATTTTTAAGGGCGCACTCTGAGGTTTTCAAGTCTTTGGTACTTTGTCTTTTGAGAGTTTCGTGTCTTTGGTGTGAGGGTTTCTCTAGTAAGTCTTCTGGAATAAGTCTTCTGTAGTAAGTCTTCTGTAATAAGTTTTCTGTAGTAAGTCTTCTGTAATAAGTCTTCTGTAATAAGTCTTCTGTAATAAGTCTTCTGTGTTGTCATGTGTTTCCCTTCCCCCATGCCTACTTTCACTTTTTGGGTTGAGATTGGTCTCCACCTTCTCGTGGTTCAACCTGTAAGCTTTTTGTAAAAGCAACCAAGAGAGACCATTATTTTTTACAATAAATAAAATGAAAAACTATACAATACACATTAAATGCGTGTGCCTGATATGAGTACACATTAAACATTGCTTATTTTATATCAATAAAATCTTGTATTTGCCCAGGAAATTATAAATGTCGATATGAGATGCAAAGGGTATAAGTTTACTGCTATGGAAATCAATAATTCGGATTGGATGTATTAGCTGCTTTTGATAAGCTCTTTGGATCCGAAGGAGGCAGATTATCTTGTCATGCAGATATAAGTGCATCAAAGCCTAAGCTCGCATGTGTAGGTGTTGGGGACTATGCACGCTGTAGTTTTGCCTCATGTCAAACATGAGTCTTTGCGTCTATGTTGGCTGGGCTTGTTCTGGTACGCTGAATGATGCTACAGCCAAGGATGACCTGGCTAAATGGCTGTATCTTTGTATATTTCGTTGTCATATATTTCATTTCAACAAAATCCCGGTTACCATGGACGGATGGAGACGGCGAGCATATTGATATGTCAGACAATGATTACATGGCTCGCTTGACTCCATTTTACTTTGGATGGAAGTGGCCTTCAACGATCTGATACACGCATTACCCTTTATTACTCGATTGTGCGCAAAACACAGCGTATTTTAGATGCATTTGAGCCGTGATTTCTTGTATTAAAGGCCGTTTTAGGCCGTCAGAATAGTATCAAACCATTGCTTTCATCTAGCACTAACTTCCTGCCACCCTTGCTCAACTTTTTGGGGACCAAAAAGCATGAGGTATCCCTCATGGTTTTCATCGAAAATCAAACAATCGCATTTTTTTTTACCTTGAAGATGATGACTTTTACTATGGTATGTATTACATCAAAATGTTGCTATCGATCCAAAGCAACCCTTGAAACGTCGTTTGTGTATCTTTTATATGTAAGTTTTTGACATTTTTGCTAGAAACCTCATTTCATATTTTTTGATATTGCTCGATGCGTTTATTATAAACATCTGCCATAAGCACCATCATTCGATGCGCCTTGAAAAGCACTCCAGAAATGCATTGGAAAGTATTTTTTTTGTAGGGGGAGTTGTACTCCATTTTTTATTTAAAGTCCTCTAAATGTCATGATGAGGGAAGAAGAAGACTGGATATATTTTTAAAGGCAAGGAAATGAAGAAGGGAAGCAAGGAAGTGGAATACGACCATAAAATACGTTGGGGGTACATACTTACAAATCAAACTGTAATTCCGATTCCAAGCGAGACAGAGAACGGGCAATAGATATGTTAACGTTGAGAGTGACAAAAGGAACATGGTCGAAGATGGAGCGCCAGTGGGCTTGCCATATACAGAGTGGACTGGTAGCGAAAACTTGGTAAACGGTAAGCTCTGGAAAAGGTAAGCTCTGGAAAAGGTAAGGAGGCAGAGCGAGTGGGTTCAGCTATGGATAGAGTTTGAATGCCGTGGAGGAATGGGAGAAGGACGTCGTCAGTCATCGGTGTGTGGGATAGGTATGTAGTGGCAAGGAACCGCCATACAGCGAGTTTGAGAGGACAAGTAAAGAAGAAATGTTGGATATCCTCCGGGCTCTGGGTCAAACAGAGAGGACACGAAGGTGAAGGGTGAGTTGTGGGGATGAAGTGGTGGAGGATCGATTTGGAGGGAATTTTTCGATGGATAAGTCTATACCATACAGTTCGGGATTGAAGGAGAATAGGTAGTTTCCAAAAGAGGCGCCATTGGGAGGGAGAAAGAGGTGAAGTGTTGATGGTGGGCATGTCAGTGGAAACCAAGTGTTTGTAGTATTGAATACTGTTGAGTGGCACTGTTGAAGGTAGTGGTGTTATAGGTTTGATTAGACGGCGAATGAGTGGGCGGATGTTGTGGGGGTTGGCACCAAAGGAGGCACTGGTAAATGAATGGCGAGGGGCCTGACGGCAGAGAGCGAGAAAGAATGGTTGGAGGTAGATTTGGCCTTCCTCAATCCAACGGGCAACTCGATGAGATATTCTTGGATAATGGCAAAACTCAAGGAAGGTCCAGTTTCTAAGACGGATCACTTGTAAGCCGAAGTCAAAGGTAAACACATCTATTGCGAGCAGTTTCTGGACGGCGTGATGTCGGTCAAACAGTTGATCTGGAGCTGAGAAAGAAGAGAAATGGGGGTGAGTAGAAGGGAGGGTATGTAAGATAATTTCAAGGAAAGGTAATGATAAACCTGTATGAAAATCTAAGTGACAGGTTGTGAAGGAGCGAGGTATTCGATCCATGGTGGTAATGACATTGGTAAGTATGTTAAGGAAAGCTTGGTGTGGGCTGGGTCGATGTTGGAACCAGATGGTTTGTCGAGCAGCAGCAAAGAGTAAGTAGTAAAAGTAATCAGAGAAAGCGGTAGAGTGGAAATACCATTGCAAGGTGTACTGAAAGAGTGGAATGTTTGGGGTGGTGTATGTCGGTAATAGTGGTGAATGACAGGTGGCTAAAATGAGGGGGCAAATCCAGCGCCGTTGGAGAGCTTGTTGTTGGACAATGGGATCTAAAACTTGGAGGCCGCCATGATGGCGAGGCTGTTGAAGGGTTCTAAAGGATAGTTTGGGGAAGATACGAAAGTTAATGAAGGAGGACCCAAGGCTGCGTAAGGAGAGTAATTGAGCTTTGGTAAAAATAAAGTTGCGCACGACATGCCAGAGTTTCGAAAAAATGAGTGTGTTGAGAACGGTTGCACTTCCACGAATGGAGAGGTTCCGTTGGGAGTGAATATGGATGCATTGTTGGATATTGTTGTAGAGTTGCTGGAAAGCGAGGTTGCGTTGGGATAAACTGGAGCATATGGGATAGCCAAGATATGTTACTGGATCAGGAGAGGTGCGGTCATGCATTTGGTGGATTTGGTGTGTAGCAAGAAACTCGCGCCAATCTGGTTGTGGGTGTCCAGAGAGCGAAATGGCTATAGTTTTCCTATAATCTAGTAGTGCATTTGATGCTTTCATGTATGTATTGATAGAGTCCTGCAGAAGAACTTAAGGAAGTATAAGATTATCATGACAACTTACATAGTCGAATCTGGCAGAATCGGTCGAAGTGGGTCCAAAAAGGACCAACATGAGCAAATCAGGACAGAAATTTGAGCGGGGATTCAACTGATTTTGGCGGCGGCAGCTGCCAGGTAAAAAAAAAAAAAAAAAAAAAAAAAAAAAAAAAAAAAAAATGATGATGATGATAATAATTACGCCTTTCTCATGCACATAATTAGCGCTTTTGAATCTATTTGGCGACGACGTTTTTTAATGAAATATGCTACAATTGTATGTTTGTGTATAATTTGTGTGTATATAAATATAAATTAATAAAATTTAAATAAGGAGGTTACTCCCAGGAATCATCAATTTCGACATCCATATCTTGAAGTCTTGACACCAGCTCACTCTCTTGTTCGACTTCATGTCTCTTCATTTCTGGAATTAAGCGATCCTCCAGAGCCAATTCATACACTCGGTTGTATTCGTGGACAGGTCCTTGAAAGTGTCCTCGGTCCCAACCCAAATTCAATGCACTACGAATCATTCTCAGTATGAATTCTTCACGAAGTGCCTTGATGCTTTTGATTTTTTGGAAATCAACGGCAGCATCTTGTATAGCCATCTCCAATGATGCGTGGTCATCGTGGTCATAGACGTAGCCGTTAAAGTATTCATAGCTAGTGACTACAGACCCTTTCTCTGTCAATACGTTAGGGTCCAAAAGAGCAACATTCACCTTGCGTTTTCCAGCTCTACCAGCAGGACGATCAATGATGGATTCATGCAAACTACCAGCACCTGTCGTAATGACAGCTGAGCCAAACACCATGCCCTCTACTGTTTCCAAGCCCAAGCTGTCGTTGGGGTTGGGTGCAAATACGAAATCAGCAGCTGCTCGACAAAAGATGCCCAATTGACGCTGCTCTTTGCCTGTGGTGATCAACGAAACATGGTTGGGATACATTCGCTGCAGTGCTTCCAATTTGTCGAATGGATAATCCTTCCTGTTTCCCATAATCACAAATCGCATGTTGTGTTTAACGAAATATTCAGCAGCCTTTTCAAATATGTCCAGTCCCTTGTTATTTTCCAATCCACCTCGAAACAGCACAACAGGTCGCTTCATGTCTTCCTCGGTGAACAAATCTCTCTTGATCAGGTATCTCTTGGAGCGATCCTTCAATACAAATGTGAAATCGTTGGGGTTTTCAGAAAGCGTCCAGTAAGTGGGGTTCTCGGGGATATCAAGCGCCAAGGCGTGCAAGGGATCTTTGGAATGGATCAAGGGCTGGTCTTTGATCATGTCGAACGCATATTGAGGGAAGCCCATGTTGCGATTCACTAGCTTATCCGTAATGAAGGGGTGCTCTGAGCTGTAATAGTCAATCGCATTGCTGATACCGTAGAAGCGAGCACCTTCCACCTTGCGCAATAGACTGTCCATGATGAGCTCTTTCAGATGGAAATCACGGCGACCCTCGACAATATCAGCAGCCATGGGGCGACTCGTAAAAGTGACAGCATCCGCACGATCAATGGCTAGCTTTGACATGAACATTTTACCACCGTACACGTATTTGCGAAGCGCCTCTCTCTCAGACATGTGTTCCAAGAATTTTCTTACGCTTCTAAACGAGTTTTGGTACTGAATCTCGTCTTGGTGATCATGCATCGTATAGACAATAGCAGGGGGTCTTGGCCCCAAATCATCCGCGTCTTTCTTGTCTTGCAAAAATTTAGTGACATAGGCATTGGAGGCACCGTGCACATGGACGATATCCACTCTGGGTACGATACGAATAGGCGCGAAAATGGACTCTTCATCAGCAGCAGTTGCTTTATGAGCCAGAAAGGCAGCAGCGGCCTTTGCAAAGTATTGGTCTCTCCATTCATTGGGTAATTCGTTTTCCGTGTTGATATCATGGACTGTACGACATTTGAAAGCTTGGTTGAACGGTTTTCTGTTGGCATGGCCAATCATATACACAGGTACAACATCAGTAGGCGCGGCGGGGCGTTGAGGCGTGATAAGGACAGAGGTGTTGACATTGTTAATCATCTGCCATTCGTATTTGCTTGGCTTTTGTACTGGCGGATTGAAGGCATGCATCATTTTCCACACCCTAAACTCCACAGACATGACTTGACCGGGCCTCTTTCCTCGAATATCGATTGTCATGTCAATTTCCTTGTCCGTAATGAGCTTTCTCATGAATGTATAAAATGGCATCACGATGGCGACTTCTGTCAAATTGGACGCCTGTTGTGCTGCTGCGAGTGCGGTGACAGTTCTGCCTAGGGATGTCAGTGTAGCTGGGCCAAATTCCTTGGTGACATGGTACACTTGAGTCCCCTTCTCTATTTGGCTCTCGACATTTGTATCTAAATGGGTGTATGCTTTGAATGGATATTGTCGCTTGACTACAAATAGACATGAGTTTCAACAGATCCCGGGAAATTACAGGTTTCCACGCTTTTTTTTTGTCTTACCTATGCGGATGGGAGACAGCTCCTGGTGCAGTAATTTGTAGCTGTTAAAGATCATTACCATCTCAGTCGCAATTAGTAGAAAGATGAAGATGCCCACAAGGTTCCACCATCGCCATCTTTTCACGCTGTTGAATGCAGCTCCTTTCTGTTGTAATGAGGGCGATAGTGGTGATGTTGCTGTATTTGCAGTCAATGTGGAGGATGATGCTTTGAATGGTGCAATGATGTATGAGGCTGTTCCTGATTTCCTGGCTAGCGATGGCCAGTAGGATGAGAGGGAGAATGTGGTGGATGTGTTGATGGGATTCAGCAAGGGGTTTGATGTCGACACATCTTGTGAATTTGCCATGGTGTCTAATGAATCAATGCAAGCAAGGAGATGAAGGAGAAGAAAGAGAAAGGAAAAAGAACCAAATTAAACTAAAATTTCTTGTTTAATATTCAATTGGATATTACCTGTAATCATGTAATGTTGTGCCTCGATCCTTCTTGATGTCTTTAAATGGAGCTCCAAAAGTGAATTTTTTCCTTTATCATTTGAGTTACGTCTGTACAACAGCAATTAATGACCTCTGTCATTCATCGTCGCTTTTGTTTATCTGCTGCTGAGGAGACTCTTTATCATGAGCAGCTTGTTTTATCTTAAGCTGTTGTATGTCCTTTTCCAGCTTATACATGACGTCCATTTTGCACCTGGAAACTGGTGCCTGAATTTTATTCAAGATCAGCGAGAAATCCCATTTTCTCGGGATGGAGTGTACGTCTTGAAAACAAGGTATCTAGTAACAAAAACAGTAAGAGCAACACATGTTTGTATCACGACAACAAAATGGGTCTTTTTGTATATTAAATGAAATGTACACCAGGCTACTTGATTAGCAAACACGGATCTTAAATCCAAATCAAAGGAGGAGGGGGGGGGAGCAATTCACATGAGTTTAGTAATACATGACAAATTTTACAAATACACGCTACCTAGATTTGCAATCGCCGTTGATGGTAAAAGAAAGCCTTTTTCTGGTATTTCTGAAAGTCTTGGCCATGTTGTATATTTGAGACCCATTGGAAGAAAATTTTCTACAAATCAGTTACACAACTTTGATGATGATATGTTGGGAATCAACGTGTAGTAGTATATATTCATATCCAGAATTACTACTTGCGCCGTCTATGTCCAGGTCAGACCATTGAGCTTCCTTTTGTAAAATGTATGATCAAAGAGCATCGTGCTTTGTAATGTATAGAAAGACACTATCGTCAGCTTACAAGAGAGTGGATGCACTTAGACATCATCATACCATACAACGTATCGGATATAAAAGTTGAATCACACAATGCCCCTTCTTTATCTCTATTATCTGTAGATTAGTTGCAATAGAAGAGAAAGGTATCTACCCAGGTTCATTTCATACATGAACGGCTCTCAGAGTTAACAAACGATGCCATTGTATTTCTAGAGTGGTACAAGCTACTGTTTGGATGGTGAATACTCATACTGTTAGGCGACAATACCAGGTTCTAATAAACTATTGGAGTTCCAAAAACCTCAACCTCACAGGAATGAGACAGGGTAAAACACATGCTATCATTTTCCAAGACTCCTCGTGTGGCTTTGGATGCCAAAGCCGGAAATCAATGCCATCTTCTACCAGCTCCAAGATAATCCAAGCAGCAATGAAGTCAAGAATTAGCTAATACACGACAGAGACACATATGATTACAAACTGAAAGGAAATCTTATCAGATAGAAACTGAGGGACCTTGACTTATCAGAGGCTTTCTTCAAGTATCGCAGCGCTTCAGTCAAGACGGCGGAAGACTCACAAAGCCTAGGCAATGTTGAACATTTGGCATTAGATGGAATCATGTGGGTCAACAAGACATTCTCAAATACTGACATCGTTAGCTACCACAACGCTCAGCAAATACTGAAAGGCATTGGTAGGATGAATTACTTCAGGCTACTGAATTCTGGACCCATCTCTGGCAAACCATGGCAATAGGATCAACTTGTCTATCGTCTCGACCTAGACTGTCAATACCATTTTGTGTTTAGAGGCAAAATTAAACAGCTTCAGCAATTTTATGAAATTGCCAGGTTGAATCATGGACTGAAGACTATTGAAGGCAAAGGCCATTCCAGTGTCGTTTTCTTTGGCATGTCGACAAAAGAAATTAAGCCAATGTGTATTGCATGGATCATATCTTTGACAGGACTGAATCGAGCGGTTATCCTCAAGAGACCCTATTTCTTTGCTGACTGCGATGAAATGCACCCTTTCTTTGGGCAGAGTGAGCCTTCAACAAACGTATATATTTAATTAATAAGCTAGCACAACATGCTTTGCCCTTCCAAATTAAGTGAAATTGGGGTTGAATAAAGAAAGCACCTTTTAAATTAAACATCTTGATCTCCTTGAGCTTACCAGGACACACAACAGCTATTCTGCTCCAAATCAGAGCTATAAGGATGCAGCAAAAGAGTGTATGCTCTATTACTGCAGTGAGACCTGGGTAATTTATTCAGCCTTTCCATTGATCAGAGATTTGCACTGTTTGACGATGAATTAAAAGCCAATTAACTGGAGCGTGATTTTTTTCCTATTCCTTTTTCTCTTTTCTCTTGTACCAATTCATACACATTACAAAAGCTTGAATCACTAAAATGGCAGGAAGCGTCATTGGCACATCGTCCTATTCAGAAGCAATGGATCTATCTGATTTGGAGGAAGAGAATGGGTATAGCCATTATGAGGGCATGCATCATTCGTCCGAGACATTGCCTACAATGAACAATATAGAAGAGCAGCAAGCACAGCAGCAGCCACCCCCACATCAACAACAGCAGCAAGAGCCACCCGTCAAGATCCGGAAGAAGCCAGGCAGAAAGCCCAATCCAGCATCGCCAGCCCTGCGAAAAGCGCAGAACAGAGCAGCACAGAGAGCATTCAGAGAGAGAAAAGAACGACACATGAAAGACCTCGAATCCAACATCAAGGGTATCAAAGACCATCGTGATAGACTACTGCAGGAAAACGAGAAAATGTCAAGTGAAAATGAGATTCTGAAAGCAGAGAATTGGTATTTGAAGGGCATTGTTTTGTCGCTTCAGTTGGTGTGTCTTCAACACAATCTAGTGATACCACAGCATTGTCCGCATGTCAATGATGAAACCTTGTCTGTGTTGGCGCAGTCCATACCAGAATCCATCAGCTCCTACTTGAATGTTAATTCCAGAAACAAGCTTCAAATATCACAAAAACTCATGAACGAATCACCCGAATTATCCAATTTGCACTTGCAATCACAACAGCCACTACCACAACAGCCACTACCACAACAGCCACTACCACAACAGCAGCAGCAACAACAGCAACAGCCTTTTCCTCATCAATTCCCCTCTGGATCGTTGATCATCACGCAGGATGGCGTGCATAAAGTGCCCAATAAGCATGGCAACGGCTCTCCTCATCAACAGCAGCATTCCAATAGCTGGTATCATCAGCAGAGTAACGGAAATGGAGCACCCAGCATCCAACCACAACACCCTTATGGCGCTAGCAATATGTATGGATCACCCAATTCTGCACACACGTCTGACGAATTTAATAATCTTCCACCGCTATCGCCCATGTCGTCCTCTGCCATGACAGACAGATCAGACAATGCCAGCAAAAACAAGTTTAGTGCAGAGAACAGCCGGGAATTACCGCGTCCTAGTATTGTGGCAGCACCCTCTGAACCCATCACATCCAATCTAGCAGCCATTCAGACGCTGCGTCTTCGTTTGAGACTACAATCTGCCTGTGTCCGCATGCAATCCATTCCATTCGCCATTCAGCCTACCTTATTGCAACTGACGATTCCTCACGATCCCAGAATTGACCTTATACCGACACCCCATATGCGCGATAGAATGATCTTGTACCGAGATCAGTTTGATTTGGACGACTGCTTCCGCTGTTTGTTGAGTGGATCCGTATTTCATGGTGGTGATCCAGCGGTGGCTGGCAACTGGCAATTGCCCGAGGAGTTCTTTAAAAAGTATTGGTTTTTGACCATTGATTACAACTTGAGAAGGTATACAAACGAGTGGCGAAAGAAGCAAGGACTGAAGGAGATCAATGGGAATCTACCAACATTGGAAGAGTCTCCACAGCAACAGCCACAATCATCCTCTGTAAATACAAGCGCATCATCTCAATTCACCCCGCCCGTGCTGCCGCCACACACAGGGTCGTCACCACACATCCAATCCAGCATGTATGCTCAACCACCGGCATTGCAACATGTACCTCAGCCTATGGATAGGCGCTCTTTGACGTATGATGACCTATCCAGTTATTTGGGTATGCAGTTGGAGAGTTCAAGGACTACTCCAGCTACCAACACGTCAACCGCTACCACCACCACATCCAGCATAAATCTTACACCTGTTCAGCTGACAAATGGCTATGGAAATATGATGGGATCCACTTCACAGCCGCGGCCAAAGCCACAATCTGCTTGGGAGAGCCTCATTGGGAGTAGGAATTATGGTAAGCACTGATATTGGTATAGTGTATGTACATGGCAGCAACTTAGCATATTGTTTTAGACATGATGATGACTGGATCGTACAACGAAAATGATATGGATCAGCAGCCTAATTAGATTTGATACTTGGTTGATCAATAAAGCTATAGGATTTCATGGGCACTAGGCAGTGTCGGTAGTGCTTGGAATGCTATTTTTCTGTTTGGCCGATTAGTTTAATTGCGGTTGTGTGCATTTTTTAATTTTGGATCTTGATTCCGATATCAGTGTTGATACATCTCAGCAATCTGCAACAGAAATCACTCTCAGTGCTCTACATGGTAGCTCGAAACTTAATTCCTGCAATCTAACCTTTCATGTAGACTAGAAAATGATCGCAATTGGTCTTTGATACCCTTCAGTCAATAGACTTCTGGTGTTGTTTTTCAACTCGCTTAATTATAATGAATTCTCCACCAAGCTATATTTCATATTTATAACCAACGCTCTAAAAATAGCTCTTCATAACTTGATGTGGCATTGTTTGTACAGAATTAAAGAATAAATCCCAGCCTAAATTGTGTCGACTAGTAGCATAACTTTAGCAAGTTGCAGAATCAAAGGTCTAGACATGCAATTTGCAGCCCAAGAACCGTTGTTTGTGTCCAACATGGTCTGATCTCAAAAATCACCCGGTGTATAATGCTTGCCTGTCGCTTAGAATGTGTACAACACAAGGTTGATCAAGGACCTGCTACAAGAACGAATCAGAAGGACCTTGGTTGGGTGAATCAACAGAAGAATTCACACAACAGTATCACGGAGTGCAGTTGAGAGCATTGTTAGTGCTATGCAAATCCATGATAGATGTATAAAAGGAAAGAATTCTCTTTTTAAGGGCATTGTTTAAGCTTTTTTTTTTTTTTAGGCTTTCCACGTTATCAACAAGCTTTTTCTAAGAGTTTTCCGCTTTTGATCATAAAATCAACAACATACGATCCAACAAGACCATGGATACAGTACATTCTCTTTGTATTGCTCTCTCTATCTTGCTTTTTTGGGGCTGTTTATCAGCATTTGCTATACAAAATGTGCACTGCAAATTAGCTTGTAACACAATTAGCACTGGAATAGATAAAGAAAAACGAGGTTCCTTATTTTGATGGATCTGGGAGGGCTTGCTCCGCTTGCAATTCAGTAACGGGGACCCTCTCTCTCTCTCTCTCTCTCTCTTCTCTGATCACCTTATCTGATCTCACAGATCGTAGAGAAACGATTAGCCGCTCAATTCAAATACACAATAATTAAAGAGCATGTAGTTTATTCATGATGCATGTGTTCTAAAAGGGTGATGTGAATAGGGTGTGTATGGTTCAAATGTTGAGGTGTATGTGATCTAAACAAAGATGGCCTTTTTCAAAGAGTTGTAAGCATTCTCCAAATCATCATTGATGATGATACTGTCATAAGAGCCAGGGATAGCACCATACTCCAACTCCTGTTTGGAAGCAGCCAAACGAGCCAAGATAGCTTCCTCCTTCTCAGTACCACGTCCACGAAGACGTTCCTCCAAAATCTCAAGACTGGGGGGCTGAACAAAGATGTACTTGGGATTCAATGCTGTCTTTTTGACAGATTGAACACCTTGCATATCAATATCAAGCATGCAGACCTTGCCGTCAGCAACAACATCTTCTACTGCTTTAATAGAAGTGCCTAGATTGTGTTTGTTGAGTAAGGGAATCACAAATACAGCCTTGATTTACTACGTTACCATACATATTTCCTGAAAAGGTAGCGCTTTCAATGAATTTGCCTTCCTCAACTTCCTTGATCATATCATCCTTTTCAACAAAATGATAGTCCTTGCCATCAACTTCTCCGGGACGAGGCTTACGGGTAGTGTCTTTTATCGATATAGGTGTAGTGAAACTGAGTGTACGATCAAATAGACAATGAACATGCGCAACACTTACGAGAGATGCTGAAGCCAAATGTACTGGGATATTCGCTGAAAAGACGTTTCAGCAAGGTGGACTTTCCAGAGCCAGAGGGGCCAGAGATGACAAAGATCTTTGCAGCAGTTTGCATTGGTGGAATGAACGTGTGATTGTACTTGGGTATCAAAGTAATTGCTATGGATGTTTATACATTTTGTTGAAAAAGAATTTTCTGACGGTCACTCACCCGCTGATGGGCATTGAGCAACCGACATACCAGAGACTCTCACAAATCATACCATTTGACCCTAAAAAAAAAAAAAAAGTGAGCTAAAGCAAGCTGTTGCACAAATAGACGAGATCTTGAGAGAAAATAAGAAAGCAAGCCTATACTAGCAATATGCAACGTCAATTGGCTCGCATGTGGAGCTAAGAGTGAGAAGCATGTGTAAAATGTTGGTTGTTCATTCCACCATTGATTACAGGTGTTGAGAGGAACGAAACCATCGAATAGAGATACGTTAAGGCCTAGAACTGAGTGCACTCAAAGAAACGGGCCTCTCGCCAAACTTGGAATATACCCTTGACATGGAAAGTATCACAAAACCAGCGAAAATCTTTTTTTTTTTTTTTTTTTTTTTTTTTTATGGCCAAAAATAAACCTCTTTTCTGAGTGGATAGCTTGAGCAGGATTGGGAGCTATTACCCTTTAAACCATTTTACTACAATAGAAGAGGAGAATCAAAATATCATTTTTGAATATAAATATCCCCCCCCTTGAATTCTTTGATTTCCCTTCATTATCACATTTAAACTTCTTCCTTGCACCATGTCAAGATTCACTGAACATTTCGACATTGAAACCACTACTCAATTCATGTACAATCAATCAATATCATCGCCATCAAAAACTTCCTTTTTCTCAATGTCATCGTCAGAATCAAGTTCTCCTGTCCAACAATACCGTTCCATCACTGTTGATACTATTCTCACTCAATCACTAAGCTCGTTTGACAGTGAATGTTCATCATCGCCTACAAGTTACGAAGAAGACAAGCCATCGAAAAACAAGCTCAAGCGATTTCTTACTACAATGTCCAAGAAGAAGCGTTCCATGTCGAACCACTCACAATAAGCTACTTGATCTTTGCCATCTGACTACAATGTTTCATATACCCACTTTGTAAAATGCTTAAATTTACTACTACTATTACTACTATGCTAATACTCTATCTTTCCACCTAATATCTTGATTTATCCCATGCCAATCTTATTTATTAAAATTATGTTTATACTGCTGTACACCTTGCTTATTGTAAATGGTTAATAGAATGGTTGCATATGCAAGCATCTGATGCACATGTGTGTTATGCTATCGGTCAACCCTAATGCGGACTTGACTCCCCATCTCTACAATTACAAATTTGAGGTTGGACGAGGTGTTCAAATAACAAGCTGCCTTTTTCAAATGACTTGCAAACCTAGAATTTTTTTTTTACTATACAACATTATCACGCATTTTTCCCACAGCAGAAATTCTATTTTCTTTAGCTGTGAATTACATGTACCTGTCAAGAACGTCCATTTTCTGTTTCTATAAATAGAGGAACCTACTGGAAAAAAGATCGACAAGTTTAGCATTGGATTCGGTTTATTGGGTAGGTTTCGATGAAGCAACAACGACTTGTGAAGCATATTCGCTTCAGATTTCAGATTTTAAATCTCAATTTTAGAGATTTGATCTTTTTCTAATAGAAAATCTATCCATGTCAATGAAGGAACATGCCCTGAATAAGGCAATTCCTGAAAGCATGAGCGACATCTACATCATGCTTCATAGAAACTATAAAATTGCATATGATGTGCATGCTTGGTGTCACATTAACATGAAAAAAAAAAAGGTACCAAAATGCAAACAAGCTTTATGATGCTCTACGTCATGGACAGAAGAAAGAAACACCGTTCGTTTTCTTGAAGGTAGATCATTGGGTCTTTGATTGTTACAGTCAGCTAAACTAATTTCATCAGAATGTACATAGCATCATCTATCAAATACAACATGGTATCATCTTGTATATTGAATTTGATGAATCTATGCGCATTACATCATTGAATAGAAACGTTCCATACTGTTGCCATAAACTACAAGGCTAGTATCTGCTCTATACCTTTAACGTCATAAAAGAATTATTTACGCTCTGCCCCATATGTGTATCATCTGATTTGATTCTCTCGTGCTTATGATACCAACTCGGCCATTTCTGAACCTTTTTTAGGTATATTTACTATACTCTATGGAGGCTTTTAAATATAGCAATGACATCTCAGGTAGTTTGAGCCTTGGCAATCCTGAAAAGAGTGTCCAGTAATCTCATTGCTGTCATATAGATATAGTTTTGACTACAAATCGTTTGACTACTAAACAATGATCGTCTTAAACAGTCTTGAATTTGATTTGTAAATCATCTTGTGCGCTTCATGTTACAAAATGCAATGCAAATCAATATTGTCCTTGATTTTCTGTCACATCTATATTCTTCTCTGATGAGATTGCCCTCAGGTGGCTATTTCATTAAAGATGGCTCAAAAATCATCATTGAAAATCGTCTTGTACGCTCAGTATTTGAAACCAGGAAAGAAGGAATGAACCACAATAGCAAAATCTGTGGTACTATACATTTATATTACACTAAGCATATTTGATTACAGAAAAGCTGGAAAGGCTTAGTAGACGAGCTAACGACATCGTACAGGTGGCATTTTTAAAGCGTGAGTATATGTATGCCCTGAATTGTATTATAATCAAACAAATTAAGCCCCAGTTGTTTAATTTTAACAGCACCATTCCCCAACATGTCTAGTGTCTATTCATAATAGCTGATCAATCAACTAACGTTCGATAACGGCGTCGCCCTGTGGGCTCTTGCCGACGACATTCCAAATCAGAGATAATAAAAATCTGGCATATCAAGTAGATCTTAAACAATCAATTAATAGTAAAAGAAAGGCTATATCAGAGTCAAGAGGGGAAGGTCTCCATTCGCTGATTTTGCTCTTGAGATGGCGACATAAAGCTTGCCATGCGTAAATACAGGACCTGTAAAAGATACTAGCAACTTTTTTTGAGAGATTATCAATGCAAAAGACACCTTCACATGGAAAAACCTCTCAACAAAAGCAAATATATATATATATATATATATGGGCGAAGCAATTGTCCTTTCAAAAACATGGTCTCCATTTGGCCAGTATCTCAATCATCATTGTCATCATCAGAAAGGCATTTAGGTTAGCCAGCAGCGCCAAAATTAATTCAGGCTCAGTTTTTTTTTATGTTCAGGATTGGTCAGTTTTTGTATTTTTCGACACGATTGATTTATTTTGCAAGATTCGACTATAAATTGTGATGCTTCCTAATACATTCTTGGAGTACTTTTCAAGGCGCTTTCAATGGTGCTAACTGTAATAGATGTTTTGAATGGAATTATTGAGCAATTTGACAGAACATAAAATGAGGTTATTAGCGAAAATAGCCATATTTTGCATATGAAAGTCTCATAAAAGTGGTCTTGGAAGTTACTTTGAATCGAGAGAAACATTTTGATTCAATATCATAACATAATAAATGTTTTTTTTTATAAGGAAGTAGGCACTTCTGTTTTTATTTAAAGTCCTTAAATCGTCACCTAATATAGAGGGAGGGGATATAAAGACTGGAGGATATAAGGGGAAGCTCAGATAATTGTATCGAAGGAAAGTTGGGAGTCTAAATTGAGGAGAGTACGATGAATGGAGTGGATGACAGTAGACGGGATGAAAGGGACGTGCTGGAAAACTTGGCGGTAATGAGCAGACCAGATAGCCTGTTGGATGCAAGCAAAGACCTGGAACACGGATAATGCAGGAAAAAGTTCATGAGATGAGCGGTCAATATCGAGGCGAAGGTGGAGGATGGCAATGTATTCCTCGTACGCAAAGTAAGAGAATCGAGGTGAGATGTAAAGAGAGAGAGTTTGTCGCCAGACGTCCAATTTTCGAGGACAGGAAAAGAGGAAGTGCTCAGTATCTTCGATGATGGTGGGGATTGTGGATGACGAAGACTGACAGTGAGGACAGTACGGGGTAAATGAATCGCGAAGCCGTTGATGTAATAATTGACGAGTAGTAACTTTTTCATGAAGGATCCGGAACCAAGTATTGCGAGCATTCAAAGGAATCTGGAGAGTCCAAAACTGCTTCCATTTGGCAACACCTAAAGGGGACGAATAAGAGGAAGGGTTAGTGTGAAGGGGGAGGGATTTGAATCCTTGATTAGTAGGGAGGGATAAAAGGAATGAATGAGACTCAAAAGAAAATGAAGTTGCCAATAAAGAGAGTAGAAGGGTGGATACGAGGCTGATACTATCGGAATAGTTGGTGATGGTGGAGAGGTCGATATGTGTGATGTTTGGACGAGGGACAAGGAGCAACATGTTGAAGTGAATGAAGTTGGTGAGCAGTAGGTTTTGAGCCTGAAGAAAATTGATAGCGCGTAAGCTGGTGGGTTGGTGGGGTAGGCCGATGACCGAAGTGCGAAGTTGAAGAGCTTGAGTGGTGGTATCAAAGATGAAAACATCATTACCTGTAAGTTGAAGCACTCTGGGGTAGTGTTTTACCACTTCCTTTGGTGAGCGAAATGTAGGCGATAAGCTATGGTTGGGTGGAAGGTTATGTTCAACCAAGGTCGAAAATGGCAGGCGTAGACAAGTACTGAAGGAAACATGACAGACACCAAACTTACGAACAATGGTATCTACGGCGCGAAGAATGTTGTAGAGAGGAGCGATGACCTTTCTGGCGCTTGATGGCCTACAGGCAGGAAAGAGGAGAGACCAGTGGTAGGTGGGGTATGAGGGAGTAGCGAGGAAGAAGTTGAGGATGACACGGAGATAAGGAAGAGAAGTCTTGGTAGGAGGAGTGGGATCGGATGGGTGCAAAAGTGGATGAAGCCAGCGCCACTGAAGGGCGTTGATCTGCACAGCAGGATCCAAAAGACCAAGGCCGCCATGAGAACGAGGGAGGCAGAGAGTAGCGAAAGAGAATCGAGTTAGTTTGGCATTTTGGTTAACGAACGAGGCGCCCAGCTGTTGTAGCTTGTGAATATCGTTAGCCGAAAAAGGAAACAAGCGTGCAATATGCCACACTTTAGAGAACAAGAGTGAATTGAGAACAGTAACCCGTCCTCGAAAGGTAAGGTTGCGTACCGAATGAAGGCGACAAAAGTCCCGGAGACGAGTGAGAAGAGCATCGAAATATGAGTTCTTTTGAGCGGTAGATGAACAGATAGGGTATCCGAGATAGATGATGGGAGCGGTAGCATTCTGGTCATGCCAAGACGAGATACCAGACGCGCGAAGGCCGAGAATCCAGGATTCGTGCGGTACACCAGAGAGAGACAATGCTTGCGTCTTGTGATAGTTGAGAGAGGCATTGGACGCGGCGGCATACTTATTTATCAACTGTTGAAGCTGGTGGAATTCACTAAGATCGTTGAGGAAAACTAGTGTGTCATCGGCATATGCCAGGACTTTGACTGGATCTGCGAGAGGAACATTGTCAGCGAGAGGGGAGGAAAAACGAGGATTAGTGGCTGCAATGCGTGTAAAGTCAAACCCAAGTATGTTTTGATGTTGGTTGATGGCACGGAGGAAGGGGTCGAAGATGATATTGAAAAGCAAAGGACTGATAGGGTCACCCTGTCTCATACCACGTTGGGTTGGAAATGCTTCAGAGAGAAATCCGTTGATGTTGACCCGTACCTGCGTGTTAGTAAACAAAGAAAGCAGTGATGAGATTAGAGAAGATGGCATGTTAAAAGCTGTGAGTACAGCGGTGAGGTACTCCAAGTTGACACGGTCATATGCCTTTTCTTGATCTAACAACAAGGCGATTGACGTAGAATGGGTGGCAGTGGCGAGGGACAGAGCGCAATGTAGGGTCATGGCTGGTTCGCCAATAAAGCGATGGGGCATGAAGCCGGATTGTGAGGTGGTCAATCGTGTGCCAAAGTGGAGCATGAGTCGAGCATTCAAAAGCCGAGTGAAGATTTTGGCATCACAACAGATAAGACTAATGGGACGCCAGTTCTGCAACAAG